GCCATTCTCGGTCCCCGGGCTTGAGGACCCAGGACCCCGCCAGGACCCCTGGACTGGCTGGCCGTTTTGCTCCTCCTCCTCCTCACCTCAGGCCAGTCTTGCCAGTGCCCATTGGGGAGCCACCACTTCGCTGGCCCCCCGGTCGGCCAACTGGGAAGAGAGCACCCTAGTGGACAGCGGCAGCTGACAGGCCAGCCAGCCAGGCAAACCTCAGGCGCGCCCTTTTCCCAGGCAAGCCAGGTTCTTCGGGGGTCGTCGCCGCTCCGTTCGCCGCATGCCGGGGATCCGCTCGCTCACCATGCACACGCCTCGCAGCCCTTGCTTGCCTTGCCCTTGCCCATCTCGCCATCTGCCCCCATACCCGTACGAGCACCACAAAAAAAAGACAGACCCATCGCATCCGGACCAGGGTCCGCCTCCGTTCGTTCGCTCGTTCGCTCGCCGTCGTCGTTGGGCTGCTGCGGCATATCCGACGGCCGGGGGTGTAAGAGAGCGGGCAACAGAGGGGGTCCGCATTCGCAACGGCGAAGCACGTCCACACGCCCAGAACCTGCTCCTCCTGCTGCTGCTGCTGCTGCTGCACACGCCAGCAAAAGCGAACAGGATTGCGATCCTTTCATGCCCACGAGGCCCAGCTGCATGCAATGCCCACGTTTTTTCTCCCAATCCTTTCGCTTGGGGGGGCAGGAAATTTCCTTTTTCTTTGGCCCCTTCTTCGCCTCGTGGCTCGTGGACACCCCTTTCCCACGTGCGAATCGTGGGTAGGATTTGGAATTCCTCCGTGGGCTTGGGGTTCCTTCATTCTCACCGTCAATGGTTTCGCCCTCGCTACCGGGGTTAAGCGGCGAATAATACTTCGTGCTAATACTCCGTAGATGTTTGCCTGCCCCTACCCAGACAGATGCCCGGCCGGGGTCCGTGACACTTGACGATTCCGGTTGGGCCCCTGGTGTGCCTGCTTTCGGCCGAGTCCGAGGCGTCCGTGCCACTTACACAGATATCGTACGTACCAAACGTAACATCATGGCCATGAATCGTGAGTGGCAAACTCCAGAGCAAAACACGAGTAGTAGCAGTTATGATTCCATCTACTCAGACAATGTCAATCTGATGGCATTTTTGTATGTAGATGTAGCTGCGGTAGATGTCGCAGGAAAACGGTACTAGATAGATAGTCTGAACGCGCCCGCCAACACGCTGATTAAAACGCCATATTTACAGGGTGAATCTGAAGCTCGGGTGCCAGTCACCCATGTTGAGTCTGTCCTCCTCGGGCAGCGAGAGTCGGTCGTCGCGCTCGCCCTTCTCCCTCTTGCGGTTCTCCCTCCACATGAGCGCGGCCATGATAGTGGCGCAGATGGCGCCGAACCACATCATGCCCACGGCCACGCCGTAGCCCGTCTTGTAGAGCGGCTTCTCCTCCTTGATGAAGATGAAGGCGCCGATGATTCCTGCCAGGTTACCAATCATAACTTGCGACGAGGCGCCAAACGAACGCTTCCAGTGGCCTGACAGATTGTTCTGTAGCCACGCCAGACACATGGGCGTAATCATGTAGGCGCCACCAAAGACGAGGAAAACGGCGGCGAACTTGTAGTCACGCGACTTGCCCTCTTGGGCGAGCAGCATGGCGTATCCGATGGTCGACAGGCAGGCACCACCAAAGATGAAGCCGAAGCGGTGCTTGAGGCGGTCCGACGCCCAGGCGCCGATCAACATCATGCCCGCGGCAAAGACATAGACGGGGATTGTGCGAATCTGTGCCTCCTCGGCCTTCCAGTTGAACTCGAGCAGGATGGTCGGCAGGAAGAAAGTGCCGGAGAGACCGGCCACCGAGACGCCCATGTAGATAAAGGCAGCGAGCCAAATCTTGTAGTCGCGGAGGATGCGGCGGAAGGCAAACTTGTTGAGCGTGTCCATGCGGCAAACGTCGCCAACGTCGGCCGCCATACGACGGCGCAGGAGCTCCTTCTCCTCGGCGTTGAGGTAGCGGGTCTGCTCGGGCCAGTCGATGATAACAAAGGACAGGATAATAGCGAGGGCCGACGTGATGGCACCCTCAATGATAAAGATCCATCGCCAGGCGGCCATGCCAGGGCGGCCGAGGCCAGCAATGGCATACGCGAGCAGACCACCAAAGGCACCCGCAACGACGGTGCTGCAGAAGAAAAAGGACATGCGCTTCTGGTACTCGTGGCGCTTGTAGTACATGGAGGTGACGTAGACGATGCCCGGGAGCACACCGGCCTCGAAGGCGCCGAGCAGCACACGCAGCGCGACGAGGGCGGCGTACGAGTGGACGAAGCCCATGCACATGTTGATGATGCCCCAGATGAACATAAGGCCCGAGATGTACAGCGAGGGCCGGACCTTTTTGATAATCATGTTGGAAGGCACCTCGAGAAGAACGTAGGAAGCATAGTAGGCCTGTCTCTGTCAGTCGGGGCCCTCAATGGCTCATGCGACGAGGCGACCTACAAAGAGAGCGACGTTGAAGCGGGTGCCAACATCGAGGTGAAGCTCGGCGGTGAGACCCTGGATAGCGGCATTACTGATGTTGATGCGATCCAGAAAGGCCATCATGTAGATGAGGAAGAAGCAGGGAAACACGATGAGATCGAGCTTCCGAAGCAGCTTGCTCTCCGCCTTGGGGTCGATGTGCGTATCAGACGTCTCCGACCCGGCCGACTCGGGGGGCGACACGTCGGACGCGCCCGCCTTGGGCTGCTTTTCCTCCTCGAGCGACATGTCTGCGGCCGCGTCGATGCCTCGCTCGATTATACAGCCCGGAGGTTGATGCTGGATATCAAAGATCCAAAAAGGAAGATCAGGCAAAGTCGAGGGTGAGCGAGCGAGGATGAAAAGGAATGGGAAAGGGCTGTACGAAAGAAGAAGGTGAAGAGAAAATCAACAGCCAGGGTATTTTGACGAGGATGGCCACACGCTCCGCGCTCACGCAAGGGGGGAACTGTCTGGGGGAGCGCAGCAAGACAGTCGGAAGGGGGGTGCGCAACGTGGCCGCCACGAGGAGGTCGCGGACGCGAATGTATAAAAAGGGCCGCGACGAACGGACCCGACGGCGACGGGCTCCGTCGGACGCAGCACGGCAGGGGCGAAACGGTTTGACGGCAAAATGCAACGGCTGCCAAGCTTCAAGTTAATTTCAAACAACGGCCGCGGTAGGGAGCCACGACCACGGGACGAAGTGGCGAGCAGGCTGGAAGCGGCTTGGGAGGCCTTGACCTCGCCACGGATCCAGACTTGGAGACTGCTGCTGCACGAGTGGTTTATCCCCGGCGTCCTCGTCTCGGCCGCGCACCGGTCGTCCTTGGTGCTAGTCCTGATACGCCTCGCCTGGAGAGCTGGATCGGCCTTGGATGGAGCACGTCGGCGACGGGTTTCCAGAAGGGGCCTCGAGGCGGACAAGGGGGAGAGGCATGGGGGAAGACGCTGCGAAGGAGTGGAGATGTCGCTCGTTTGTCATTGTCAGTCAAGGCGAGTCTGCAGCGTCGTGTGCCCTCCGTCGCCCGTCCCAGATGCCTTCAAGCTTGCGCCGCACCCTTGCCTCGTCGAACGACAGAACGAAGCGACTTGTCCCGCCCGTCCGCCGGTCGTGCAGCGAAGTTCCAGCGCAGCGCAGGGCCGTACCATGGAAGCTGTGCCACCGCGCGCAGGGTTCTGCATCCGGTCCGACGTGCCGTTGTCGAATGGGACGCGGCGAGACATGGGGGCGCGATGGAGCCGGGCATCCATCGCGTCGTTTGCCGTTGCAGATGCGGCATGGTGGGAGGTGGAGTGTCGAGCTGCAAGAGCGCACCCTGGACACCCTCGACGACGACGTCTGATTCCAACGCCGCCATTGGCGGACTGCTCGCGGGCTTCGGTCAGCATCAGCAGGACCCCTGGGGGCCGGCTGCCTGGGGGGGGGGCCCACTGAACTAAGTTGGCCACCCGTCAGAAGCCTCCAGCGGCCAAGACACCCAAGGGGGGCCGCCGGGCCAGCAGGGTCCCCCCTACCGGCGCTCCGGATTGGCGGGCAACCTGGCAGCTGGCCCCTCCTCGGCCGTCGGGAGGGGCTTTTTCGTCGGGGCTTGGAAGGCCAGCGGTCCAGCGATGGAAGCCGTGAAGCCACTGACGGGTTGGCTGGGGCGCCCAGGCGGGACGGGCGGGCAGATCACGGGCCCTCAGGCGGGCGCAGATGCCATCTCAGATTGACTTGGGTTTTTTTTTCTCTTGCGCCTAAACTACTGCCCGCCGTCTCCGCAAGCCACAGTCAGCAGCCTCCGCTCGTATTATACCTGACATACGAAAAGATACCCGCGAGATTAAAAAAACCGCAGCTGGTCCAATTCGCCCGAATCGGCAATGGCCGATCGTTCAACGAGACGGCGACACATTTCAACGGTCCACCACGTCGACGTCGGTCCCTCCCAATGCCTCCCCCCCTCATTCCCCCCCTCTCCAATGCAACGACGTTTTGTCGCAGAAAATGAGGAGAAGGGACCCCCACCGTAAATTTCCCTTTTCTTCCTCGCAGCGTGGGATCGCGGGCCCTGCAGAGCCAGGATCGTCATGGCCAAGGGGGGGCATGGGGGGGACTTCTGAAGCGACATCGCCCAACCGCATACGGCGCGCATTAGCGCCGACCGGGGCAACAACCATCATCATCATCTTCATGCTGTCTGTCGACTGGCAAAAGTGGCTTCGAGGTGGGCTGCTGAGCCCCCGGCCGGCCCCCATTTTTGAGCCCTTGCCTGCCCTCTGGCCGTCAATGTAACAAACCAGCCCGGCACCTGTCGCGGAGGATTCCAACGAGTACCGCCACCGTCAGGCACACGCTTCTTCTTCTTCGTCGGAGCGAACGCTCTCTCACTCTTTCTCCAACGGCACTAAACTAGCCCGCCGCTCACTGCAATGTCCGGCGAAGCCAAACCAAACCAGAGGCGGTCTACGACGACGGCAAACGGACGACGACGACTGCTCTTGGCAACGGTCCCGGGCAACGGATCCGCTTTGACAAACTCCGCGGCGTCTTTGAGACGTGGTCTCGCTGTGTTTCCTCGTCGTGGTTTGTCTTGTGTCAGCCGTGGCGTGATGGCCTCTCGCTATCTGCTGACCTGGCCTGGTCTGGCCTGTCGACCCTCGATGGAGTCGTCGGGGGTGTGCGACACTTATTTGTATTTCTGAGCAATATGCTCGCCTTGCTGGGCCGGTGGGGAGGGATCTTCACTCCAAGGTCATGCGAGTGATTCGATGCGATGGCGATGGGCGATGCGGTTGCGTGCGATCACGCCCTGCTCCCTGCCCTGCCCTGTCCCGCCCGTCTGTGCCTCCTCCCCATCTTGCCCGTCCATCCATCCACCTCGGTCGCTGCGGCAGTCTGTGCGGACGATCCCTGAGGGATGGGGTCAAGGATCCACGCACAGATGGTTTCCACTTGATGAAAGCAAAAAAGCCCCGACCTTTGACGTGAACGATACCTTGCAACCGTTCCCCGGTGTCTCATGGTTCCGGCCAGGTACTCCGTGTCTGCCCTGCTCTGCCCTGTCGTGTCGTGTCGTATCGTTGTCGTCGGCTCTTTTCATGGCTAAAGGCGGTCTCTTTCATGCACGTTCCTGCAGCCTGTTACGGAAACGCACCAGCTCCGTGGGAATGGGAACCCTTTCGTGCTGCTCCTCCGGCATCAAGACCCGGCCATGCCGGGCCAATGACCAACACCGTGCAAGCCAAGTTACTATTTCTTTCGCGCAACGACACCCGGCTTTCGCCCAAGTGTGCATGAACAAGACGTGTACCCCCCGGCCTACTACGTTCGTACTAACTTGGGTACGAGTACCAAGTCGAACGGTGTTCCCCGGCGAGTGTAACCGAGCCACTCGAGAGGCGGCGCAAATTAGCGGATCAAGATGCCTGCCACACACACACGCACCCCCCTTCCCTCACTCCAGCTCACCTGGGAAAAAAGGCCCAGCCCAGCATCTGAAGCGAACAAGGGTTGTCTTCGTCTTCCGCGGCCGCTCCTCGGTCTGTGATCCGTCATTGGCCTACCTCCCGGGCTCCGGGTCCCCGTCTGTTCCTTTGCGTCGCCTCCAGCCGGTGTGGTCGACCAGACTTGCTATGCTTTGGGAAGCTGCCCCTGCGCAAGTCCGTTCCCCGGGGGGTGGTCTTTTTGCTCCTGTCGTATGCGTGAGTGTGTGTGCAATCGCACGTAGTTGGCAAAGTCCACCAGTGGCGTGGTCGTCGATCCAAGGGGACAGATCCCTTGGGTCCAGTCGGCTGGCTTCCCAGATTCGATCGTCATATATCACGCACGGGTGTGTGTGCCTGTGTGTGCATCTGCGTCTTGTTCCATCCTTCCGTACCACGGGCAAAGGCCTTTTTGACCCATCGGCCTCCCACCCCCGGGCTTGTCAAACCGAAGATCATTTCTCTCGAACGCCTTGTGCCTGGGACGCCCGCCGCCACGCCACTCTTTCGAGAAATGTTGCCCTTCCGAGCCGCCATCTAGAAAGCCACACGACAACAGAAGGAAAGAGGTTACACGGACGGGCGTGTGTGCGTTCCGCGTCGAACCTGAACAGGCACAATGGCGGGCAACTCGACGGCCGCGGACATCGACCCCAACGCCAGCAATGTCCACCTCGTCTACATTCCGGCCGGCGTCTTCGTCGTCATCTGCCCTCTCCTCATGGCGCTGCGCATCTGGGCTCGCCTGAGGAAGGGAGGCAGCATGGGCGCCGACGACTGGACGGCGATAGCGGCTCTCGTGAGTTCCTTGGAAGCGATGGTCTTTGATTTTCGCGTTTCGGCTACTGACCGACCGTCGTTAGATATTCACGCTCCTGACAAGCGGTTTCCTCGTGGCCTGTGAGTCGATACCTGCTTCACCTTGATTTTGCAGCTTTCGACTCGGACACGCACTAAAGCAGACAAACCAGCTTGTCAGTATGGCATGGGAAAGCACTGGGCCACAGTTGTCGGCCACAACAGGTTTGAAACCATGAAGGTATGGATCGAGAGAAAAGGGGCGATTGTTCTGCCACGCCATGGCTCATGCTGATACCCTTTTAGTACTTCTTCATGGCCCAAATCACGTACAAGGTCTCCATCAACCTCGTCAAGTGCTGCATCCTCCTCCTCTATCTTCGCCTCTTCCGCATCGTCCGATGGTTCCGCTGGGCCTGCTGGGCCATCCTCGCCGCCGCCATCATGTACTGCATCGCGTCCGTCGCCGTCACCATCTTCCAGTGCCGGCCCCTGATCCGCGCCTTCGACAAGACCGTCCCCGGCAGCTGCATCGACACGGCCAAGTTCTGGTACGCCAACGCCGGCTTCTCCATCGCTACGGACGTCATCATCCTGCTGCTGCCTATGCCGCTCGTGTGGAAGCTCGAGGTGCCCATCGCGCAAAAGGTCGCCCTCATGGCAGTCTTCGCCATCGGTGTCTTCGTCGTCATCACCTCGTGCCTGCGCGTCACGACGCTCGATATCCTCGCCACGACGCCCGACCAGACGTACGACATCGCAAACGTCATGTGGACCATCGTCGAGCCCAACGTCGCCGTCGTGTGCGCCTGCCTACCGATCCTTCGCCCCTTTATCGTCAAGATCTTCCCCATGCTCCGCAGCAAGGGATACTCGGGCGCCTACGGCACGCCGGGCTACGGCACTGGCAAGTCCCGCGTCACGACCGGCAGCCAGGCGAGGGGCGGCGGCCGCGACTGGGTCGAGCTCGGCGGCGTCAAGTCCCAGGGCGTGCACCTCGCCTCGATCCACCGCCCGAGTTCCAACACGGGCAGCGAGGAGAGCATCCTGGCGGGAACGCAACCAACCAAGGGCCCAGCTGCAGGCGGCCCTGGCATCCAAAAGACGGTGGAGTACAGCATTCAGTATTCAAAACAGTAGATCAGAGCGGTGGATCGGAGCTCGAGCTCAGGAGAGACAGGGGAGGCTGTGTGTGTGTTCGCCACGCTACGAGTATCCTTGTAGTCGTGGCAAGTTCATAATGAGTCTATGAACATCATGGTTGGGTTACGATAGTTGACGGCCCAACGGATGTGTTGGAATATGTGCCCTTCAGAGTTCAGACCTTTATAGATGTGTAAATTTAGCGAATCGAGCAATTAGACTGGCGTTTAAATGGACAGTTTGGTGTCGTTTGTTCAATTCAAGATTGCGAAGAGCAAGCGCACAACAAACCCGACGCGTCATCTAGGGCAAAGCCTGTGTTTTTTCAGCTACATACCGTAAGACTAGCCTTCTGTTTGACTGTGTGAAGACTGCGGGTAGCTTGGGTTCTTGGTGCCAGCACTATATTACTGATGTGTTGATTGGGCCTCGGTTTGCATCCGTCTGAACTGCTCTTAGACCAGTCCGTGTCGGTGCTAGTGTCGATAGCACGGCTTACTTCTACATATTCCTCGAACCATGACGCCAACATCATGAGCGGTCGCACTGAATGTCGAAGCCCTCCGTTTGGGCTCACCTTCAGACGTGTTTTCTCCGATTCAGCGTTCATTGGTCTGTTGGCGCTGTTTGCTGCGCCCCTTGCAGCCTTTGTCATTACCAACGAGCCCCTGAACCTTGAGAGCTGACCGTCATCCACATCCTCCGATACCCGAACAAAGACAAGAATTTCTCGCCTTCTGCCGAGGCACAACTCGAATATATTATCCCCGATCTTTGGTCTGGACTCCAGGGCTCCATTCTTATACAAGCAACATCCTGGCTGAGATTTTCTCATGAGTAGAAGGCCACCAAGACAGCCAGTCACGAAAAAGGCTGGCCGTGTTTCACTGCACGTGTGTGCTCTCGTCTCTCATCCAACTCATCGGACCAAAGGAGTTTGAGTACGGACACGTTCCGTGAATGAGGCTCTGAGCGTAATGGGGCCGGCAAACATAACGTTGACCTGTGATTGGGAGCGCGGAAACACCACGGCAAGATTACAGTCGCTTGTGAAGCGGTGGTTCTTGCTGCTTCCATTGTTCACTGTTTAAATCATGAATAATCCATAAGCCGTGCAGCCTTTCTTTCGCGGCCTTCAGATATTCTCAATAAACTCCCTCTTTCCTTCTTCAAGAAGGGAAGTGCTGTAATCACATCAGCGATATTTCACCAGTTTCAACCAGCTACAGGCATCAAGGGCACGAGCAATACATTCCCTCAACGGCCATGCATGAGGCTGGCCATCGGTCTCTCGCTCATCAACGCGACCGTTTGCGCCACTGCAAGTCACCATGGCGATGCCCTCATGCAACCGGGACCCGCACTTCTCAGACCCGTCGTCGACCCCGTCCCTAGGCCAGCCCCTCAACTCTCCCTACATCATCAAGCCACGCGCACGGCACACGCACACCGTCATACTTCTCCACGACGTCGCCTCCAACGGCCGCATCTTCAGCCACGATCTCCTCACCACGGGCAAGACATCCGCGGGCAAGACGCTCGACTACCTATTCCCCGGCGTGCGATGGGTCTTTCCCTCAGCACCGCGGCGACCCTGCCACGCGCTTGAGCACGCCAGGATCGCGGCATGGTTCGACGTCGTCAACCTCAAGGACCCGAGTCTGCGGCAGGAGACGCAGAGAAAGGGTCTCTGCACATCGGCGAGGGAGATGTTCACCATCATGGGCTGGGAGCTGAAGCTCGTGGCGCCGGACAAGGTGGTTCTCGGCGGCATGGGCCAGGGCTGTGCCATGGCGCTCGCGATCCTGCTCAGCCTTGGCCACAAAATTGGCGGCGTGATCGGAATGAGCGGCTTCCTCCCCTTCCAGTTCGAGCTCGAGATGAACACGGCCGAAGACTCGTCGAGCGAGAGCGAGAGCCAGACCAGTGTCCAAAGCGGCGCTCGCAGCGCGCGCGGCAGCAACTCGTCCATGACGTCCCACGATCCAGCCGTCAAAGCGCACATATTCCAGCGCTCACTGCTTCAGCTCGCCAGCGCCGAGCATCCCACGAAAGACGAGACCTCCTACGGGACGCCCGTGCTGCTTGGCCACGGCGCCGTGGACGACGTACTGCGTTTCGCATTTGGTGAGCAGGCTGCCCTAGCGCTGGGGACCGCCGAATATGAGGTCGACTTCAAGCGGTACGAGGACCACGGCCACGGATACAAGGTACCGGAACAGATTGACGACATCGTCGAGTTTATGCGAAGGCGTGTAGGCATTGAGCCTCGGGGTGACAGCGATTGAGGGGTCGTGGTGTAATCCTCTCGTGCGGGGCTGACGAGATGCGGACTGTAATACATGGACGCAAGCAGAAAGAGCTGTTCAAAAGCCGATTAAATAAGCCTGTAAATGCAAATGGGTATATCCAAACTTCTCAGCCTCCGGGGCTTCCTCGCGCCTTTCTCCGAAAACCCCAACGAATGACATGTCGATCACTGGTCGCTTGGCCGTCTTGGCAATGCGAAGCTCTCAACCGGTGACGCTGGGTACGCTTCTCTAATGAACTTGTCTGCCTCATTTATGATGCGCAGGCTTTGGTCAACGCTTGGGGATCGTGGCCCGCCCATCAGTCGCTGCCACCCTTGGAGAAGCCTCTTGAGATGTTCGCCCGCATGAAGGACCTCTGGCCCAATGAGATCCTTAAGTGACGGAACGCGGCAGGCTGCTAGAAGAACAAGCATGGCGCATGCCATTCTTGCATATCGCTGATCAGTCCCAGCACGTGGTTCGCAGATATGAGGACTTACGAAAGGGAGCATATCCATGTGTCAACAAGAACCGTCTGCGGGAACCCTCTGAGGTTGAGTACATGCATTAAGCAAGCGTCGAGGCAGGCCTTGCAGCTCTTTCTCGCCTCTTTGCTCGGAGCACTTGCACTCAAGTCATCGTTGCCACCACGACTGCCGCTTAACAGCCACATCAGGTACGGCCTGTATATGACGCTGCGACATGTGAGATATCTCTGCCTGAGGAATCCGCTGGCAGCGTTGGTGGTTGGCGCCGTGTCAATCGTGAACGCGAAAGACGTGGGCAGAAGGTTGCGCCATTCGTCCAATTGGTGTTGCAGCTCAGCAACGATGAACGGAAATCGAGCAGTGTCGAGAGCCGCTCCGTTACCACTCGCGTAGAGAAGATGATGTACGCGATTTAGAAGCCGGCGCATGCTGATACACGCAAGGAAGTACAGGGAAGACTGCTCCTCTTCGTGTTGCAGCGGGTGGGTGTTGTACGAGCCGGGAAGAGGAACAGACGACTCGATGCGAGAAATGCCCGAGACGGGACTGGCAGAGAGCTCCGCAATGTAATCGCTTCGAGCTGTCAGTGGAAGTCTAAAAGAGTCTTGCGTGTGTATCACCTCTCTAGTATGTAGCAGGACCAAAAGATCCGCCTCGTTCGCTCGCGGTCCTCGTGTGTGTCGGCGTCCGGAGGATACGAGAGGAGCATCATGCACTTCGCCGCAGTGGCGCCAATGTACTCCCAAGCCTGGAGTGGCCGTGTGAGGAAGGCAAAGTATAGACTGATAGGCTGTCAGCTCTGTACTTGTCTCTCCCCTTTATGTGACCCTGAGATGGATTACTCACGCAACGAAAAAGAGGCATTGCGCAGAGACCGAGCTCACGCTGAGATGCGCATTATAGGCCTTCTTGAGCGCCGCATCAAAGTACACGTCGCCCATCTGCCGTCTCGACGTCCGCCACCGCTGCTCTTGGTCCGTTAGCTCCGCATGTGCCTCGAGCCCAGAAGTGGCCTGGCTGGCACAGCCCAATGCCATGGTCAGGAGGGAAATTGACGCTTCAATGCTGTCCTCGGATGTGACACCAGAGTTGAGCACCGCTCTGACCCTGTCTAGCTGACTCTGAGACATGGTCGGGTACCAAAAGTTGACGCTCTGCTGAAACGAATCCAGAATGGAATCTACATCTTCGACAGTAACGTAAGGATATACAGTTGCGACTTTCATCGACAAGGCAGGGCGTGACTGTTCCAGCTGAAAGATCGACGTGTAGTCGTTTCGCAGTGAGGGGAAGCCATCGAAGTGATGCCACTGGAGCACCGACTCGGTCGTTGACGTGTGCATAGAATCGAGGACGGCATTCTCAAAGGCGCCGTTAGCCCCTTTGTCAGGGCGTGTTTCGCTGATGGGTGTTTGGGTCTGAGGGTGGGAGACGCGTGACGACCCCGTCTCAGTGATTGGTGGTGAGTCGACGTAGGAGCTTGTGGTGGGATGAGCCACAGACGAGCTGGATGAAGCCTGTCGCCCTGCAAACGCTGAATAGGCAGTCTGTCGGCGGTTCGGTTAGCCTGACACGAGTGGGTTTGCCTTCATGGGGCCCACTGACGATCGTCGAGTTGAGCTCTCGCAGGGTTTGTTCGATGCGTAATACGCCGTCTAAGACGAGATCTGTCTTTCCACGCCTTGCCTACAGAGTCAGTCACGGCTAGCAAGAGGTGTCCAAGCCTGTTGGGGATACCCACGAGCTCGCCTCGGACCCGTACGCGCAGTCCTGATCGGATGCAGCGCACGTTGCGCAGGGGCGGTTGCCGTCACACCTGGCAGACCGTCAGTGAAGTGTCTTACTCAAGCCATTGAGAGATGACCATGAGGCATACCTGATCTTGCGGCTCCGGCAGATATCGCACTGATATAACAGCCAGTCAGTGGGGTTCATCAGTCACGGAAGGGGACCCTGTGAGCCAGGACAGAATTCCAGGAGTGAGAGGCCCCTGAAGCACCAGGTCAAGTGCGCTCACAAGTGGCAACGTACCGCATGTGAGGTCCTCAAGCGCTTTCTGGCCGGCTCATTCGGCGGTGACCACGCTGGAGCCCGTGGTTCTGCCATGTTTCGTGGCCCTGCCAACACGAACTCTTATCGCTTCGAGGGCTTTGTGACTCGCTCCGATCCGGGCCGAGGGTGCGAGAGGAGGATTATTTGGCGTTGGCGGAGAACCTGGGCGACCACGCAGGTCATGCGGGGCAGAGCGTTTAGTGTACGTTGGGGGAGGGAAGGAGGGATCCACGCGGCTGCACCTGGCCAGAAAATGGCATGGGGCCAGCGACGAGCGATCGGGATTCTGGAGTACTGGGGTCTGCCAGGCTTCCCCTGCAGCCACAATCGAAGCCATGCTCTTGGTTGATCAAGGAAACGAATTGATGGGATCATTGTCGTTGACGCGGTACAACATCGCTTGCGTTTTCATCAAACGGCAGAGCGTCGGCTAGTGCGCAAACGTGCAGAAGTTTTGAGCACCCACATTCCTCTCCAGATACATGCGGCCATGAGCTGATCTCGTTGTACGATGAAAATTTCACCAATACTCTGTCGCGGGCCAAGATATTGCCTGCAAGTTTGCCAATTTTGCGTATTACGAAAGGGTGGTATGCTCCACGCGCACCAATGCCATCCTTGCGCAGCCGGCAGGCGCCCTTTAAAAGCCCCAGTATGTCTGTCGATTATGTCGACCGCCGGACTGGCCAAGCCCGCAGGCAAGAATCCAAGAAGCTCACATCTGGGGTCTCCAAGATCGCCCGGCTGCACTGTGACAAGATGAGATGCCCCATTAAACATCCTCCACTTCCTTGCCCTGATCCTTGACCTGGAGAGTGTTCATGACCGTTGTGGCGCTCCGCTTCTCCAAACTCTTCTTGACCGGATTCGGCGCCTCAAACACCTCTGCAAGCTCCTCCAGAGTACGATCCTTGGTTTCAGGGAAGAAAAAGTACATGAACACAGCCTCAAACAAGTCCCAAAACACAAACACCAGGTAGAACTTGTAGCCAATCTTGTCGAACGCCGGACCGCTGCTGTACTGGATGACAGTTGAGGCGGCCGAACTGGCAAAATTGCCGATTGCCGTTCCCTTTGCACGAGTCGCCGTTGGCTGTGTCTCGGCAATGTACATAGACTGCAGCGGGGTCCAGCCAAACGAAAAGACGATGCCGAATATGAAGATGAACGCGACAGTGCTGTTGGCGGCAGCCGTGTTGTCGGGCTGGTCAAGTGAGACCTTGCTCGTCCCCGTCATGACTGCAAAGCAGCACGAGCAGAATACGATCGAGTATAGGAGTAAGGGTCGGCGGCCGATGACATCCGTGAGGCGAGCACCCAAGATGGCGCCTAGAAAGCTGAGCACCGGATTAACGCCGTTCAGCGCCAATACCTTGTGCTCGTCCGTGATGCCAGCGTTCTTGAGCATGGCGGGGAGATAGTAAGAGCTCAAGCTGTTGCCGCTAATCTGGCCAAAAATTGCCATGCCCAGGACGCAAATCAGGCGGCGGCGAGCGCTGTGCGTGTTCCAGAGCTCGTGGTAGTCCCACCACTTCTTGTCAGACGCCTCGGCCGAGATCTGCTGGGACATCTCGTGCAGTTGGAGCTGCACCAAAGGATGCTTCTCATCGCCTTCTCCATGGTATGTCGCGAGGACCTTGGCGGCATCGGCGTGTCGGTCTTGGGCCATGAGCCATCGAGGAGACTCCGGAAGCCAAAAGGTTCCCAACACGACGATGCCAGATGTAATCATCTGGCACCAGATGGGGATGCGCCAAGCGGAGTTGCTGTCCAGGTAGCTACAGCCGTAGACGACCCAGCTTGCAATGATACTGCCAATGTACCAAGTGCAATTGTACAGTCCAGTGAGCGTGCCGCGCCATCGCGGGTGCGCCATCTCGCTCACGTAGCATGGCGCCGACACGCAGCAGAAGCTGACGCCGAACCCGAGGACAAATCGGCCGCCTAAGAATTGGCCACGGCTATGGCAGGGGGCCTGCACGCACGTGCCGATGATGACGATAGCCGCGCCAGTTATCATGCCCCATCGGCGTCCGAAGTAGTCGTTGACCGGGCCGGTGAAGAAAACAGCGGCCACGGAGCCGATGTTATACATTGCAAAGACCAGTCCGGTGCTTGAATCGGCCACTTGCCTGAAAGGGCAATCAGTACTGGACAGCGAACGAGCAAATGCCTTCGATGTAGAGCAACTCACATGCCGAAGAACTTTTGGTAGGAGGTCATGCCGTTCAGGCCGCCCATAAGTGAACCATCGTACCCGTTCTGCAGGCCATGTCAGCCAGGGTGCTCATCCGCATCAGGTCAATGGGGAAACTTTGGCTTACAAGGCAGCCGCACAAATAGGCGCAGGCTAGGACGAGGTAGAGGCGGAACATGGACGGAGTCCATGGGGACGACTTCCTTTCCTCGGCCGCGTGGGCCAGCTGGACCGCCGTGCCAACATCTGGGACGGTATCGCTGTGGTCCACAGTGGCCTCTCTCTTCTCTGACAGAGAAGCAGTCATACTGACAGGACAATGGGCGCCGAGTGCAGGCTTTGCACGGGATTGACAGACAAAGGCCAATAGTGACGGCCGAGAGCGAGCGACACTGCTTCAGGTGCCGAATTGGATATCCCTGGTGTCGCTGTCGGGATCCCTGGGAGTCTTTGAGTCTTTATACCCGTGCGTACATGTCCTCAAAGATCGAGCATCATGCGACAGGCCAGGCTTGCAGGCGACCGCGGCTTTGGTGAGGGAGGGGGCAGAGATGGGCCAGGGCAAGTACCGGCCGTAGGCACGGAATCAAGCCAGAGTCATTCAAGCGAGGCCATCTTGGACGACGGGACAGACTTCCGGGGGGGAGTTGTCTCCGGCACGTTTGGCCGTATTGGGGGCACCATGACAGGGGTCCACCGGGGGTAGCTGGCTGTGGCGCTCTGCTCGAGGTGCGCCAGGCGCCGGTCCCGCTCGACTGCCTCGTGATGGCTGAGGGAAACCGGCCACCTGGGTTCTGGTCAACAACACGCCACGTCTCGGCAGCGTTGGCTGGGGAGAGAAAAGCTGGGGTACCAGGGTAAGCCGGGTAAGTGGCGGACGGGTGAAGTGAAGCGTGCGAAGCGTTCGAAGCGTGTGGGGGAGCCGATCGGCTGTTTCCATTTCATTGCTGAGGAGGAATGGAGGATTGGGGAACAAGCCTTTCGAGCCTATGGTGGGCACTGCCGCTCCTGCAGACTGCTGAGTGATGAGGCACCTTCCATGCCCTGCCGCTTCGGGGTGCATGGAGTGGCTGCCTCGCAGTGTGCAAAGTCGTCGTTAGTGGCCAGTCTTTGCCCCCTGTGCCCTGAAGCCCTCGGCTCCGGCTTCCCCGACGCCAAGGGTCGCCTCCAATTCCCCGCACGCCACCATTCTGCACACCATTCTGCACCAACTTCACCCGCAGCGGCATCGGCGTCGGACAGCTCAATTGGTGCGCTTCCCCAGGGGGAACCACGGACCCTTCCCAATGGCCACGCCAATTCCTCACGCTGCCCACTGCTCAGGCGACCAACGCGCTGACACAACAAACTATTGCCTCCACGCCACCCTTTGAAAGCATAATCGAGACCGTCACCATTTGCTTCTACGTTGCGGCCCGTGGCGGATCGTGACCGACTCGATGGCAGTTCGGGTTCCGACATCCCCGTGGATTCCAAGGGCTCATCCGGCCTCTTCCCCGAGAAGCTCTGTCGAGACCGCCAGCTCCATGTGGGGTGCGGTGGCGGCATCTGGAATTAACCGTGGCATGATGAGTGCCATGGCCACTAGCAGGCGGCACTCGAATCATCCTTGTGTACGCGCGGGCTGTTGTGCAACTCCACCGACCGTTGAAGGCTCCCGTACGGGTTACCCTCTCGGGGATGCGGCTTGCGCCGAAGGTTGAAAAGGCATCTCCCACCAGATGTTCTCAGAACTCTTTTGCTCCTCACTGCCAATTTGCCTCGACTGCTGGCATCGACCGTTTCCCTAAGCGCCAATGTCGTCCTCCAAAGAAACAGTCGTCGTGCGCCCGAAAGGGATCCCTCCTCGCGAGGATGACGCCCGACCGGATTACTGCAACGAGGCAGTTTTTCGCAGAAACTGCCTCCCCACGCGTTCGTACTACATCCCGGAATCCTCAGTTGAGCTCAATGGCACCTGGGATTTCCACCTGTCGTCGACCGCCGCCGGTGCGCCCGACCCGACCGACTCTGACATCGTGGACTGGAAGCCTCTCGCGGTCCCCGGCCACTGGCAGCTCCAGGGATACGGAAAGCCGTGGTACACAAACACCCAGTTTCCCATTCCCGTCTGCCCGCCATATGTGCCGACGGAGAACCCCACGGGCGTCTACCGCCGAAGCTTCCAACCACCCGCAGGCTGGCCCCGTGATTCCCAGCTGCGGCTGCGCTTCGACGGCGTCGACAGCGCTTACCACGTCTACGTCAATGGAGCTCTAGTCGGCTACGCGCAAGGCTCGCGCAACCCCGCTGAGTTTGACATTGGCAAATACGTGGATCGCGATGGGCCCAACGAGTTGTTTGTCAAAGTCTATCAGTGGTGTGATGGTACCTATATTGAGGATCAAGACCAGTGGTGGCTCTCAGGTACGTGCTCTGTCAATATCCTTGGGTGCATTCAGCTAACACTGTCTAGGCATCTTCCGCGACGTCCATCTCATCTCTTTCTCGGAGAGCTTGAGGATTGAGGACTGGTTCCTGAGAACTGAGCTCGACGCCGAGTATAAAGACGCCACTCTGCGGGCGGCCGTCGACGTGCAGACACACAACGATGCAAAGCTCATGTTGACGCTATCTGAGCTTCAAGAGAACGGTGGCGCTGTGATAGGGTCCGTCGAGGCCGCGATCAGCCCCAACGACACAAAGGTCGACCTCAGCCTGCCCGTTTCTAACCCTCAAAAGTGGACTGCAGAGACGCCCAATTTGTATTGTGTCGAGCTCTCTTTGAACAGTGACAGTGGTCTCCCGTGCGCTGTCAAGCAGCGATTGGGATTCCGCAAGGTTGAGATCCTCGACGGTCTCTTGACTGTCAATGGTACCCCCATCCAACTTCGTGGTGTCAATCGACACGAGCACCATCCGCTGCACGGCCGTGCTGTACCTATGGACTTTGCGAGACAGGACCTTCTTCTCATGAAACAGTACAACGTCAACGCCCTGCGATGCTCCCACCAGCCCAACAACCCCAAGCTCCTTGACTTGTGCGACGAGATTGGCCTATGGGTCATGGACGAGGCGGACCTGGAATGCCACGGCTTCTATGATGCCGTGGCACGACCGCAGGACATCGCAGAGGAGATTGACTACGAAGAGCGCAAAAAGTTTACATTCCCGCAGGCCGCCAAGTACACCACAGACAACCCGTCATGGGAGGCGGCTTACGTGGATCGTGCTCGCTCGCTGGTCCAGCGGGACAAGAATCACCCAAGCATCATCATTTGGAGCCTGGGCAACGAATCCTTCTATGGCTGCAATCACAAGGCCATGTACAAGTACATCAAAGCGTTTGATCCAGAGCGGCCCATTCACTACGAAGGCGACGTTCACGCCGAGACGGCGGACATGTATAGCTACATGTATCCCCCGATGGACCGCCTTATTAAGCTTGTGGAAGAAGAGGGCGTCGAGAACGGCAAGTTCACCAAACCAATGATTCTGTGTGAGTATGCCCATGCCATGGGTAATGGCCCAGGCGGATTGGAGGATTATGAGAAGGCCTTCACCGATTACCCTCGTCTCCAAGGCGGCTTCATCTGGGAGTGGGCCAACCATGGCCTGTGGAAAGAGAACGATGGAGGAGATGGCGGGTACTATGCCTACGGTGGCGACTTTGGCGACACTCCCAACGACAGCACTTTCGTCATGGACGGCCTTCTCAACAGTTTGCACCAGCCTATGCCAGGGATGGATGAGCTGAGAGTGGTAAACCAACCAGTCCTTTTCGAGGTCGTCGACGGCCAGCTCATCGTGGAGAACCGATATAACTTCCTGGAATTGGACGGCCATACGCTCACATATACGGTGAGATATTTTGACGACGGGTAAGCTCACACGTTTCGCTCGAGCTCGCAGGTGACTTGGTATTGACATGAGTACAGCGAGACCGTGACCAGCAGTGGAGAACTAAGCCTCCCCGGCGTCAGGCCGGGAGCAAAGGCGCCGGTGACGGAGCTCCAGAAGCTCATGCCAAACAATTCAAGCACCGGACGGGATGCCTACCTGTCTCTGTCAGTCACATTGGCGAAGCCAACACTTTGGTCATCGCCTGATCATGAAGTTGCCTCGTTCGAGTATCAGCTTGCCTCTTCGCAAAGTGTCCCTCGCAATGTCCGTCCCACCCTCAATGGGAATTCTCATGGTGTTCCTCGAGAGCTGTCCGTGTTTGAGTCTCGGGAGAGCACGATAATTAGCGGAGACGGCTTCGAGTTCTCTTTTGACAGCGCTCGGGGTGGGCTCAGGAGCTGGATCTCAAAGCAGCGGACCCTGCTTGAGCCTGACCCTGAAAATGGGGCGGCGCTATATCCCTCCTTCTGGAGACCGGCTACGGACAATGACGTACCGCTGTCCCTACCCTACTGGAAGCGATTCGGGCTTGACCAGTTGACAAGTCAGCTTCGATCCATGAGCGTCGACAAGGCCGATCCCCACGCGATCGTTGTCAGGGCGCATACATTTTTCTCTGCCCCCGTGCTTGCCTGGGGCTGGGACTGCGAGATGGAGTACACCATAAAGTCAGACGGTTCATTGAGGGCCTATGCCACTCGTATGACCCCGTCGGGATACAAGCCAACACACGTCCCCCGAATCGGCTTCAACCTGCGCCTCAGCAAGGCTCTTTCCGAGGTCCAATGGTTCGGCCACGGGCCTGGGGAAAGCTACCCTGACAAGAACGCCGCAGCGCGTACCAATATCTGGAAACAGTCCGTGCCCCAGATGCAGGTGTCCTACGACGTTCCCCAGGAGAACGGCAATCGCGGTCGCACCCGCTGGGTTGAGGTCACGGAACCCGGAGAGTCGTTGACGGGCATCCGAGCGATTCGCATCGGTGACGAATCCTTCTTCGACTTTGCTGCCTCACACCATAGTGCGCAGACTATTCAGAACGCGAAGCACCCCGATGATCTCGTCGAGGACGACGCAACACTGCTCCGGCTGGACGCCAAGGTTGCGGGTGTGGGCACAGCGGCCTGCGGGCCAGGGGTGCGCGAGGATCTCTTGGTCAAGTGCGAGGAAATTAGCTTCGGGTTTGAGCTCAGGAGTCTCTGACCTGCGAGTCGCGGGCCAAGTTGCATTGACAGGACGGCTGGCGGCGAAGCGAACGGCCCGAGGGTGTAACTGCTGGTGTTGTATCCTGATACATGTCTGGGTCGTTATGTCATAGTCCTCCGCTCAAGGACGAATAGATTCATATTTATATGAGGCCCTCCGAGGTGTTGCACAGTGGCTGCCACGATCATTTACTTTGTTTTCCGTTAGAAACCTGCCGTATGACTGTGCGGATGAATCCATTTCAACTTTTAGTTGAGTGCCGGTGTAGGGTAGCCAGGCCCAAATGTACAACACCGCGATAAGATAAGCCACGGTAGCAGCGTCATAAGCTTGAGGTTTGATGGTGGGGCCTTGCCGGTTGACTCAACTCAAGTTACTCAACACTCGAAGTCCCAATTCCGAGGCGCTTAAATTGCTCTGAGTGCGGTCCCCCGACTCATTATTGCGAGGTCCAGTGGGATCTATCAACAACTCAGACTGAGACGCGCTGAAGCATCCGCGATGGCGAGCCGCAACGAGGAGCTCCTGAAACGACCGCTTTACGGTAACGCGACCTGCCCCGCCATGGCTGAGGAATCACACTGACGGCCGCGCAGTCTACGACCTGCCGGGAGAGGTCCTGGAGACGCTGACGCTCAAGGCCGACTCAGACTCAGTAGTCGTGCCCGAGCCGGAAGTGTCGCGCTCACCAAAGGACAAGAGCCCAAACGCCTCTACCGATAACCTCGTCGGCTCGCAGGCCTGCTCACTCTGCGGGCTGACGTTTGCCACCCTGCTGGACCAGCGCAGCCACCTCAAGTCGGACCTGCACCACTACAACCTCAAGCAGAAGCTTCGCGGCCTGAAGCCCGTCTCGGAGACTGAGTTTGAGAAGCTGATAGGCGACCTGGACGAGTCCCTGTCCGGGTCCGATTCCGATGACTCCGAAGACGAGGATGAGGATGGGCGGCAGGAGTCTACGCTGACGGCGCTGCTCAAGAGGCAGGCGAAGCTGGCTGACAAGAGGGGTGACGCGGAGGACGATGAGAATGATGATGAAAACGCAATGCGCCGCCGGAACAAGTCCAAGCCACCTCTCATATGGTTCAGCTCACCAGTCCTGCCCGAGAAGTCGTATTTCGGGCTCTACCGGGCAATCCTGACGGGGCAAGAGCTACGAAACACAGATCTGGTCGACGTGCTACGAAAGAAACAGGTTGAGCCCATATCCGTACCGAAGCCGGCCAAGGATGGAACTCTGCCGCCCATAGCCTACAAGGGGCCTCACATCTTCTTGTGCATGATCGGCGGCGGCCACTTTGCCGCCATGGTCGTCTCCCTCGCGCCTCGGCCATCCAAGTCGGGCACCACCATGAACCGCGAAGCCACCGTCTTGGCCCACAAGACGTTCCACCGATACACGACCAGGCGGAAGCAAGGCGGCTCGCAGTCCGCAAACGACAGCGCCAAAGGCGCCGCGCATTCTGCCGGTTCAAGCTTGCGCAGGTACAACGAGCAAGCTCTAGTCGCCGACGTGAGGGCTCTCCTGCACGACTGGAAGGCTCTCCTGGATACGTCTGAGCTGCTCTTCATCCGCGCCACGGGGACGACGAACCGCAGGACGTTGTTTGGGCCCTACGAGGGCCAGGTAATCCAGCACAACGACACGCGCATACGCGGCTTCCCATTCAGCACGAGGAGAGCCACGCAGAATGAGCTCATGCGATCGTTCATCGAGCTCACGCGCCTCAAAGTCCGAGAGATTGACCCGGAGAAGGAGGCCAAGGAGACGGAGCCGGCCGCGACTCCGACAAAAGCAGCCAGCCCAAAGCCATCGAAACCAAAGCTATCGGAAGAGGAAGAGACGGCATTGCTGCACACCTCCCAGCTACAAGCATTCATCCGAAGATCAAAACTACCCGCACTCCTCTCTTACCTCACCAACAACGGCCTGACCGCAGACTTCGAGTTCCAGCCCAAGGAGCAGAACCACCACGCGCCCCGGCCGCTGCACCTCGCCGCCGCGCAAAATTCGTCTCCGCTCGTCCTCGGCCTCTTGACCAGGGGAGGCGCAAACCCGCTGCTCAAGAACGCCGAGGGCAAGACGCCGTTTGAGCTCGCCGGCGACCGGTCCACGCGCGACGCCTTCCGCGTTGCCCGATCCGAGCTCGGCGAGGGGAAGTGGGCGTGGGACGACGCCAAGGTCCCCGTCGCAATGACCAAGGCGGAGGCGGAGAAGCGCGACGAGCGGGAGAAGCAGGACGCGGAGCGCAAGGAGGCGGACCGGCGGAAGGCCGAGGAGGAGCGGCTGCGTAAGGAGGGGCCGCAGGTTGTTGATAGTAAGACGACTCGCGGGGGCACGACCCTGGCCGCTGGAATGGCGAAGACGGCGCAGGAGAAGAGAGAAGATGAGGCGAGGGGTCTCACGCCGGAGATGAGGATGAAGCTGGAAAGAGAGAGGAGAGCCAGGGCGGCGGAAGAGCGACTGCGGAGGATGAAGGGCGGGGCGTAAAACGTCGCTTTCTCTGTCCATAGCCGAAAGAATGAAGCATGAGATATCCAGGCAAACTGTGACTCGTCGCGATACTTTCTCCACGGTTATTAACCGCAATGTGCGGCCGTTGTAGTGACAATCATGCCCAGCACAGGTCTTTAGAAGCGTCGAAGCCGTCCCTCATAACACAGCCAACCTATCTCACCGTATCAACTAGACGGCAGAACCACACATCAGACGAACATGAAGCTGCGCGCCGAATATTCTGTCCCCAGTCCGCAATGTAACCCAGCTAGAGCCGCCATTCGGGACCAATAGCCAAATACGACAAATTTGTTGCCAGTCTGCGACACATCTCTTACAACTCGGACTTCTGTAGCGGTGAGCTACATCACGGCGACGTGACACACTCAGTCAGGTCAGGCACCTACGACGATGTGCCTGCATAGCAGTGCTGACAAGGCATGAGCTAGGGTCATCACTGTCTCGACGAGATTCGCGCGCGCTGTTCTTATCGTTTTAAGATGCGAAGTGTACATGTGTACAGCCATCGATAAGTCCGATGTGACTATGCGAGCTCGCTGTCTACGCAAAAAGTTGAAAAGCTCATGTGCACACTGAAAGACGACAACATACTCTGTAACCGAACACCAAAGGCGGCCAGACGCCCCTCAAACTCCGACATGTCGATGCATCCGACACTCTACAGCTTGGCGCCGTTCTTCTTCCGCCGCTGGGCCTCCTTGTCTTTGAGGAGCCGACGCAGGATCTTGCCACTGGGACTCTTCGGGATGGCGTCGATAAACTCGACGCCGCCCTTGAGCCACTTGTGTCGTGCCTTGTGATCCTCGACGTGCTTGCAAATCGCAGCGATAACGTCAGCATCCGAGGTGTTGCCCACGGCGGCCGTCGCCTTGACAACATATGCCTTGGGGACCTCGCCCGCCCAGTCGTCAGGAATAGGGATGACGGTGCAGTCGGAGACGAAGGGGTGTGCGAGAAGATGCGCTTCAAGCTCTGCCGGCGCAACTTGATGACCCTGACATGACCCGTCAAATTAGCGTCGTTGAGATTTGTTTGCGGCTCAAAGGAGCGAGTCCATACCTTGACTTTGATGAGCTCCTTTATGCGATCTGTAACAACAAAGTGCTCGTTCCCGTTTTTCGACTTGCGCACGAGAACTTCGTCACCCGTCTTGAGCCACCGCCCATCGTCATCCCAAACGAACGTTTCCGCGTTGGCCTTTTCGTTGTTGAGATAGCCGAGAACGACTGACGGCGACTGGACGAGCAGCTCGCCGCGAGTCTCGTGCTCCGTAACCTCCTTGCCCTCGGCGTCAATGATCTTGGCAATACAGCCCGGAACGAGTGGCCCGGATGAGCCGAACAGCGTGTCGGTCTCGATAGTGTTGAGGATAGAGGGCGACGCTTCCGTCATGCCTATGTTGACACATGTTAGCCACGGAGGGCACGGCGTGAATACTTGGTCACGCGGGGAAGACTTGCCATAGCCTTGGCCGATGCGCCAGCTCGGATACCGTTTCAGCAAGTCATCAATGACTTCCGAGCCCAACGGGGCAGCGCCGCTAAACACCCAACGCACGCTGCTCAGGTCGTACTTATCGCACTTTTCCCGGTTGGAGATCATCTGAATGAGCATGGGCGGGACGACGCTCAGCTGCTCGATCCGGTAGTTTTGTACGGCCGCAAGCACGCTAGTGAGATCGAACTTGGGGAGCACGACAACTTGGTCGCCACGGAAGTGGCCCACAAGCCCGACAAGCACGAGCCCGTAGATATGACTGAAGGGTAGGACACCGAGGGTCGTCTGCGTCTGGAGGCCGATCTGGTCGCGCGCCACGGAGTCGGACGCGCAGATTTGGAGAACGTTGGCAATGACGTTGCGGTGAGAGATCATTACGGCTTTCTAACGAGAGTAAGATGGAGCCCACATAGTCAACCGAAGGGTGCTGCTACTTACGGGCAAGCCTGAGGTGCCGCTTGAGTAGCTCAAGTACGCTGTCTGCCGCGCGCCTTGACCCTTTGACCACTTGAGTGGCGACAAAGCAGGTAGCGCCTTGCCCTCCTCGATAAGGTCCTCAATAGTTGCATGGGACACATTATGAGGGACGTTGGGGACCGGTAGAATAAAAATTCGGTCGAGGGGCAAGCCAGCGCCTTCAGCGGCCTTGAGGGCGTTTTCAAGAAGCGGGATGCAGGTGAAGAGAGCTTTGGCGCCGGATGTGCGCAGCTGATGCTCGAGCTCCTGGTGCGAGTAGGCAGCGCTGGCAGGAGTGACAACGCCAGAGAGACGGTGGACGGCGTGAGTGAACGGGATGTAGTCGATCTGGTCGATGGCTTGTCAGCTTATTTCTCCGGCCAGACTGATAAGCGGGCCAACGCACCGTGTTCAGAGAGTACAATGCGACGACGCGATCCCACTCGGTACCTTCATGGGGGTTGAAGCCTAAGCGCTTGCCAATGGCGCGAGAGAGATGGTCGACTCGCTCGGCGACTTGGGCGCTGCTGCGCGTGGTACCGGTAAGGCCACATGTGTACGGCGGCCGCGAGAGAGCGAAAAGTCGGCGGCCATACTTCTCGGAGTTGACAAATTCCTCGACGGTAATGGAGTCGGGAGGGACTGCAGCTGGTCAGTTGTCTGGGCGAAACGGCCGATCGTTCACGGCATTGGAGGCGGCGCACGGCGCACGCACCTGGCAGCTTGGGAGACCAAGGCGGGGGTAGGAAGACCATGGTGAACGAGGCGGGAGAAGAACGCGACTCGTGTCAGGGTTGCTCTGTCGTCCCAGTAGAAGGTGTTGCGGTGAGGCTCTGGTCGTTGTTGGTTCGCAGGACGCAGGGCCGCACAATCTAGGAATCCGGGGCAAGGTCGGAGGTGTCGCGGGGCCTGGGGGTGGTCAAATATGAAATCGACGCGCCGAATGGCGGGATGACGAGCCGGCCTCGGGCTCGGTAGGTCCAGGGCAAGATGCACGACGTAGCCACCCAGTTCAGGCAGTGGAGGACCCCGGTCCTTGGTTGCTTGCTTGAATGCTTGCCCGTGCAGGCAACGCAGGGCAGCACCTCACCCAACTTGGACCCGATCCGAGGGCCGAGGGGCCTCCCCACCTTCTCCGCGATTGTCCTGGGACTGGCCCCGACCACAATGGCCGCTTGCTATTTGCCTGCGTTATTGCCGGGCAAGCCAAATCGTGGGTGGCCGACGCGAATGGGCGGGTGGGCTTCCAGGGGCGACTCCACTCGAGGGCGCCTGCCGAGGTGGGTGGCCAGCAAGCTTCAACGAGGCGGCGGGTGGGCGCGGGTTGGCGGGATGCAATGGCGAGCGCGGCACCGATGACTGAGAAAAGAGGCAAAAGTCGAGGAGGCGGGAGTGGAGGCTTGGGGAGGTGGGAGGGTGAGGGAACCTGGGCTGGGATGGCGGGGTGGACCGGGGGTTCCCAGTTGCCAGTGCCACGCACCCGCTATTGGCTCAGCGCCCGGCAGGGCAGTTCCCGGGGATATCTGGGGAAGGGGTTATCGAAGCCGACTTGCCTCGGGTAAAAGTGATCCAAGTGGAAGATCAGCTTGCGCCAGCGAACATGGAGGAGGCGTGCTGTCCAGGTTTGATGAGCGGATGGATGTACCTGCCTGTATTAGTTGCATGCATGCACGTCTGGTGGTGTAGACGGGATGCACGGTTCGAGACTGGACGTCAGAGCAAGGCAGAGATAACACACCTGAAATAACACGTACCTAACCAAGTCTATGCCGGCGCAGGTGTCCCGGATCGTCCCCAAGACGTGTCTGCAACGACTGATGGACTCTTCAAGTGAGGCGATTGGCGGCTTCGCATTTGCCCTGTTGTCGGCGCGCGACTTGAAATCGAGCCACGAGTTGGGATCAAGGTGACCATCTACAGGGCCATCAACAGCAACTGGCGGGGCACCCACATGTTCTGTCTCTGATCGTATGTACATTCAATTATGAGGTTGCCACGGGGGGGCACTACCAACTCGGAGCGGTTCAAGCTATGTACATGGCCACATGCAGCGACTCAACCTCCACCCATATTGCCATCACAGAGTTACCGCTATCAATGCGCGGAATCGCATCACGCCAGACTGGATGCTGCAGCTTTGTAGAGAGACGGTTCCGACCATGGTAAAGCACTACCCTATCTCACTAGCTATCTCGCTACAACACGCACCCCAAGTTTTCTCTAGCCGCCGCACGCCGCGCCGAGACATTCACAGCAGCATGCGCCCAAACCTTCACAGGCGTCTGCGCAAAGGCCGGCTGCGCCCTCACACGCAAACCCGCAACCCCAAGGAGTATGACAGCCGATGCAGGCATCGTCCGTGCAGCCGCCGCAGCAGCTCTGTTTCGAGTTCCCCCGGCTCTTCCCTTTGCCCTTGCCCTGTTGCTTGCGTGGCCGCGAGTGGAGTTCTTGGCCCATCACGGCGCCACGGCAATCAGCCATCTGTAGCGGATGGCTCTCCCAGATGCATTTCGCACCATGATATGCGCACTGGCCCGAGGTTGCAACTAAGTCAGCAGCTGGCGCACCACCGGCGTTCTGCCCTGGGCAGGTCGTGTTGACACTGGAGTCTACTCACGCGCTTTTGGGGGTCGCAGGCGACGGGAAACGTCTTGGTCAACCCGGCTACTCTCATCATTGCGTCGAGGCCGTCTGGCCGGGGTTGCTTCCATGTGGTGTTGATCTCACACGTCCCATCTATCTCGTTGCATCTCTATACAGCGACCCGGATGTCAGTGGCACGCTTCGAAAGGCAATGACAAAAAGACTTCTTTCAAACATACCCCAGTTGCGGTGAGCGTAAATGGTATAGAGTTCCAGTCCCTGGTGGCTCGGTCCATATCCGGAATTACCCCGCCGCCAAACACCTGGCAGATTCCGACTTGATGGCTCATCTTGGTGCGGAGGCTCGCGTACTGCTCGAGCAATTGTACGTTGGGAGGCTAGAACTTAGGCTGGCGGGGATCTCATATCTGAAAGTGCCGTCTTCGTCCCGATCATAGATTGCTATGCCATTGGCGATTAGAGTGCCAAGAAGGGCCTTATATAGGGACATGTTTGAGTGGCAGCATATTACCTTCGTCCTGGTCCGTACCCGGGGGCAGCAAGCGCATCTCATGCACTACTCTGTTCCAAGGCGCAATCTGCTTTGGCTGTATACGCAATCCTCAGCCTTGCTGACGAGGCAAATGTGTCTGAGCGGCTTGGTGCAGGTCGTCTCCGTGGCTCAAGCGAACAGCACAGACACGCTGTGGCTGTTGCTGTCCGCCCAGAACGGCGGCGGGGTTTCATGGCCCAGAGGCGCATATGTGACGAGCTTGGGGCACACTGTTGCAAAAGAGTTGAGCCGCAAATCACGAAACGACGCCCGCTGTCAAGTCTATAATAGCGGAGCTGTGCAGGCGAATTGATGTTGCCCGATTTGTGCCAACAGCGAGAGTCGAGTTGCACGTGGCGACTCAGTGTTTGTACGTCATGCCCGGCAAAGACTTGGGCATGGGGGCACATTTTTAGTAGATATTGCCGTAAATAAGAATCCTTGAGTCAACTGCGATCCGAAGCGGGCTGATGAGCGCGTGCGTTCCGGCCGTGTCGTCGGGTCGTCAGGAGTCAGGAGACAGGACGCACTTGCATTGAAGGCTTCACCACTTCCATGCCAGACATGCGCGGACGACACCCAGGCACCCCTCAGCCTCAAGAACCAGTTTTCCAGGGTTTGGAAGCTCCCTGCTCAGAATATCACTCATGGAAAAGCCAACGGCCGTGCATGACATCAAGCGACACTTTGCTGCCGCCGGGTCAGCGTCCATGCCCGCCAGGGGCAACGGTTAATAGTTGCTGCTCGGACCGGACACTGGCCTGACTGCTCAGTCGCGGGCGAAATAGGGCACGCACAACGCCAGTGGCGATATCTGGTCAAACAGCCCTGGAACATTCTTACGGCGGGTGCGGCGTAGCCGTGTTCTTCCTTCTTCCTTCATTCCCTGCTGGCAACCCTTGCCTCGGTTAATAGAAGGTGTCCACGCCCCCGCGAGTGAGCAGACGGGCCATGCAAGACGATTGGCCGCGGCCGGGCGTCCCGTCATCTTCGGCTGACAGATCGTTGCTCGAGCCGAGAGGCGTCGAGATTGCCTCACGACCCGCGCTAGCGGGCCGTTGGTAGTATTTCCTAATACAGAAAGCTGCCCTGCTGTGCCGTACAGCCGGCCGACTAACTACACGCGCGCCGTTCTCGGCCGCCGTGCTGTTCCAGATACAGCCTGGCTGTATTGCTTCGAACCTCACGGCTCTTGCCGCCCTGCACTCTGCACAGTTCAAGAGGCTCAAAACACGTCGTTTCGAGACGTCACCCACGCTGGGTATCAAAGTCTGTGTATTATGCCCCTGTCTAATCACGGCCGCAGATCAAATCCCATATATACCTGAAAATATATGCCCAAAAGTTCGAAACAGACTCCATCGTGTATCCTGTATGCATCGCGTCTGCCCCCCCCCTGTCTCTTATACACATCTCGAGCAAGATTGAGATGGGCGGCTCTGCAATTGTCGCCAATTTTGGGGGCAGACTTTTCCGGTGCCGCTGCCGCTGCCGTCGCCGGTGGCGGTGGGCGCCGCCTCGACCGTCTGCGTCGTCACGGCGCCGGTCGAGCAGGAGCGGTCGAAGCCGGGGCACGAAGTGATGGTGTATACCGTCGTGTAGGCCGAGGTCGGGAGGCTGCCGCTTCGGGTCCGGGTAGGCTGGATTCACGCGTTAGTACATTTCAGAACAGAGCGAAGATGGAGATGGGGATCGCATACCACTGCTGACCCTCCAGTGAAGGCCGCGTCGCTCTCCTTGCAGTTACCCGTCACGGCGGGCACGGCGCTGGTGCCCGAGCTGACAGCGACGATGTCGTTCTTGCCGCAGTTGGCCGCCTGGCCGATGTGGACGGCCTCGTTGTCCCAGTCGAAGACGAAGTAACCCGCCCGCAGGACCGAGTCGCCGAGAATCTGCTGGTCCGTGGTGAGGACCATGCCGACGTAGCAGACGCGCGTCGAGCCCGCCAGGTCCATGATGAAGTCCTTGAGCGGCACGCGCACCGTCTTGCTACCGAAGCCAAAGTCGACGCTGCCGCCGCTGCTGCGCATCGAGCAGGGCACCTGGTAGTAGCCCTCGCCGTCGTCCTGGGCGTCCAGGGCTTGGAGGATGGGCAGCGCGACGGCCGAGTGCATGCGCGAGAGCGTGGTGCCCGAGTCGAGCATCACGTTGGCGTCCTTGCCGGCGACCTTGAAGTTCCGTGACGACTTGAGCGTCACGCCGACGGTGCTCAGCTCGACGGCAAGGCGGTACTCGTTCTTCAGGCCGCGCACAATCGGCCGCTTCTCAAGAGTGCCGATGAACTTGCTCTTGTCGAGGCCGCCGTAGATGATGGCGCCGTACTCGGAGTCGGAGTGCCGCAGGTCCATGGCAAACACGCGGCTGGCAATGACGCCCTGCTTTGCCATGGTGTTGAGCAGGAGGCTGTACGGGCCTTCGGCATCGAACCCGCCTCGCAGGTCAGGCGCAAGGCCCATGATGCCCTGCGACTGGCCCTCGCTCTCGGACACGACGCCGAAGGTCTGGTTCGTGATCTTGGCCTGGCCGAGGGCTACCGTGTCGGCGTAGTAGCGGATCTTGACCGACGTCTGCGTGGACTGGTCCGTCGGGTCGCCATAGTTGATCTCTTCACTGCCAAAAGGCCCGACGGGCGGCGTCTTGGACTTGCGGGGGTCGTATTTGCCAAAGTTGAGACATTGGCGATACTGCTGCTGCGTCGGCGCGGTCGTGCAGTCCGGGTTGACCCATAGTTCGCTGGACCCCGTGTCGACGAGAACCGTCACCTTTTGCGCGGGCGAGCCGATGTTGACTGTTGGGAAGGAAACGCACGACTGTTAGCTTGCGTCCGTTGATCAATTCCACGCGCGGCGCGCAGCGTCATCGGGGCACGCGTTGGGCGGCAGGCCACAACGGCGGCGGCCCGCCGACTCAGCGCCAACGGCGGCAATGTCTCACCATCTGTGGCATAGAAGAAGTCCATGTTCTTCAGCTGGTCCTCAAATGCATTCGCTCGCCTGCCCTTTGCGTTTTGCGGTCGGGGCGGCCGCGCCACGGTCCCGACTGGCAGTGCGAGGAAGCCGTCGCCAGCTACGGCGTTGGCGAAGCCCATGATGGGCCCAGGGGCGTTTCCATCATTACCCACGGCGGCGGCGTCGACACGACGGCTCGCCAGCAGTGTCAGCGCCGCGGCGCTGAGCGACACCGTCCGCATGATGGCGTCGCGACGAGATCCGAGAAGGGGGCAACGTCCGTTAGAGCTGCGTTTGGTTCTATCGTCTCTTCAACCGAAAACAAAACGTGACGACTGACGAGTCGGGTTCGCGCTCGACCGGGAGTCGGAAAGGAGGCTTTGTCGATCACTCCCTCGCTGTATCGTCTATGCGCCCGCAAGCTCGCAAGGGGGGGAATACGGGTGAACAAAGATGAGATGCTTCCGATCCCTCCGCTTCAACCGCGCCTCGTCCTCGAGAATCAATTTTGGATCGTACGAGGGCGGTTTCGAGAAAAAAAGAGGGCAGACGGCATTCCGACAGCCACACGCCGGCCGCCCGGGGGAAGCCTATTTCTTATTCACAGGCCCGGCTTCCCGATCAAGCCATAGTCCGCAGCAGCTGGCCGACGCGATGGGCTGGCGCAGATCCAGCCCCCCAGCTTTGCCCCGTTGGGCGCACCATGGCACTGCAGACAGCGGCATGAGCGGGCGGCTTCAGCCTAGGGGGGGCCATTGGGAGGGATGGGAGGGGTGCATGGGGAGGAGGTATCTCCAGTGGCGCATCCGCATGTCTCTCATCATTCTTTCTCCGGCCGTTGCCTCTTGGTAAGTGACCGGCGACGGCGGCGGTGGTCGTCACAATTGGCCTGCGCTGCACCCTGACGATCATTCTCGGCGGCAGCTCGACTGCGCTGATGCCAGATCCGGCACCCTTCCGAGCGTCCCTGGCGAGAGCCGCGGCGCCGTTTGCCTACGTACGCGCCACGAGTTTGCACACGGGGCGGCACAGCACCCAACGACGCTTCGATGGTTTGTCCCGAGTTCGCCACTGATGATGCGGCACACGGAGGTAGCGCTGGCCCCAGCTTTTGGCCCAGCTCCACCACCAAGGCTCGGCACCACGGGGTCTCCGCTCTGCCAGCGATCATCTCGCACGGGACGGACAGACTCGTCGGGGAAGAAGCAAGCCTTGCCAAGGCGCTGGGCCGATGGAGGTCAGCAACGGGGGCGTCGCGAGGTGACCGCCAGAACAGAAATCTTCAGCACCCGCTGGCCCTTGCATCCCGCCGGGAGCGACTCGGCGGGACGAGTACGCCTGAAGGCTGCGTATAATTAGAATGCGCGGGCTAGCTGGCTCGCTCGCGTTGGGCAAACATGGCATTCTCGGGGCGGGGAGAGCTGCCCGTACTGGCTTGGGGAGGTGTGTGCTGGCCGTCCAGCTGGCTGCGCTCGCTGAGAGAGCAAGCGTTATTCTTAGCGCCGGCGAGCCGTGGTCAAACATGAGCCTCAATGCAAAGCCGAGCCGCTAAGTGGCAGCCCGAGTGGCTCCCTTTTGTGGGGTCTCCATGGAAGTTCATCCTGTGTGGGCGTTGCGCCGCCGGACTCAGCAGGGGGGCATGGGGGGGCCCGTCGCCTGTGGCAGGGTTGTTACCGCTCCGGAAAGGCGTGGTGGCCGCACAGGGCCTTGATGGAGTCGATGACGCCGAGCCCAGCGGAGCGGTTGCCCGTCAGTGGTCCCTCGCCGTCACTGCCCAGGTGGTTAGGTTTGGTTGGCGGGCAGGACATGCAGGCACCGGGACGACAGCGCCCCGACGCCGCCTCACGTCAACTGGCAGGCAGTGGCTGACTTCTGAGTCGTGACTGGGCACAGGCAGCCGTGGCGGTCCTTGGCAGGCAAAGCAAAGCCCTCTCCAGCGCCCGGGCGGGCCGCGTGTACAAGCACCCTCCCCTCCCAGCTGAAGGAGGGAGGCCTGTCGCGATCCTCCACTGGCCCCCGACTCCTCCTTGACTGTGGTGTGTGTTCTTGCCGCAGGGCCCTGGATGAGCAGAGCATCTCGCCAGTCTGTCGGCCTCTCGGCTGCGACGTGTCGTTTGTCGCCTCATCCCCGCCGCAAAGCAAAGACAGTCGCGCTCCGTTTTTAAACTTTTGCGTCCGATCGGGCCGGTCGGCACCCCGTGAAGAACCTCGCGCCGGGTCCTCGACGCGACCAATTCTCTTGGCGAGGCAGTGTGCGCGCGCTGCGCCTCGTTGGTGGTGCGCGCCGGCACCGCGCCATGCGCGCATAGGTCCAGTCGTACGAGGAGGAGCCACCACCACTACGGAGTCCAAAGGTGGTGGCAAACCCTCGACCAAGCCTCCAGACAAAGGCTGGCTATTGCTTTCAGCTCGTCGCTTGGCAGGCAACATATTCGCTGGAGTTGTAGGACCGCCGCCTCACAGAGCCGCCTCATCTATGTTATCTGGCCTCGGAGCGCCCATTGCACTGAACGGCGGGAAGGTTCTCAGCCGCCCCAGGCAGCCTGTCCACCGCGGGGCTTGCATCAAGGATGCCAGAAGCAAACGCGCGACCACAAACCTTCATTGAATAACGCATTTTGACGTGCAAGGTAGCCCTGGGAACAATGTCCTATTAACCCCGGAGCCGCCTGGGCAGACCCATCCTGTCTTAATTTGGCGTCTCCAGGTTTGGGGATGTGCTTTCTGGTCATGCATGGTCCTGCCAAGAACTCATCTCTTTTCGAGATCTAAGCGACCCGTCACGAGGAATCTTTACCCGTGCATTGGTCCGCACCGCTTGGGACCCTTGCAACGTAAATGTTGATCAGTACCACGCTTCACGCGTCAGTTGGAAGACATGACAACGCATCACACTTCACCAGTGGCCGCAAACGAGTCTACTTCGTAATATGCTGCGCAAAAGGTTCTTTTTGCTCTATCGGACACGCATCAACGAGTGCCGGTTGCATGGCTCCCGATCGCAAGACTGGCCCCTTGCTCCACCTCAATGTGAGTGAGCAATGCGCGGGGGCCGTGACGAACAATCGTCACTGCATTTCTTATCACAATCCTGAGGGCCGTGCCGCAGCCGCACTCTCGTGAACAGTCCGGTTGAAACGAGGTTAGGGTAGAGGGGTGCCCTGATCTTTGCAGCAAGACCAGCACGTGTCCTAGTGGAAAGTCTGTCAGCAGAGCACTCCGGAGTCTTTCATGACTGGATTTGAGCATTCTATTCGGCACATACCCACCGAATCGCAGTCTATGTTTTGCATATCCTGTCAGCATGACAGCCACGGAGCGCACAGACACAGGCGGCATGGACGTACCATTCCCGGACGACAATACCGCCGTTCAGGGGAACAAGTCAACTCGCATACCCCGTAAGGTGGCGGCGATGGGACCGCGACGGCAACGGCGCCAAGCACCACCAGTGCGACAGTAGTCTTCATCTTGAAGAGCGGGCACAAGTATCTTCGGGTAGGGCGACTAAGGCAGCCAAGTAAGTGAGTATCAAGCTTCCTTTACTTGATGAGTGAGTGAGGTGAGGGTCGAGCATGGTCCTCAAGCAGCAGGGCGCGGCCGCGCTTTATAGACGGCGGGATGAAGCAGGATTCAGTCTGACTTGCGAAATCCACTTCCCCGGTCTATGCAGAACCAGCTCATGCGGGCGCAAAGGAGCCGTGCCAAGAAGTTCAGCTCCGCGTGCCTCCTCGACGGAGTATTCGTTACTTCATTGAGATCGTTTGCATTGTTGCAAACGTAGCTTCAGACCCTCGGTCTCCAAGTCCGTACCTGTGTTCTCCTTCTCGCGAAAAACTCTAATTCTCTATACGCTATCGAGTAGCGAGCCCAGGGTCGTGGTTGTGACATGGCACAGGCGCAACGATATCCCCTTGGGTGTCCTTGAGGCGGGTTTCTCCACATCGCCCAGCCTTTGCATTGATGCCATGTCGAACCTCCATCTTGTCGGCCCATGGGCAGTTGCTGTAGTGAATTGTCTCGATACAGCACCACGCAATCACATGTCTGTGAAAGAAGACGAGACTCGGGTTGCGAGCCCCCATCATGCGCAACTTGCCGAGTTGTCCTGTTGTGGCCATATGGACCTTCCCAGGGATCACACACAACCCTAAACGTGCCTGGCTTTGACGACAAGGCTCAGCATGTAGAAGCCCCTCAGATTGGGCTTGACATCCTACGAGCCTTGCTCCAATGGGGCGTACTCCCGAGGACGAACTTGCGTAACATGCATGTATCTGCCTGGTATCCTTGGCGTCTCCTTCACAAGCCCGTACCTTTCAATGTGTTCCTTCATCCCTTCCCTTGTATATTTGATCCTGAAATGCTTCGTTTCCTCGCATTTCTCGTCCTCGCAGCCAAGGCAAAAATATCCCCAGTCAACCTGCAAGCCAGAATCAAAGAGGTACGGTGCCGTAATGATGGGCATGAAACGAAGGGGTTCCCTGGTGGTCTTGTCTACCTTTGAATGACCAGATCCCGCACCCTGGACCACTGCCCGTCGATCGAAGAATTCAAGCCGCTTCTGCACTAAATTGCCCCCTTCACCGGCCCAGGCAGGCTAAGGACACGGGGTGGGTTTGCGGCACGCAAGCGTTGGCGACTAGTAGTGGCTCTATGCTGTCGCGACTTGTCGGGGCTGTAGAAGCTCGATGCGCGGCCAATCGTGAGGGGGAAGTATTCCGGCCGCCGGGTGAAACAGAGGTAGCAAACTCGACGGCAGTCTATGAGGTAGAGATGGTCGCCGAAGCGTTCGCAAGTGGGGCATCGCGTCGTGCTGAGGGTTTTGTACAACGTGTGGCAATCAAAAGCGTCTGCCTGGATGCTAATGATTGCGCGAATGATGTTAGGACAGTGCCGGAAGATGGTAGCGTACTGACGGATCGAGTCGACAATCTCCATCGCGCGGCGGTTAACGCGGCGAAAACATGTCAACGATGGGAGATCCAAGTACAGCAGGACCTGTGTGAGCAATTCTGCCGGGAGCTGATCGAGTTGGCCGACGGCATAGTGCGGTGCGATGGACGCGTCGACCCATCGTCCATTGTCAAGCGGACATCGTGTCACCAGCTGCGCGTCGTCCAAAGTGTTGTCGCGGATGTTCTGCTTCGTGTAGGTCGTGGAATCGAGTACATCAGAAAACTGTCTTTCCATCACATTGCGTTTTGCTCGATATTACGCTCTAGGAGTGGAGGCCTAGATGGACAAGCTTATGGGAGAGGGTATCCGGCGATTCTAGAGTGAGATTGGGACCAGAGGTCAGAATCGGTGAGATCTCGAGACGGTCTGGCCGGGCTATCGCCGTCCGGAACAGAGACGGGTAGCACGAGGGCGCGAAGAGGGTGCCCGAGACGCGGGACTTCGGCAAAAGGTCGGGACAGGTTCATCTAGTGAGCAAGAAACCTTGTCTGCTCTCCCGCAGGTAAGCTGGTAAGGGGCAGATTACATGTAGTAGCTGGGTCGGTAACGACCAGCGAATACCGGCTGTTGTATGTTTATTTTTGCTCTTCTCATGGTCAAGAATGCATGGATATAAGTCGATTTGCTTCGTGTATCAAGTACATACGACCATAGCCATAAGAGAATTCGGGATCCCGTCCGCTCTCCCATAGACAAGCTTATGAGCGGCAGATTAGTAGTTGGGTCGGTGACGACCAGCGAACACCGGCTGTTGTATGTCTTTCATTTTTATTTTTATTTTTGCTCTTCGTCAACATCGAAAATCCTCACGAAGATGGATGCGATATCTCTTTTTTTGGTGTTGCAGTTGAATTGGTGTGGCATATTTGCGGTGTTGATGCACCTGCTGCGGCCCATTATGCGACCCGGTAAGGGTTCAGAGTACTAGGGCCATGGGCTGGGCGGCTTCTGGCGCGAGGCGTCATCGGCCACCCGCGGCGCCCTTGACGTCCAGTTGACATGAGCATATCCATCCTAGTCAATCTATCATTTGGTCGCCGGAAGAGACCTCCAGACTTGGCTCCGATCGTGTGAATCCATACGAGCCCACAGGCTGGGGTTCGGTTCAATTCAATCATCGGGGAGAGCTTGGCGCATCGTTGGCCTCGTCCGTTCACGCCTTCGGTCACGCCATGTTCGACAAGTCCAGCAAACCTACCCGAGAGACCCGAGACGTTTCAATCGGCGAACTGGTCGCATCGCATGCCCGAGTTGATTCTCTTTGTGCGTGCTGCGGAACACGACTACCACCTACCGACTCCGCCGAGCGTGCGTTTACCGGAACAGGTAAAAGAACCCCATGGCGCTAGGCACAGCCTCTGGTATATTTTATATCTGGCCGTGATATGTTCTACATTGGGATGGGTGGCTGGCCTGAGGAATCAATACAGCTTCTTAAGCCGCTCTCCGCGTCAGAAATAGACGGTCTCCTCCACCTCAGTTCCTCTCATGATTCATTTCAGACGCAGTCAATCCGTCTTGTGCAATTGACATCTCACGGCGCCACCGCTGATTCGTCATGGCTCATATCCGGCTCGCTTCACAAGCATTCCACCGGCCGGCAGAATGGGTGCGACACGCCCGCACCGTCCTCGCTTGGCCTGGTGGTGAAACCGTTTACTACAAAGAATTCCCTGGCGCGCTCGCATCCGCAACAAAGGAGGTGTCCGCCATTGCTGCCGCTGTCGCGCAGTTCGAACCTGTGACATTGGTCGTGGATCGAACCCGCCTGGAAGAGGCCCGGAGCCGGTTCGCTCCTGGGACGGCGAGACACAAAGTTAGCCTGCATCCAATTGACGGAAAACAGCTTGATTTGTGGATGCGAGATATCGCACCAACCTTCACAATGAAAACAGGCCCGAAAGGACCGAGCAGCGGTATCCTCTGCGGCGTGGACTTCAACTTCAATGGCTGGGGTAACAAGTTTCGGACAGAGACGTCTGTTGGCCTTGGGACAGAGACATGTGTCGGACTTGCGCGCACACTGCTGAAAGATCTCAAGATTGAGCGTATCGAGTCCTCGCTCGTCACTGAAGGCGGCGCCATTGAGGTCGACGGTGAAGGCACAATGGTTGCCACCGAGAGCTCCATCATCAACGATAATCGCAATCCCGGAATGAGTCGAGAGGATATCGAAGCGGAGTTTGCTCGAACTTTGGGCATCGAGAAGTTCATATGGATCCCAGGCGTCCATGGTGTGGAGGTGACTGACTGCCACATCGATGCATTCGTTCGCTTCGCGCGCCCTGGCGTCGTTCTCTTGAGCAAGCCGAGCTCGGAGGAGAGCAGAAATGCAAACAGCGTCTGGGTGCGAGCATACAAAGAAGCGGTCGATGTACTTTCGGGAACCAAAGATGCCAAAGGCCGTTCGCTCGAGGTCATCGAGATATCTGAGCCCAACGTCTCGGAGGTCGCTATGGATGAAGAGTTTTTGAAGGCGATCGCGTCGAGCGAATTACCCCCGCCGGCATTTAACTACGCCAACTACCTGATGGTCAACGGAGGGCTAATCTTCCCTCAATTTGGCGACAAAAGATCCGACGCGGCGGCTTTGAAGACGGTTCAGCGGTTGTTTGGTAGCGAGAGAGATGTCGTGACGGTACCGTTACAAGAGCTGCCTCTGATGGGCGGGGGGATACACTGCGCGACACAACAAATTCCCTTGTCGATCTCGGTTTCGCCATAGTGTGTCGCCACTAGGTCTTGTCCAGAATAGCTGCATTTAATAGATCATCGCCTCTCCCTGGGTGCCTTTCGGATCGATTCTTGTCCTGACGGTTCCAGTATCGCTAGCCTCACGCCTCGAGGCCGTCGAGATCCGGATGAGTAGCTCAAATATGTCATTCCGTGCCGTTGACTGTAGCCAGCATGCCACCAGGTTCGTTCTCATGGTCGATCGCCTGCCGCATGGACATGGCCGTCTCGTCAAATAGAACGCCACGGACCGCGTTGTCTCGCAGATATGTCTGAGTAAGAGCTATCGGATTTTGGAAAGCATCTGTTCCATCTGACTCCGGCGCATCGGAGAGGAGAACCTGGATCTGATTCTCTGGGTCGAGCCTACTCCACCCGTGTGCAAAAGATTGCAACGTTGGATGCAAGCCGCCGCAGTCGACTAGAACGATGGTGAAGCTCTTCTCAGCTCGATCCCTCTTCGAGGGGTCAATGTCCTTGATCTTGGACCGCGAGTTGAACCATGCCCTCTTGATGTCCACAGTACTGTATGCCATGTCTTCTTCTGTTATGTCGTTCATGTCTGCTCGTGCGAAGATAGCAACTTCCAGACTGGGGTGAAGAACCATGCCGTCCCACACTGGCTGCTGAGATCCGATATCGGGGTTGTATATGCAGAGGCGTCGCAGCTTTTTCCAGCAGTGCAGCCAGACCAGTGGCTCTCCATGCCCCAAAGAATAGGCGTTCAGGAACAACTCGTCCTGGACAGACGTGAACTCTTCCAGGTTCACCAGCGCTTGAAATGCTGATCGCAGAACCGGCCGCACGCGGTAGCGATCCTGATCAGGGTACAGCGAGCGCAATGGCATGTCTATGGTGAGGCGGCGAAGGTACGGAGCGAGAGCCCTGAAGATGTCTCGCACGGCAAGCGCAGTCGGAAGATCCAGCGGAGAAGGAGCGGTAAGCTCCCAAGAATGGTCCGAAGAGGTCTCATCGCCTGCGTCTCGTTGGATGATGGACCTACTACGTTCGCGCGGCTCATCGGAGAAGGGGGCAAGGAACATCTGCGTGATCTGCGTCAAGTGATGGACGCGGGCCATGGACCCTGAGTGGTCAAACAAAGGCCCGCCCAAGTATCGGGCGAACCGCCTGGCCCTGTCGTTCGACTCAATGTACACGCAGTGCTGCCGAAGCCTCTTAGATGCCACTGGGTAGGTTGCACGACAGACGCGGGACAGACTGAGGAGCGTCTTGGTCACATCGTCGGAGGGCGGTACAATGGTGTTGGGGTTTGAAGGGGCCACGGAATCAACGATGTGAAGGACGAGCTCGACCGGGAGTCTTGGCGCTGTCGCCGCGGCTTTGGCCTGGGCGTCCATGCCGCCGAGTTCGGATACTACGCAACTCGAAGCCAAAGGATTGGTGAAGTTAGGCTTGGGGGTTGAGATGAAAGATGGTCGGAGAAAATGAGAGGGCAGATTCGAAGGCCAAGCACAGGCACAGGTGGAAGGATGATGAGGGGCACCTGCCAAACGAAACAGGTCCGCAGCCTCAGCTCCACCAATACCGCAGCCCGCGCAAGCACCTGATCCAGTGATCCCCGGCACATGGATTGTGCAACCTCAGCTACTCAATGTCGTACATGTTGGCTCTGCATTCATTCTCCCATCGTCGCATACCTTGACTTGACGACATCGACATCTGCTTCGCGCGCAGCGGAGCTCCCAGAGATGGATGCCGCATCCTTTGGACCGCTCCGCCATAAGACGTCGCTCTGGCCGCGGACCACGATAAGCTTTGTCCAGCTTTTCGACTTCGATTCAATCTCCACATCTCGCCGAGGATGTGTTGTTTTGTTGAGTCCAGACGCTTTTGCAATTAAGCAGAGGCGATCAGATGGACGCAGCAATGCAGAAACGCGAAGTCCGTTAGAGGATGCACCCGAGCTGACATGGGTCAGCAGCGGCCTCGGCCGTCGAGTCACGCTCGCCCTTCCGAAAAATCCGGTGCCATGATCTCGTCAGCCAACCTCAGCCTGCTCCATAGTTCACTCATGCAACCCTTTGGGTGGTAAAAATCGACAATGGAGCGAAAGCATGTCGCTGTGATCGGGCAAGTATTCATCTGTCGCCTGTTGGTCGTGCCAGCAGGTCCTGGGGCTGACCAGAATCTAGGGCAGGAGTCTTGGGCCTCACCACGGCCTTGGAGCTTGCCAAGCAAGGCCATGGGGTTACAGTACTTGCAAAGGATCTGCCGGGCGACTGGACGATCGACTATGCCTCTCCCAAAGCCGGCGCCCACTTCCGGCCGACATCGGTGACAAATGCCCGGGAGGCATTCGAAAACACGCTCATGCATGAGACATACGCAAAGCTCGGCGAGATATGCAGAACCGAAAGCACTTCTGGTGTTGAGTTTGTGCCTGCCGTTGAGTATTTCGACACAGAACTGTGCCCAAGGGATCTTGAAATGTTTTCGGCGTGGCCTCAGTTTCGTGTGCTTGACCCGTCTGAGCTTCCCCAAAGCTCCACCATCAAGTCTGGCTTGACGTACTCAGCCTGGGTTCTGAACTCCCCAGTGTACCTGGTTTGGCTGCAAAGAAGGGCCGAGGCACATGGTGCTGTGTTCTTCCGCGAGCAGTTGACATCGGTAGAGGAAGCTTTCTTCCTTGCCGCGAACCATAACCCTACTCTGCCTCCACCTTGCGCGGTTGTCAATGCTAGCGGGATGGGATTCGGCGACCCTAAATGCTTCCCGTCGCGCGGACAGTTTATACTCATATCCAACGAGTACGACCGCACTATCTCGCACCATTCGGCAGACGGAAATGCCACAGTTATAATTCCCCGTCCCCTGGGGGGCGGGACCGTGATTGGGGGTACTAAGGAACCGCACAATTGGTACGACCACAGGGATCGCGTCGCTTTTGCTTGCGACATTGACTGACACGTTTTCGCAGGTCGCCTCTCAATTCTGACGCTGCAGTCGAGGAGATCCTGCGGCGTGTATCGTCGCTCTGTCCCGATTTACTCCAGCCAATTCCTGGATCACCCGATGCCGCTCCAGCACTGGACTGCCAGGAGGCTTACATTGGACGTCGCCCCATGCGCAAGGGTGGGCTTCGCCTTGAGACAGAATTCATCGACCTCGTAACGACTGGTCGAACTGGGCTTGATACCGAAACGAGCAGGCTGCCACTCGTCCATTGCTACGGTGCAGGGCCTAGCGGATACAAGATCAGCTGGGGTGCCGCTCAAAGAGTGACAGAAATGGTAAATTCTCTCTAGTTAACTTGACGAGTCTGAACGAACAGTTATTTGATAGATTGAAATGCTACATGAAGAGATCTAGCGATACACGACGATTCTATGGATCTTTTTGGCATCATCCGTGGGCACCTTTCGCGACGCTGACCTATTTTTGTCGACCGCTATCATGTTCTGGGCCAAAACATCTTTACCGCTTTCATCTTCATCATACCGCCGACCTCCTTGGCCGATGACTGCATCTCTATGGTTGTGCGCTGCCGACAACCTCGAATTCGAACTTGACGTTTTCCCAGCCTGGCCGCCGCCTGATTACCAGGTTCATTCCCTCCCCTTGCTTGTCCGGCTTGGAAGCCCCGCCCATGATGGTAGTCGTAGCCATCTCGGGGAGCTTGACCGGAGCGCCGTTACCATCGGAAGACATGTCGAAAGCCAGGATCAGGGCGGCAGCAGTACCAAGAATCTCCGCAAAGGCAAAGTTGCGGCCAGGGCAGAGGTGCTTGCCACCGCCAAATGGGATGTATGAGTTGCGCTTGTTCTTCTCAGCTTGCGCGGAGAGCTTGGCCTGGCGACCAACAAAACGGTCGGCCTCATACTCGGCCGCGTTGGCGCCCCAGACTTCCTCCGTTCGGTGCGTGAATCCGGCCGGGATCTGCACGTCGGAGCCCTTTTTGAGCAAGAACGAATCGCCTTTACCATTAGAGATGACCGTCTCTTCCATGACGCGACGGACGCAAAGTGCGTGGTTCGAGAGGCGGATAGATTCACGGTAGCAGCTGACGAGGAGGGGACACGTCTCATCGAACTTTGTGATGTTAATCGTGACAATGTTGCTGCCCTCCTTGCGCTGAGCAAGGGGTTCGAGCTCGGTGCGGAGGCGCTCGACGACGTCGAAGCGAGTGAAGACATTGGCGACCATCCAGAAAGTGGTAGGGACAGTGTTTCCCGTGGCGAGCTGCAGCAGGCTGGCCTCGAACCGGCCAATCTCGCTGTCGGGCAAGCCGTACTTGCGCAAAACGGCGGCGCGGGCGCTGGTGACGGCGGCAGCAGACTCGTGGTGGTCGCCGCGGTCAGCATAGTAGTCGCCCAACGCCTTTTGCAACTTTTCGCGAGAGCGGAAGGCGTCTGCATTGGTCACTGAGTGCCAAGGGGTAATGAGCATCTTCGGGATTGCGTTCTCCCAACACCTGTGCAACACGATTAGTGCTGTTAAGGCCATTGAAGGGCATAAGTCACACACCAAAGGTCGTCCACGAGCTTCCCATCGTGCAGCAGGGGATTCTTATCACCCATGAGCGCCGTGGTGGTGGCCATAGTCATGAGCTCCCTGAGCCAGAGGTAGAAGTTGTCGACAGGGATCTTGCGGGTACCCTTCATGGCGTCGAGACGAGACGAAATGTAGTTGAGAGCATTGGCGTTCATGCGATGCAGGGGCTCGCCGCGGACGGTGAAGTGCAGGGCGTCAAAGAACTCGATGACGAGCTCAGGCTTTTCGCGAAATGCCCGATACGAATCCTCCTTCATGCCCAGCATGGTCTGGAGGAAGTCGACGGCAAAGGGCTCAAAGGAGAGCGTCTTCTGGCGCAAAGCAGATTGGACGAGGGCCGGGTCCCATATGGCATACGTCTTGCCGCCGAGAATGGGGAGTGTGGCGATGGCGGCGCCCGTCTTCTTGCTGGGATCTCTTTAGTGCCAAGGTGCTTCCATCGTATTTCTGGTATAAGAATACTAACTGCAAGCTTGTGTAGTATTCGGCCTGGTTTCGAATCATGCCCACAAGGTGTCCGATGAACGGTATCCGAGGCAGCATGACCGGTGGTTCCTTGGCGTCAAGCTCGGGAATGGACTTGCGGTAGAGGTACACGAGAATGGTTACGAGGAGCGTCGAGACGGTGTAGCGGATTGGCGCCTCCTGGAAGCCGGCGACGGCGGCTGCGAGGACGCCTCCCGCATCGCGTGTGGACGTGCCGTTGGCGGCGGACACGACATTCTCCACGACTGCCATGGGAGAGTTGAGGATGGGGTTCTGGACGGCGGCCGCCATGGCTGCAATGCAGTGTCGACGCTGGCGCAGACGGTATCTGGTATCGTCAGACAATCGACTTTCGCAGTCTTTGATGTATTCTTGTCAGAAATAAAATCTTGTGGAATGCTAGAGGCACGCTTGGGAGCTGCTGTCTTCTGAATGATATACGACCACGTTTTGTCTCTTTCTTTATGAGGCATGGCGGCGAAAGTCGTCGCGCCGCGAGGTCGCAGCCCCGAGTTCCGAGCGGACACGGAAGGGCCTCCGGCGGGAGCCCTGCCGGTCGAACCACTGCCGGAGATGTGGCCCGATGGGTTTCGCGTGGTCTATGATGGTTTGAGAAGCTGCGCTGTCAGCACTACTGCTGTTTTATCCTGTCCAGGTGCGGTTCCGTCTGCAAGATGTCGACGGTGATCTCGTATGAGAGATGGCAGCCTCCACCAGCGCGCTGATTTACGGCCCCCAAGATGTGCTAAATACTCTCAATTGGAGCATAGATGCAAAGATAAATCGTTCTGGATCTTCGAGGCAATAATGTCTACCAACGTGTCCTTCATCCCATCGAAGCACGTTCAATTGGCTTCATCGAGCGATCGCTGAGAAAAGACGACCTCGACTTTGTGACGAAAAGGCACGCGCTTTCGGGTATACTCGGCATCTCATTGGTCCCAACTATTTATTGTAATCCTCTGCAGGAAGCGCCGTTCAAGTGGCGTTCGAGGCACAAGCTCCTCGGCTGCCAGCCGCCCGCCGTGTAAGTGGGAGAACCTCCGACAGCCACCGGAGGTGCCGGCTCTCCTCCGCCTGCACGTCGCGAAATGGCACGACATGACCCATCGCTCGACGACATTTGAAACGCAGGACACAAATACAGCTTTCAAGCTACCAGCGGTCGACGCGGTACTGGCTTGCCGTCCCCGGCCCAGATCCCGCCCCCATCGATTGATGACTATGCGAAAACGAATCCATCAGACCATCTCAGTTTACAGAGATGACAGACTTGTACCAATCCTTCATCCGCTTCGTCGCATCGCCCACGCTGCCCACCTCGCCCTCGAGCAGGATCCAGTCGTGCGCCTCTCCTTCCGTCTCCTCCAGCCGGATGTCGCTCATCACGCCCAGGGTTCGAAGCACCTTGACGAACTTGATGCCGTGGTCGGCAAGGACCTCGCGCTTGCCGACCGTCACGTAGATGCGCGCCACTACGTCGTCGATGCCCTTGAACCACGAAGTGTCGACGTCCATCGGCGTCGCCCACGGGTTCTTCCCCCTGCATGCCTGCTTGAAGCCCTCGACGCCGCCGAAGTACTCGGTACCGAGCCGCTGCACAACCTTGCTTGAGATCATGTCGTTGTAATCGTTGGCGACAAAGGATGGGCTTCGCGTGTCGACGCTTAGCCACGGCGAGACGAGGAAAGCCCCTCCAAGTGGCTCTGTGAGCTCAATGCGCCGCGCGCCCGGGTTAGGATGGAGCAAGTGGCCGATGAGCTGCGCCGTGAGGTTCCCTCCCGCCGAGTCGCCGCCGATGGAAATGTCGGCAGGGTCTATGCCCGAGTCAAGCAGCGAGCCGAGCGTAGCGGCAGCCTGGCGCAGCTGCGTGGGAAAGACGCCGCCGGGGCACATGGTGTACTGCAGGAAGGCGACGGCAACCTCGACGCCGACCTCGGCGCCCGTCCGGACGTACGAGTTCCAGCACCACTCGAAGTGGCCGGGCAGGGCCGTGGCGACGTAGCCGCCGCCATGGAAGAAGATGACAAACTTCTTGGCCTTGTGGCGGTTGCCGATCCAGAGCACGGCAGAGTCGTCGTCGGCGCTCAAGGGCTCGATGTCACGCACCACACGCGCCGCATCGGCGGACGACGCGCGGACGGCCTTGGATTTGGCCTTTTTGGTCACCCAGCCCTGGTAGCTCTGACGGGTGGTGGGCGTCAGGTACTGGATCTGGCGGCCGGAGAGTGTGAGGAATATCATGCGCACGGCGGCGCACATGAAGTAGAAGCGCACGCGGAAACGGTTGCGAAGGGAGAAGTAGATAAGGTATGTCGTGTAAAGGGCAAGACGGAAGGGCACTTTGCTTGTCAGATATCATGCAGTGTAACGAGAGGATGTCTCATGGGAGTAATACCTAGAGTCGTCAGCTTTGCCGCCAGGCCCAGGCGCTCTCCTATGGAGAGACGCGGCTTGGAAGGGAACGTCTGAGAGAGAGTTAGCGATTGTGACGGTCATGAACAGCCAAAGACTTTACATCCGCAGAACCTACCATCTTCGAGGTGAGCTATGTCAACAACTTGGTCTTGTTCTCTGCTGGAAGTGAGGAGAGCAAGTTTGCACCTCGGGCACAAGCTGTGACGGGGACAGAGAGGCGTGGGACTGTAATTACACATGCTGCGGCGGACGGCCAAGCCCAGCCCAGCATCAACACCAACACAGAGTATGAACGCCGCGAGCCTAATGCACGAACCCAAGTCCGTTGCAGATGTGGCTTTCCCCCCTCAGCTGCCCTTTCGCGTCCACCTCCGGAAATGGTCGACAGGGATTTCTCGTCAGCGGCTGGGCAGGGTCGGCCGCAGACCTTCATCACATCCTGGAAGCTGGGGACGGCCAACGGGATGGTCCCGATGCCCGACTGCAGCCAGCCGTCCAACGCGGTGCCGCTACCACAAGCTCTCCGCGAGGTGCGGGGGGCCTGGTCAGGGAGCCGAGGCCCTGCAGCTGGGGAGGGCAGGCCGCAGAACTAAAACAATCCGAGCACCAAATGCAACTGGAGAAACGCGGGGAGTGGCGCGGCCCCATATGCGTTTTGGGACCCCGTTCGGGAGGGCCCTGTCCAAGCCCGCTTTGGACCCTGTCCTGCCTCCCTGGCCTGTGGTCTGCTAATGTAGGAGAGAGAGTATCCATCCAACTTTAACGTGCTGGCATTTTAGCCAAGGTGCTGGTCATACGACTCTGAACCTTATGGCCGACAGAGAGCAAGTCGGAGCTTCCCAGCCGGAACGGCGCCGTTGGGCTAAAGCTTAGACCGACGCGGCCCTGGCTTGCCATATATGGACTTGAAGCGCAGTGCCAGCTGAGCAGAGTAGCCGTCCGGGCCGCTGAGGTGCCAAGAGTCGCGCGTCTCACCAACAACATCGTGCGAGGTTCCCGTCATGGGGGCCTTCACCACCCGCGAGGGCGTCACCATCGACGCCGTTGCGGCGACCGCCCGCCGCTGGCTGCTCAACCCCAAGGCGACGCTCCTCCTGGCCCTCGGCCTGCGCTGGGAGCCCATCTTCTCCCGCCTCGTCGCCCACGTGCCCGTCGCCCGGGTCGAGAAGCTGCGCGCCCGCGCCTCGATGCTCGCCGCCGTGGCCCTCGCGCTCGCGTTCAACGACTTCCTCAACCGCAAGCTCGCCAATAATTGGGTCTCGGACATGCGCTGGGATTGGGACCACGAGATCGTCGTCGTCACGGGCGGCAGCAGCGGCCTCGGCGCCAGCATCACGCAGCGCCTGCTCGCGCGCAACGCGCGGACGCGGATCGTCGTCATCGACTTCCAACCCCTGCGCTGGACGCCTCCGCGCGGCTCGCGACTCAGGTACTACCAGTGCGACCTGAGCGACTCGACGGCCCTTCGGGCGACCTGCGCTCGCATCAAGGACGAGGTTGGCCACCCGAGCGTGCTGTTCAACAATGCGGGCCTGGCGCGCGGGTACACCGTTATGGAAGGGCGGCACGCCGATGTCGAGGTGACGATGAAGACGAACCTCATCGCGCCCTTCCTGTTGGTCAAGGAGTTTTTGCCCGAGATGGTCAGGCGAGACCACGGGCACATCATCAACACGGGCTCGATGAGCTCTGTGGTACCGCCGCCCAACATAGTCGACTACGCCGCAACCAAGGCCGGACTGACGGCGCTACACGAGGTGCGCATGTCTCGTCACTCCTGTCCTGGCCGACGCATAATGTAACCTTCCAAGCGCTGACTTGTGCCAGGGACTGCAACTGGAACTCAAATACTCGCACCACGCGCCGAGGGTGCGCCTCACACTGGGCGTCTTCAGCTACATCCAGACGCCCATCATCTCGGGCACGACGAACCAGCCCAACTTTCTCTTCCCGCTGCTTGATGTAGAGAGCGTGAGCGAGCGGCTGGTGGACACGGTGTACAGCGGACTAGGCGCCACCATCTACATGCCCGGGATAATGCGCTTCATCACGTCGTTGGTAAGCCAACCTTAAACTCTGACCTGGTGAGCAGAATGCTCGGCTGAGCGGATGCTGACCTCCGAACAGAAAGGAGGACCAGAATGGCTATTCCGGCTGGCGAGGGAGCGGTCCGTGCATTCGGACCTGGATTTCACGGGGAGGCAGGACGTGGACAGCAAGGGAGCGCTTCGCAGGGTCCATGCGAGATGACCGGCGGTGCCCGTGGTGAATCTCATCCCTACTACAAAATAGCTACGAAGTAGTATGTATAGCTAAGCCGATACGATTCAAAGTCGTCGGCTACGCCTCATGACAGCAAGTGATGTACAGGTACCCTTCTACTTGAGAACTGATGACATGAACGTGTCTTCTTCCGCCTGTGCGATGTCTCGCACAAAGTACCTCCGGTCCTCTTGTAACACGTCGTGATGCACTCCCAACATCCATGCAGCGGGCAACTGCCCGCAGATCGGTGATACGGCATGCTTCCAGACAGGTGACACCCGGGTGGGTATTCCCCTAGTCACGGACGGGCCAACTCGCCCCCCTGCACCGCGCAGACAGTGGGCCCAGGATCTGAGCTTGTTGCTCCTGGGCGGCAACTACTACTCTCTAGACGCCCACCCAGGAATCAAATCCGGTAGCTGAAATTTGGTTGCATGGTGCTCGTTCGCCGGTGCGGAGAACTAGGCGCCACGCTCGAACCAAGTTGCTCTCCCCTCTTTGACAACGGGCCGAGCCGAGGTACAACACCGTGATATGCATGTTATACCCCCCTCCCGACCTGCCTGGGCCATGCTCTTGCAACTGTCGAACAAATTAACTTTTTGCATTTGCCAGGTTCTGAATCTACCAATCGCCAGGAGTTGGCCCCTTCGGTATTCGTCCCTGTCAGATCGCCACCCATCGGCAAATTTCCCAACTGCATAGTTGAACCGCACGCACAAGGTTGAGCCATGGCCCAGGGCGAGAAGCAGCGTGCGGGTTACAGCCAGTTCGCCTGCATCGGCAGCGGCTTCTCTGCCATTGGTCTCGGGGCGACGCTGAAGCGATGGTATGGCATCACAGACGTTCGCTTTTTTGAGCGCCACGATCAACTCGGCGGGACATGGTTTGCAAACCAATACCCAGGTAAGCTCGGTGTCCCCAATTTCCTCCACAGGGTCATGCGTATTGACATGACAGGCTGCGCGTGCGACGTCCCTAGCATTCTCTACAGCTTCTCCTTTGCGCCAAACCCCAAATGGACGCGAATTCTCGCCTCAGCCCAGGAGCTGTGGGAGTACCTGTACAAGGTTGCCAACGACTATGACCTGCCTTCCAAGATGAGGTTTGGGGTCGAAGTCGTCCGCTGTGAATGGATCGAAAGCACCAAGCGCTGGCGACTGGAGATACGGGACCTCGAGGACGGAGCCATCTTCTTTCACGAATGCCAGTTCCTCTTCAGCGGCACCGGCATCTTGGTCACGCCGCGCGAACCTGATATGCCCGGCATCGAGACGTTCAAGGGTCCCGTTTTCCACGCCGCGCGATGGCGCAAGGATGTCTCCTTAAAGGACAAGAATGTGGCTCTCATCGGCAACGGCTGCACCGCGTCCCAGATTGTACCAAAAGTCGTCGGTGAAACGCGCCACTTGACGCAGTACATCCGATCCAAGCACTGGATCATCCCTCCCATCGACGTGCCGCACACCAAGACCATCAGCTGGCTGTTCCAGTATGTGCCCGGTCTGATGGCGTTTGTTCGCTTCTGCGTCTTTCTCTACGCGGAAAACGACATGCGCGGCTTCTACATGACCAGGGCGGGCGAGCGGTACCGCAAGAGCCGCGAGCGCAATGCCACACGGTACATCCGCAAGACCGCCCCGGAGCGCTACCATGACCTGCTGATACCCGACTTTGAGATTGGCTGCAAGAGGAGGATCTTTGACCCGGGCTATTGCGAGGCGCTGCACGCGACCAACCTGGACGTGCTCGACGATCCCATTGAGGAGGTGCTGCCAGACGCGATCCGCACCAAGGGCGGCAAGGTCACCAAGGCTGACGTTATTGTTCTTGCCAACGGCTATTCGACAAACCAGTTCATGAGCGGCATCGAGGTTGTGGGCAGGAACGGCGTGACGATAGACAAGCACTGGGAGAAGTTTGACGGCCCCGAGGCGTACAACTGCATTGCTCTAAACGAGTTTCCGAATTTCTTCATGATCTTGGGTAAGTTTCCCCTGCTTACTGCACTGCATCTTTCACGCAGGTACTGGAAGAAGCTGACTAGATGTCAAGGCCCAAACACCGCCACTGGACACACGTCCACCATTATGGCCGCCGAAAACGGCATCAACTACGCCCTCCGCGTCATCAAGCCCGTGCTCGACGGCTACGCCGACACCGTCGAAGTCAAGTCCGAAGCTGAGGAGCGCTACTCTCGCCAGCTGCAGGAAGACCTTCACAAGACGGTATGGTGGGGAGGTTGCGTGAGCTGGTATAACGTGGCCGGCCGCAGCGGGAAGAAATGGAACTCGATGACCTACCCGCACTCGCAGGCGCACTACTGGTACAAGTGCCTGTTTCCCACGTACGAGGACTGGAGCTACACGGTATGTCGGGCCTCGGGCGGCTGGCCTTGGTTCCACCAGATTGATGACGGATCAATACTAATTGTCCTTAAACAGATGACTCCAGGCGCTGTGCGGCGAAAGTTCCTGCGACGAGCACTCAAGATTGTCCTTTGGTTGGGTGTTCTTGTCTCCGCGCTGGGCGTGGGTGCGTCTCTTCGCAAGAACAGCCATGGTCTGAACCAATATCTGCCCCATTTACTACAGGCGTATCAGGCAGTGCGGACGCGGCTCCCTTTCTGATGAGAAGAAGGCGAGGCTTGCATTGTCTAGACATAACGTCAGGATGTACAATACAGTTCTCTTCTTGTTTATGGTGGTCAATCTCATGAAACCAGATGCATATTGTTTCTCGCGTATCTAGCAGACCGCCCCCGCTTTCTGACTTACACGATCCAGCCACCCACAGGCTCATTGAGACATGTTGCTTCGGAATTGTTCGTCAAAGTGCCTTGCATAATTGCTACGACGGGAAACACTATCGGCCGTTGACTGCAACCCCTCCAACTTTGGTGCCGTTGGACAGCTGGCGCATGGCATCTTGCTTCTGATCACATGGGCCGGACCACGGAATAGCGCCGGAGCGGCGGCTCGGAGCAACTCCGTGTCTCCAACGATCGCCGGCACCCCACTCCGGCCCCAGATTCAGCTGTCCACCCCTTGCCACCAACCCCAGCTCGGGTCGGCGCTAGGAGCCGTGGCACCTGCCAGGCACTAGCGAAGCCTCTGGTGCGGGTTGGCGTCAAGTCCGAACGACCGACTTTGAATCCAAAGGTTCGGAAACCATCCCGGTGGTTTTCGCGGCAGATGCGGTCTTGTAGCTCACCGAAGTGTCGGGACAGTCCCGGCGCATCTGTGGCACGACTTGAAGTCACTCGCAAAAGCCATCCATTTCCAACATGATTGCCCAGGCCAACGGCAAGCAGAAGCGTCGCAAGATCTCACTGGCCTGCGAACCATGTCGTGAGCGCAAATCCCGGTGTGACGGCGTGAAGCCGATATGCTCAACGTGTCGCCGGCGGTCGCTCGGTCTGGAGCGCTGTGTGTACAAGTTGGAGAACGCGCGGACGGCCAGCACCGATGAGTATGTTTGCAGTTGCGGCGGCATGCCCGGCCATGTTGGTGCTAACTCGCTTCAACTCAGATACATCAAAGTTTTGCATGATCGCATACGTCGATTAGAACGGGCTTGTATAGACGCAGATGTGCCTCTGCCGTCTCTAGATCAAGAGCAGCTGCCTGACGCTGGCGCCGGTCCACATGCTGCGTCTCCATGTCCGGGAGAATGTGGTCACGACTTACCCAAGCACAGTGCTCCGGGCTGGACAAAACCTGCAACACCGTTCTCGGAACGTGGTGGTACTCCAGGGCCAGTCGACTACAGGAAAGTAACGCCGGGGCGGGCGAGCATCTCCCTCAACTCACCCAACAGCCTCGGCCAGCCGGACAATGGCCAGGGCCAGCCAGACGCCGACATGGCGCCCCAGGCTGCTCCCAGCAGCGTGTCCGCCATGGGGACGGTCATGACCGAGGACAACGTGAGCAGTTCTGAGGACTTTTACGGGAGCTCTTCCACGGCGGCATTCCTCAAGGAGGCATTCGACTCGATGAGAGACAAGGAGACCTCCGCGCCGTGTCTGCCCCGAGACTACACCCTCCAGGCTTCCCGGGATGTTGGCCGCGACTGGCGCCGCGATGCCTCGTACTACGTTCCTTCACATAAGTTCGCCCTTCCCCCACGAGAGCTGGCCGACCACCTCATGGACTGCTTTCGCAAAAAGGTGTACTACATGTACCCGTTCTTCCACCTACCATCCTTTGAGAACGCCTATCGTAGCCTGTGGCAGGCGAGTTCAGAACCTCGCGAGCCGTCCATCCCAGGCCTCGGACTGGGCTGCTACCCAGAGGCTGACGCCAACACAATATCCTTCCACTGCGCCCTCAACGCCATCTTCTCGCTGTCGTGCCACTACTCGGATCTGGGGCCCGCCGACAGGCTGGCCGCGTCGCACACCTTCTTCATGCGCACCAAGGCCTTTGTGGGGCTCGACCTTCTCGAGTCGAACAATCTGAGCGTCGTTCAGACGCTGCTAATTCTGGCAATCGCGCTCCAGAGTACCCCGTATCCGAGTCGATGTTGGAACGCGACAGGCGTGGCGTGCAGGGTCGCTCAGGGGCTGGGACTGCACACAGAGCACCGACAAGACACGCGGCGGGACCTGGAAAAGGAAGTGCGCCGCAGGACGTGGTACGGATGTGTTACCATGGACATGTAAGAGCTCCATCCACAAAGACAGTGCGCGGCTGTGACATGGCTGACCGCATCTGACAGGCTCGTGAGCATGACATACGGGCGGCCGACCATGACAACGCACATATCCCTTCTCCCTCTTCCTACTGGCAACGAAAGCGACTCGCCAAACGAAAAGTCCCGCGCCGTGCAGAACCAGCAAGCAGTTCCGCGATTTCGGTTTTACCACGAGAGCGTCCGCTTGTGTCGCATCCTAGAGGAGATTCTGTCCAAGGTGTACCAGCCATGGATGAACCGTGAGGATCCAGGCTTCCCATTGCCATCATCAGCAGAGCAGCCTAAGTCCCACAACCTGGATACAATCTTCAAGCTGCATGAGAAGCTCTCTGAGTTTGAGGCATCCCTCCCTGATGATCTGTCATGGCACGAAGACGCCAAAATGAGCCCGGGGTCAGAGGAGGATCGCACGTTATTTGCTGCGCAGAGGGAACTCCTTCACGCCCGGTAAGCCCTTTCACACAAGAGCTTCGCATGTCTATTCGGATATGACTGACTAGACCAGGTTCATTTATCTGCGCATCATGCTCCTCCGCCCTGTACTCACACAGCTCGCCGCCAAGGAGCGCCACAAGACAGCAGACAGGTCCACGTTCAAGCCCTTGTCGGATCCAATCTTGGCTGGGATGACCCTCCAATGCTCTCGCATGTGCGTAGAAGCCGCCATAGAGCTATTGCAACTCATTCACGGCACATACAACTCTCACACTACCGGCGCTTGGTGGTGGGATGTGCTCTGTAAGTTTTCTTTTCCCGATCACGACTGCGTTAAACTAACGCGCCGCAGACGCTTCGACCGCAGGAACAGTTCTTATCATCGCCAAAACCTGCCCGTTCCTCCTTCCTTCGCTCAGCCAGTCGCAGATGGCTCAGTCATGGGACGAGTGCCAGGACATACTCAAATGCGTCGCCTCATTCAACACCTGCGGCCAGCAGTCGCTCAAACTCCTGCAAACCATCTACACCAAGGTCTCAGCCAAACCGCTTCGTACGTTTACCATGCCTCACGCACGTTTCAGGGCTAACCAGGTCGCCGGCAGACAATCCGACGGGTCCCACGCAGGCAGCAAATGCAGGATCGCGAGGCGAGTATGGTGCTGCAGTCTTGGAGAACAGCGGCTACGATCTCAATGCCGAGTTTTGTCTTGAAGCAAGCCAAGAGCTTCAGGGATTGGAGAGCTTCGACACCATGGACTCGTTCTTTCAGTGGGAAAAGTCAACCTTTGATAACATGGGCACGGCAGCCTTTTTCTGAAAGGCCCAGATGCACGAGGCAGCCTCTTACGCGTCACGAGTTTCCACTTGAATATACCCAATGTATGTCTTTGTGCCATAGAATACATGCCAGGGGTCTGTCTATGGATGCGACCCCTGGTCATACATGATTACAATATGTTTCGTACATGTAAACCCCCACCCAGTCTATGCAGAGTTGCCCGTTCCCGACACCAGCAACACAACGCTACCCAGCTGCCTCCGGACGTCCTCCTTGTTCACGTCGTGGGTGTCCTCCACCTCACCCCACTGCGTTGCTTGCCAATCCACCTCAAGGCTCACAGCCTTGGCGGCTTCCTCGATCCCAAACTTGTAGTCCGCGTTGAGCTCGCGCTTGCCGATAGGGCCTTCGCTCCACGCCGAGATGAAGCGAGCTGCAGCAACGAGGCTCTTACCCGCGAACGTCGCCCGCTCCAGTCCGGCAATCTCCCACGGGCTGAGACCCTCGACCCAGCCCTGCACCACCTCTCGCACGCCCTCGGGCTGCTTTCGCGGGAGGATCTCGTGTCCGTCTAGAACAGGCTCGATGGTGATGCCAGGCCAGACATGCGTCGTCAGGAAGGAGACTGTTTCTTCCGCAACCTGCTTTTGTACATCTCGCAGCGATTCGCCAGCGTCGTTGCGGAGGTCATAGTCGCCGGCTGGCGGAGCCCAGCACAGCAGTGAGTCGGTGTCGAGGTATCGCATCACCGTAGTGGCGATTTCTTTCCGGGTCTTGGCGGTGCCTGACGGGCTGGAGGCATCATCCTCGGCGATGTCGACCGCTCGGCAGACGAGGCTTGTAAGGGGTATCAAATGTTGTTTCGTCGCTTGCTGGGCCGAGGTCAAGACGTCCCACTCGAGCGCGATGGCGGCGGCCAGGTTCGGTTTCGAGGTGGGCAATCGGATGATCTCTTTTGTTTGAGGATGCCGCAATGGCCGCGAGTCTAAGAAAATTTGCAGCGAACCTTCGCCTCGTTTAGCATGTGTCTGGCGGTTATTCGGGTCGAATGGCGCAGAGCCCGGGTTACTCACCGTCTACCTCCTGGATGCTAACATCCTTCCAAAATCTCTTCCGCAGGGTTGTCTGCTTCCCGTCCTTGGCATTTCGAATGACCTTGGCGGCTTTGAGCATCTCCGCCTGCTTCTTGCGGCGCTCGACTCGCTCGTTGATGTTTCGAGCCGCGGGAGTCGGCGGCTCCGGCGGCGGGCCAGTTCCGACAATCGGTGCGACATTGGCGGCCTTTGCGACGGTGCCATGGAATGGGCGCACAGTCGGCGTCCCCTTGATGGCCCGCGGTAGTAGTCGCAGGGGCAATTGATTTGGCGGCCTCATGGTTGCGGTTCAGGACCTGGGTTGAAGAATGGGCTTGGAGAAAATTCGCGGTCAGCCGCGGTGTGGCAGCTCTTTAGGCGATGATGTAAGTCGAGGCGCGCCGGTCACCTTTCTCGGTGAGGGCCCGCTATTGGCCACTCACCGAACACTGTCCAGTCCGAGGGGCAACGCCCAACGCTCCAACCTCAACCTCTTTTCCGTGGTTAAATTTACAATATTCAAGCACAGGGCCTGCTACGCGACATGTGTACTACAATAAAATGTAAAACATTGACATTCAGTGCCCCTCCAGCCTCGCTGGAAGGGCGTGTCAACGGTGGTGTTTGAGTCGAGGTGGGGTATCACGTGACGCCCCCCTTCATCCCTGAGCCCGCCCAAACTGTCAACGTGGTGATATCTGGAGCCTCAGCCATAGCCACCTTGGACAACCCACGACCACCCTCCTCCAAACCAGTCGCCCAAGATGAGCTACGGCAAAAAGGACGAGGATGCGGACCTGGGCCTGGTCAAGGTGGACCGCACCCAGGTCTTTCAAGAAGGTGAGCCAGCAGCAATTGGCGCCACGACTCGCACGGAGCTTAGCTAAACTGGCGGACAGCGCGTCTCTTCAATAGCTCACCGATCCAACCTCGACGATGTCGCATCCTCCTGACCAAGATCGCTCTGCTGCTCTACACCGGCGAGAAGTTCCCGACCAACGAAGCTACGACCCTTTTCTTCGGAATCTCGAAGCTGTTCCAGAACAAAGATGCCAGTCTCCGACAGATGGTCCACCTTGTCATCAAGGAGATTGCCAACTCGGCCGAGGACATCATCATGGTCACCAGCACCATTATGAAGGATACCGGCGGCAGCAGCGACGCCATCTTCCGCCCCAACGCGATCCGAGCTCTGTGCCGCATCATTGACGTACGTCGGCCGCCTCACAAGCGCCTTGTCGGGCCCCTAACTGACTTCACCGCCTACAGGCAACCACGGTGCAATCGATCGAGCGAGTTATGAAGACTGCGATTGTGGATAAGAACCCCTCTGTCTCTTCCGCCGCGCTGGTTTCTTCCTACCACCTGCTTCCTATCGCCAAGGAGGTCGTGCGCCGATGGCAGAGCGAGACCCAGGAGGCCGCGGCCTCGACCAAGTCCAGCGGTGGCTTCTCGCTCGGATTCTCGTCGTCGAGCGGCCAGATGCCGATGAACAATTCGACCATGGCTCAGTACCACGCGATTGGCTTGCTCTACCAGATGCGCATGCATGATCGCATGGCGTTGGTCAAGATGGTCCAGCAGTTTGGTGCCGCGGGCGCGATCAAGAACCCCGCGGCCACCGTCATGCTTGTCCGTCTTGCCGCCCAGCTGGCGGAGGAGGACGCTTCGCTGCGCCGACCCATGATGCAGCTTCTCGACGGGTGGCTGAGGCACAAGAGCGAGATGGTCAACTTCGAGGCTGCCAAGGCTATCTGCGACATGAGAGATGTCACGGACAACGAGGTCACCCAGGCCGTTCATGTCCTGCAGCTGTTCCTTACCTCCCCGCGTGCCGTCACCAAGTTTGCCGCTCTGCGAATCCTTCACAACTTCGCGTCGTTCAAGCCTACCGCCGTCGCCACGTGCAACCCCGACATCGAGCTCCTCATCTCCAACAGCAACAGGTCGATCGCCACCTTTGCCATTACCACGTTGCTCAAGACTGGCAATGAAGCTAGCGTGGACCGATTGATGAAGCAGATCTCGGGCTTCATGTCCGAAATCACCGACGAGTTCAAGATCACGATTGTGGAGGCCATCCGCACGCTCTGCCTCAAGTTCCCCAACAAGCAGGCTGGCATGTTGACTTTCCTGAGTGGCATCCTACGCGACGAAGGCGGTTACGAGTTCAAGCGCGCAGTCGTGGAGAGCATGTTTGACCTGATCAAGTTCGTCCCCGACTCCAAGGAGGAGGCACTCGCCCACCTCTGCGAGTTCATCGAGGACTGCGAGTTCACCAAGCTGGCCGTACGCATCCTCCATCTTATCGGGCTGGAGGGTCCCAAAACTGCTCAGCCGACTAAGTACATCCGCTACATCTACAATCGTGTGGTTCTCGAGAACGCAATTGTTCGAGCCGCCGCCGTTACTGCCCTGGCCAAGTTTGGTGTGGGCCAGAAGGACCCCGATGTCAAGGCCAGCGTCAAGGTGCTCCTCACGCGATGCCTGGACGATGTGGACGACGAGGTGCGCGACCGCGCTGCTCTGAACCTGAAGCTCATGGGCGAGGAGGACGACGAGATGGCCCGCAACTTTGTCAAGAATGGTACGTACTCTCTGTTTGCCGACCGCGGACTCAGGCTGACTGATAGCAGACAACATGTTCTCTCTCCCGGCGTTCGAGCACCAGCTTGTCATGTATGTCACGTCAGACGACAAGTCCGCCTTCGACGACCCCTTCGACATCACCAACATTCCTGTGGTCACTCGGGAGCAGGCCGACGCCGAGGACCGCACTAAGAAGCTCACTGCTACGGCCCCGACGTTGAAGGCGCCCAAGGTTGGTCCGACGAAGACGCCTGCCAGCGGAGCGGAGGCTGCGGCCACTGCTTCTGCCCAGGCTCAGCGCTACGCCGAGGAACTGATGCAGATCCCCGAGATGAAGGAGTTTGGCCACGTCCTGAAGTCGTCGCCTGTTGTTGAGCTCACGGAGGCCGAGACCGAGTATGTGGTGGCGCTGGTGAAGCACATCTTCAAAGAGCACATCGTTCTTGAATACGAGGTCAAGAACACGCTGCCGGATACCGTCCTCGAAAATGTCTCAGTGGTTGCCACGCCGTCAGAGGAAGACGAGCTCGAGGAGCTCTTCATCATCCCGGCGGACAAGCTGGCGACGAACGAGCCCGGCAAGGTCTACGTCGCGTTCAAGAAGATCAACGGCGAGGGCTCGCTGCCTGTCACATCTTTCTCCAACATCCTCAAGTTCACCAGCAAGGAAATCGACCCCTCGACGAACGAGCCCGAAGAGACGGGCTACGACGACGAGTATGAAGTCTCCGAGTTTGACCTTGCCGGTGCCGACTACATCGTCCCGACATTCGCCAGCAACTTCAACCACCTCTGGGAGCAGATTGGCGCCTCTGGAGAAGAGGCAGAGGAGACCCTGCAGCTCAGCGGGCTCAAGAGCATCGCCGGTAGGTTTCGACTCGAATGGACGGCCAAGGGGAAGTTACTGACGAAGTTTCTAGACGCGACGGAACAGCTGGCAAAGACGCTGTCACTGCAGCCGTTGGACGGCACGGATGTGCCCATCAACCCGAGCACGCACACGCTCAAGCTTCTTGGCAAGACGGTCGGTGGCGGTCGGGTAGTGGCCACGGTGCGGATGGCCTACTCTTCAAAATCGGGCGTGACGACAAAGATTACTGTCAGAAGCGAGGAGGAGAACGTAGCAGCGTTGGTGATTGCATCGGTGGCATAAAAGGGACGTCGGCGTTGAGGATATTAATGTATGACGGTTAGAAGCCAGCCCGAGCCCGGTTGAGGCTTGGAAATGTCACGATGATTACTCTTCACGGAAGGCTATGTGAGGTGTGATGGGGATGGGGACGTGGAGCGGGTCCACGATGTGTGGCGCTGATGGCGATGATTCAAGAAGGCTCCAGGGACGATTGACGCAAATTCATGATGTTTTCATGCAGTAAATGGCCATCGCTGTACGGAAATGCATCTCATCAATCATCTGTTCACATTCATACGCAGGCGAAATCACATATCCTCCATCTTATATACCTGGTAGGCTGGCTCCTCGTACGGGTGTGCGCTATCGCGAGCAGTCAGACCAGCATCGCCATGGCGGCAACAAAATTTTGGGACGCACGATTTGAGAGCCTCTACGGCCTTGCGTGCCACGTCGGTGCCGACGCAAAGGGTCTCGACGCGCACCTCGGGCGTCTCCTCGAGGGCGCCGACGGTGCCGATGTGCGGGTTGGCGGCGTCGCCGGGTCGGAACTGGCCCGTGCCGGCGGCGGACCAGCAGCACTCGGTGTAGTTGCCCGCGCCGGGGTAGCGCCCCGCGCCGGCGCCGAAGATGGCGGCCTTGCAGGCGGCGACGGCGGCCGGGGGCGCGTAGAAGACGAGGGTGTAGCGGGCGAGCGATGAGGTCATTGCGCGGATGGGGCGGCTTCTTGCGTTGGCGTGTTTCGATGAGTGAGATGATCGGGATTCGGGCAAGGGAGGGAGGGTGTGGTTGATGCAAGGCGGCTGGGTTGGGTGACTCTGGGCTTGTTGCGGAGCTGAGTTGGGCAGTGTTGAGCAGCGTGAGGCATCAACGGTGGCTTTGTGGCGTTGTCGGACAATATCTACAGCACGGTTGTTCCTCCTTTGATCTGAAATAACAGGGTGGCTTAATGGGAAGTCTGACCCCGACTCCTCAACGAACGCCTCAACCACACAGCATTGTAGTGCCTGGGTGATTCTTATGTGAATGTCTTGAGAGCTCCAGTGTGCAGGGTAGCAGCGGCATTTGGGCTCTGCAAAGCGTAATCGCAGACACGGATTCCATGCTCCAGCAGGTGTATGCGAACATGCAGCGACAGTCGCTGCGGGATGCTCAAGGTCTATCACCTCCTATGCACACGGAAGCCGTGCCATCCGGGGGGAGCGAAGCACTTCATGGAGGCTAAACACACATTCCACGACGCTCATTCGCACGATGCAAACCACCACCGCCCTCGAGACGGACACACAGAAACTCCCAACAAAAACCTCTCATGCCCGCATATCGCCAGCCGCCTCGCTGCTCACGCGGGAGCGCAGGGCCCGTCACACGGGCGTTGCCATTCTGGGGGTGTGTCGCGAGGCCCATCTCACGTGTCGAACCGCTGGCGAAATTGCGGCAGCGAAAGAGGCACATCGCAGCGCCAGGTTGCCTCGGCCAGACGGGCCTGGGGGGGCATCTCTGCGGGGTTTCGCGCGCAAAGGGCACTGTGGAGAGAGGGCTAAGGGCGCTGATCGAGCGGGCGACGGGGGCATCTGTTGGGCGCAAGTCTCCGTGTGTGCGTTCGCGCCGGCGCGACGTAGGTAATAAGATGTGCTGCACCGCGACGCCCGGCTGTCCGGGTTGCTCGCAGTCCCCGTCCTTGTTTCGGCTGCGCGGTGGAATTTGCGCGAGCCTTTTCGCATCCTGCCTGTTTTCTTTCATCTCGCAAAGGACTGTTTCAATCAGCCACATCACTCAACACTCCCGTCCTGTGCTCGGGTCAGGGGCGGGCAGCTGTTTTTAGGAGCACGGCAGGGCGACTTAGTACTTCCAGGCTCTGGCGCCCGGGCGTGTGTTCGCGCGACTCCCGACGCTTTCCATCGAATGTTTCACAGCTAAAACGACAGCCACACGACGCGCAGGGCGGGCGACTGCTCACCTCAACCGTCCTTCCCGGCGACACGGAGGTGGTGGGGACCAAGACGGGTCTAGCGACACAGGCAGGGCAGGTGCTTGTACCTCCGTACCCGCCGTACCTTTCCTGCTCTGAGTGAGGACCCTGGCGGGTGCGTCTGGCCGTCTTCAGCCTGGTGGTGGTACCTGAGGTTAGTACGTGAGCTCCGCGCCACCCGCGAGTACCATGCTACTTGCGCTCGGCCGCCCTGTCTCGTCTCCTGCCTTGCGCGACCTCCTGACAAAAACGCCAGATCGTCATCGTCGCCCAGTCAGCCAGCTTTCCTCCGTCTCGCGACACACCTCAGCAATCTCGCCACGCCGCGCCCAGCACCGACGACGGCGATACCCGTGGCGATAATCACGGCACTCTCGACTGTCTGAGGCCGCGCCCGCGGCTCTCGTGACAACGGCGGCCGCCATGAACGCCATCCAGCAAAAGTGCCGGCCCAAGCACCAGGTCCTGGTGCTCAAGTGCTACCCGCGCACCTCAAAGGGGGCCGTCGACGTCAAGCCCAACAGCAGCGAGCTGAGCTACCTGCTCTTCTACGCCACCAACCGCCGCTCCAAGATCCAGAAGATCGGCGCGTTCCTCGAAAAGAAGACGGCCAGCGATGTCTGGCGCATGCGCATTGGGTACGTCGTCGACTCCTTGCCCCTCCCCGGTGCATCCGCCCACTTCTTCTGCGTCTCCCAACTGACCGTGATACTTGACAGCAACGTGCAGGTGACGCTCGGAATCCTGGCGGCCCTCGTCGAAAAGTCGCCGAAAGATGTCGCCCTCATCGCCCCGTGCATCCTTCGCGTGCTCGACCTCGTCCTGCGCTCCGACGACATCACCATGATTGAGTCCTCGCTGCCGACGTTCGAGGCCTTTTGCGAGCACCACGAAGCGTCGTCGCTGTTCGCCGACCACTCGTACCTGCAACAGTATCAGGCCATTGTGCGTTCATACGCGCAGCTGGCATCGTCACGCCATGAGCCGGCCAAGGGTGGCCCTGTCAGCCGACCCGTCCAGCTCCGCTGGCGGAACGCCGGCCTCGACGCCATCAAGTGCGTCGCTTCCTCGGATGCACTCTCGTCGGTCGTCGGTCGCCAGGTCGACGTGATTGTCCCCATGATATTGGAGAATATGTGGACCGACGACGACCACTTTCTCGATCTGCTCTATGGCCGCGTACAAACAGGGGAGAGGTCAGAGGCAGACAAGATGTTCCGTCGGAGGAACAGCGTCAACACTGTCAGGACTGCCGATACGGCGGGCGACACGAATCCACTGGCCATCTCCGGCACCGCAATGGACGTCGACAAGATTGCCGAGGAGGATATCGGGGTGCTTGCCATGCAGTGCCTGAAGAACATCTTTGTGGTCCCAAATAGGGCGCAAATCCACATGACCACCTTCTCTCTGCTCAAGTTCATCTCGCAGAGGGTAGCGCAGGGCGAAGACGTTGTTGTCCCCGCGGAAAAGGGCGAAGAAAGTGACGGTGGGTGGGCAATCAAGATCTACGGCATCGTCGCAAGCTGGGCGCCAGTGCAAGATCGCTATGTTATCCTGGTTGCAGCCCTCGAGACGATGATGAAGACGCCCGTAAAGGACGATACTCTCAAGCAGCACCTGACCCTGACGGCAATGATGCGGTCCCTGCTGAGGTCGGACACGAACCTGATCGGCCTGAGCATGATGGACGTGCTGCTCGGCCTCGTCAAACAAACTAAGAGGTTGTTCCAGCTTCACAATGGCTCCGCCCACGATGGCAGCCAGAGCGAGGAGAAGACCGACGCCGAAAAGGAGCCCCCGAACAGGGCGCAGCGCAAGGACCTGCTTCACCAACTGGAAAGATGCATAGGCGACCTTGCAACGCACGTCTACTACGCGGATCAGATTTCAGACATGGTCTCGGCCCTGGTCAGCCGTCTCAAGCCCGGCCGAACCGCCAGCATCAGCTCCCTTGCTGACAAGCGCGACGCCAACGAGAATGGCGGACCGGCCTCGTCTACCGTCGATTTGCCCGGTCGCCAGTCGCCGCCATCCGACACGGCCTTCTCGTACAAGAGGAGTAAGGTGTCTGCGTTGAGGGTGATCAAAGCCATCCTGCTCGTCGCGAACCCCAAGACGCGCATGAGCGGAAACAAGGACCTTTCCCGAAACCGCGTCCCAGTCACGGTTTGGGAGGGGACGCAATGGCTCCTACGAGACCCGGACGGTCAGGTGCGGAAGGCATACGTTGACGCACTCGCGACGTGGCTGGATCGGGAGACAGTCAAATCGGACGCAGACGCGCAGGATGACGCCAGCCTGCAGCCACGGCCGTCCGTCAAGCACAGCCGTGATGTACCGAGCACGCGGCGAGCGGTGTCAGGCGCTTCAAAGGGCGAGAGGCAACCGAGGGCTCGGCGGTCACAATTCCTGCCGCTGCTGCACCTGGCCATCTACGACAGTGCACTTCAGTTCGTCGACTTTGACAGCGACATTGCCTTCCTGCACAATCTACTCACAAGGCTAGTCTTCAGGCTGGGCGTCAACGCAACTCGGTATGGCATTCCTATGATCTACCGCTTGCAGGAAGACATTCTGGCGCTTGATCAGCCGATTCACAAAGTTCGGATCGCTGCTTTGTGCCACGGATACTTCTGGGCTCTGACCGAGATGTTCGACTTTGAGTCGTCTGTTGTTGGCCGCGCGATCCAGAACGAGATTATCCGGCGCAGAAGCAAGGGCTTCTGGGTTCAGGGGATCCAAGTTCCGCCGCCTTCGCTCGATCAGCTTGGTACGCCCGGCCACGCCGGACCGCCGCCTACGTGGGACCTCAGTGCGCTCGAGACAGAAGAGCTGCTGCCTTTTGACGACCGGACGTCTCTCGTCGAATGCGTCTCCACTGGCTACAGGGAGAGCACCCTGTCTCCCCCCGCCAGCCCGGCCGCCTCGCCAGGGCGCTCTCACAACACTCCCATTCTTGGATCGAGCATGAATTCGTTGCCCACTGGCGAACTTGGCCATGAGATGCCCAGCATCTTCCGCGACAACATGCTCGCCGAGTGGTCGAGGGACTCTGCCATTTCAGCGCTGGCTGAGGGCAAGACTGAGTCCATTACGGGTTCGAAGACGGGCACCACGGGGACGAACCAGAATCGGCTCACGATCAACACAATCGGAGTCAATGGAGGCGGTTACCAACCAGCCTCGCCGTTTGGTAGCATGCGCAACCTGCGACCGCATTCGTCTCAAATGCACGGCGACCGGCTCAACTCAATGACGAAGCTCCGGAAGACGAGCATGCGTAGCGCCGTATCGCCGTCGGTCTCTGAGTCTAGCAAAGGAGGCATAGCCTCTGTCGAGCAGTTGAAGATGATCTTGGCAGGCAATGTTTCGCCACAGACGGCGGGTATCCCTGGTGTCGACGACGACGACAGCGACGATAGCATGGTCAGTTTCGAATACACGCCGTCAGAAGAGGAGAGCTTTAGCCCGGCCACGCAGCCGGATAACGCCGGGACGACGGGGGACGCGTTAAGCAGGACCATTTCGGGGTCGAAGTTCAAGGGGCTGGGGCCGTTGTCATCGAACCCGACCTATCAGGTCAACGGCGAGGACGAGGACGACGTGCCTCCTGTTCCGCCGTTGCCGAACCTGAGCTCTTTGTCGAACAAGGGGAGCATCCTGCATGGCGACGTCTCTGTGCACGACTATGCTGGCAGCTCTGGCCGACGAAACCTCAGCAGCCGTGGCGGAGATAGTGTGCGAGCCAAGTCTCTGCGGTCTCGAGACGATGGTCGGGGCATGGATCTGCAGGATCTCCTCCGTGGTATCGACAGCAGGGCTGGGGAAGGCAGCCTCGGGAACCTGACGAAGCCGCCCTACTGAGGTGCGGCCACGGACCGAAGGGGGGGTAATTCAACAATTGGGGAGGCCATCAACAACTGCTTCGAGAATACGGTATGATACGGGTTACATCTCGCCTGGAGTATGCGGGAGCTGAACAGGGAGCGCACGCTCGTGTGTGGAGGACAAGAAGGCCTCGGAGACGACGCAGTGTGGAGGAGGTAATATGTTGCGCATGTATGACTAGGGCCATGGCGTGGTGATTTGCATCCATCTTTGGGTGCGCAAAAGTCCTTGCCCAATGAAGTAATGAAGGCCCAGGGAAGCCGGTGGCCGCGTGGAGGACAGGTATATACATTCGACCGAGCCAGTAGCGTTGCGAGCGATTAGACCAGCGAATACTGACTGACTTTTGTGTCATCTTGCGAGCCTCCACCCCGAATGAGCAGCCCAGAGGAGTGTGTCCGGCAAGTTCCATCCGCGGCGGAGGACGTCTCCGATGTCCCTGCCTCCTGCGCCCTAACAAGTCGTGTAACATGTCGCCAAGGGGGGACAGCCGGACGCCCGGTCTGCCAACCTGCAGCCTCGGACGCGGTGTCACGATGCACACGCGCTGGGCTTGGGATGGAAGCGTATGGGGGGCGCGGCGCGGCGGATTGGCAGGCAGGCAGGCAGGCAGGCAGGCCGGCAGGTAGCCGCCCATGCCTTGCCCATAGAAGGGGGGAGGGAGAGAGGGTTACGAGCTGGAGAGCACACATACCTGTCCGAGAGGGGGGTGGTTGCGAGCTGAGGTTCACTGGGGGATCGTGACGGTTACACGGCAGGAGGTGGATGGACGGGTCGTCGCCGGGGGGTTCGGATGGCGGGGTGACCTTGGGGACTGGTTGCCTACATGGGATGTGTTGGGTTTCACACACACACAGAGAGAGAGAGAGATGGACCGGTGGGTAGGCTGCCGGTGGGATGGACATGTTGCGCTGAGGACGGGGAAAGCGACTTATGATGTTCTATTGGCGACGAAGAGAATGCCCTGAGTGTTGCGTGGCATTTGACCACACTTATCTGGCAAACACAACAACCCTAGGAACCAGACCGGGCGCGTATACCCTCCCGGCGCTGCATATCAGCCATCAGTTCAGCTGAAGGCGAGATACGAGAACGACGAAGGGCGAGTCCGTGCAGGAAGGGGTGATGTAACGTATATGAGGCATTCGCGTATATGCGGCGTGGTGCCATTATAGCTCATCTTTGTAGGGCGGGAGAAGAAATACCATCTGTGTCGAGCTGAGGGGAACTGGAGGCGGGAGTTGACGCAGAAACCACGAGCTGAGATGCGGTCATCCCCATGTATTGGTTATTGGAAGTTGTTGAGTCAAGGCAGGGATGACTGCAAGGGTGCTGGTTCGGACCGGCTCAGACATTATTGAAGAGTTGTGATCCGAAAGATGCTGCATGATAACGGAGGGGGTTAGAGTATATATCATTGACATAGCTTGTGCCCTTAATCCCGAGTCTACGCTGCGACCGCGCGTACAAGCAGCTAGCTGTCCAGCAATCTTGCCACCAGACGCCTGCATTAGTGTTGCTTCCCGAAACCCCCTACGTGCACAAAGTCTCTTGCCGCTCCTCGTTTATCCAACAGGGCGCGCTGTCATGAGAACACTAGAAACGCCATGTTATCATCGCGAAAGGAAATGTCGACACAGGACTGGGAGGGGGGCAAGAGCGCCTTACCATGCCGTTGCTGCAAGGCATCCATAAGCTCCAGTGGCACATGCCGTTGTTTACCACGCTCCGCCAGCCTTGCTCGTTCAGCATGCATACGTGCTCGCCTTTTATGACGCCGCATAGCTAAGAGTTCCGACGGTTCATTTATTGTTCTGACATCGGGCGACACTCCACTTACTCCTTGATTACTCCATTTCCTCGCCTCGATTACGGCCCCATCGCCGTGGTGCGGCACGAATGTAAGGAGTGCGAGAAACAGTAGCCTGTACATCGGGGCTCTTGAACGTGCACAAATTTCACACCAAAGTGATTGATGATGATGATGTAACGTGGGATGATAGCAGGGTAACCCCGAATGCTCCGTCCAAGGCTTGATTCGAGAAAGGAGCAACCCCATAGCAGGCGTGCGTTATCTATATCACTTCAATACTACGGCATATCTTCCTCCCGTGAGCTAATTCCATGATACGCTCTGACCATGGGACTGCGAAACTTACGTACTCAGGTTAGAGGATGACCAATTACTGATGAATCTATGTGCCCTCTCCACGCGGAGCGGTGCGGCTCTTGCGTCTTACTTTGGCGGTTTCGTTTTGCCACCGCGAGGTCGACGAGCTCTTGGGTTGAGGCGAAACTGGCGCCTGCAAACCTTGTGGGCGGGCACGTTGAGCATTCTTGGCTGTCCTGTATGCTGACCTTGCGTCTACTGCTGACGGCAGAAGCCCACAAGCACTCTTAAGCTCGGTTGACGTTGCGCGTTTTCCGAATCGCGCAGTACCGGCAGTTTAGTTCAAAATCGTGCGTGCCGCGCTTCTTGAAGCATAGACGCAGTAGACTTCGCTGTAAGCCTGCAATGTAGTCCATATGCACGGCCCATTGTCGCACATGGTGACATGACCCTACCTCCTTGTGGCAGGGGCCTGATGGAGAGACTTACAATGCTAGTGTGACCTGAACGCCACATTTGAGAAACCGAAACTATTATATAAGAGCATTGGATCGGAAACTTGTGGTTGAATACGTTCAGCATGGAAAATGCCAAAATGGCTCCACGCGCGGGCCTGCAGCGCGATTCTCAACGTATTCCGGTCCAGTCGCGGCAGCTGTGCGATCGGATTCTAACCGCCTCGACCATCACAGCTGTCAGCTGCCCCGCAGATCCAATTGGCAGTTATCTAGCTAGGTAGTGGGTAGAGCGCAAGCGTTCCGAAGACAGGACGACATGACAGATGGCATTGCATGTCTGGACAGAGTCGATCGACGCGTTGCGCTTCTTGGCACGGAGGTGCAGACTGCAGAGATCGCGGGCCGGGCGGGATGATCTGATAACGAATGTCGGTAGCCCACGTGGGATGGCGCGGCTTGTCAGAACTCAAGCACACACGCACGCAGGCGGCATGCAGGTCCAAGAATGGGTCTCTTTCGGGTCTTCCTGCCTAAAGCAAGCAAAACCAGCCCGGCCGGCTCTGCAGCGGACGCGCCGCGAAACCTGGCACGCCTAGGGCCCTTTTGCTTTTTCTTCCTGCCGCGAAGCGGGAGCTCTACATTAGCAGCATGCGCCAGTGGCGATGGGGCACACATAAGTGCCGCCATGGTCCGGGGCGCGCGCGCGTGTGCTGCCGGCAGTGGCAACTTGTGCGAAACGAGCCTTGCACGAGAATGGCAGTTCTTTGTCCCTCGGTTGGGGTTGGCAGGGAGAGCGCTGCCCTCTCGTGGCCGCGGCAGAAAATGAAGTCATCGGTGGCGGGCCGCTCGTTTGGATGTTGCCCCGCGGTGTAAGTGCCTGGCAAGGGAGAAAAAGCCGACGCCGGGTTGCGTGTCGAGTCTCGACCCCCCGACGAATGGCTTGCTGGCGGAGGACCAACCGCCGCACTGGAGCCCAAGATAAGCAACTGGGTTGACCGGGACTCGGCGCATATGCATGCCGTGTACCTTGCAGCGAGGTCATGGGGTGGTGGTGGTCACTGGTCACTGGGGGTGGCAGCGTCGGCGGCGATGGTGATGGAGGTGGAGGAGGAATGGGCCGCGAGTGTGAGTGCGTGTCGTTTCAGGACCTGGAGAAAATGGGGTCGAGCAGACGGGGCCGCGCGGTCGTGCTTCCGGAGAGGACGGGACGAGGCGACATGTTGAGGAGACTATCGACGGGCCGCTCCCGGGAAGGGCTGGGGCGACAAGTTTACACGCAGATGGGCGGAGGGACCATAGCGGGAGGACTACGAACGGGTTCCTTCGTGGGCCACCTACCTGAACAGCTAACATTAGTATGCCAGTACGCACACGCCCACCTTGACTCGGGACTCAGAAACGGGACTTGGCAAAAGGACGATGCCGCGCCGTATTACGTGCGCCAGCGTCGCATTCGAGGATTTTCGCGGGGTGGTGGTGGTGATGGTGGTTCCTCTACTCTTATTTTAGCTGCTGCTGTCCGCGGGTTTTCACGGCGGGCGAGCCAGCGAGCGAGCCGGCGACTTTTCTGGTCTTATTATTTTGGGTGACCGACATCCGGCGGCGGGTTGTGGGACGGCGGGACTCCCTCGGTCGATGCTGGGGTTTAGCGCGATCCCACGTGTGGTGGAGGGGATGATGGGTGGATGGGTGGATGGATGACGACGGAGGAGGGTGTGTGTGTCTGTGTGTGTATGTGAGTGCTGTCATAAATCGCGATTCATGTCTTGTGTGCTCTTGCGACGGTGGACGCAGACACGAGCCCGTCCCAAGTTTCGTGATGCGCGGATATTCAATTATTCACAACACGCAGTCAACGGGTCCGGGATGCCACGTCTCAGACAGACATACCTAGGACAGGCCTGCTCCGAGCGAGCGGGTGCCCAATCGGGCCGCCTGGCGCTCGCGGCGCTGGAGACGGGCAGCCTGCAGCCCGCCCGTTTGCGTGCGACGACGAGCGAGCGAGCGAGCGAGTGAGCATGGACTGGGATGGATGACGGTAATACTGTGAAGTTCGAGATGTACTGTAGTATGTGCTGTAGCAGCTCAATCGTTGTTCAGACAGCGCTCGCAGGCCTGATCACACCGGGAACGCCGACCGCTGAGGTGCCTATTGTTGAATGCTTCACCCAATCTCGGCGACATGACAGATACAGACAACATCGCGGCAGATCCTGCGCCCATTGGCTTGGAGCCCTCATTCAGATTTTACCTACCTTCCTTAACTACAGTGCTCCTCCGCTTACGTGTTGCAGTGCCCGTAGTCGAGAGCATCGTGCATCACATGCAGTTTCTGTGGTTGAATCCTGGAAGCTAACGCAGGTGATATCGACAGTGCTAACCCGGGAGAGGCATCAGAGGCGCGGGGCGAGGGGGTGGAAGTCGAGAGAGCGCACGGTGTGTGTGATTGAGAGAGAGATCCTGCAGCTCCAAGCGTCGTGTATGTACAACGACATCATTGCAGACTCGTCTGCCCCTAATCGCAAGCCCTTCGACAAAACCTTTTACGATTCGCACCCACGTCGAAAAAACAAGGGCGATCTCGCGCGTTGAGACAATGCCAATGCGACACATCACCCACGTCGCTCCCCTAGGCAGGCCGTCCATCCTCCCACGGACACGGGGCCGCGCTGCTGCTATTTCGAGACACGCAACGGCGACGCTGGGGAAATCCCTCACCACCTCACTTACACCGTGCTCGGAGGTAGGTAGGTAGCAGCGGTGTTGCCGCGGCGGGCGGGCTGAGACGGACAGGCGGGCGACGACCTGGAGCGAGCGAGAACGAAAGGGAGGGCGACGGGCAGGTAGGTAGGCGCGGTCCGGACGAGCACGCAAGATGGAACGCCAACCACCGCATCCTTGGGGTTGGGCTGGTGGCCTCACTCTCACTCTCGCTCTCCTCTTTCCATGTCACCCCTTTATTATTGCACTTTGATGCCTGGCCGGCCCTTGACGCTGATAGGCATCCTCCGAGCGACGCGCATCCACGCCGGCCGTGGCGAGTCGTGAAGTCGCGAGTCGTGCGCAAGGCGATATGCCATCCATTCATCGAATCATTCACCTGCGTGAGCAACTCGCCAAGGGCCTCGCCTTTCTCCCTGCTCTCCCGCCTCCCTCTAAGCCTCGCCTCCGTGTTCCAGAATTAGAAAATGTTCGTCAGCATAGAGTTTTTCTTCTCTCCATGACCTTTTGTCCTGTTTCCAATTTTTCTCTCTCCTGCAGCCCCCCATTCGCATCGTCCGACTTTCCTGGCTTGCGTCGCGGGCAGGCCCGGATGCCGGTGCCGTTCTGGCCTGTTTCGAGCCGAACCCCGGAAAGACCGGTCTGCAGGGAATCGTCATAAAAAAAATCTCTAGCTAGGTTGCTGCATTTGCGTTTTCTGCAGCAGGAACAGCAGCAGCAGCAACAGCAGCGTGTCCAAAGGGGGCAACCGCCTTTTTTTTTCTGCTGGGGCAGGGCTGCTGCGGTCTTTGCTCGTCAACATGCCGGGGGTGGTTGGGGGGGGGGGCGTGAGCTGCACATGCGAATGCGTGCGTGCGTGCGCCTCTTTGTGCCTGATTATCCCGCGGCGCGCGCTCCGAGCTCTCTCTCACACTTTTTGGTCTTGACTCTCTTTACCCTCTTGCCGCTGCGCATGCACGGCGCTGGCCTGCCCTGCCAGGCCCTTTGCCCCCTTCGGCGGCCAGAACCCCTGCAAGCACAGCAGCGTCTTCCATCTTGCTGCCTCCCATGCCCTCCCCAAGCTGGCCCCCTCACTCAACCACCCCCCCGGTCTTGCAGTGGAGCGCCGCGCCCAGACTAAATCCCGGCAGCGCGGATGCGGACCCCCCCGTCCCTGGCGGAAGAAATCCAGTTCTTCCTTTCCAGGTACCAAACTGGTTTTCGCCAGCGGGAGGGCCGAGGGCCAGCAGGCAAGCAGGCGGACGAGATGCATGGACCGACAGGACAGGCAAGTCCAAGGGCGATGCCCCGGCTGCGTTCTCGCGGTGGCTCGGCCGAACGCCGAACGGTTCGATGCCATGGGTGCCATTGGGGGCATCCCGCCGGCGGCGGCATCGGCCCTGGGGTCAGTAGGTTCGTCTTCTGCCACCTCAATGGCCGGGCGGGTGGTGAGTGTGAGTGTGTGTGCTGTGCTGTGCCCTGAGGCGGCGCGTCTCCCGCCACGGCTTCCGCAAGCCCTGTACGAGTACGTACAGTTCCCTTATTATTCTTCTGTTATTTATCCCATATTCCGTAGGCACTGTCAGAACCGTAGTTGGGTCCGTTTCTGGCTCTGACTCTTGGCTCTCGAGTCTTGGCTGTGCTCTCCTGCCAATCGTGCCCAGAGGGCCACACCCCCGACAGCCAGATTTCTGCTCCCCTTCTTCCACTCTTCTTCCCCCCTCCCCACCATCTCGGCAAGGGACCAGGGAGTCAGTCAGTCATCAGGGACATTGAATCGTCTGTCTGCCCCTGCTTTGGTCTCCGTCTTTTCTTCTTGGCTTCTCTCTGCTTCTTCAATCTTTCCTTCTTCTCTTCTCGCTCCCCAACGCCCGCCTTGTGCCTGCACACCTACGACAGTAGCTGCCGCCTCGGCTGAATTGCTTGCTTTTGCCGCCTCGACTCATTGCCTCGCCTGAGTCTCACACTGTTTGTTTGTTGCCTCAGCTCTCACTCTCCGTCTCTCACAGAGAGGCACGACATACATATCTCTCCGCCTGCCTCCCTGGCTCTCTGTTGCTGCAGAGCCAAGAGACGAACGAGCCCCTTCCCGGCGCATTGGGCCTCCGTCATCTCTCCACTCGACGGCCGCGGACGTGCACCGGCTTCATCGAAACCGCACCTTGCCCATTGGTATAAGTACAGCACCAAACGGTTCGTACCTCTTTCAACGTCCGCTTCCCACGTCGACGAGGCGTCGCGCAGCATGCGCGCGTGTTTCGGCTCGGCGACAGATACCTTTACACGTCACGCCATCCTCATCTCGTCGTGATCCTCCCGGATCTCACAATCCCCCCCCAGGGTCGCACCCCCCGAAACACCGAGCGAAGAAGGAAGTGAGTGCCCGAGCGGCCAACGAACGGCAGGGTTGCCCGACGAGACGACGCTTTCGGGCACTTCGCTGTCCATCGACGACGTCGGCGAAGCTAAGGCACACGACGGGCCTCGAAAAAGGGACAAAAAGGGACGTCCCCCTCAGCAAAATCCAACCCCCCGGTCCCCGAAGGTCGACCTAGACCTGCAGCTCCAACCTGTGTCCAGCCTAGTCGCCCTGCCCCCAGCGCCCGGCCCGGTTATCTTCAGAGCAACGCCGCCCCTATCTCAGCGCCCCTCCGTCCGTGGTCCCGTCTGCGACACCTCCGTGCCCATCGTCCGCGCCTTCACCGCCTTCCGTGGTGTTTGTACGGCGCCCGGGCGACGCGAAGACGACCGTCTAAACTCGTCAATTGCAGTTGCAGCCTCGGCACCTGCAGCGACCGCGCCCGACCTTGGAGAGGACCAAGCGGCGGACGTCTCGGGCAACGGCCAATCGTCAAGCTGCTGCCTGTTACGGCACTCTGCGGCGGCGCTGCCCTCATCCTCCATTCCCCAATCCCTCGACGGACGCTGCGCTCCTTCGCCCGTTGGGCCAACCCGCAGCGGCACCCGAGCGGCGCAACCGCCACCGCTGTCACTGGGGCCAGCCCGCCCGGGCACCACCCGACCCGACCTCACCACCAGCGCACCACTGAGCCACCACCGGTGTCGCTGCCGCGGTCGCTGGCGCTGCTAAATACAACCCACTGCCCGGCATCCGCTCCAGCACTGGGCACCTCCAGCTCCATCACCACCCGACCCGACGCCAGGGCCTCCGAACCTCTAGCACCACTTCACTTACCGTGCAGGGCGCGCGCGCACACACACACCGTCACCCAACCCTGCCAACGCTCCAGCGCCGGGCAAAAATCTGCCACCCCCGGAACGAAACGGCCTGACCCTGCGCCAGCGCACATCATTATCACCACCACCACCACCAAAACCACCGCTGCAACCGCCACCACCACCACCGCCCACATCGCACGCCGCGTGCACCGCGACGAGCCATGGCGCCGCGATACCACGTATCAGCGAGGTGAGGAATTCCGTCAATTGCGTCCCCGCATCCCCGCTGCAGCCTGCTGACAGCCGCTCGTCCAGCCGCGAGCTCCATGTCGTGGTCCTCGGAGCAGGTTCGTCAACTTTTCGACAGGCCCATCACGTGCACACCCACCTGACTGGCATTTGACTACAGGCGGCGTTGGCAAGAGCTGCCTCACAGGTGAGCCTCAATGACATCTCCCACCGCCAGCCCCTGAAGGAGGCGCACAGCGACTCATTCTGCAACAGCCCAATTCGTCCACAACGAGTGGATTGAGAGCTATGATCCCACCATTGAGGATTCGTACCGTACCCAGGTTCAGGTCGATGTGAGTGGTGGCCGCTGCCGAACCCAAACCCCAACGCGCCACACGGCCAGGGATGATCAACTGACTCGCTCGCTCATCAGGGACGCCAAGTCGTGCTGGAGATGTGAGTCGCCTCCTGATTTTCGCGCCAGCTGAATTGCCTCGAAATGGAGATTGACCTGAGAAACACAGCCTCGACACGGCGGGTACGGAGCAATTTGGTATGTCACCGAGATGAAAGCCGGCTGTGCTTGGCCCCGCGCAGATACCGCCGCGGCCGCTCGATGGTGTCATTCAGTCGCTAATCTCGACCAGTGGCGATGAGAGACCTGTACATGAAGACTGGCCAAGGTTTCCTCCTCGTCTTCAGCATCACGTCACCCTCATCGTTGACGGAACTTGCCGGCCTGCGGGAGGAAATCATTCGCATCAAGGACGACGAGAATGTACCCATGGTCATCGTGGGCAACAAAGCGGACCTGGAAGAGGCCCGGGTCGTCCCTAGGGCAAAAGGCTTCTCCATATCCCAGAAGTGGGGAGCCCCCTACTACGAGTCCAGCGCGAGGACGAGAAGTGAGTGCGGGGCCGCATCGCGGTGGACGAGGCGCTTGTGCTGCGGGCGCAACGTGTTCGGCAGTGCTGACCAGTCGTGCAGCTAATGTGGACGAGGTCTTCGTCGACCTGTGTCGCCAAATGCTTCGCAAGGACGACGATTACAACATGGGGCCCGAGACCGACGACGGGGGGTTCAAGTTCGATGCCTTTCGCGGCTCGGGCAAGAAGCGGCGGCGCATGCGCATCCGGGACCACAATCACCAAAAATGCGTCATTTTGTGAGCGCATGGCGCGCATTTAACATATTCCCGCGAACCGACTACAGTACATAGAGCGGCTGTGCTCGACGGGGGACCGAGCTCTGTTACATGTTTACGAGATATGACGACATTCGACACGTTTTCCCACCGGCATCCACGACACCGAGAAAGACGCGAACGTGTTTTAGCGCAAGACCTGGACCTCGCGGTTCGGCAAAGTCTTTCTCATGAGGATGCTTTCGTTTCTGGACAAGACGCGGGACAGGGCCGCAGGGTTTTTTGACTTACAGCCCGCGCGGATCTTGTTTCCCCTCCAGGAACTTTTCAAAAAGAAGGAAAACAACGGTAGAGGTTGACCCGTGCCTCGGCAGGGCGCACCCCCAAGGGTCACGGAGAAAGATGGACAAAAAGTCGGCTGGTCGCCTGGTTGGATACAAAAGTGTTTATTCTCTTGCACGGAGTACGACGGCGTTGCGATGGGCGGTCTGAGTTTCTCTCGGGGGCACGACGCTTGCGCTGTTCTTTACCGCCCGTCTTGGCCCATCGCTGTTTTTTCCCCTCTCCCTCTCTCTCTCTCATCCCCTCCCTCTCTGCTGGGTTACTAGGCGTGTTGAGCTACGCCGTGGCCAGCGTGCGGCAATTGGTATAGTAGGCTCGGGACGAAAGGGGGGCGGGGCTTTGCTTCTTGGTTCGCGTCGTGGGCGGTTTCTTCTTTCCAAGCCGCGGATCGACGTGGGGGGTTCATGGCTTGCAAGTAGACAGACGAAGGCATAGAGCACAAGAGCACAACAAGAGACTCCGGAGGACTCGAACTCGATCAACAAAAGGAGAGCGACCACCACTTGTCGTGAATGCAGTCGTTACAAGGTGTTGTATTTTGAACTCCGCCGACAATGCAACCTCTGAGACGTCTATGTTTGAAGGGAAGCTTGTATATCGACACATGCACGTGGTAATATTTTTGCCAGACGGCGGATACAGATGCCTCCAGGAACCCCTATCGCCTGAAGAGCATGTTCCACACGTCGGCTATCCACGCCAGCGAGCTGCGCACCCTCGCCGCCGCAGCCAGCGCCCGCACGTAGCGATACGTGAACGTCTCTACCTCGTCATAGTCGCCCGCATAGCACTCCCATGCTGCCCTGCCCTTGCCGTCCGCGCCGCCGCCGCCTTCGCCCTCCCTGACGGGCACCTCGCCGGGCAGGCCGTCGCGCAGGGGCGGCCCCACGAGCAGGGCGCGGCCGGCGATGGATTCGTCGGCGACGAGCCGGGTGGCGGCGTCGACGACGTCCGGGATGGAGGCGGCGCCGGCCCCGCCGCTGAGGAGCGCCGCCTCGGCCACGGCGGGGAGCATGCGGCTGCCGGCGACGTAGTACGGCGCGAGCATGTTGACGCGCAGCGTTCTGCCGTCGGGCCCGCCGTCTGGGCCGCGGAGGAAGGCCGTCGCGCGTAGGGTGCGGAAGAGGCCCGCGACGGCGTGCTTGGACATGGTGTAGTGCGTCTGGCCGGCGAAGGGGCTGATGGAGGCGACGGATCCGATGAGCAGGAGGCACTTGTCCCGACCACCACCACCACCACTGCTGCTGCTGCTTCTCCTGTCGCCGTCGCTGCCGCCGAGCGAGAGGTAATGCAGCGCCAGGTGGGTCGTGTACGTGACGCCCACAATGTTGACCTCGAGGGTCCGCGTGTCCGGCTTGGGGATCCTTCCCGTGGCGGCGTCCGGGCGCGGGTTCTCGAACCTGTAGCTCTCGCCGGCGTTGATGATGCCCGCGTTGGGGACCACCACGTCGATCTCGCCTCCTCTCGTTTCTCCTGCTCCTCGAGCGCCTCCTGACTCTCCGCCTGATCTCGCTCCGGGCCCGCGACGAACAGGGCTCAGCCGGGCGGCCGCCTCGAACAGCGCGACCTGCTCGTCCCAGTCGGTCACGTCGCAGTGCTGGTAGTGAAACGTCTGCGCCGGGTGCGCGGCGCGCAGCTTCGCAACGAGGGCCTCGCCCGCGGCGTCGTCAACGTCCCCGATGAAGACGTGCGCGCCGTGCGCGGCCCAGGCGCGGACCATGCTGGCGCCCAGGCCGTTGGCGCCGCCCGTGATGAGCACGACCTTGCCGCTGAGGGTGGACGGGTCGTAGCCCTTGGACATGTCGATGGGGTCCGACTGCCGGATCACGGGCTTGAGGTCCTTGGGCGCTGCCATGGCTTGCTGGTAGTGGTGGTGGTGATGGCGGTGCTACTGCCGGGACGAGCGCCACTATCGCGTGCCTCGCCTCGCCTGGCTTCGCTCGCTTCGTGTCGAGCCGTGTCGCTCGCTGCAACGAGATAAGCGTGCGTGCGGGAGGCTAGCGAGACAAAGGCAGGTGGTGAGAGCCCGTCGCGACGACGTTGAAGCTGAAGCCAGCGCGTGTACGGGCCGGCGCCCTGGGCGCCAGCCAGGCGACCCGGCGGGCACTTGGGAGATCCATATGGCTGGTCGCGACTGGCTGTGGAATCACGACCAGACGGTTCTGTCGTCGGGCCCGTTGCTGTCAGCGCTTGGCAGCCTGTCCCAGGTGGCTGGTCGAGCCGCATTTAATAGCGTGGAAGCCACGGACCCGTCATCCAGGCCCACGGGGCGCGAGGTTTCACAGCTTCTGGCCCAATTTTTTGATGGATCACCCCGTGCAGGGAGCAGGAAACCGGGGTTTGTCTTTGTAGGAATTCGATGCCAAGCTTGATTGCCATGAGTGCAAGTTAGCCAGCATTCTGTGATATATGTACCCATGGATGCGGAAGTGACTTGGCAGCTCTCGTCTGCATGCTTTGCGGCGTTGGTTTACAGACCGGTATCGGCTCTAGATGGAGCTTGCAGCTGGACCACGAAGCTCCGTCTAGCCCGCCATGTCAGGTGTCCAGCTGGGGCAAGCTGACGCGAGCCCCGTGAAAAGGAGTGAGCAGTGGAGGTCTCGGGAACAGCATTGCGGTAGACAGGCCGGATCGAGGAGAAGCTGTAAAACTTGACGTAGACGAGCAATACGATTGATTTGATGGCTTGCGCTCCCGAAGTCCCTGTTGCGAAGCTTTCGAACTCGTCGACAAGTCGCACACGCGGCGTGGAGGGCATGTTCAAGACAGCCTGTCTGCCAGACTGCGGGAGCACCCACAGAGTAACTACGAATTACCATAACGGCCACCGGGGCGTAACTGGGACCCGAGCCACGCCGGACAATAGCGCAGCATCTTAGGTGAAGGCGCTCTGCAGCTGGGCCCGATGATCGACGGCCCATGCATGCGATAAGACAACCGCACCACACGTCGTTTCAAACACCTGCCGGACCCTACCGAGCCGCTGCAGAATACTACATGGGCAAAGCTCGTAAACGTCCAGAACCTGGCGGATTGACAGGCCAAGCTTTCGCTAGCGCTGGATTAGTCGGCTCGTTGGCGAACCGGGGGCGGTGATCCGGCGAGATGCATTCAGAGGATGGGGTTCTCGCGGTGGCACTGGTGGACCGGCCCTGGGGGCGTTAAAGCCGTCACCAACAGCACTAGGACTCTATGTTGGTGGGCACGAGAGGGGCTACGAGCTTGAACTGCCGTGGTCGAGCGTGGACGAGCGGCAGGCAGAGAGGGTCAGCCCGACGCCGTGATGCCCCAGACGCGACCCGATTGACGAGCCGAGGGGGTGGGTTGCGGGAGAGGGGCACCACCCAACGGCTGGAAGTTGGAAGTGGGTGCCGTGGGTGACTGTGCCTTGCAGCGCGAACATGGCTGGCGAAGGCTGCGTTGGGATTCGGGAGCGGCGGACGACTATCAGGGCCGACGCCCTGGATACCAGGGAAGCCACAGCGACGGTGGTCGCCGTGGCGAAGGGCTCACCGAACCCGCAGGCCGTGCTCTGTCGCCGGACTGACTTCGTTCACATGGTATGTCTGCTTCAGGCGGCTGCTGGTACATGAGAGCTGTCAGCCATGGTGGCATCATCTGGGGTATCGGCGCCTCAGAGAGCCCAATGCTGTCCTGGGTCCGGAGCTCGCCAGGCGCCCTGAAAGAATGTGACGGACCAGGGATGAGGGATGAGCCCACAGTAGCGCATATGCGACGCCGGCCAATGGCATGACCGTGATCAAGGAGTTGCAAAGTCCGCGCCGCTCGATCCATGCGTCCAGAGAACCGCGGAGCCGCAAAACGGATGCATGTCGCGAGCTGCGCCGCTCGACCGCCGTCCCAAGGACCCCCCGGCCTTGTCACGGTCAAAGCCTGCCCGCTGCTGAGTACCTACGTACCCGACGCCTCGCGGAACAGCTCCCTATACGACCTAGGAGCAGTCGTCTGGTTTCCGAAAGCAGGATTCGGAGCTTGCTCCGTCACGCGAATAGAATAACACGCAATCATGCCGCCTCGATGGCCAATCTCTGGGCTGCGTTGCTGTCACAGCTCGGTGGGAGGTGGACGACGACCCAAGCCATCACCCACCCCAACTGCTCGGCTGTCGCACGAGAGTGCGACGGCTCTTGCAGGGCCACCTTCGGTGAACTTTTGATCGGCGAGGGCATGTGGTCCGTTAGCCGACCGATAGAGCAATGTGCCGTCAGCCACCGGAGCCGTTTCCGGCGGCAGCCCCCAAGGGCCTGGGTGGCATCTCGATGGAGGGGTGTGCGCCTCGCGCAGGGTGCCAGCGAGGCGGCTGCCATGCCGTCGTTCGGTCGGTCGAGGACTCGGGCGTCGTCTTCCACCTGTTCCTCGGTCAAGAAGATCCCAGCCGCAGATTCGGGTCAGCAGATGCAGCGGTAGCAACCCGATCCGGAACGTGTAAGCTGGGGATGGCTTCGGCCGTTCGACTCGGCAGTCTCTACAGAGTGCAATCGCCGTAGGCGACCGACCTATCGATGACCAGCATCAACCAGCTGTTCGTTCGAGCATCATGTCGAACTCGGCTGTGTGTGCGCAACAGCAACAGCTCGCACCGTTGCGGGGGCACAACACCACCCCTCACACGGTCGGGCGGTGGGTCCCCAAGGTGTCGTGACGCGGAACCGCTGCGCAGCATGGGGATGTGGACGAAGAGGGCGAATCTGGAATGCGGTCCATAGGAATATCGAGGTTCTGGTCCCGCAGAGCGCCAGCCGTGATGATGGAGGGGCACCATTACGAAGCGTGCAGCGGGCGAGAGAGACAGGGAGCCCACAAGATCCCTGATCGGAGGGACTGGCGGTGGTGGCGGTTGGCGCATCCATTCGCTGGAGGAGAGCTGCAAGCGAACGAGAGCTCGTGGTCGTTGTGGCAAGCCAAGCAGGTTGGCAGGGCAAGGGCAGGGCAAAGAGCTGCCTGATGCGCATCTGCGGGTCTGGAAGCTCCATGGCTCCCCGCGGCAGCGGCAGCGGGACCGTGGTGGGGGCGCTAAGCAGCTGTAGAGGGGCAGAGGGGGGACGGGATCGCCTCATTTTGGGGCAGACGAGCTGCGCGAGGTGAGCTTCCAAAGGGAGCACGCGCATTTCGTGTGGAGTACTGCGTGCATGCTTTCCTCTCGCAGAATCACACACGGCGTTGAGACGAACTGGAGGTCGCAAGTCGAAGAGCGAATGAAACAAAGACATTGATTTGATTTTGGCTGGCAGTATGGCAGACTGTCCAGCGGCCCGGGCACAGGCAACAGCCCTGGAGTGCGCCACAGCACTCCGACCACCACTGGGACGCCTGCATCACCACCTCATGGGTGGAATCTACGGCGCACTGCCGAGCACTGGGCGTGAGGTGGCGTGGAGTGGGTGGCAGCGGCCGTGGGGGCTGCCTCTCCTTCCATGAGCGCAGGCCCCTGTCAAAACCCCCCTCCACTCATCACTGCCGGGTCCTGTGTCTCGCCGCTGCGGGAGGGCTGGCGCGAGGCGAGAGCTTCGCCCAATTCTATGGTTTGCTGTGACGCATGGACGTGGTATTCCCGTCGTCGGTCTGCACGCGCAACATGCACGTCCTCTCCGATTAATAACCTTCCGTGCCTTGTCACGACATACCATCTACCTAGGCGATGCCGAAGCTCCTGGTGGCTGATGCGTAGCGAAAGGCCTCGCCCGAGCCCATTGCGGCCACGTGTACGAAGTATGTGCGGTCTCGCCATAGTTCTAGCCGTGTACGAGTGGTGATTGTGGTTACCTTCACCTGATCGTAGTGACCCTCACCAAGCACGAGCTGAGCTACTCTTAACTTACCTTTCCAACTTTGTTGGGGAATTCACGACGGCGGCTTGGTGCAAGTTTACAGGGTCACTCATGATCGCAAGGTGCAGCTTTGACTCATACTCGTCGTCATCCATACATTGAAGCCGTGAACCGTACATACCTGGCTTCGTACAGTAGGGGTATACTCTGCATTTGCGCCAGTACAAGCAGTCGCCCACGGCAGACCGCCTTGGCCTCAGGAAACAATATGCCATGCGCCATCCGCGAGCTCGTCCAGTCGAGGTCCGAGGCTCAGAAGAGCAACCGCGAGTCTCTCTGCACGGCAAGCCCTCGCCCATGCCTCACAGGCCCATCCTTCATAGGATACCCCCGGCACGGCTGGCTTCACCGGTCCTGCAGAGTCCCCTGCGACGCCCCTCCCCATGCGGCCTGCGGGTGCCGGCGACACGGCGCCAGATTTGATCCAGGGTCAGGAGACGAGGGATGGCGGGAAAAAAAGGAGACGTGGCTCCTGTCGCAGCCGCGGCTCACCAGGTCGGTGGCCTGGGACAGACCGGGAAACGAGACAGGGTCGAGGCACAACCTAATGCTGGGGAGGGCAAGGGGCATGCATTCCTGCTTGCCAACAAGCCACGATCGGTCTGTCGACGACGACTGACGACTGACGACGCATGCTGCAAGGCGCGCGGCCAGCATCTACCACGCCTAGATGTGCAGCTACAGCGCCAGTTCACGGCCGGAGCAGGCCCAAGTGCGCCGGACGGGATGCATGGGCGATGCATGGGCGATGCACGGCGATGCACGTGTCACGGTGCTGGGCCCGGTTTTGTCCGCCAGCCTTTGGCGGTGCGTCTGGATGCCATTTCGAGCAAGCCACATGGCTAGGGCAGGACGGCGCCGCGGCGTCAGCAGCTGTCATGGATCACGGCCGTCGTCGGCGCGCGCGCGCTGCTCGTCGGGCGGTGCGCTTCTTGCCGCGGTGCAAAGGCCGCACCACCAAGGAGGACGAGGAGGAGCAGCAGCAGCAGCAGCAGCTTGTACGAAGTAGTACGAAGTGTGCGGCGTGCCTTGGTAGTACGTCCTTGGTGCAAGCGGGCGGTGGCCTCTCGTATTACACGGCCAGTAGGTATTTACGGCTAGTATTACGCGCCGTGCTCGTGTGCGCGTGCGCGCACGCCGTCACGCCCTCCTGGTCGTCGTCGTCGTCGCGCTCCACCCGGCCGACCGGGCCTTGGATCGATCACTCTCCACACACTTTATCAGTCGTCTATCAAACGGGGCATGGGGTGGAGGAAACACAGGCATCAGGGACGCACGACGATGGGACCACAGCCTGGCGCGGCACCCTCCCCGGGCAGGGTCCGCGTCTAAATTGGGGCGGGCAGCCCACTTGCTCGCTCGCTCGCTCGCTGACCTGGACGGCGGGCTCACCCCTCCCATGCATGAGGTGCAGGCGATTCCGTCCCTGACAGTGCAAGCGCGGTGAGCGCAGTGCGGTGCGGTGCGGTTCGAGAGTGCTGGGCCGGCCGAAACGGACGTCGCCCGCGCCGTCCGCCGCCGCCGCGGCCGTCCCTTGGGGAGGGACTTGGACGCGCGTGTCTGATGGCTGCAGCACCCAGCGTTAGCGCCCACGTCGCTCGAGACACGGGCGCTCGTTCGGCCCTCTGCGCTCTGAGTGGCCCGTCGCCGATTCGGGGGCCGGAACGCGAGCAGCAGGGGACAGGGCCGCAAGGCAAGGCAAGGCAAGGCAAAGGGCGGGCATGGAAAAGGGCAAAAAGCGGGTGCGCGCCGCCTTCTTGTCAGCGGACGCGCGTGACGGCCGAGGCCCGCGCTCGATGCGTCGACGGACCGGCGACGCGGGACGACGAGGCTCGGCGGGCGGGTCAGGTACTTACGGGCGTTCATCCATCCAGCACGAGCCGACTCGTAGGGGCGTAGGCACATTGCATCAATATACTACAACACAGAGTTGGCGTGCCTTGCCTGTTCGTGCCTCGCTTGCCGCATTGGTGCCGAGCGATGGCTGCAATAGGACTCGGGGCTCCGCGCTGGAGGCATGCTAGGCTCGAGTCAAGTTGCGGGCGAACGAATGAATGAGCGCCCAAGTAGGTGCGTGTCTGTAGATTGCCGGGCGGTAGGTAAGGCAGGTCGGTAGGCAGGTAGGTATTGTCCCTCCCCAGGTGTGGTGACTCGCATGTGTGTGGCCGAGTCGACAGACAGAACAAGTGACTTGATGATTAGCATTTTGCGCGAAACCTTGGCCCACTGCCTGTCGCTCCATCGCCTCTTTCCCATCCCATCCCATCCCTCCCTCCATCCGTCCATAGGTCCAATCCCTCCATCCATCCATCCATCCACATCCACCCTTTGTGTGCGCGCGCTCGTGTCGCGAGCAGTTTTGACTTTTGGCTCGAGGCGTTCAGGCGGGTGCCCCTCTGATGCGCTCGCGCTCCGATTGGGCAGCACGGCGCGGCGGAGCGGAACCTGGGAACCTGGGAACCTGCGCCTTCGCAGAGCAGCCACCTGCTGCACCCTCGTCGCCCCTCCGCCGCCGCCGGGGGCTTGCCCCAGGGCAGGGCGGGCTCCCCTACCTTGGCGGCTTTTAGCGTGGCCCTGCTGCACCACCTGTGTGCACCCCCCCCAAGCCCCCCAATACCCCCTTCTGCTGGTGTCTGGCGTCTGGGCTGTTGGGGAGGTGCACCGGGCGCGGCTGCCAGTTGCTGCTGCTGCGACACCCCTTTCGAGCCCATGGGGTGGCCCCCTTCCAGGTCTTGTCCCCTCCCCCCCAATCTTGTTGTCTCCTCGAGATGATGGTCCCGGCGACGACGGCGCCGCATGTTGGGGCAACGCCAGACGCGACGCTCGCGGTTGTCCTTGTCGTCGTTGTCGTCGTCGTCGTCGTCGTCGTTGTCGTCCTCGACGCAGGCCTCCGTCTACGTCTTGGACCACTCATGCTAAAACTTGTCCATGGTAAAAACTTGTTCATGGGTCTCGCATGGGCATCTCCCAGGCATTCTCTCTCCTCTTACATCGCCAGACAGCTCCCGTGTGTAATCTGTGTGTGTTCGTCGCATCTCGCAGCAACATCTCATCGCATCTCATCGACGACCGCCGGACGGCATCGCATCGCGGCTACATCGTCTTCCATCTCGCATAGCAGTCGAACAATAACACATCAACCACAAGACCGTCGCCGAGACCAGAGCGCGTGACGGCAGAACAACAACGCTTGACTCAGTCACTCTCGAACCAACCCAGCATCAATCAATAGCAAAGTCCGTACGCAAGACAAGCGAGGAGCTTGCTCGACTGGTTCGAGTTCTAGTCGAGGTACTCGTGTTCGCCTACAAGAAGGCGTGCAGCTACAAAGTACTTCTTCGTCTTCGCCTTCTTCACCCACACGAACCGCTCGAGTGCTCGCAAGAGGGCATTCACGCACGCACGCACGCACGCACTCACACACTCACTCACAAACTCAACCACCGCCTGCGACACGGCACATCCACTCGCCCCTGTCTCTTATACACATCTAGATGTGTATAAGAGACAGCTCCCCTCCCCTCCCCATCTCTCCCATCTCACTCACCTTGGACCTGGTGGGGCCCTCCCTCGGTGGCTTTCGGGACCCAGGTGGTGTCTCTGGTGCCGGGCTGGCTTGCTGGGATACTGATGCGGGCTGCTGGCCGGGGGTCTCAAAAGGCTGCTGCTGTCTCGCTGCCGCTGTCTCTCATCAATCACCTCGTCCCCTCCCCCCGGGCCCGGCCCCATTCATCCACCCAAGCCACCCATCCATCCACGCATCCACCCTCCACCACCACCATAACCATAATCCATGCCATCCTCGTCCTCCACCCTCCCACGCCCACGCCCACTCCCACTCCCACTCCCAGCGTTGGCATCCGTCCACTCACCAATCAACAGGCCCAGGCCGATTCCAGCCCCAGTCCCATCTGGTGCAAGCCTCGAACAAGGCGACCCGGACCCGGCTGCCGTCCCCCATCCCCATCCCGATTGCTGACTGCCTGCCTGCCTGGCCTGCCTGGACGCCCGGGTATTAGCCTGCGTCCTCTCGCTCTCTGGGACGTGTCTGTGTGTACCTGCCGCCGTCCCTCCGCCTGCCTGGGCTGCCTGCCTCGCCGCCGCCGCCCACCTGGCCGTCTCTTGCGCGCGACACCAGCAGCACCACCAGCACGCACGTCTCTTCCTCAAACACCACACCACTCTTCCTGCGCCCCCCCTTCCAAAACCTCGCTGCTCCTCCTCCGTCTGCCCCGGTCCCCCGGTCTCGTCTCAACTCAACGCGCCGCGCTGGTACATACTTTAACCGGTATTGTCCCCCCGGGCCCTTTGCTTTCCGTCGTCGTCGCGACCGATTATACATCGTACACGTCTCTCGGCCCTCGTTCCCCATCGTCAGCTTGCGCCGCGATACCGCACCGCGCCTCCGTCTCCCTCCAAGGCTGCCAGCAATCTCGCGCATCTGGTCGCGCCAGTCATCTTGTCAGCGACACCCGCGCAGTGACCAACGCCGCGCATTAGGCGCCCGTCCGTCATCCAGCACCCTCGCCGCCCGCAGCTCCCGCTACCACTACCGCGACCTTGCCGCGACCACCACGGCCGCTGCTGCTGCCACCACTACCTGCTCGCTGCTGCCACCACTACCTGCTCGCTGCTGCCACCGCGACCGCCACCCTCGCATCGCCTCGCCTCGCCTCGCCCTGCCGTCGTCGACGCTCGCCGTGCGCGCCGCTTCCCCTCACCACCAGCAACAGGTGTCGCGCGCATCCCGACCGTCCACTTTGGGCGACTTGCACCTAGTCGCCCGCCCGCCCGCCGGCCGTGCCTAGTCCGCCGTCAACGCCACATCGCACGCCGCGCGCAGACGGCATCGCATCGCATCTGACCGAGTGCGCCGCTGGACTTGCCTCCCACGCGCGCCTATCTCGCTCGCCAGCGTCGCTGCCGTCGCATCCCGTCTCCCCCTTTCGCCGCTGTCGCGTCGCCGGTCCCGCCGCCTCCAGTCGCGACGTGCGGCGCACGACCCGCGATAGCGTTGATTCCGCGTCGCATCATCGTCGCAATACCAACCTGCCGGAGCCTCTTGCCGCTACGAAATCGACATAGTTCGCGTTCGAATTTGCGCATGCACTCGCTCCTGGGGACATGAACACTGAGCAGAGTGTGCCGTCGTCCCACCCACTGCCGCCCGGTGCTGCCGCTGTCGCGTCCGCGACACAGCTGCATTCCAACCGCGCAAGCCCGTTTCTCCCCACCAACAACGGTGCGGACAAGGGAGGCATGGCCGCAACTGGCTTCATGCCCGCGTCTCAGGCCTTCCGGCCGACTCCGCCCGCGCAGTCGCCCTACCCGCTGAACATGTCGGCCGCCTACCTGTTCGAGCGCGAGCCGCTTAGGCCCATCGGCGCCCCCTTTTCGAAGTCGCCGTCGCCCATGGTCCGCGTTCTCATCCGCCGTCTCCCCCTCAATACATCGGAAGAATCTCTGCGGCTCATGGTTGTATGGTCCAAGGAGATCGCCAGCGTCGAGCTGCTGCCTGTGGAGAAGTCCGAAGACGAAGGATTCCGATCTGCCCTGCTCGGCTTCCGAAGCATGGAGGGCGCAAAGGAGGCCAGGGACATGCTCGACGGCCGATCAAACATCTCCAACGACGCCAAAATGATTGTTGAGATCCTTGCGTCGAGCCCCATCGCGGCCCGCCGCCACGTCACTGAGGCACCGTCTTCGACCTCGACGTCTTCCACGGCATCCTCCGGTCCGGGCTCGCGGCAGCCCTCACGTTTCAACGGCATGTTCCCGCCCGTCGACAAGCTGTCGCCGACATCCATCGGCCCATTCCCGTCCCAGCACGAGTTTCTCAACCCGGATCCGGGCCCCAACTACCAGAGCATCTTCTCGGCCCAGTCTCCCATTGGAAACCATCTGTCGGATCGCACTCGGATTTCGGGCAAGTCTCTCATCAACAACGACTTTGGCGATGACGAGGAGACTAGCGACCTGCTCAAGGACCCTGTGGCCTACGCAGAGAACGGTTCCAACTCCCAGCGGAGGGCAACCGCGCCACAGATTCCCATCGGCCGCATGGCAAGTCTGTCACTCAACACCGGTGGCGGTGGCAATGCTCCCGGCCCGTCGTCTCTGCCTCAGTATATGAGCCCGATATCGCCAATCAACGGCGGCCCGGGTCCTGCCCTTGGATACCCCGCTGGTGGCCACAGCTATCAACCCAGGCACAACTTTCCGCCGGTCAACCCGGCCGATCAGAACCCGCCCTGCAACACGCTTTACGTTGGAAACCTGCCCATCGACACTTCCGAGGAGGAACTCAAGGCCATGTTTTCCAAGCAGCGTGGGTACAAGAGGCTCTGTTTCCGCACGAAGCAGAACGGCCCGATGTGCTTTGTTGAATTCGAAGACATTTCGTTTGCGACCAAGGCTCTTCATGAGCTGTACGGGCATCCGCTGCACAATAGCGTCAAGGGAGGCATCCGCCTCAGCTTCTCCAAGAACCCCCTGGGAGTCCGATCGGGCCAAACCCCTGGCCAAAGTTCGTCCAATTCCATGAGCGGCATGAACGGAATGGTCAACGCCAACAACAACGGGTTCACCACGGCCCACGGCCCACCCCCGGGCCTCTCTGCGCCGCCAGGCCTCGGTTCAGGCGGGCGCGGCAACTTCAACGTGGCTGCCTCCATGAATACGGGTGGGAACCATCACCATCACATGCCTGCCAGCTTCCAGGCCACGCCCAATCATCCCTGGAATACACCAATCTACAACAATGGCGTGGCGACTGGACCCAACGGCCCAGGCCAGACAAACTCGAATTATCTTCCTCGGCACATGATGGGCAGATAGGCAGCCCGCGCGCGTCGGCTGCAGGTTGCACAGGCAGGTTCTTGGGTTGTGTACTACGTACGCTCCCCAGACTAAATCTCGTCCTGCTGACCGTTTGTCAAACTGTGGCGCATACAGCTTGATGTGTCCAAGCTTGCCGCCTGTCCGTGATATTCGACTGGTCTTTTTTTCTTCTTTTCTTTTTGGCTTGAGACAGGGTTGTTTTACTACGAAGCTGGAAGATTGATTTTCTTGTGTTACGATTGAGCTCGGAGGCTACGTCTTGTCGACGTCCATGTGAACCTCGCGGTTCACACGGGAGTCGGCGCAGCCGCAACTTGCGCCGAACTACTTCTGCAGGGCGTTCTGTGCAACTCGGAGCTACTAGGCTCTGCCACTGGGATTCAACTACATTCGAGGGACGGATCGGAACATCTGTGCCGGGTATGATACCGCTGTGGGCTTTAACGACAGCGACACACGCAACGGATACATCGCAACGGAGTTTTGGGGGCTTTGGACAAGAGCATCGCGCGGTACAGCTATCTGTTTCCGGCACGTCATTTCGCAAGCTGGCGCAGGAGGCTCGGCTTCAGTGGATTTGCTTGATCGTGCGCAGTGAATACCCAAAGCTTTGGACATTCTGGATTCGCTACGACGGCGCTCGTGGAAGGATCTAAAAGAACGCCGGCTGATTTCGACACTCCAAGAAAATCACGGGACTGAAAAAACAAAGGTTAAAAGGGCGATGAGCTCGGAAAAGATATCCTTCGGCTGGTGTTATGAAAGACGGCGGGTTTTGAGATATCAACGGAAATGGAGCATGCAATGGCAAGAGTTTGGGTTGAGCATTGGGCAAGGCATCGCATTACACCCGACAAAGGAGGGTTATGGAACGAGGCAAAGACCCGGGCACGTCTTCTCCGGCATCGATCGCATAGGAGGCTAGGTGTCAGCATTTGTCGGTTCTCGCATCGGGTGGGCAAGATCACGCATGAGCGATCTACTTGGCCGTTTTGAGTCTGCATTTCTGGGTCGTTGGGATTTTGGTATGGCGAACATGGCATGGCCGAGAGCATCGTTTGGCTCAATCCCCACGGGTCGCTCGCTGCCTGACATACCTGGGACTGAGACTCCTCGACGGTGTCCTCAGCGTCAGGGGGGGCAGCGACCTCGCACCGGTGGTGGAGCGGGCACGGCGTTTGCCTCGGATGGAACCTTCTCTTCTTTGCTTTAATGACCCCCCCTACTGATTCCCCCCTTTTTGTATCTGCACGTTTTGGCGGTTGGAGTTGTCTCCTTATTTACTCTGTCATTTCTTTGGATTGGTTCAGCGGCATCATTGGGACGAAGGAAAGGCGAACTCTGCTTGCTTGTGTTTAGGGGCATCAGCCTGCTTTGCTTGTCCATTTCCTAGGTGTGCATTGTGCACGGCTCGAATACCGTATAGCTTCTGTTATAGTTTTCTTGGTGGATGTTATAGAACTTGTTCGTCCGTGTGCACCTCACTGCCTTCTGGGAACGGAATATTGCGTTGCTACACCTTGATCGCTCGCCGCAAGTGAGGCGCAGCCACTCTTGCAAAGGGACTCGACTCATTCGGGCCCTGGAGCGCGTGCCCATCCAGAAGGTCGTACTCTGTACCTGGTGCCTTGCTCCCATGATGGCCGCCGACCTAGCTCGACTCTGCATTAGGGTCGGCACGTCAGTCGGCCTCTTTTGTTTTCCGGTTCTGGCACCCCTGGCGCCACACACTACAAAGCCCCATGCTTCGCAAGGCTACTTCGGGCAGAGCTCAAAGGGGGGACGAGAATATGCCGGCGTCGGACCACGAAGAAAAACAAACCCATGGAGTTCGGTGGGCTGGGGTGCGGGTGTTAGTGGGATTGTCGACGAGCCTCCTCCTCCCCGTGAAGCTTGCCCACACTGGACCACCCGAGGTGTGTGTGTGTGTGTGTGCGTGCGGGTGTGTGTGTGTCTGCACTACAGAAGCCCGCCTGCAAAACGCCTGACTGTTTGACGGGCGGTTGGGCGGACGGCAGCCTTGCGAGAGGCGAGACCTGTTGGACACGGCTTCGCACTGGCAGGGAGGGAGACGGAGGCTGCACGAGCAAGGGTCCGTTGCGGGTGTGTTTCGACGGTCGAGCAGCGGGTAGCTGCTCCCCGCAGGGCGTCTGAAGCACCGGACGCCTGCGGCGGTCTGTACACTTGATAAGTCCGTCGGGCAGTGCAGTACGTGTCCAGGCTACACGGCACGTCAGTACCTATAGCAGGTACATGCGTACATACATACATACTTACGTACCGTACCGCCAAGGGGGGTCGAGAACGACGCGCAGCAGCAGCATGGAAGGACGCAGTGGCGAAGAAGCCCAGGCCGCTCCAAGCTTCACCTCCCCTGGAGGAGTGCGTTTATGTATGTGTGCACGCACGCACGCACGCACGCGCGTCTTTTGTGTGATGGGACGTGCAGGCAGCGGGACACACCACGACGCACGGCAACTGCAGGACTGGCCTGGGTGCAGACCCGGGGGAGGACGGCGAAGGGTGTGTGTGTGTGTGTGTGTGTGTCTGTCTGGTTGGTTGATCGAGAGAGCGCGCGGGCGGGCGCGCGAGTAACGGCTTTCAAGGGTGGACAGGGAGGGAGGGAGGGATGGGGCCGGTGTAGCTGCAGCTTGAGAGCGCGGAGGCACAGTATGGAGGAAGCACAAAGGGACGGGACAGATGGACTGTCTGTCTGTCTGTCTGGACGAGGAGGGGTGGGCGGAAGAGGCGGCGCGGCGAGAGGCTGTCTCTTATACACATCTAGATGTGTATAAGAGACAGGCTGTGTTCCTATACTTGGATCTGATAAAGGAGCTTGGGCTGTAGCTGGAGCTACTGATGCCATCAAACCCTGAGCGTCGGCTTTCAGCAATAAATTGCCACATATGCAACATCACAGGGTAGTGGTGGGAGCATGAAGCTGTACAGAGCTGTCCAAGGGAGACGGGACGTCGTAGTGGAGGGTGCATGTGAGGTCCCTGGGAGTTGCAGTATGACAATATGTGGCTTTGTTGCCTGAAGAACGGGGTGCTTAATATTGCTACTAAGTAGGCATGTGTGCCGTGACGCTGTCGAGGTTGAATCCAGCTTCCGACACGGCGATGTGTGTCTCTTCGGCCGTTGAACAATAATTACTCCCTTCCAGGCTTTCAGAGGTCGACTATACAATGGGGGTCATTGCCGTGAACGCCCAGTGCCCTGACGATCTCAACAATATGAAGTGCCACCATCAAATCCGCGGCATGTAGTGCACTTGATCACTCTAGGACGCAAAATCTTTACAGTAAGTTACTCTTGGACCCTTCAATTTAGAACCCCAGGGCAATAGTAGGGAGGGTGTTGGTTCGCTGACCGGGCCGCGGCCAAAATGGACAACTGCCGCTCTCGGCCCCCTTTGCCTCTCGTCAACACCGCCACGCGGTTTCGCCTCCTTCCTCGTGCACTCCCCCTCCCAGCGGCATTCCCCACTAACGGTCAAAGGCCGTGGCATGCGTGTTGTGCTGTGCCGTCTGGCCCCTCCAGTCACTGCCCATAGTATTGTGTCTGGAACCATGCGGGCGGCATGGCGTGAGGGAGTGAGTGGTTGGCACCAGGCGTTCCAACGCGGCTGGCGACCAACCGCAGCTTCGGGTCATGCCATGCCTGTCGTGTGTTGTGCGTGTGTGCATCGGGGGAGCAGCCTCTTGCATGACACGTTCTTGAAAGCCGGCTGGCAGACCTGTTGGGTCTGTGCCTTTCACGGTCTGGTGTTGTACCCGCCGTGGGAGTGTGAAGCACTTCGCCAGAGCGTTTTGGGGTCCGTACTACAACATGTTGCAAGACGGGCGAGCTGAGCCTTTGTTCCGTCGTACAGACTGGAAAGCTGCTAGCGAGGTGGGTGCTGTAAAGGTCCAGTGAAGAAGGAACCTTGCCTCGTACTTTGTGCAGAGACTGGGAACGACTTGGCAGCCAGCCAATCTCGCTCGGGCGGGGGACAGACCTGCCATAAGCTTGCAGGGATGATTCTGCACATGCACCAGCGAAAGCGAGCTGGGTGACCAGTCATGACTCGCTTCAAGGGCCCGTCGGATTGGGCGATGGTCCAGTCGCCTGAACCACCAGACCTCAAGCTGTGGCCATCACCCAATGCTACGCCTTGGCCGTGCCCTGGCATTTACTGTCTGTTATCAGGGCCTTGGTGCTTTGTGCTCAGCGAGGCACGGCAGTTGTTACACCATTCACACAGCCGCTTGTTGGGGTTTGAAAAGGTTGGGATGGCGGTTGGTCGTGCGTGTATGCTTGAGCCCCCCTGCCGTTTAGTGCCGGGGCGTTAGTTACGGGGGCCAACCGTAGGGCATGGAAGTTCTGGGCCGGTGTCCATTTGTTGATGCAATGCAGAATGCAGGCTGTTGCTGACATTGCATGGCGCGTACATGTAGTTCAACGGCAGCCACTGTGCGTCCGAGTGGTTCGTCCCATCTCGTCCAGAGATTGTCAGATGCGCGTGAGGCGGCACGGGAGGCTCGTTTGTGATTGCTTGTTGGATTCGCTGGACGACCCAAGTGATGATCTAGCTCCATGAACATTATCTGCCTATTGTCCAGGAGCCTCGGCTAGCTAGCACGGGATGATTGCTCAATACTCGGAAGCTAGGACTTGTTTAATGATCGCCTTATCTAGGTTAGGTCAATTGATTTTAGTTTGTCGCCGGCCGCGCCTTACTGATTGTCTGTCGGTGAGCCGAGGATGGAGGACTCCATACGATGCTGCGGTACTGCTGATGCCTCTCTGAACTTCGTTGAGGCCACCAGCCGTATTCAGTGAAGTGACAAGTCTGCCACCAGGCTTACACGGGCAGATGTGCATTTCTCTGGGCATGGGGGCCAGGAAAATTATTATGTATAACGTCGAGTACTTTCAATGGCGGCCTCGGTTCAATGCAGACACCCGACGGTGTCAACAAGGTTGAAGGTTGAAGCTGGCATATATTGAAACAATTTCATCCCGGTGGGAACGCAGTTCAGCTGATGAGCACCAGATCTTACGGCTCACGACAGACGTCAACTGTGGAACTGCGGAGCACGACTGCCGATGCGCCCCACCGTCCTGCAGATCCGCTGCCCACGATCCATGCTATTCCAGAGTCCAGACTCCAGTCCCGTGCTGTCCAAGACTTCAAGTAATGGCCAAGACAATGTTCTTTCGCCCGAATCGTGCGGGTTGCAAAATGGGCATGTCAGTCCGCATCTCCAAACATGCCTTCGCCGCTGGCCCACCCCATCGTCATTGTCGCCCATAGATCGTGAAAGACGGGCTGAGCCGCCGTCCCACCGGACCCATCTGGCGCATGCCCGTGCGGCGTCCCCATCGGCGCGAACCCAGCATCCCATATCGGAAAGTACTGCTCCAAGCTCCCGTCCAGCATCGGACACCCGGGGCCCTTGCCCGGCAAGGCCGCTCCCTCGAGCGCCGCCCGCACGCGCCTCTCGTACTTGTCCCTGACGACGCGCATGACGACCCGGCTGGCGGACAGCACGTCGACCTTCTTGGACGCGGGCGTGAGGTCCTCCTCGCGGCACATGCGTGCAAGAAAGTCGCCAAACTGGAGCTGTGAGCGGGCCCAGGCTGTGTCGAACTCGGGACACTGCGAGACTGGGAAGGAGAGGCGTAGGGCGAGGATGATGGCGAGGATGAGGCGCGTCCAGTCGTTGAGGGTAAAGGCCAGGAAGGTAGGCTCCTCCAAGTTACTGACGTGGTCCAGGAAGAGCTTCAGCTTGCACGTAGCGTCCCGCAGCTTGCTGGCCGTCGGTGGAAGTGGCCCGCTACATAACGACGCGGAGTACGTCCCCTGTGGCAGTTTGAGAATCGCTCCGCCATCAAGGTAGATGCTGTTGAACATGGTTTGCAATTTTATAGGAACTGAAGCGAGAGTTAGTATGCTGGGAACGGTGTGTTAAAGGCCGACGTACCTGAGGCCGCGATGGACGGCGACGTCATGCTCTGAAGCTCTCGAAACTGGAGCTCCAGGCCCGCGAGCAGCAGCCTGCCGTGCTGTTCGCTCTGCCCCTTGCGCTCGTGGATAGCCTCGGCAGCTTCGTAGAGTATGCCAGAGAGACGGTACAGGCTGGCTAGCACATTGTCGCCCTCGACCTGAGCATTGCGGTCGAGAATCTCGCTGCATGTGTTGGTCCAGGAACTGAACGACACGCTCATCCCCTTTCTATTTTTCCACGTGACGACGAAGCTGGAAACACGTGTTAATGAACTAACCTCAAAGTGATCGTACGGCCTACTCACGTAGAGACCATATAGATGGATGCCATGTACGCTCGGATGCCATCGAGTTGTTGCTCGGTAACCTCGGGCGCCATGGGATCGGTGCTCGTCTCAAACTCTTGATCGAGCTCCAAGTCCTGAATCAAGTCGGTGGCCATGCGAATATACTGGATAGCTTGCTTATTTTTCGGTCGCAAGTGGAACGGGTACCTGCCAGCATCAATATCAGTGAAAACAGTATAGGCGAGGAACAGTCAGCTGGACCTACCATCCACAGTAGATCAGAATGCCTTGGAGGAGCTCCAGGCTCCTCTCCCCACCAGCCACAAACTTCAGACCCAGCACCTTTCGAAACTCGTCATCATATAGGCTGTGCCCCTGGAGGGTCCGCGAGCCTGACGCAGCAGCCAATATGGCCAGCAGGACAAAGGGCCGCGTCGCCGCGAGGTGAGAAACGGTGGCATCCGGAGGCAGCAGGATGCAGGGAAAGAACTGCAGCATTGACCGGAATGACTTGAGGAGAGATTCGGCGGACGCCAGGTTGAACGAAGGCTTGCCCTGAAAGTCCTGGATCGAGTGCGAGTGCGCCGACGAGCTGGGCGGTGTCTGAAGACCGCCTCCAAACGACGTCGTCGTCAGGTCCGACATGGAGACGGCGTCGTCATCCTCCGGGAACAGCTTCTCGATGAACTGCGCGTGCGACTCCCGCAGCGTATCGAAATTGTCGTCGACTTCTGGCTTGGCGGGTACCGCAAAGTCGATGCTGAATGTGCTCGACGGGCCAGGGCCTTGCTGCGGCGGGGGCAGAGGCCGGGAGCTACTGCTTTCTTCCGCCCTGGTTCAGGTGAGTAATTGTGATGGGTAGACTGGGAGAGGCTGTGCTTACAACTTCGCTTTGCGTGAACGACGTGTCCTGGGGCCGGTGCGAGAGACGCACTCCCTCTTTGACGCAAGACATCTACCCGACTCAAGTAAGCACGCAACTCGGTTCACAAGCGGGGTTCGGAGGCGATGGGCATACTTTTGACAAACGCCGGGCTGCTCACTGGGCTGGCACCTGATCTTGGTTGCCCGACAGGCCTCGCACGCGGTCGAGATCCTCTTCCGGGCGGCACCGCTTGTTGTCAGGTCCTCGGCGGTGGCGTCCATCGTCCCGGAGCTAGCAGTGAGAGGAGCGCTCCCGATTTATTTTGCCAACCAGTTAGATGATCAGATCGCTGGGGTTCAGCGCAGGACGGCCAGGCAAGGGCGGCGGCAGAAGGTTTGGAAATGCATTTGGCGATTAGTCGGGGCACGGGAACCGAGCCTGCGAATAATCTGCGCGCCGGGGACGCGGCCGCGACCGGGGTGTAGTTGCGGGAGCAGAGACCAGCCGTAAGTTCCGGCGACGGTCGGATGTTGCGAGGTCTAAAGCGGGGCACCGCCGGCGGCGGCGTCACACCGACCGTTGGCCATGTAAATCAGTCGGTTGCGATACCACGACAGAGGCAACCAAGACCATGCGTCTGGCATTACATCGTGGGTATATTACATCTCCGGCTAGTCTTCTACACGCTGCCTTCTCAAAAGTCCACGAGCACGCGACGCCAACGCCCCTAGACTGGCGTCATCTTGAGTTCCGGGTTTTCTCTCTGCAGCGCAGCCTCCACCGCCTCCTGCGTCGGCGTCACCAGCGCAAGGGTCTCGCCCTCCCCGGCCGCCGTCTTGACGCCGTGGACGAGCTGTCGGTGCCCCGCAACGTTCTCCGCAGCGCAGCGGTCCGAGCAGTACAGCGTTATGCGCCGCTCGTCCAGGCACTCCTTGCACGACACGCTCCGGAAGCTGCCATCATCCATCTCGACGTCCTCGTCTCGCATCTGCACGCATTTCTCGCCCGCCTCGCAGTCATGCTCCGCTTCAACGTGATCTCCCTGCAGTTTCTGTCAGCCGATTATTCGTAGTTCGTAGCATCGAAACGATGAGCCGGTACTCACATGACCCTTGTGGAAGCATTCCTCGGAGCAGTATACTGCCATCTTCTTGGCGCCGCCCATCTGTGCAACTGCCTGGCACACTGAGCACGACAGCACATTGTTCGGGTCCACTTCGCCCTTGCAGACGAGACATGGAGGCAGGTTGTGCAGCTTCTCGCTCGCAGCGGACGTGTTGTTGCCCGAGAGCTGACTCTTAATCTGCATCTTGTTCTGCTCAAACGCCGTCTTGGCCCGCCGCAGCTCGGCGAGCCGTGATTGATGGTTTTCTCGCTGGGGTTGCGAGCTTCTGCTCTCCCTGATGTCGGAAACAATCTTGTCGACCATCGCCTCCAACGTGAGGCCATCGCTGCCCTGGTATTCCTCCAGATACTTTTGCGCATTGTCGAGCACCGCGCCGGACGGTTGGGTGATGAAGAATTCCGCCACGTACAGCTTCTTCAACTCAGCCGGGTCGCTTTTAGCAGCATCAACCTTGTCGGCAAAGGTCTCCACGCTCGAGGGCCAGCCCTGAGGTTTGCCAACTCCTTCCAGCATCATGGTCACGAGCTCATCGCGAGACCGGTCCGGGTCGTCCAGCATGGCTCGAAGCTCATCCTGATTCGCGCCGCGGTCTGAGGCCGCGATGAATTCAGGATACTTTCGCAGAACCCAGCGGTACCACGCCTCCTTCTCAGACTCTATCCGCGCCTCGATGAGCTTCAGGCTCTTGGTGTGGTCCCGGGCGTCCTGGAACATGCCCTCCAATTCCTGCAGAAATGCCCTTCGTTGAGTGAACCATTCGCGGTCCGTGCTCTCCGTGTATCGCTGGCGCATCCTATCCAGTACTTTGCCGTAACAGCTCGAACACTCTGCAATGTGTTTCTTCCCGCAGTCGCTGCTGCACGAGGTCTTGATGGCTTCGACATCGCTGGCGCAGAGTTGCCGTTGCCTCTTGGCGGCACTAAGTTCCGTCCAGTGCTCTGGCATGGCATGCACAGAGGGCGAAGCCATTTTCGACAACTTCAGGCGGCTGCTGACGCCGCCAATGCCGAGGCTGCCAGTCTTTGAAGGGCAATGAGATGACGGTCGTGTCTGGCTCTCGCGAGGTGAGCCGTAGAGCGTGGCTGGGTGGGACGGCGCCTAGATATACTCTTTCCAGGGACGCCTGCGCTCTATCGTAAGGAATAAAATTCGCGGAAGCCGCGCCCGCCTTATGAAACAGGAAAAACGAATGATCGCTCGATTTTGGTGCCGTTGTCGATGTTGTGAACTACAGTCCATCAAGACGTGAGAGAGTTGATTGGCGCTGAAGTTGAGTGAGGTGAACCGCGCCAGCCGTTAGCCGATGTTCAACCGGCTCGCCAAGCGACTCGCATACAGGCGGAAGTCTCTACAGCTCCAGACTCCAGCTTCCAAATATCCACTGAACCACGCAAATCACGCTCCTCCTTCGCGAAACCAGCAGCGAAAAACGTCGGGCCTAATCTAGTCCTCTACGGAAATACTCTCGACGGCTCCAGGCTCCTTAACACTCGCTCGTCGTTTCGTCCAGCGCAACCATGGTAAGCAGCTCGAAACGTTCGCGCCGACAACCTCGCCGCTGACACCATCCAGGCCGACAAGCTTCGAAACCAACAGGAGCTCGAGCGCCTGCAAGCCAAGTTCCTCGGCACGGGTCACCCAGACACTACGAGCTGGGAGTGGCGGACCAACATCCAACGCGACACGTACTCGTCCGTCGTCGGCCACCGCCCGCTGCTCTCCTACGTCGCCGTCGCTGAGAACGAGCCCATTGCGAAAGTCCGCGCGAAGATGATCCGCGTATGTTCCCTTATGGCGGTTTCGTGCAATATTTTTATACATGTTTGCTAACAAGAATTGCAGCAAATGGTCCAACCTTGCGGGCCGCCGCCACCACGAGACGGCGAGGAACCTCTCCCCGAGAACCAAAATTAGGCGCGGACCTATTACAACTGCGACTCCTTCAAATTGTTTCTAGATGGCGTTACGGAAGATACCCAACATGGTATGGATTTTGGTTATACATAGATGGCATCGGGGCCTAGTCTTACACGGGATGTAGAATCATTATACGCTTGATTTGGCATCTGCTTTCTCGAGAATCAGTCATTGCCAGCACTCTCGGCTGCCTCTTCGTCCGCGGCTTCTGCCGCCGCTGCCGCCGCTGCCGCTCTGGCCTTGAGGCCAAGACTCGACCGCATCTTCTTCTCCAGGTCTGGGTCCCACTCGCCGTAGACCTCGCGCACCATGCCCATGACGCCGTCAAGTCCGACCTCTTCCTTGGCACGTGGACCGACGTGCCACGTTATGGTATGGTCACCGTCTTGACCTATGGGCGGCCTCTCCACCTTCTTCACCACGTACCCGTGTCGTTCCATCTTCTTCAGTGTATCTTCAGTCTTCTCGTTTGAGACGTTTTGGTCCGCATTCAGCCGCAGCAGATATCGCTTCAGCTTCTGCTCACTAAGCTCGCCTGCGTTCAACCATATCAGGGCCACGACTAGAGTGTAGAATGCTGCATATGTGGACTCTTCGTCCGGACTGGGGGTCTTGGACGGCTTCAGGATGGCTGCGCTGCGATAGGCGTCAGGAAGTGTTGAGCAGAGGATGTAGGCGCCGGAACCCGTTTTCGGCTGCGAATTTGACTTCATCGCTGGCGAGACGTTAGCTTGGACTTGGACGGGTCATGGTAGAGAGAAATCACCTTGCCGCTTTTCTTGCAAAGACATCTTTTCTCGGACGGGGAGCTCACGGAGCTCCATGCCCCAGATACTTCTCAGCTGCTTCTGTGCCAATGCAAAGATCCGTTTGAACGCACGCCCCTGGTTGCCGAGAACTGTCATCCATTTAGCCAGTGACACGAAGTGGTCCGGGACGAGAATGGCGCACCTCTCTCCTTGATCCCGTCTCGTCGTATGGCCGTCCGTGAGTACTCGCAAGAAATGGCATATCGGATCAGCTTCTTAGCCAGCTGATTGTCTGCGTTTTGACTTCGGTCACCGTCCGCATCCATGGGCTCGTCGGAGTCGTCTTCGGGGTTATCATCGGACAGGTCACGATTCCGCCGCTGTCTTGGACGCGAATCCTCATCTGACTCCTCCTCGTCGGCCTGCACAGGCGTCAGTGTCCCCCGTGACCATTGGGGAGCCGCGCAGTCCAAGCTTACCGGGCGCCGCCGTCTTTGTCTGGGAGGCATTATGTGTCTGAGCTGGTATTACAGAAGAGGTGATCTGCTTGTCGCGAGTCGCGTTGCTGACTTGCCGGTCCGAAGGAAAGTTGGCTCGATGGACGGCGGGGGATTAATTGAAGAAACGCGCGACAGGCGCTGGAAGACGCGTTGACGTCAAAGTACCTAATTCAGGGCCCATTAGTGCACCAGCGCACCAGATACGGGGTCAGACCTAGCTGCATCCACTGGAGGGCGTTCAACACCACTGAGCGCGTTGCAGCTAGTGTCCCGTCTTTGGTCCCACCATCAACTAACACAGCCAGCACGCCAGGTCGCAGACAAGCTGGGATACCAACTAACATGCACTCACCTTCACCTTCGACCTGCCACATGCACAACGGAGTAGCTGAGAATTGTACAGCCGTGGGACGAATTTTGGCAGCAAAATTTGCTTGGTGAGCGCGTAGAACGCGACAGTCGCAGTCGTTGCGCGGGTTGAGTACCTACAGTACCCTTACTCTGTATCGCTTATCGCTTATCGGGGCGCAAACCTTCCAGAGCTCTGCAAATTGTCGACACCAAGCTTGCGCAACACCTCACTTTCCGCATTCGAGCTCGCCTTGGCCATTCGATCGCTCACACTCCATGTTGTCGAGGGCGGCCACTCTGCCGCGCGTCTGCCTGTCATGCCGCCTTGCGTTGGCGCGACGCCATGCGACTCCTCGACTACACAACGGCGCCGCCGGCCATAATCGATCACGAACGTTTGCATCCGACTCGAACCCGGCGGACAAGGAGCGCATCGAGGCGTTGATATCGGGCTCGGTCTTTCATGGCAGTGCAGATGGTATCGGCAAGGGTCCCAGCGGAAGGAGGAGAGCGAGGCGATCCAAAGACGACGACAAGCCGGCGCCGTGGGAGTTTCCTCCGCAAGAGGAAGGTAATGCGCCCGGTCCGTCCAGTTCGGAAATCCCAGAGCTCCCCGAAGTTGTCGAAGAGGAAAACATACATGAAGCTGAAGGGGCACCAAACCCCGAGCGCCAATCGACCGGCCGACCGCGCATTGACCGGTCACGAGCATTTCGTCACGACCTCCTCAACCACCAGAATCTCGGCGTCGACGCGCTCGGGAAACCGGTTGAGGCGCTCATCCTCAAGAATCCCAATAGAATGACGAGATCAAAGAAGCACGTACCAGTCCTCGAAGAGGCCACGGCCATCACCGGAACACCACTGCGGTGGGAGGACGTGCTGCCCACGGAGCAGGGCCCCGAATACGACTTTTCGGACGAGGTGTACCGCAACATTGACGAGCTTCGGCCAGTCGATACAAAAGTCCTCCCGAGACGGGATTTCGATAAGCTGTTGGGCGCGCTCGTGGACGGCTTTACCAGGGAGCAGCTGGTCGGCTACTTCAACAAGGGCAACTGGGACAAGGACTTGCAGCACCACCAAGGGCCCTCCTATGCCTGGGCCGTCAAGCAGGCTCCGTGGCAGGCGGCGCAGCCCAATGACTGGGGCGTGCTCAAGCCAAAGCAACAGCATGCGGTCCTGATCCTGACCGCAAAGTGGGGGCTGGAGGTCCAAGAGCAAGTCGAAGGCTTGGGGCGAAGTCTCCTTTGGCTGAAGCCGCACGTGTTCCAGCTCATCACCCGTACGTATCTTGACAAACATCCTGCGATGCCGTCCTAATGACTTGGTAGGCTCCTCAAGCGCTGTACTCGAGACAATCAGCGCCGGTCTGCTGGACAAGGCCAGCAACGAGAGGATATCGACGAGCCACAGCGACTGCCGGCTGGGAATATATGCCCGCAAGTCCACGATTCCTCTTATACTCGAACGGATAAACGATGTTGTCAAGTCTATAAAGACAAAGGTTGTTCCTGTGCGCCATGTCGAGGAAGAAAACCTTGCCGAACCCGTTCTTCGCGAGCTTGGAAGGATCACAAGCACAACAGCCCAGTACGACTCGGGAAACCAGGTGTGTGGCGGTGCCTTCGCGCTCATTGTAGCTCAACGGCATGCTGACCAGTCTTTAGGAAATATCCGTGTCATGGCTTGCTGAGGACAGCCAAGGCCACACAGCTTCCTTGGCAGAAGGGGAGCCATCGACAGGTACAGAGACAGAAGATCCGGCGGACATCGTCTCCCGATTACTACCGCGACGACAACCCACTGCTCAGCTCAACCAAGCCCAAATTATCACGTCTTTAAAATCCTCTGGTCCCGGCAAAGGCGCCTTTGTAGAACACCACCGAGAGATGAGGACCATGTCTTGGAGAGATAAGCTGCGACAGTGGGCGCGGTACGTCAGCCCCGTCGGTAAGGAGGCCCCCGTCGACCGAGAGTCGCTTGCCTTCGCGGAACAAGTCTCGGTGTCAAACGCTGCGTCAAAACTCCAGGGCAGGGAGGCGACGACTCGTCTCACAGCCACATTCGGACATGTTCTTCACACGGAACACAGCATCAAGTCGTCCCGGATGAGCAAAAGCAGGCGCATCCTCTCGCCCGTGGTTCCACACCCGGCAGCTGTAACCAGCATCACCGCCGACGCAGACAAGCCCGTCTCTCAGTCCACCGCCATCATTCTCAACTTCGCACCCGAACTGGCGAGCAACCAGACGCAGGGCGATACCCTACCACGCATTCGCCTTACCCTCCCCGTGAACCCCGATACCGACCTCTCGGCATTCGCATTCCCGCCTGACTCCAGCTTAGAAGGTGTCGTCCCGCTCCAAGTCAATGATATCATGCTGCCAGACGAGAACGTCGACGTGCGCCTCGTCCAGCAACAACTATTCCCACTCGACACGCAGCAAGAATCCCTCAAGGCCTTCCTCGCGGTGTCCGACTTCAACCTCCTCGCCGGCAGGCTCCGAACACCGAGTCGCGCCACATTTTCTGTACCCAGCGGATGGCTCACCAACAGTAGCGGGAAGACAGACCAGGAACAACATCCGGCTTCAGACATCCCATATCTCTTCATGGGCCTCGAGATCCACCAAATCGTCGACTTGGAGTGGCGAGGCCACACCCTCCGCTACAACAGCATTGAGGCCGGCCAGCACGGCGGCCAGCGACAGGAACTCTCTCTTCTCGCAGGCCCTCCTGCCCAGAGCACTGCGCGTGATCCTCCGTCCGAGCATGTAAAGACCTTCCTGCAGCTCGCAGAAGAGGTCGCACTGGGGAAGCACTTCTCGTGGGATGAGGGCTACATGCTCATGCAGGAGCGCTCGGACGAGCAGTTTAGCTGGGACATGCTGGACGAGTCGTTTGACCAAGAGGAGCTCGTGGATGAGCAGCCTATCGTCCAAGACAGCGAGGAAGTACCTGGTGGCCATGAGACCGTTGCGTCATCGGAGGAGCAGACGGGAAGTGGGAATTCGGAATCAAGAACTGAGGACCAGTCGACAGTGGGCGATATTGATCGGAACCGACGGGGCAGTTAGAAACCTGAACTCGAAAGACGCAGAGGCGAGTTACAGGGTCCCGACTGTACTTTTTAACAACCACTAAAGCATGTACACTACTCAATTCGAATGTACACATCCTGGAGCCAAATATTTTACGTCGTGCCCAATGCGACTGGGGGCGATGGGACATCACGGGCGGAACGCGAAGGAACAGGAACAAGCGAGGTGCAGGAATCACTTCTAGACTCTAATTTTTCTGATAAAGCACATCATGAGAAGTCCTGACGCAGAAAAACCCAAATCCCAGCCTCTCATTATGTGCCCCGAGACCAAAGCCGAGTGCTCATCCACAGCAAAGATAGATCATTTCGTCGTAGAAGTGAGTACACAACGCCCCGAACCCAAGACTTTTGATCCCAAGCACGGCGCGCCCAAGTCACAAGCGGAAACCGCTTATTTCTTGGTGGCCTTGGCAGCGGACTTGGTGACCTTGCCAGAGCCAGCGGCGGCCTTCTCGACGGACTTGATGACACCGACGGCGACGGTCTGGCGCATGTCACGGACGGCGAAGCGGCCCAGAGGAGGGTAGTCGGTGAAAGCCTCAACGCACATGGGCTTGGAGGGAATCATCTTGACGATGGCAGAGTCGCCAGACTTGATGAACTTGGGGGCGGACTCGACAGACTTGCCGGTACGGCGGTCGATCTTCTCCTTGATCTCGGCGAACTTGCAGGCAATGTGGGCGGTGTGGCAGTCGAGGACGGGGGCGTAGCCAGCACCGACCTGGCCGGGGTGGTTGAGGACGATGACCTGGGCATCGAAAGAAGCGGCACCCAGAGGGGGGTCGTTCTTGGAGTCACCGGCGACGTTGCCACGACGGATCTCCTTGACGGAGACGTTCTTGACGTTGAAGCCGACGTTGTCACCGGGGACACCCTCGGAGAGCTGCTCGTGGTGCATCTCAACGGACTTGACTTCGGTGGTGACGTTGGAAGGAGCGAAGGTCACGACCATGCCGGGCTTGATGACACCAGTCTCGATACGGCCGACAGGGACTGTGCCGATACCGCCGATCTTGTACACATCCTGAAGGGGAAGGCGGAGGGGCTTGTCGCTGGGGCGCTTGGGGGGCTCGATGGAGTCGATGGCCTCAAGGAGGGTCTTGCCGGTGGACTTGCCAGCCTTGGTCTCCTTCTCCCAGCCCTTGTACCAGGGGCAGTTGGTGGAGGGGGAAAGCATGTTGTCGCCGTGGAAACCAGAGATGGGGACGAAAGCGACGGTCTTGGGGTTGTAGCCGACCTTCTTGATGAAGTTGGAGGTCTCCTTGATGATCTCCTGGAAACGGGCCTCAGACCACTTGGTGGTGTCCATCTTGTTGATAGCGACGATGAGCTGCTTAACACCGAGGGTGTAGGCGAGCAGAGCGTGCTCACGGGTCTGGCCATCCTTGGAGATACCAGCCTCGAACTCACCAGTGCCGGCAGCGATAATGAGGATAGCGCAGTCAGCCTGGGAGGTACCAGTGATCATGTTCTTGATGAAGTCACGGTGGCCGGGAGCGTCTGTTCAAGCACGTTAGCGACGTGGAAATTGCGACCAGTCTCGCGCGAGTCGACGTACCAATGACGGTGACATAGTACTTGGGAGTCTCGAACTTCCAGAGGGCAATGTCGATGGTGATACCACGCTCACGCTCGGCCTTGAGCTTGTCAAGGACCCACGCGTACTTGAAGGAACCCTTGCCGAGCTCGGCGGCTTCCTGTTATCTCACGCGTCAGCATGCTGTTGGTGCTCCGTGCGAATTTTTGGTGTTGAGGGGCAAATGAGACACCTGTGCAGCGTGGCGGGGTAATGAGCCCCACACAAAGCTGGCGACAAGTCACAGAAAATTTTGACTGTGCAAGGAGGGGTAATCGCCGCAATCAGAGCACATTGTGCACCGCTCGAGCGGCAGAACAGCTTGCTGCAAGGGAAAATGGAAAATCGAGTGAATCTTACCTTCTCGAACTTCTCGATGGTACGCTTGTCGATACCACCGCACTGGTAGATCAGGTGACCGGTCTGAGAGGTAGTTAGCATTCATGTCGCAGAAATACCCCGCGCCAGTGATGACAGGCGGGGCCTTGAACAGGGCGAGGAAGACTCACGGTGGTCGACTTGCCGGAGTCGACGTGGCTATTGCACGGAGTCAGTATGACGAGATCGCAGGCGACGACGATGGCATCGATTTACGCACCCCTGGAGAGCGAGTTAGCAGACACATCTTTGAGGGAAAGTGAAAGTGGAAGAACGTACGATAACGACCACGTTGATGTGAGTCTTGTCGTCCTTACTGAATGGAAGTCAGCATTGATGATCCGGAGGCAGCGATCGAGAGGCACCGAAGCCCTCGAGATGTCGACGTACCCCATTTTGGCGGTTTGGATGTGTGTTTAGACGAGTGTGTGCTTGACGAAAGTGTCTGGCGACGAACGCTCGAGTTAGTTGCAGTTCTCCTCGATGATGCTTGATGGATGAGAGCCAAGGCAAGGGACCAACGTACAAAATCGCAGGTCGGATGCTTGAACCGGGTATGCGAGACGAGGAGCAGAAAGAGAGAAAAATTCGCAAAGCGGTGGTGGGAGGAGGAGATTTAAAAAGGTGGGCGGAGGAGGGGTGGAGTGACTGGCGCTCTTGCTCGCGCGGGGCAACCAGAGGGGCAGACTCTGACCTGCTTGCCCTAACAGGACGGAAGTTTTCCTGGCCTCGCCCCGCGCAAGATTTTTCCTCGCCTTAGCCGCTGTGCGTCAGGTCTGGTGCCTGTCGTCCAATCAGGAGGGTTGCTTTATTAGCCAGGGCCATTGGGTTTCGTATTGAGAGCCTCGTCCTGTGAATCTCGCCGCGACGGCTCTGCAAGACGAGGCGATATCTGGCATGAGGCTCCGAGTCCATCTCACACGACGGCCGTCACCATTATGCAGAACCTGCTACGTACGGCGTTTGCTGTATTCAGGTCTTGTATGATAATCAGAGTTGGGGGCGAGCCAGGCATTCAGCGGCGTGTGTAGTCATCGAGGTGTCAGGCGAGGACACGCCTGCCCCTCCCTGCTCGCCGGTGAGTAACCGCTGTTGGATTCCCAGGCAAAGGTCAGGCCGCAACATCCGTCTACGGGATCGCAGACGAGAGTCAACAGCTAGGTAGGCATGCCGGCAGCATACGAGCCTCGTTTGTCAAGACTTGTGCAGAGCATCCAATTTCGCTGCTGCGCCGTACGAAGAACCCTGGACTGTGAACCCGCGGCAAAGCAAAGCGTGGCAAGGCTGGTTCGATCTCTTGGCTCCATCGCCCTCTGTCCTGCTCGACCACATCCGCCACAGCTCTGCCGGTACATGCAATCTGTTAGCAGATACAAAGTGGGGGGCGGTGCGCAACACCCCAAGAGCGAGCGAGAGAGAAAAAAAATTCACTGCGACCCAAAATTTCCCTGGCGCGCGAGGAACAGACAGACCTACCTGAGGTGCTGGCGCAGTGCCGGCGCGGCCCAGTGGCCAAGCAGCAGCCCGCTTGTCTGCCCAACCTGTCAGCCCAAAGCACCTCACATGTGCTCGTGCGGCATGGCTGGACACGGTGTGAGTCAAGCGCCAGAGTTTCAAGGAGCATGCAGCCATCCCGCCACAGTGCAGAGAGAGTCCCGCGCGGCCTTTGTTCGTCGGGCTGTGGGTTTTGCTTGTGCCGTTGCAGCTCTGGCCTTGGCTGGCGTCTCGCCGCCTCGCCGTCGTTGCGACGAACCCCGCGGTTGCGCAGCGGTGATGCCTTCCCCTGCGCTCTCTGCCCCTCCCCAACGTCATGCCCCACTGCGAGTCCCTCGCCACCGCCCGCATCTTCAATACAACGGGCGTGTCTGCGAGATCACGGCGGGCCCGTCGCCCGGGGCCTGTCGCCGCCTGGCTTCTCCTCCATCATGACGCCCGAGGCCTTGAGGCATCCGGACGCCCAAAGATTTTCTCCCAAACACCACGTCGTAAAATGGCGCGGCCAGATGGGGTCGCTTGTCACTCTGGCGGGCAAGCTGGCCTGTCTGTTGCCCCTCCATCGAATCATGCCCGCCTCTGACCGCCTTCCGCCTGCGCAAATTCTGTTGCGCCAAAACTCTTTTTGGCCGCAGGGACTTGAGGCGACCAGTTCTCAGCCACAGTGGGGTGCGCCCGCGCACCCTTGTCCAGACCGATCTCTTCGGCGCTTCATCCCGCCAACGGGCTCCGTGTTGCGTGGCAACGCAAGCGCCGGCACCATGCGCAGCTTTCCCAATGTGGCGACTCTGATCGTGGAGTCGCTAGTGGCGGCTGGCCTGTGAAGTCGAGTCCAACGGTGGCCGTTCCATGTCCAGCTACGAAGCCCTTGCGCCTGGCCAAGTAGCAGTCTTCATGCCTAACGCGTTCGCTAAGGATATTGGTGTATCGGCGGTAGGACAGGGCAGATGGTAGCCTGGACTACCACACTCTCTGGTGTGAGATTCGACCTGAAGTAGAATCCGCATATCTTTGCATGTGATGTAATATCAAGAATCCAGGATGAACATTTGTGGTTCTTGATCTGAGGAGCTGCAATGCTCGATCCTTGGAATGCAGTTTCTACGTTACGAGGCCTCCTGGCAAAAGAAGTGTGCAGCCTGTGTCCTGCCACTGCTCCATTGCATGACACGGAGGCCTAGCTAGCTAGACATGCCCGCTAATGTCCTCGAGGCTCGCCGTCACACTACCATGGACATCGGAGGTCGATCTGAAGCACCTTCCCAGTCAGTATGCCTCCAGCTCAGCATATTCGGGTGACCGAGACTGTGACAACGGCATCTCTGAATCAGGTTGAGCCGTTTGTTTTTCGTATATCGTCCTATGTATGCTTGATGGTGACTGGCTCACTCTCCCGATGGAGAGCGGGTGAACGCAGGAGGCAGCTACCCGGTGCAACGAAGTTCGCTCTGCGCACCACAGCAGCTGTTCACCACTTCATATAACACAATAGCTCTTCCCCTTCCACCCCAACAGGAGCGTGCGATTCCCGTCTATTCGCACTTTGGTCGAGTGGTTAAAGTGCATCTCGTCGGTGAGCGGTCGCTAGTTTCAAGCCCGCATAGAGTAATAGTAACTCGTTGGACTCCTATCCTGGGTAGGGGAAAGCCAAGGATCCCGGTGCAAGTCCGGGTGCGGGTGTCCTTTTTTTTCCCTTTTTGTCTCTTTCTCTTCCCGTTAGGTTCGAGACACTGCGACATGCTCTCGTTGCAACGATGACAGGATGGTGAATGATGGCAAGGCGAAATAGAAGTGCATGGCCATCGTCTCGTTGGTCGTCGGTAATGGAGTTTTCCAATATCCAGAAGTGCAGACTGCGATCCGTACGCCGAACCCTTCATCACCTCGTTACCGGGCCTTCGTAGCCTTCGTGCTCGCGACCCTCTTGGGTGTCTTCAATCCCATCAACACGGCCGCTGCGACAACGGCAACGCCGGTGGCTCCCATCGTGTATGCAACCTCCCGGCCGGCCCACCAGTACACGCTGGTAAACAGAATCGGTCCTAATCCGCGGCCCAGCTGTCCCCAGCTCCGCAAAACGCCCAGCTTGCTACCGCGCTCGTCTTCTCTTGCCTCAAAGCTTGTCAGGGCGTTGAGGCTGCTGACTACAGTGGCCGATGTGACAGCCAAGCAGGTGGCAGCCGCATACAGGCCGCGAACGGTCGTGATTCGTCCGAGCAAGAAGAAGGACGCCAGGCACGCAATGACGCCGATGCGAACGGAGAGCAACGGTGGCAACCGTCGCGTGACACCGCCTTGCAAGATGGAAGCGACGAAGCCAATGTATCCAAGCAGCCTGCCGTTACGACCGGAGGTAAATCCGAATAGCTCGTACGTCATGAAGGACAGTGAGCTTTCCATGCCAGAAAAGAACAAGATGAAAAAGAAGTGGACAGCGTAGAGCAATGCTGGCGAGTTCGTTCTTTCCACGGGAACAGCAGCGCCCTTCTTTTCGTTCTTTCCGTTCGCGCCCTTACTCCCTTGTCCGGTCAAGGCAGGCAGGGTTTCTGGCAAGCACAGGTACAGGTAAACCGTCTCTGTCACGATGAGTACCAGGCTAATCCCTGCCGCAGTGGCAAAGGGGTTTGCTGAGACAATCGAAATCGTGCTGAGCCAAGCACCGAGTCCGGGACCAAAGGTGAACGCGATGGAGAAGCACGCGCCAATGATGGCCATGGTCTGGCCGCGCGTGGCCTCATCTGATATATCGCTGGCCATGGCCGTCGTAAGCTGTACATTGCCTTCGGAAAGACCGCCGACTACTCGGCTTGCGATGAAGGTGCGAAAGTCGACTGCGGCAACCCAAAGGAGCACGGACAGAATGTTGCCGCACATCGAAGTGAGAAGGGCCTTGCGGCGGCCATAGCGGTCGGAGAGACGGCCAATCACCGGGGACGCAACGGCCTGAAGCAAGCTATAGAGACCGTGGTCAGCATTGCCTGTCGAGCATGACAGATTTGCACCTTGTGGGGACGTACGAGAACAGGGAGCCAGTAGCTCCTCCCAGCAGGACAATATCATATCGGGAGTCTATCGGCCGCGAGAATGCAGCCTTGTATTTGTTCAAGCCGGTGAGTACATGCTGCAGCAGCGTCGGCGGGCCGTCGTCGAGGAGCGAGGGGGCTTCGCGGTCGCGGTAGAACTCGAGCAGCTTGGGGAACAGCGGGAGGATGAAAGTGAATGAGATCTACCTCCAGTCAGCAGAGAGGCTCCAATCAATGAACAGTCGGTCGCGACGCATACCAGATCCAAGAGAAGAGACGTAACAATCACACGAAGAACTCGCTTCCTTGTCACGGGGTCGACGGCGGCCATGGCGCTCGAGGATTCCGTGAGCTGAGACGGTGATCAAGCTGGACGCGGAGAAGGGGTCGAACGCCTGAAACCGCGCGAGCAAAGACTGTTGTGGCAGAAGAGGAACTGGAATCGAGAGGGAATGCTCAAGAAGATGCGGTCGGACGATGGCCACGCAATGCCCGTCGAAAGATGCAAACGCGGCTCGGCTGATCCCCAAGGCGAGGTCAGCGAACCGTCCGTCCTGGATCCACGTTGGCGCTTCGACGGCGCCGCGGCAGTCGAAGCTCCGGTGGGGGATGGGTGATGTGACGTTCAGCCCCTGGGCTTGGACCCAATTCCGATGTCGAACCGTGGGGCGCAAGCCCGCCACGCCCGCTTGGGGGCGCGGCAGGGCGCGGGTAGGGGGCCCAGCTCCAGGCCCGGCCGCCTGAGATCCCTGCGCTGCAGCGAGCGGCCCTGCAAGGCCTGGAGCCGCTCCAAAACCCACCTCGCACCCCACCTAAAATGGACTGCTGCGAGGACGGTTCGTCCAGTGATCCGTAGACCTGAAAGATGGTAAAGAGGTCCATTTTGCTACCAAAGTTCATTGAAGTCATTCAATACCAGCTTGAAGTCGGCGATAGGACAGGCAACAAACGAGGAGTTTCAACAGGGTCATATGTGAAGAAGTGGCTCGGCGTAGTTTCGCTGCTCACCGACCGATGTGAAACAATCCATCCCCTGATAGGGACCCGTTGCCGCCGACTTACTGGCTGTAGCAACAGACACGAAACACCAGCGCCAACGGCTACTGCGCTGCAAAATACGAGGCAGGCCACACCATCAGGGCACCAAGAAACATTAGTCCATTCACTTTTTAATTGCCCGGTAGGACGTAGTGCTCGTGCATTCAACACAGGTTGCCGTCGAACACATCTCACACTGAACGAGGGATAGTGCAAGCAGGCCACTGCCAACGTGAACTGTGAGATACTGCCTGGTTCCCTCATATGTTCACCTATCGAGACATACTTTTAAACAACGCCCTCCTCGAGGTCGCGATGGGACTACTCTTTTACCCGGCTAAACAGACATGGCGATTGTAAGAACATGAAGCGAGGCGGGCCGTTTTTGGTCGAGCCGTCGAACTCGGAGACGTCAGGCTCTCTCATTCACTTCAAAAGTCGCAAAGCCAATTCTGCCTCCCAGATGAAAGCTGTGGAACAAGGGTGAGCGCGTGATGCTCGAGGTTGCCAACGGTTTGGCGTACATGGCTCCTCATGCCTCCAGCTTGCGCCGTATGTGAGAGCCGAACTCGATGCAAGTGTCTGAACAAGTCCTGGGCTCACATTCCTGAGTTTCGACATGCGACAGATAAGTTCCAGATAGTACAAAACACACTCTCTCGTGGACTGTCAGTATGTGCACTTAGTTTAACGTGGTCTTGGCCTGCAGCCATGTCCGTGGCTATATGATCATTGCTACGGTCTATTGTCTCCAAAATACGCATTTTATCCCCGCAGACACCAGAAGACAGTGGTCAAAGTTCCTGGGTGACTTGGCATGAGCAGCTGATGAATGGCAGCTTCTTGTTGACGAGGGGAGCAGGTTCATGGCGAGATGTTGTGACGATGTCAGGGCACAATGTGATTTCCGCTTTGGAGTCTCAAGTAAATGCAAATGGGCTACACCCGGTCGTAGATCAGGAACCAGATCCTAGATGACGAGATCTACTTGTGGGGGAGAGCCGGGGACTGCGTTGGTATGAGGGGTCGAGGCGCAAAATGCCGCAGTTTCACGACATGGACTTGAGGGGCAGCCGCCAGTCATCTCTGTTGCTTGTGGAATTGAGCGCGCTCTCAAGGTCACTCGCCCAAGTCTCGGATCAGACTTTGGTTCCCTCTCTTGCGTACTATTTCGACGCCGTGGTACTCTGGAACAGGTGTGTTCTAAGCAGTCTCAATCAGTTGCGACAATGTCGTCAAACATCAAATAGACGTGTTGAAGCGTGCAACTGCGGCGCTTGGCGGCATGTCGCGTCAGCTTCAGATACAACTTAATGTTCGATTCAATGACTCGATTTAGATTCGGCTCTTACCTGCGAGATCTGGCTTGTCTTCCTTCGCTCGCACTTCCTGACCATGAGCCTGGGTACTATCCGTCATCCACTGTCGGCACCTGATATCGAAGGCAGTGTGATGATGGCTGGCTTGAGGACCTTCACGACGACGGGTCGCGACACTCGCGGCACACTGCCGCTAGGGGTCCCCTTGCTGCGGCGTCTCGAGCATTCGTGAGCCATTACCGAAACTGCAAGCGCGCCCACGCCCAGAGTTGCAGCCGGCGCCGTCGCTCCACCATCCCAACGCCGCTCCGCATGTCAGTCCCACCTCAGCCGTCTCCAAATACCCACACCAACCGCCCGTCCGAACCTGCAGTCAACTGACAGGTTCTCGGCTCCGATGCCGACGTTTTGGATGCAGCTAGTGGGGGTCCGTTTCCGAGCTGTCAACGTCACCCCAGGTTTGGAGGGTTGACGAACAGTGATGCTGAGGTGCAACTCGAGTAACCCGACCCGAGCGTCCAGCGAGCAGCACGACAGGAGGCACTCCGAGACGAACGTTTGTAGCATGAGTGGCTTTCGGCGTCGCCGCCTTCGCATTCTATTTGCCATTACTGGCTGAATCTTTACTATGTCGGAGCCTGGGCCCCCTGACGCTTGTATACATCTAAAGCATTTCACCCGCCAAATCCATAACGTACGTTTCGGCCTGTTGTGCCAATCCCCAGGCTGCAGCCAGTCTATTTTTGTTACCAGGGCCACTCCCATTTTATTAGAAAACAACCGCCTGAAGCATCCTCTTATAACGCCGAAAATTCAAGGGAGGGTGGAAACAGGTCGTGTCGGGACATCGTTTGGCCCGCGTGCGGTCGTCGCGCAATCGGTTTCGATAAGGAGCCTGGCAGGTGTAAGCATTCCATAAGCGATGTCGGCGGCACAGATCTGTACCTCTTGGGCTGCGCAGATATCCACCACGCGCTCGGCAGACACGTTCTAATGACTGCACCGCGATGACTTTGGCGGTTTCGGTGCGTTCGGCTTGACGACGCCCGTCGTGTCGTAAGGTCCGCGAGGCATGGCTTCGGGACTTTTTGAGGCGGCGGTTGCGAATTTGCGGCGGGTGCAGTGAAGGAAATGAGGTGACGAGGCAGGGTGTTGACCTTAAAATTGGGGGGCCAGGCTACGGCCGACGGTCGATGACGATGGACCTCAACACTCGCACGGGCGCTTTCAATGACGGGATCCAACGGGCTCGAAGACGACCGGACAGAGCTCAATGAAGGTAGACGGTGGGATGTCGAGGAGAAAATGACGGCGAATGACCGAGAGCGCAGAGGAACGAGATCGGACGGGATGTCTGAGATTTTTAAGGCGCCAACCAGGGCGTGAACAATTTTTTGGGACCGAGGGCTGTCTCCAGCAAGGGGCGCACAAGGCTCGCGTGGCATGAAGCCCTTCTTTTTGGCCAGGTTCATTAACGCTATATACCGAAGTTGCGGTCGACCCCGGGCGGTCAGCGAGCACCCCTGGATACCTTTTTCCTTACATGGCCTTGGGGGGGGGGGGGGGGGGGGGGGTCCCGGCCCCTGCGCATTCGCGAATTCTGCGAGCCCTGTCGGGGAAAGACGTTTGGGGGTCCACAGGGCGTTTGCTGGGCCGTTTGTTGAAGAGAGGGCAAGGGGTCAGACACGGGTTTGGCAAGCGAGTTTGCTTCCCGCCGCCGCCCAGGAGGCAAAGGCAGAGCCGCTGGGGAAGGGGGTGTGTGCGTGTGAGAGGTGTGTTGGTGGCGGCTGTAACCCGCGCTTTGGTCTGCGAGGTTCGATGGTGGTGGGTGTGTGCGTGTTGAACAACCATCTGAGGTCTGGCTGAAAGGCAGGCAGCATCAAGGCGTGGACGAGAGATCACCAGGGGGGAGCAGAAGCGGTCCTTTTGCGCAGCATGCATGTCCTTTCTCGAGCTGGAACGCGACAAGGACACGGTCGCCACGAAGAGATAGAAAGCTCGGTCGCAGTCCCTCTCTTCAGCAAGTACTCGTACATGCACGGATGTACATTATACTCCATTTACACGTATCGCCGAGCCAAGAACAACACCCCCCAAAAAACGCAGGTCGGGCGTGGGCTCCGGTGAGTGTCAGGGGCCGGCCAACGTGCCAAAGGACTCGCGCCCGGGGACGTGCCGGAGCAGACAGTTGGCCCAGCGTGGTGGCGTCTGCATCACCTTGTTGACTTTCTAGAATTGTGTCGAGCCGCAAGACGAAGCGGTACCTGACTTGGGCCCAGGACAAGCCAACCTCCGGTGGAGACAACAACAACAATGCGGCCCATCAGACTTGCCCGAAAGGAGGAAACGGGGACGGCAAACCTGCCCGCCGCCGCGAGGCAAAGCAACCCACTGTTAGCTGTCAGCGATAGCAGGCCCGCCGCTACGGATATCCGCACGGCGGCCCTGGGTGACGGCCGGGCTTCGTCTTGCGTCTCCTCTGCTCCACCTAGGGAAGACGGCCGTGAGCCGCGCGCGGGTCGCGCTCTGAAGGGGAACTTTTTATTATTACTGCACCCCCCCTCGTCCTTGTCCTTGCTATCGTCTGGTGCTTGGGGCGCGTGCGCAATGGCATGACCTGCTTCATACGAGGAACGCGTCGTGCTTTGCACGTCAGCTTAGTGCCGCCGCCCTCTGGCCCCTGACCAGCAGCGACACGCAGTCGCACGCACGCGCACTCACACCACCCAAGCCAGTGCAGTCCCGAGAACCGAAGAGCCGCACCCCTGGACATGCAGTGGAATCGAACCCGGGTCCCCGGGCTCGCGTGTGCCAGGCTCAGCGGCGACGGCAAGGCACATGCGCCACACGCTGCACCGCAGGCACCCCCTTTCCCCTTGCGATTGGATGGGCCTTTCATTTCCCAGCAGGGCCTCCGGCCGTTGTGCTTGGTGCCGCTGACATGGACCATGGAAGCATCCGTAGCATGGCTTGCCTGTGAAGCTCTGAGGCTCGCATGCCCTGCCGAAGCGACGTTCCAGCCAGTACGAACACCATGTATCGGCAGTTTGCTCAAGCAGCACGGTGCCAGGGCCATGACTCGGCCCCAGCTCGCCCGGTTGCGCAAAGGCACAGTTGTATCGACGCGGGACATGGAGCCTACTGGGTACGGTTTCACGGATGTCTTGACTTTTCCATGCCTCGGTGGACCGAGCGGCCGGGTGCCTTGCTTGCTTGCCCTGCCGGGCTGAGCTGGGGCTCACCTTGCTGGCAGGCCCAGCCTCACCGACGCGACGCGACGGTGGCACACACATTATGTGAGAAAACTTTTCAAACTCTTTTTTGTTCCCTCTCGGCGACGGACCGGGGACTCGGGACGAAACCCTTCTGCCCCGATTCGCAGGGATGGTGTGGTGAGATGTCTTGTCGCGGCTCTGAAACCGCGGGTCAACAGAGGCCAATCGATCGGGCATCGAGCGTGCTGCAGCTGGCCAATGGTCGAGCGGGAACTCGAACATTCCTACGATCCGAGGGGCGTTTTTGCTTCTTTTTCGGCGATGCTGTGGTCTCCAGCTTGCCGACAGGATGCTGCGCAAGAAACCCGTTCAAAAGCAACGCAACGCAACGGGCAACCGTCGAACGGCCTCCCAAAGGCGGAAGTAAGTTGCCGGCTCCGCGGCCAGCACGCACCGCTTTGGGACCGACCGCATTGCGCAGGCAGGAGGTTGGCCATTTGTGGTTGTGCTCGGTCCGTGGGTTCACCGCTGTCGCAGTTTTGGGGCCCGGACCTTGCGGAAGCTCGCCTCGGCGCAATCCCTCGTCGGCGCCGAAGGCAAATGGGACTGGATCGGCAACGTTGAACAACAATGACAGCCCTTGGCGAAATCAGGTACCACTGGACGCTGCGGATTCTATTCGCTGCTATCAGGGGCTTTCCTGTTCCCTACACCACTCACCAGTGACCCTCGACCGTCAACGTGCCGTTCTTTGTTACCAAGAATTCGTCAATGGCCACGTCCTTGCCACTCTCCTTGCCTACGCCACTCTCCTTAATACCGCCAAAAGGCGCCTCCGACGACGAGCTATTTCCCGTGTTCTAACAATCCGCCGAAGCGCGTTAGCAGCAAGTTCTTGATTGGTGATCAAATTACCTTGGCGACAGAATAACATCGACACTGAAATACAGCCCAACAGGTTGGGGAAAAGCCAAAGGAAAAAGGAAAACCAAGCCCCAACCGCGAACCACCCGGGGAAAAGAGGAAACATTTTGGGGGGCGGAAACGTACCAGTCCAATCATGCCGGCCTCGAGCTTCTCAAACATCCTCCACAGCCGGTCGACGTCCTTGGTGAAGACGTAGCTCGCGAGGCCCATGCTCGTGTTGTTTGCCCGCGCCACGATCTCGTCCTCGTTGTCGAACACGGACACACCAAGCAGCGGCGCAAAGATCTCGTCTTGGCTCATGAGCATGTCGTCGGTTACGCCCGTCATCACGGTTGGCTCCATGAAGTAGCCGCCGTTGCTCTTTGCGGTGTCCATGCGCTTGCCGTTTCCCAGCACCGTCTTCGCGCCCTTGGCCAGTGCGTCCTTGGCCATATCCTCGGCTTTGTCGAGCGATCGCGACGTGGTGACGGGCCCCATGGTCGTGCCCTCAGCCATGCCGTGGCCGACCTTGAGCTTCGAGGTTTGCTTCACGAGCTCCTCGACGAATCGATCGTGCACGCCGCGCTGTACGTACAGCCTGTTTGACGAGATGCAGGCCTGGCCTGCGTGCCGCCATTTGAGTGCCATGAGTTGACCCATGGTCTGCTCGAGGTTGGCATCGTCGAACACGATGAAGGGGCAATTGCCTCCGAGCTCGAGCGTCGACTTCTTCAAGTTCTTGGCGCACAGCCCGGTGATGATCTTTCCTACCCGCGTGCTGCCGGTGAATGTGATCTTTTTGACAAGCGGATGCAGGCAGAGCGCCTCGGCGACCTTGGGTGTGTTGTCCAGACTCGTTGTCAGGACGTTGAGCGCACCGGGTGGGAAGCCGGCGCGCAGAGCGAGCTGCGCAACAGCAAGAACTGTAATGGGTGTTTCGGGCGAGGGCTTGACGACCATAGTGCAGCCGGCGGCGAGGGCAGCGGCAATCTTGCGTAGGGAGAGTGCGATCGGGAAGTTCCATGGGATGAGAGCGGCGGCGACACCGATAGGCTGCTTGATGGTGATGGCGCGGCGACCGGGGATGGCAGAGACGATGGAGCTGCCGTGAGCTCGCTCAGCCTCGCCGACGAACCACCAGGTAAAGGTCAGAGCATAGTCGATTTCGCCGTATGCCTCGGCGAGGGGCTTGCCTGTCTCGTGGACAAGGATCCGAGCAAGGTCCTCCTTAGCGTCGGTGATGAGATGATGCCATTTCGACAGGATCTGGGACCGCCGCCGCGGCGTCCACTTGGAGTACTCGAGGAAGGTCTTATGGCACGACTGCACGGCAGCATCGACGTCGTCGTCAGTGCAATCCGGGCACGTAGCCCAGACCTTGCCGGAACCCGGGTCGACAACGTCGAATCGCTTCCCAGAGCGGGCGCCGACAGACTTGCCGTCGACCACGCAGTCGAGCAGCCCGAGGCTCTTGTCGCTGAGCTGAAACGGCAGTTCTGTGGACGTCATCGTGTCTGCTGATCCCCTGTGTGTTGTTCTGACTCTGCCAAGGCTTGCGGCGCTGGACCAGGCTCTGATATTCGTCTCGACGTGCGCAAGCAAAAGTCAAGGGACGGTTCGGCGACGAATAATCACAGATGGTGACGTTCCTCGGCTCGAGATAAGTTATGTGCATTGCCGAGCGGGGTCTAATGCAGCTCGTCCGTCTCACACACAGCCGGTCAACGATGTCGGCCACTGAGATGGACCCTGGTGGCGCCCGCTACCTCACGCTGTTGCAGCCCTCCACTTACACGACGACCCCACGGGGGCGACGGACCCCGCGACGGCGCGCTCCGGAGAGGCAGTGGCACGCTCCGGAGCCCCGGAGTCCTGCACGCTGTTCCCGCCCCGGACTACCGAGCGCGCCCCCCAGACAGACGCCATGACTGGTGTCGACGGCTTGCCACATTGAATGGATGCATGCGGGCATCCGGAATGTTCAACGCACCTTCAGCATGTTCAGCCGTCTCATTCGTCTGGGCGCAATGCGACCGCAGCCGCGTCTGGAAGCGGTAGCTGGCCGCTTCATCTATTTACATGGCACGAGCCTTCCCTCCGAATCTCAAGTGGTGTAACGTCAATCAACGAAATCTACTGTCATTGATCCCTTGAACATACACGCAAAGTGCAACAGGGCGGCTCCTGTGACCATCAGCATGGAGTCACCACAACCAAAGCTTCCCAGGCGCTCCCGAACTAGCCCCTACAACCGGCTTGTCACCATTGCCGTCGCATTCGGCTCCTTTGTAAGCCCCCTTGACGAGCCCCATTCCGCCTGTACGGGTCATCATATCTGACTTGTGGTGGAGACGTATGGCTACTGCTCCGCTATCATCGGCAGCACCATCGGCCAGCCGGGCTGGTACGACTTCTTCGACTTGCCCATGCAGGGCGAGGCAGGCTACGGCACTCGCACTACGCAGGCTATCTCGACCGCCAATGGACTCTACAGCGCGGGCGGCGCCGTGGGCAGCCTCTTCATCATGTGGGCTGCCACGGCGCTGGGTCGCAAGACGTCCATCCAGATAGGAGCCTTGTGCGCCGTCGTGGGAGGCGCCTTTCAAGGAGGCGCGGCGAACCTCGCGTACGTCTGAACGCTCACCTGTTTCGTTCGGTACATCTCACTTACACGAGACTCCGGGGCTAGCATGTTCCAGGTTGGTAGGGTTATATCCGGCCTGGGAATCGGTATCCTCGTCACGGCGTGCCCCATGTACCTCTCTGAGCTGTCGCCTCCTGACAAGCGTGGATGGCTCGTAGGCCATCACGCCATCTTCCTTGTCTTCGGGTACATGCTCTCTGGCTGGCTGGGGTTCGCGTGTTACTTCGCAACCGACGTCAACGCCTCGTTTGCCTGGCGCTTTCCGCTCTGCGTACAGTGCCTCTCGCCGCTCGTGCTGCTCGTCACGTCCATATGGATCCCCCGGTCGCCGCGATGGCTGCTCCAGAAGGGCAGGGTCGAGCAGGCATGGAAGGTGCTTCGCGAGCTGCGAAGGTCGCCTGATGACCCCGATGACTTGGTCGCGAAGGAGGAGCTGTACCAGGTCAAGATGCAGATTGCCTTGGACGCGCAGAAGCTCAAGGCCATCGGCTGCACGCCGTGGACCGCGGTTATCAAGAAGAAGAGCTACCGCAAGAGGATGATTATCGGCTTCCTCACGCAATGGGGTGCTGAGTTTGCCGGCCCGCTTGTCATTGTGAGTCTCGCAGGTTACCATATGATGGCAGCTGAGAGCGAATGCTGATGATGATCAGAATAACTACTCAGTCATCTTGTACACCAACTTGGGGCAGACAAACTACATGCCCTTGCTTCTTTCCGCGCTATGGCTCACGACGGCCGGTATCATCTACAACCCTCTCGGCGCCTGGATGCACGACAAGGTCAACTCCCGGCGATGGATGTTCATGGTCGGCCTTTTTGGCTGCCTCTTTACGACTTCGGGTCTCATTGGCTGCATCGCTCAATATGGCGGCACGACCAACCAGGCAGGCAATGCTGCCGGCGTCTTCTTTGTTTTCTTGTACCTTGCGTTCCAAGGGTACGTTCAACCCCTGGACGGGCTGCTACTCGTCGGTGCATGCTCTAACACCCATGGCTGCACAGCACTCTCTGCGACACAACCATGTATCTCTACGTCTCTGAGATCTTCCCGACGGAGATCCGCCCCATCGGCATGGGCTTCTCCCTCTTCGGGCAGTTCGCGTCCACCATCATCCTGCTGCAGACTGCGCCCATCGGACTCGACCGCGTGGGGTGGCGCTACTACCTCGTCATCGTGGCATGGTGCATCGTCTTCATCCCCATAGTCTACTTCTTCTTCCCCGAGACGGCCCGCCTTTCGCTCGAGGAGATTTCGGCGCGGTTCGGCGACGACGTCGCGGTGCATGTCAATGACGTGTCGGAGGCGCAGCGCAAGGAGCTGGACGACTTCTTGAGGGGCGCGGACGTGACGGCTATTGCGGATCGGGGTGCTGATGGCGAAAAGATCTCTGCGGAAATGGTTGAAGGCGGCAATGGAAAGGGTTCGGCGTAGGGCACGATGGCGGCTGGGGGAAGTGTTGAGCCGGGGCCGTGATGAGCTACGCGTCGATCGATGGTTTATGTTCACAAGGTTCCGCAATGCTCGTTTACCATTGCTCATTTTAATACCCTATCTTTCGCTTCAGGCAGCATCATTCAAGTCTACGCCATTTCTATCGTCGCGATTCGCATAGGGGATCCAACGACCTCGTGCTGTTCTTTGAGATGCGGAAACACGCGCGCAATGGGCACGCCGCCTCCAAATATATCGCCTGCCGCCGGTTCCTGAGGAAGAATACCAGTGCGCGAACCGACTTTACAGATTTCGCAGATCTGAAGGGAATCCGTGCAAAATTGGTTACATGTTCTTATACCACGAGCTAGCTGTCACTTGGCTTCAGCACGTAGTGAAGCCTAGGTGGATTCGACGGCGTGTTGTTCAAAATTACAGCTTCCCAGAATAAGCATTAAAGACTGTTCTACGCAGGAGACGTCGATTTGCATTACTACATGGGAGGGCGAGGATGTCAGAGCTGTGCCACGTGGTCCACGTATCATGCAGATGACGCCTCACAACGCTATTCCCAGATCTGCCCTACATTGTGCGTGCCAGTCCGGGGAAATCCAGGAGGCGTTGTACTACGCGCTAATAGTCGGGTATCCAGTCAAGGCCACATGCGTTGATGCATTGATGCGTTGAGGTGGCTCCATGTCAACCACTAGTTACACTTTGCTGGTGTTGGCTGTTGAGTGTCGCAGCGTCGGAGCGTCCCGCTCGTGTTAGACCGTTGGCGCTAATGGATCCGGACGTGCCACCTCTGGGACCTGGATGTCATGATGCGACCCCCCAAAGGGTGGCGCCGCTGGGGACCTAACTTCGAGGCTACCCCACGGAGGGGCCACCTGGACGCCGATGTCGTCTGCGTTCTGGATCGGGCCTCTGGAGTCCGTGGCAATAATTAATCACACTTCTGTGCGGCGTGGGGCAAAAGACAAGTCTCTGCCATAGATCTTGTTCTAACACGTCCCTGTGCGCTTCTCAACTTGGAGCATTTGTAGTGTTGGAGCATCCAAGCAACTCATCTTTCGGAGCTCCTCATAATCACCTCAAGATGGGAGCCGTGCAGACGCCCCTGACGAACGGGTCAGGACTCCTGCCGTACGACCTCCCGTACGACTCCCTGCCTGACAAGCGTCGTGTCTGGCACGCCAAGCCGGGTTCGCGGGAGGAAGGCCTCGGACGCCTCGCCCTTCTCACACCAGACGTGGTCGCGGAAGCGGCAAAGACCTGCATCAAGACTGGCATCCGGGTCTCCCTGAACTGGGACCTGACGAAGCTTGACATTGCCAATTTCAACCGCGCCCCGGCGCAGCACCACATCACGTCTCTCCTTGGCGGCGCTGGATTCGACGACGTGTACATCTTCAATCCCCAGCAATCGTCACAATGGGACGGCTTGCGACACTTTTCCGCGCCGTTTCCCACGCCTGGTAACCCCTCTCAAAGGCTGTTCTATGGCGGCACCACTGCGTCGGAAATATCGGATCGTTCAAATTTGAGACTGGGAATCCAACATTGGGCAAAAGAAGGCATTTGCGGCAGAGGTGTGCTGCTGGATTATGTTGCGTACGCCAACAAGCACTCCATCAGCTACAGCGCCTTGTCGAACCACGCAATTCCATTCCAGACTTTGAGGCGTATCGCGGAGGACCAGGGAGTCGAATTCCGTCGCGGAGACATCCTATTTGTGAGAATCGGTCTCACTCGAGAGTGGGACACTCAAATGAGTTCAGCAGACAAGCAAGCATACGCCCAAAGCCCGAGTCCCGAGCATGCTGGCGTTGAAGGCACCGAGGAGATGCTGCGCTGGATCTGGGACGAGGGGTTTGCAGCGGTGGCTGGCGACGCCGTCTCCTTCGAAGTGTATCCTCCCCAAAAGTCGTACGCTCGAGCGGATGGGGCTGAAGTACAGGGCCTCTTCATGCATGAATACCTCATCGCCGGCTGGGGTCTGCCCGTCGGGGAGCTTTTCGACCTCGAAGAGTTAAGTCTAACTTGCCAGCAGCTCGGCAGATGGGAGTTTTTCGTCACAAGTGCCCCTCTAAATATGCCTGGAGGGGTCAGCAGCCCACCGAATTGCCTGGCGATCTTCTGACAATCGGTCGGGCAGGAACATGGCTGGATGAATAGGGTGTTCTCATTTCGATTGAGCAAGCGTTTACTTCTCGTTATTCTCGAAGCATTGCAGAATCTTTGCAAATTTTTCTGCCAGGCCCCATGAGTGCAGTCGTTGGAACATGATATGTGCATCTCTGGTGATGTTGGTGGTTGACGCTTTGGACAAGACGTCCTGGGCCGAGCCGATCTGTGCCGGACCACCCTGTTGTACCCACTCCGCGATGGCCTTTCTCTGATCAGCATGACGGCTGGTAACATCCAACCGTACTTTCACACCGGTGTAGTGCTCCGCAGAACGCGCAGAGTACTTGGCGTAGGTGAGAATGAAGATGTAGGCCATGAAGAGTCGCATAATCTCGCAAGGTGCCGAGACAAGATACTCATTTGCCACCGCCACGATCTGGCCAGCATGCCACAGAAGCTTCCTGGCCCTTTTGGGATCAGATTTGAGCCCCGCCGTGAGCCGTTGTCGCGCCATATCCAGCCGTTCATCGGATGATGGCCCCTTGGACACAACATTTCGGACGATGAACAAGATAATGTCCATGATGTCATCGGCGGCGTACATGTGCGAGTAGTGACACAGGAGAGACGAGATGCTATTTAGGTCAGTTTGAGATTCTACTTTGTAGCACAGTAGCACGTACTTGTAGCTGACCAGGTCCGAGGTGGAGGCAGGCTCGGTCATGAGAGACAGGAGTGAGTCTAGGCCCCGTAACAGGGACACCTTGGACTGTTGATGGCTTTTGAACAACGACGGTAGGCCACAGTATTCGGGGGTCGACAATGTCTCCAGTTGCTTCAGATCCCACAGTAGTCGCCCAATGATCTGGGCACACAGCCGCTTCCCCCACATGGAGACATGCTCTGTCAAAGGCCGTCCGGAAATTGTCGAGCCAAGGACACTGGACAGCATTGCTCCTTGAGCTCGATGGGGCGAGCGGGATTTGAGAGCTGCCCAGGCATTCGCAGACTGGGCTTCCCAGAGGCTGTCCGAACAAGGCAGTCTGGCGGGCAACTCGCTCAGATCAACCGCACCCCGTCTGTTAGTGAGGGTGCACAGGCTGCAATCGTATTCGAAGGACGCCCAAGCAACACGCCGATCTCTCTCGCGGGTAGCCCATGCAATCCACTCCGCGTGGACTACGCGGGGGTCGTGTATCGTTGAGCCAGCATCCTCAGGAGTCGCCTGTTGTAAGCTGATTCGCGAGCTCAGCAGCCCTAGCCCTCGTAGGCTTCCGATCAGAACGCCGCGAGTTCTGTCCGCATTTTGATACAACTGACGGTTGCCGGATCCAAGGGAATAAATCTGGTGCAAGCACAACGCGGCAAGATAAGACACGTCAGAGTAGTTCGAGTTGTCGGATACACCCTGGCGAATGTCAGGCCTCGACGTTCATACTTGCCATGATCGGAGGGGGCATGGACGTACAAGCCAAGTAATCATTGAACCACAAAAATCGCTAAGGGAGCCGGACAATTCGAGAACGTCACTTTCCCCTGATAATGCTGATCCAATGCAAGCCATAGCGGTCAGCAGAACTGTGGGACAGTCCGTCACGTTCCACGTTGGAGCGTGCACTATAGACTGGATGATCTGGAACCCAGAAAAGTACACATCAATGAGCTGCCGGAGCAGCTCCAATCCTGGAGACATGTTTGTGTTGATCAATTCGTTGGGATGCGGGAGTTGCTGGCAAGAAAGGAGCCGCATGAGGCTGTCGGCGGCAGGGGGTTGTGCCCCAGGAATTGGCTGAGGGAGAATCTGATGAAGTCGAGGTAGCGGGAATCGCGGTGCTTGAGTGTCCTGACCTTGTTCAAACGGCCATGGCAACACATTTTGTCGAGGCTGCGTTGTTGACGAAGCGGCTGCAGCGTCCATGGCAGGTGGATTCGTGACACCAGGATGAGGGTTCGACGAGGCAGCATCAGCATCCATCAGGTGATCGCGGCTCAAGTCCAGATCAATACTGGAGACGTCAAAGTCTAGCCAGTCGAATCCACTGCCACGGAAGTCGATTTGACCCTCTGCTCCAAAGGGCTGGGGTATAATGTTGAAGCCGTCGCCCCCGAAAACTGGGCTTAACCCAGCCACGTCCAGGACCAGGGGCGTCATGTGTGGTTGGCCAGTAGCTGAGTACTCGGTTGCGGAGGATGGATCAAATTCTGATGTGTCGATGCTGTTGGAAGCCGAGTCATTTACCGATCGCACACTGCTTTCGCTATCACGTCGCACGCCTGGTGCGCCGAAGGCCGAACCATCGGAAGCTCGAGGCGTGCGGGATGGCGTGCCTGGCCCGCGGCTTGACGGGTAAGAGCAAGAGTCGGTGGTCCTTGCAGTGTAACAAGAGCCGCATGGCTGCTCTCTGTCGCACCGAAGCTTGTGTCGTACACAGCGATAACATGACCTTTGGTTCGAGGTCTTGGTATCCCGGTGGACATCGTGTGTCGCACGCAAATGGCGCAACAAGACATCCTGCCTCGAAAATGTCCGCTCACAGTATGAGCAGGAGACTACTCTGCGTCTAGATGACGGCAGATGAGTTAGGCGATGGCGATTCAGATGGCTTGGCCGGTTAAAGGTTCGCCGGCATTGATCGCACGGGAACGTCGACGACGGCGTCTGGACTCGGTGTTAGCAGCGTCCCAGTCTCACCACCCGATTCACGCATAGAGCCGAGGGTTGTCTGTACCGTAGGATAGTCTCCCTCGGGGCTCAACATTGTCTCACACTGCCGGTGCACTCGGAGAAGTGACAACGGTGACACGACAGAGTGAGTCTTCGAGGGCGAGAGAATGAGGGGATGGGACAAGCCGGTGGCGGTGGTTCGCCGTGGGGTTCGTCGAAAAAGCCACATGCACTTGCACTGTGGGGTCCAATCCGGGGTACCTAAGTCACCAAACCTGGCCCCGGACCGGAGTCACAGCACTACAGTAGCGCCATCCTAACGCTTGCATCGCGGGGTAACCCCCGCCAGCACCGTGCCCCTCCGTTTCTCGCTACCTATGCGTGGGGGTTTGGCGACATTACGAAGTTGCCATTGCGCACAAGATCAAACGTTCATTTTCAGAACGTCCAGAAACCTACACGAGACATTTGGTATTCATGATCGCTATCCGTCTAAACACATCGTCCGCCATCCACCTCCATGTTCACTCCGGTAATGAAGGATGCCTCGTCGCTTGCGAAATAGCAGCAAGCATTGGCAACGTCCTCGGGTGTAGATGGTCGCCCGAGAGGCACTGTTGCTACGAATCCCGCCCTGTTCTCAGGGGTATCCGGCTTGCCCAGAAACATGTGTGACCTGTGACACGCACGTCAGCCCGAGCCCAGGATATGACAGACTAGAGCATCTCCGTCAAACTTACATTGCCGTGATGCCAAAGACCGGCGACACGGAGTTGAAGCGAATCTGCTGCGGGCCATACTCGACCGCCAGCGACTTCGTCGCCGTGATGGCAGCCCCCTTGGAAGCGTTATACCAGACCAAGCGCGGTCTCGGCCGCGTGCCTGCTGTCGACGCTATCGTGATGAAGCAACCAGGCCGATTCTCCTTCGTGAAGTACCGGACCAGGACCTGGGTGGATAGGTATATCGACTTGACGTTGACGTTCATGACGAGGTCAAACTCGGCCTCGGTGACCTCTTCGGTCGGCTTGTTGGTGTAAGTAGTGCCGGCATTGTTGACGACAATGTCCAGCTGGCCGTACGCCGCCAGCGTCTCAGACAACAGCTTCTCCCAGTCCGCGATCTTAGTGACATCCGCTCGCACGAAGACGCCCCCAACTGCCTTGGCCACGGTCGTTCCAGCTTCTTCTGAGAGATCCGCGACGACCACCTTGCCGCCCTCTTTGGCGAATTTCTCGGCGATGCCTTTGCCAAAACCTGACGCCGCGCCAGTGATGATGGCAACCTTGCCTTCGAGGCGTCCGGGCGACATGTTGATGGTGCTGGGTCGGAGGCGTGTAAAACAAACAGAGTACAGATATTCAGCGTCGGCAGTAGACTCGAAGCTCTGTGTCAAATCGGCAGAAGATGCTGAGAGATTTCGGAGAGAAAAGTTGCGTTGCTATTTACCTGCCAGCCGTTCCGTCATCGCAGCCTCGAATGCGGAGAGCCGAGGGTTGCCCTGTCGTCCCGAGCCCGACTGGGGCATTTGGCGTCCAGTCACAGGGGGACGCAAGTCGAACGCCGTCCATTCGACCCCAGTGGCACGCTCCGAGCGGGGGAACCCCTCAGTTTTACCAACCCCTACCCCACACGGCTCATGCCAGGCATGGCCCATGATTTTATTTCTTACTGGCCCGTATTGCTGCCACGAAAGCCGAGAGCGAGGTGAGCACCGCCAGAGTTAGCTACTGCCAGAGCATCGGGGCATATCGGCGGCGCCGATGGAGCAGTGTATCCGGCGTCGGGGCCGAACTTCGGCCTTGAAACTATCCATAACTGTCGACAATCGTCAACAGTGAGAGCTCAATGTTTACCAATTCACCGACCACTACCTCGTACAGTACTGCAGGGCCTTGAAGAGCTCCACAGACAGCCGTGAACATGGCCACCACAACGTTCAAGATTCTGGTTCTGCCCGGAGACCATGTCGGCCCCGAAGTCATGGCCGAGGCACTCAAGGTCCTCGATGTGATTGAGGAGTGCCGGCCCGGCGTCAAGTTCGAGCGCACTTTCGACCTCGCCGGCGGATGCAGCATCGACAAGCACGGGACGCCAATCACGGAAGACGTCCTCGACAAAGCGAGCAATAGCGATGCGGTCCTCTTTGGCAGCGTCGGCGGCCCGGAATGGGCCAACCACTCTCCCAATCCAGAATCCGGTCTGCTCCGCCTCCGGCAGCGACTGGACGCGTTTGCCAACTTGCGCCCGTGCGAAGTCATCGTCCCCTCGCTCATCGACGCATCCCCTCTGAAGCCAGAGATCCTGCGCGGCACCAAGTTCATTGTTGTGAGGGAGAACTGCGGCGGTGCCTACTTCGGCGACAAGCAAGAGACGCCGGACCTTGCCTCCGATCTCTGGGTTTATACGCCCCCCGAGGTGGAACGGTTGTCTCGCGTCTCGGCTGCGGTCGCTCAAATTATGGGACGCTCTGGGGATGGCAAGGGCGGAGGTGGTCCGGCAGTGGTCTGGAGCGCCGACAAGGCAAACGTTCTCGCCAGCGGCAGGCTATGGCGCAGGGTCACATCTGAGGTATTCGCCAAGGAGTTCCCGGACATTGAGTTGCAGCACCAGCTCGCCGACAGCATGGCCATGCTCATGGTCAAGAACCCGCGCGGGTTCAACGGAGTCATCCACACCGACAACACATTCGGAGACATTCTGTCCGATATCTCCGGCGGTATCGTTGGCAGTCTGGGCACCCTTCCCAGTGCAAGCATCTCAGGCATCCCGGGCAAGGGCAAATGCAATGGCATCTACGAGCCAGTTCACGGGAGTGCCCCGGACATTGCCGGCAAGGGCGTCGTGAATCCGGTCGCACAGATTCTAAGCCTGGCTATGATGCTCAGGTATTCTTGCCTGCTTGTTGAAGAGGCCGCGGCTATCGAAAAGGCTGTCGAACGTGTATTCGATGCCAAGGAGTCTGGTGGGCTCGGTGTGCGAACGCGAGACATGGGAGGCCAGGCGGGGACTCGTGAGGCCGGCGACGCCATCTGCAATGTCGTCAGAAGCCTGCTGCAGGGCTAATGCGCAACCAGTGTTCATATACTTGTAAACAGGTTTCGGTTGCTGCTGTGTTCATGATCTTCTGCATGAGGTCTGATTCCGGTTCTATGCGGCGTTGATGATGGAGAATAGCACTTGCTTGAGACATGTACTCATCTTTCGCGCGATCGATCGATTAGGGACGTAACGCGGCCGATCGTGACACCTGACGTGTTGCTCTTGGCGGGGATCATCGATGCGATCGGTGACGGCAGCAGCTGCGAGTAATGATTATAATCTGGGGAACGCAGACCCTGGACGTGCCCACGTGGGCGCAACGGTGAGGCGATAGCACGAACTGAGGTGCGATGTAACGAACAGTTTTCTGGGCTTGGTTCCAATTACACGCGTTGAAGCGCGATCACGAGCACGACTGGAAACACGAAAGCTGGATTGTCATCGCCTGATGGACACACGCTGCTTCCCCCACAATGAGGTCCGAGGAGCCATGGACAAGAGAACCCTTTACGCATGCCTCTCGGTGCTGACATGCCTACCCTACATCGTGGATTGCCTCTCTCGTTGGTGTTTACATCCGTACCTGGTAATTGTTTACGCTACTGCAAAGCTCTTACATGGGGACCTCTATGTTGGAGGTGAAAAGCCGTGAGTGGAGAACCCGTCGAGACTCGAGACTCGAGACCCTCAAGTCTGGTTCTGTATTGTTGTCTTGGCGTTGGCCAGCCTCGGTCTCAACAACAGCCCTTTCGATCTTTCAGCGGGCTCAAAGCAGGGGGTCAGTAGGCGTGGCTGAAATGTCTTAGACGCAGGGCGGTGAAAAGCAACGTGCATCCAACTTCCTGAAGGAAGCTTGGTGTGGTGTGGAAGACCAGACGGACGGAGACGATTGTGGATGCGGGTTGAGGGAGACCGCCGTAGGGCGGGTCGTGCGTTACTAATGGCGTACAGTGCGTGGAGCTCAGGCTTTCGCAATTTGCACCAGTGATCGCGCTTCAGGACAGTCTGAACGCTTAGACACACTGTAAATCCGAGGTATCCGCCAACGCTGGTCCACCCCTTCTGCAGGGCTGCTCTCTCACCTCAATCCTTCCCTTCTTCTCACACAGCACGAACTGAGACCCTCCCTGAAGCACACTGCTTGCGCCGAGATTCGAGATGCACTTCCAACCGATAGAAGCCTCCGACGAGGACGCGTACCTGCCGCATGGTGGAGGCGGTGGCTTGGAAGCGGCCGCAGCATCAAGGGCGGCGCACGATGAGCTGCTTGATGATGTCTTTGGCTCTGAGCCCCCCTCACCAGCTGCCGAACATCGGGACCTACGAGGCGCGGCTCACCCATCGGATATGCATCGCCTGGAGACGGAGCATGCGACAGCAGGGTACCGAGAGGGAATCACCGTATCCAAGGAGTCTAGCATGCAGGCGGGCTTCGACGAGGGGTTCAGTTTGGGTGCGGCCATTGGGCTGCAGGTTGGCCAGCTGCTAGGCACGCTTGAAGGAGTCTTCGACGCAGTCAAGGGTGAGCCGGGCGAGGCAGCAAAGGTGGCGGAATCGCAGCTGGCCATGGCACGGGAGGAGCTCGCCACGAGCCGCATCTTCAGCACTGACTATTGGGCGCCCGACGGGAACTGGACCTACAAAGTCGAGGCTGGCGAGGGAGGTGACGTTCTCTTCTCAGATGTGGCAAAGGCTCACCCCCTCCTCCGGAAATGGAGCGACATCGTCGACGAGCAGGTCAGGCAATGGAAGATCGACCCGACGATTCTGCACGAGGAGAATGCAGTGCGATTGACTTCAACAACGGACGGACCGCTCATCTCTTCGACCCCCCTATCATCAAGCAAGCCATTGGATTGGTAACGCACGGAGGCACATGCGATCTGAACCTGGTTCAATGAACCACGACCACTGGCGATGTGGCAACTCTGCAGATGGGCCGAACTCCGGCTGCCAAACACGCGACTTTCTCGCGACGGGAGGTCGCTGGGGGCTTGCTTGGATAGCAAAAGCAAAAGTTGCGAGTGGTCCTTAGACTGGCGGCGGGACTCAGCCACTCAAGCTTGCCTGGGGCCACAGACGGGCAAATTCGACCGAGGTCGCTGGGATATTTCGGTACGAGCTGCAGCGACGGGCATTGCGACCGAAGCAGAGACACCGGCCAGCGACAGCGACGGCACACGGCAAGGTGGGATTCAGTTGACGCGGCCCGGTGACAAGTTGCCGTCTGCAGCGCCTCCAGGGACCGACCTGCCGGTCGGGAACCTAATTCGCGCGGTACCTACAAATCCATTGCAACTATCACATCATAATCAAGTCACCATAGGAAGCGCCCTGCTGCTGGAAGACAGGTCGACGCGTCCCTCCAGGGAGCTTTGCCGCGACGGCTTCCTTTTTGCCGGTCGGTGCCCTGTTTTTTTGCTTTGGCGGTGAATGCCATTTTTGGAAACGTCGGCCTGCACTCGCCCTGCCTTGTGATAAGTCGGCCGCGCGGTCTCAGACGGAAATTGAACACTGCCTGACAACGACGCACCGTTTTCGGCTCAAACAGGAAATAGGGGTGGCTCTGTCAACTGCACTGCCCGAGGTATCCCTTGTCAGCAAGGTCTGAGCTTGGCCCGCAATAACACGAACACGGAAGAGCGGATTCACCACTGCCCGTTGGTCTTGCGACGATGGAAACGCGGGGAACTCGCCCATGTCCTGCAAGCAAGCACGAAGACGCTGTCACAAGCTGAGGCGTCAGTGTGTTCTGTCTTTTCGACTCAGTCGCTCGTGCGCGTCGGCTACTTTCCCGGCGGCATCAGCTGTCAATGATAGTCAGGCACCATGCTTGGGCCAGCCGGCCACCCTCGCTTGCCGGCCCAAAAGAGCCATGCTGCTCGCATGCAATAGTGCGGCTAGGCGGAAGTTCATCTCAGGTCGGCAATTGCACTAGCGCAAACACCCCCCTTTCGATCCTCCCGGCAGTGGCCCGGACCTCGACGGCCGTTTATTGGTGCCGCGCACGGCCCGCCATCTTGGCCGCTGTGCACCACGGGGTCCCTGACATGGCTGCATGAGGATAAGACATGTTCTTGGAAGGGATGGGACCCGTCGGCTCCTCTTTTCGATGGCCGCAGCCAACAGGGGCACCCAAGTCGCAGCAATTTTATGTGTGATTGTGGGAGCCGAGTCCTTCTCAGAGACAAAGAGGCGGGGCATTGTGTTGTTCAACCGGGCCAAATCGCCAGTCTGTCTTCGCCTGCATGGCTCATTTCCGACTGAATCACGCCTCAAGGGGAGGAAGATCGCGGTTCTCGCGGCTTGAGTAGGGGGTGGCCTCTTGGCTGGGTGTAATACTTAAGACGGTGATTTGCTCCCTGCGCGGTTCCTGATCCTGATCCTTTCCCAGCCTACGCCGATACTTGGAACTCTCCTCCACAGCTTCCGCTCACTTCTACATTCGTTTACCGGGATTTTTTAAACACCCGTCCACTCATTTTTACATTTAGAGACCATTTGTGTCTATACAAAACAATCAAAATGAAGACCGCCGTCTTCGTGACCCTTTCCGCTGCCGCTCTGGCTTCGGCCCACGAGGCCCGCGCCCCGCTTGACCTCAGCCTTGATATTGGCGACCTCGTCAACGTCGACGTCTGCGTGGGCCTTGACCTCAAGCTGCCTCTGGGCATCAGCCTCGAGTCCGATGGCTGCCCCAGCCACGAGCCCCCGGAGGGCTATGTCAACATCTGGCACCCTGCCCACGACGTCCCCATCGACGACTGCGACCAGACCGACGAGGGGGGCTGGCACTACGTCCGCCCTTGCGGCTGCGGCGAGCACAAGCACGTCTGGACCACCAGCACCGTCACCCAGACCCATGTGAGCACGATTTACGACTGCCCTCCCGCGGTGACCAACTGCCCTGCCCGCAAGACCACCCTCACTGTCGGTGCCACTACCACCGTCTGCCCGGTCCCCGCCTCGAGCACCCCCGTGGCCACCAGCACTCCCGTCGCCACCATCTCGACCTCCACCGTCCAGAATGTTCCCACCACCCAGGCTCCTCCCGCCACCCAGCCTCCGGCCAGCCAGCCCCCTGCTACCCAGCCTCCGGCTACTCAGGCGCCTCCTACCACCCAGGCTCCTCCTGCTCCCACCACGCCCGCTGTGGAGGTTCCCCCGGCCACCAACGTTCCTCCCACTCAGGTCAACACTCCTGTCGGCACTGGCTCCTACTCTATGCCCGCCCCCGTCGGCACCGCCCCCGGTGTCCCCGGCGGTAACAACACTGTCCCCCCCGTCATCGCTGGAGCCTCCACCAACGGCCAGGTCGGCGTCCTCGCCGCCGTCGGTCTCGTCGCGGCCTTCTTCCTTTAAGCGGCTTACGGCACCACCTCGAACAGTGTCCTGGCCACTTGGGGCGGAGGATTTCAGCCTTTCTGACGACTTTATGGGATTGGCGTGGCAGAGAGATTTCCCACTGTACTTTAATTGCTGAACCATCTAGAGGCAGCTGTTGGCTGGGCTTTGCCGGGGACTGCGTCGTGTTCTTGAGGCATCGACACTTGGCGCAGAAGGGGTTGGAAGCACAGCGTGCCTGGTTCTTGTATTCAGACTTGCCCGCAAATTGGATCTTATTTGTGCTGAACACTGTCAAGACAAGCTTGATTTCCTTGCATTCGCCTTGCTTTGGAAGTTCCGCTGCGTTAATCAGTCTATCTCGAGCCCATGGTCGCGTCGTGTTTGGGTATTAGTTAGATGTCGGGTTACCCCGTCCTGGCGGTCCTATACTCCGCTCAGCCCTGCCCTGTGCGTGGTGATCTGCCGATCCCCCTGTTCGCGCTCGGGCCACGCGAGTGGCCACATTCATTTCGGGTGTACGACTGTCTCATGTGGGATGGCGGCATCCGGCCGGCCGCTCGTCAGCTCCGGCAGAAGCTTGAGCCGAGATTTCGATGGCCGGGCCTTCAGCATGGGCTGCCTAGCCGGCTGCTGAACCTCGTCGTGGCATATGGACTCTATGCTCTGAACGGCGCGATCTTCGTTCGACTCGTGCTTTCTCAGCCGGCTGCGCTGTGCTCTTCTAGTCTCTGGGCGATGTCTTCCATGCGGTCGTATTTTCCAAACAGCTCCTTGGTGGTTTCCCAGTCGCGGCTTTGGCTGCCGAAGACTACTAGCCTCTGCACATTGCCGTCGTCATCCATGATTAATCGGCCGCTTCTCTCATCGGCCCATGTAACCTTGATCTGCTTGGCCTCAATGTCTGCAATTCCCACCTCGACAATGGCATTTGCCGACGAAGTGGTCTTCGACGTGTCGTGCAGACCCAGGCGTCTGCGCAGATCTGCTGACACGCCCAAGCGATTGTGGTACCGCACGATCTCTCTTCGCAGCGTCCGGACGAAGCGATCTAGGTCCTGGCCACGCGCTGACCCATCCTCTCCATCGTCGTTGGCTTTCGGCACTGGTAGATGCCGCGCGGCGAGGCCTGCTAGCGGCACCGCCGGCGGCACTGTATGGCGATGGACGCGCAGGTGCTTTGACCCGGAGAAGGGGCGGTTGAGCATCACGTAGTAGGGTCTGAGAAACTGCCCGCGCGACATGATTTCGAATCGTAGGCCGAGGATATGACCTCCATCGACGGCGTTGGGGTCCGGGTCGTGAATCTTGAACGCGGTAACGGGCGCAGAGATACGGTAGACGCATTGCTGAATGTACGCATGCTGCTGAGTGGAGCGTTTGCTCAGCGTCCCCGTTGACGAAGCATTTTTTCCCCGCCGCCGAATCGAAGTCGATGAAGCCGATTCGGATGCATTGATTATGCCTTGTGTAGATTTCGAAGAGAGAATGGTCGAGCATTGGATCGTGAGCATGGTCCGAAGCTTCTCAGCTGGGGTATGTTAGCGTTGCCCTCAAGCTGGGAGCGTGCGCGTGTCCTTGCCTTCTGCTTTGAGCCTTTCAATCTCTTTGTCCAGCTCGCGGGCCGATGAAGCCCCTGCAGCCGCAGCCATGACGGAGTGACGTGGATTGACAGCGTTGTGGCGACGACAATGGGTGTCATGCACGCGTCTCGTCTGTTTACGTTCGTTGGACAAGGAGCGGGAACGATAAGATAAGATAAGCCAATGGCGTGGAGAACGAACCGCAACTGGTACTTTGGCAGCTCTCCAGCGCCAGCCCAGGCACTCAGGGGAGCGAGGGCCCCCTGTGACACCCCGCATCTTTGTTCTTCCGGCGGGGACCAGCGGGGACCGCCACGTCAAATTTCCCCCAAAGTCCCCCAAGGCAGCGCCAAGTTCGGAAGGCCGGCCGACCGCTGGGCATCAGGGTCGTCGGCGGAGGCGTCGGTAGCCGCTAGGCAGAGTAGGGCTCGTACTTCGTACTGTTAGGGCGCTTGCAGCACTAAGCCCAAGCGCGACACGAGCCCGACTTCCCCTTGGACCTGCCTCACATCCGTGACCATTGGACGCATTTTGGGTCCTTTGGCTGATGGATTCCGCGTTTCCGACTTCTTGACACGTCTGCCTGTTCTGTCCTCGATTCATTCGCCGGGCGACACCCTTTGTTTTGGCTTTGCGCCGCCGTCATTCACTCTCAAACCGAGTTGTCGCCACCCGCCCGCACGACCCATTTGTAAGCCCTTGAGGCCACGGTAGCTTCGCGCGACGCCAGCGATACTCCGTGACGCCCGTTGGCCGCAACGACCACATTCGCTTGTGTCTGCCTGCCTTCCTCCGGCCCGTGGTTTACGTGGTTCAGATCGGCCAGCCGCCTCTATCGGCCGAGCCTGCCCTTCTTTTTCTCATTCCTATACTTGTGTCGTTCCTTCGATATTCTATTCTCCATTCTTCTCGCTCTCTCTACGCCGAAATTTCGTCACCAAGATCCGCTATATCCTCTGTCGCGTTTCTCGGATCGTCGGTCGCCCGTCCTGATCGCAGACTATATCGCCTACCACGCACGAACCCTCGACTCTATTTTCGAAGCCTGACATTACGTACGTCCGAACCGACACGACGAAGCAGCCAACTGCGCTGCGCGACCTAAGAAAGCCACATATGGGTGCCCGCGCCAGAAGACCGCAGTCGCCCAAGAACCGACCGCCTCCCCTTTCGCTGAAAGGAGAGAATGCGAACGGCAAGATGAGCAACGGTGTTGAGATGCGGCGCAAAGCCGCCAACCACGACTCGGATAATGTGGCGAAGAACTTCATCTCTCGGGAGAGCTTCTCCCTCGACGAACCCGTCCCGAAAACCCCCGTTTCGAGCGACCACGGCTTCTTCGAGTTGCCTCGGCAGGATCAGCGGAACTTCCTCCTCTTAGTCTTGCTTTACTTCCTACAAGGCATCCCAATGGGCTTGGCGATGGGCTCTGTGCCCTTTCTGCTCAAGAACCACATGTCATATGGCGAAATCGGAACGTTCAGTCTGGCATCCTACCCCTATTCGCTGAAGCTATTCTGGAGCCCTTTCGTCGATGCGGTGTGGAGCCCCAAGATTGGCCGCAGGAAGACGTGGATTGTGCCCATTCAGCTCTTGTCGGGCATTGGCATGCTCTGGCTGGGCTCGCACGTCGAAAAGATGATGGAGACGACCGGCAAGCCTGGCGGCCCGACAGTCTGGAGCTTCATGCTCTGGTGGTTCTTCCTCGTCCTCATGTGTGCGACGCAGGACATTGCTGTCGATGGCTGGGCGCTTACGCTGTTGACCCCGGCAAACGTCTCCTATGCATCCACAGCCCAAACAGTTGGCTTGACCGCGGGGCACTTCATGTCATACACCGTGTTTCTGGCATTGAACGCCAGTGACTTTGCGAACAAATGGATCAGGTCTGTTCCGTCCGAAGAGGGCTTGGTGTCTCTCGGCGGTTATCTCACCTTCTGGGGCTGGGCGTACATTGCCGTCACCATTGGACTCGGCTTGTTGAAGCGCGAAGAGAAGTCGCAGAACGAGGACGGCGTGTGGGATGTCTACAAGATCATGTGGGGCATCCTCAAGCTCAAGAACGTTCAGACCATCATCATTGTTCATCTCATTGCCAAGATTGGCTTCCAGGCCAATGATGGCGTCACCAATCTCAAGCTCCTGGACAAGGGCTTCGGCAAGGACAACATGGCACTGACGGTGCTCATCGACTTTCCGTTTGAGATCGGACTTGGCTACTACGCAGGCATGTGGTCGCAAAAGTACACGCCAATGAGACTGTGGTGCTGGGGTTTCATGGGACGGCTTGTTGCGGCCATGATTGCTCAGTTCACGATCGCCATCTTCCCCAGCAATGGGGTGACAACGTGGTACCTGCTCCTCGTCATCGGGGAGCACGTTTTCTCGACATTCACAAACACGATCATGTTTGTTGCTGTGTCTGCGTTCCACGCCAAGGTGTCGGACCCGGTTATCGGTGGCACCTATATGACTCTGCTCGCAACGTAAGCTTCGCCTTGATGCGTCTGGCCCTTTTCTTTGGAATCAGCTAACCGCTTATAGTGTCTCGAACCTCGGAGGGACCTTCCCACGATACTTTGTGTTGAAGCTTGTGGATGACTTCACCGTTGCCACATGCCATCCGAATCTGTCTGTCGATCACTCCAAAGTCAAGGGTCCGCTCATCACGGAGGCCTTCTCCTGTGCGGTGCAGGCCGAAAAGGAGCGCTGTGACAACGGAGGCGGCTCGTGTGTCGTGACGCGGGATGGCTACTACATGGTCAACATGCTGTGCGTCGCCTTCGGCCTTTTCACGCTCTTGTGGTATATCAAGCCCAAGGTGCTGCACCTGCAAAGCCTGCCGCTGCGCGCCTGGAGATTATCGCCGAACAAGCAATGACGAGGACGCGCTGGTGACGGCTGAGCGAGAGGGGGGACGGACCATAATATACACGATACATAGCATAATGCGAGATGAAGTAGCCATGCTACTTCCATTCGTACGGCCGTGTTCAATCTGTGCGTCATGACCTCTGGGCAGCCCGGAGGCAACGTTCAATTCCGGGGGTAGCCGCACACTGTACGGAGCACCGCCGGCTGAGACCCCGTGCTCCCCCGTATCGCGGGGTGTCCCTGGGCCTTTCCGTACCCCGCCGACGCCGGACTGCCGAGTGGGTGGTGGGTGGGTGGGTGGTCAGGCCGAGGCACCCACCCACTCACTAACACCGCCGCTTCCTATTACCAACCGCCAGTATGAGTGTTGCGAGGTGTAACTACACCCGGCCTGCCCGGGACCTCGGATGTTGGAACGGGGGCGTATATATTAATCGCAGCCCTCTCAAGCTGCCCTCTGAACTGGTCGTGTGCCTTTTCAGATCCTCATTTTTGTCCATGCCGATAAGAGCTGCCTTGCTCCTTCTGTCCGGCCGCCGTGATTATCACAACCCCGCCGGGATGGGAGCTGCTTCGTAAAAATGAGCACAGCGAGATTATAAAGACGGCCGATTTTCGCAACATGGCGCGCTCACCAACCCGTGACTCCATCTTCGCCTCCTCGTACTCCTCGTCGGGCTCCTTGTCGCTCTCGTTTCCTCTCGGCTCGTCGTCGCGGCGAGGCTCAATTGACTCTTTCGCTCACAGCCCCACGTCGTCAACCTCCCGCTCACAGTCAACGGCCAGCTCGACCCACTCCGACGACGACGACGCCGCCGCCACAGCCGCCATGTCGTCGTCCATCGAAGCGCAGGAGGACGCCTACTTCTCCTCGAACCCGCCGCCGCGGCACCTGGAGGAGCACGCCGCGCGGGCCAAGGCCTTCATCGACCTGCACGCCGCCGCGGGCCGCCGCGTCGTGCTCGTCACGTCAGGCGGCACGACGGTGCCCCTGGAGAAGCAGACGGTGCGCTTCATCGACAACTTCAGTGCCGGGACGCGCGGCGCCACGAGCGCCGAGAAGTTTCTCGAGGCGGGCTACGCCGTCATCTTCCTGCACCGCGAGTTCAGCCTGCTGCCGTACTCGCGGCACTTCACCCACTCCAAGGACTGCTTCCTCGACTTCCTGCGCGAGGACGAGGATGGCCGCGTGGGCGTCCGGCCTGGTGACGACGGCAAGGTGCGCGGCGTGCTGCGCAAGTACAGGAAGGCCAAGGAGAAGGACATGCTGCTCATGCTGCCCTTTGTGACCATTGGCGACTACCTGCATGTGCTGCGCGCCGTCTCGAGGCTCATGGGCCCACTCGGCCCGTCGGGGCTGCTGTATCTCGCAGCCGCAGTGTCCGACTTTTTTGTGCCGGCAGACCGCATGTCGGAGCACAAGATCCAGTCGACCGATGCCGTCAAAAGCTTCAAAAGCACCTCCGACCAGAATGCGCCTGCTCAGCAAAAGCCGCAGCAAAAGCAGCCGTCTGAGTCGGAGGAGGAGGAAGAGGCATTCGACAACTTTGATGCCTCGCCGCGCGTCCCGCGCTCGAAGCGCCTCGTCATAGACCTGGACCCCGTCCCCAAATTCCTCAAGAATCTCGTGGACGGGTGGGCGCCGCAAGGCATGATCATTTCGTATAAACTCGAGACAGATCCGAGCATCCTTGTACACAAGGCGCGCTACTCGCTTGACCGGTATCAGCACCACCTTGTCATCGGCAACTTGCTGTCGACGCGCAAGTGGGAGGTCGTCTTTGTGAGTCCCGGCCGCGAGGACCGCTGGATACGCGCCCCGCCGCCGGCGTCGTTTGGACCTAAGGGCTGGGGGGACGCCGAGGGCAGGCCACTCAGGGCCGACGAGCTGCCGCGTGAGGACCCAGACACGGAGATTGAGGAGCTGATCATCCCGGCGGTGGCGGAGTTACATGACGCACACATTAAGGGGGCGAGCAAGAAGGTATGATCATACCGGCAAGTCAAGCCTGTCGGGAATTTGGCCACGGACATTTACTGCGTAGCGTTTTCCATACTGCGTACAGATCATCACATTTGCATGCGCAGATAGAGCAACAGGGCAGTTCCGGCTCTTTCAGATTGAGCATCGCCGCATAGTGTAACAACATACCTCCTACAATATTGTATTTAGATATATCTAAAAAGTCAGGCTACTTTTCAGCGAGCATATATACACACATTCAACATCCGTTTTTCGGCTCTCACATGAGCTCAATGCAGATAAATCAAAGTCCCCAAACAATCCTAAAACGGATCGATGCAAAAAACGCCTGTGTTGGTATGTAAGCATTGTCATTTCCAGTTGTTTGCGTGCGAGTTCCGAGAAAGCTCCTTGATGCCCGAACATGGTGAAAGATGTAACTTCTTGGGGGGGTATCACTGGCTGGCCGGAAAATGCGAGGGGTAAGAACATAAAACTCATGCATGCCGCTTTTCGAGACAAAATCAGCGCATCACAGTTTCTGTCGGGGGAGGGGTGGCGGACGTCGCGTTAGTACGCGGCCATCCAGTTCTTCCAGCCCAGGTCCCCTGTCTTGGCCAAGATGAGGAAGGCGGCCGAGCCGACGTAGACGGCGCCGGTGAGGATGATGAGGCCGTTGTACGAGCCACCGTTGGCCTGAACAAGACTCCCACCAATGGGGATGCCGATCAGGCAGGCAAACGACACGACCGTGTACGTGGTGGCGTAGTACCGGCCGTACTGCTGCGTCTTGCACATGCGCCCGATGCAGACGGGGGCGATGGCGATGGAAGTGCCGCTGGCAAAGCCGAACAGGACGGAGAAGACGATGACGCCGGCGGCGGTGTGGCCGAGGGGCAGCCAGACGCAGAGACACGCGACCAGGGACAGCAGCACGGAGAAGAGGCACACGTTGAAGGGGCCGACCACGTCGGCGTAGTACCCCGGCAGGGCTCGCCCGACGACAGACCCCGCGTTCATGATGGGGAGCAGGTGGAAGGAGAAGTCCTGGCTGAAGCCCTTGTGCAGGGCGTAGGTAGAGATGTAGCCGAGGGGGATGAAGAGCGAGAACTCGAGCAGGAAGATGCCAATGGTCGTGAGCGTGAACGTGGTCTGCTTAAAGATGCGGATGTCGGGGTGCGCCGTCGCGTTCTGCGCAGGCGGAAGGCGGGAGCGCACGAGCGCAACGCCGACGAGCCCGCAGCAGAGGCAGATGAGGGCGAGGATGCGGGTTGCCCAGCCGTAGCCGACCTTGTCAAAGAGGGCGGTGAGCATGAGAGGAAAGATGATTCCGCCGATTCCGCCGGCCGTGGAAGCCATGCCGGTGGCGAAGCCGCGGCGGCGACGGAACCAGTGGCCGACGGCGGCAATACACGGCGTGAAGAGGAGCGAGGTGCCAAAGCCGGCGAGGATGCCGAAGGAGAGGATGAAATGCCAAAGCTCTGGTACCGCAATGTTAGACTCTATAGCTGAGAATGCTGCACACTCGTTAGGTAGCACACTTACGGGTTGAGAAGCTCATGCAGACGACGCCGACTGTCGTGCTTGTACAGCCAGCAATAACCAGCCAACGCGGGCCATACTTGTCGAAGATGGGTCCAATATAGACTCCGCAAAAGAAGGCTAGGAAGGTGTAGATCGAGAAGATCCAGCCAACCGTGCCTTCGCTGTGGTCCTTGAGCTGATGGCTCAGCGTGTACGCTTGGAACACGCCAATCGTGTTCATCAGACCCATCGAGGATATCAAGGCGAACCAACCACCGAAAACGACGAGCCATGCTTTGAACCCGCCTTCTGGAAAGGTCTCTTCAAACGAGGCTGCCGTTGATGCCCTGGTGGCCCGCTTCTCTAAGTCATGGCCTTGAGCCTGTTGCGGCGCCTCTTGGACGCCATGCTCGCTCTTCTCATTGCCGTCCGTGTTGCCGTTGTTGTCGACTCCCCCAGCCGTGTTGTGGTTCACGCCTTCACCGGTCCCTTGTGCCGCGTCGTAGGCGGCATTGTCGTCCAGTTCCAGGTCGTCGTGGATCGCTCGCGAGTTCACCTGATGAACGTCCATAACTATCGCTTGGGGGGGCTTGTTCAAACTGGCAGCGGGGACTCACGAAAGAGGGAGGCGGCTTGTATGATTTGTCGTTCTTTTGGGGGGTTTCAGCAGCCGTCTAACGTTGGTCAAGAATAAAGGAAAAAGGAGGAAAATGGGCTACAGTGTGGGTGAGATTTTGTTGTGCCGGCTCCGGTGGGTAATGATGGAAACCGTGACTAACAATGTCGAAGTAATGGCGGACGACAGTTGTTTGCCGTTTTCAACTCGGCTTTCGGCGCGGGGCGACAAGAGTTAACGGAGTGGGTCGCCGCCCTCCCACTATTTGCCTGCCCCGGCACCATCAAGTCTTGCGGTGACGAAACTCGGGTAGTTTTTTAGCTTGGGATGGGGGCTCGCAGCATTGTCGACTGTGCCTGACGTTTGTTGGCTGCCGCTCGTGTGTCCGGGCAGCCTTTAGAAGCATAGCGGTAGTCGTGGCCGGCTTGGCAGCACCAATCGCTATTCACCCATGGCATCGTGGCGACGGGAACAAGGTGCAAGCTTGCTTCACCCTGCATCGTTCCGTGCCTTCAATTCGTGCCCAATAACTAGCTACATTAGTGTCTGTAGCCCTGTGGCATCGTGAGGCGTGCCCAAACTACCTTGCTCCAGGGTTGTCGTAGTATTACAAACCAAGCCGGCCTTCCCCATGGAGCCTGCCGGCATGCACATGCAAGCACGCGGCATGTTTGATGACTCTTCCTACTTGCAAAGATTCAAATGGTTCGTTGCACAGGTAGGTCACTGTCAATCAGCAGGGCCGCGACTTCTGCCCGATCCCGTACTCGGCAACGAGAGCGACAGCGGCAATGGGACCCGTGCAACTGACCATTTGCACCTTTGCAAGTAGGAAAAGGCTGTTTGATTGCTAATCGACCAGCTTTCAGCCAGATCAAGGGTGATCGAGCAAGGTTGGGCCAGATCCGGCCCCGCTCTTGACGCGCCGCTGTCCTTCCCCACAGGAGCACGCAACAGAAGCTGCACCGACGTGATATTTCGCACATGGGTCATCGTAGCCAATTAGGCTCGTGGGTATCTTGCATTGCGGCATCTCGTCGCCAAACGACGTGATGCGGTCATCTTTGCACTTCACTCGTCCTCGTCCTCATCCTCGATATCCTCGACGGTAGCTGAGAGGGATACCGCCGCGTTCTCGGGGCCCGGCGGTTCGCTCTTTGGCTGCTCGCCGACTTCCGCTGTCGTCTTCAAGTAGCCCTCTCGCTCCAGCCGGTCTGCCTCTTCCGGCTCCATAAGTCCTCCCTGGCCTTTGCCCTTCATCATCTTCGCCTGCACCGCTGCCGGGACGAAAGCTGAAACGGCCTCTTGCCGAAGGTCGCGTATGACGGGTTTCGCTTCGTATACTGTCTTGTGCTCAACAACCGGCGCCGCCTGCTTGGCCTTGTCCGTGTCCTTGTCCTTGTCCGTCTCTCCTCGAGCGTCCTGCCTGGCGGCATTCTCCGCGTTTCGTCGAGCTCGGCGCTTCGCGTACCACTCATCTAGAACGTCTTTTGGTATCGGAGGAGGGGTGTCTCGCGGCATGGGTATTCTCCGAACGTCTTCTGGAACGTCGTCGTCACTGCTGGACGCGTCTTCTGTGCCTCGTCTCCTCTTGCCCAGAACGCCGTGTCTCGAGTCGCCATCTCGTCGTTGGTGAAAGGTGGGCGCCTTATCGCCGAGTGTATCTCTGGCCTTCTTGACCGCCTTCAGTTCTTTCTCCAGCCCCTCAAGCACCTGTTCTTCTCGACTCGACAGCTTGCCGCCCTTGGAGGTGACAGCTTTTAGTTCATCGATTTGTTGTTGAATTCGGTCGGGGTTCTTGCGAGCCAATCTCTCATTGCGCCGTTCTTGCACTTCGGCCTTGCCTGATATCTTCGGTCAGTTTTCTGGTACGAAACACACTTTCGACACTGGTTTGAACCTTTCTTGATCGCCTTGGCCTTGTCCGCCTTCCGTTGGGCCTGGACAGGGTTGTAGTTCTTCTCCTTCGGCATTTTGGACTGCTTTTGGTCGACACCACTCGCCTCTTGGGTCGAGACGCGTATGTATCCGTGGGCGCGCGCGCAGACTGCTGCGAATGTTCGGCGTTGTTGCTTGCGGGATGTGGTGTCAAAGATCGCTGTCCCACCTTCCGAGCAGCTGGGCGGGCTACAGTGCTACACTGATATCATGGTGGGCCCGATGACTCAGCGGAATATTCGCGTACGCTTCCCCAAATCAGCCAAAACGGGTAACCATTCAAGCAAGACATCGACGGAGTTGCGTCAATCGAACACTACGACTGGATTCGTATATATATTGGATGCTACGATACCTCATTAACGCCCACCGTTGCGGCTCGGGTTTCCCCAAGTCGTGAGCCGACGTCGAACGGCGGATCTAGGTTCCAGACATGGAGATCGCCGAGCGCCTCAACGATAGGCTTGGTCAGGGCATGCTCAAGCTCGCATGGCACCAAGGCTTTGCCGCCTTGAAATTTCTTCTCAAGGGCCCCAGGCACCCAGTACATGTTTGCTTTGTACCCCTGCTTGGCCATCTCGCCCCGATTCCAGGCTCTTGACTCGCCGGACAAGGAGGCCAGTGCATAGTGGACCAAGAATTGTGCAAAGAACGATAGCCCAGGTGACGACGAGGAAGATCTCTGAGCCGCCGTCCGAGCTAGAACTTCCGAAGACACCCTGACTTTGTGCGACGGAGGAGATGAGGAAGCCGATCTCCCCACGTGCTACCATGGCACAGCCCATAATAGCCGCGGGATACAACGACAAGGGCTTCAACGGATGCGGGGATGCATTGCCATCTGTCGTCTGCGTTTGACCGGATGTTATGCTTTCCGACGGGCGCTCTTCGACCGTCGAAGGACCATCAACTGCAGAGGCATTGTGGCCAGGCTCCCCTCCTTCGGGCCTACTGTTCTCAACGGGTTCTTGGCGCTCAGGTGCCTGGGTTTGAGTTCCAGATGGCTCTCCCGGCTCCCTCTGCTGAAGTTCCGTCGCTTCAGTCTGTATCCGAGATGGCCTCTGGTGCTCCAGCTTGAGCTGCTTGATATATGCCTTGACGCCAGGGACGACTCCAGGGAACCGCACCAGCCAAAGCCCGCATGCCAACTTGGCGATGCACATGAGTATGGCATACACAATGCCCTTCCAAAGCGCGTTGCCAGAAAACATGCGGGCAATCGGTATGGAGAAGCCAATCGACCCGAAAAAGAATGGCTGCAGCAACCTCTGCACCACGGGCTCGTAGTAGTGCGCATACACCTCGTGGCCGGTGTAGCTGATAACCTGTGCGGATTCGACGGCGCTCGCTTCTGTCCCCGAGGCTGGAACTGCCTGCGGCCCCTGAGAGCTCTCGACATGGGGCACTTCCGCGTCCCACCAGCTGATTACTGCGCCAGCGATGTATGCGGCAAAAAGATTCGAAGTGCCTGCATAGCTAGACGCGGTGACGAGCGCCAGCAGCAGGCCCGTGTGAAAGCCGAGCGCAGCGCTCCGTGTACGGAGGGCTCTGTCAACACGGCTGCCCGGAGATGTCTGTCGGTAGCTGTTTAAGAGCAGAGTCGCTGGTTTGACAAGCACAATGCAGACCAGAGGTGTCACAGCTGCGAAACCGAGGGACACAAGCACCGGTCGTAGCACTGTAGTCGCGGAGATCGATGCGCCGGATGCACCTAGATTGGCGACCACCTGAACCATGACCAAGCCGACGACATCGTCCAGCATTGCAGCACTCGCCAGTACCACACCGAGCCGGGATTGGCTCAATCCACTCGATCGGAGGACAGTGAAGGTGGTCCCGAGGCTCGTGGAACACAGCGCAGCACCGGCAGCGAAGCACTCGAGATTCGACACCCCAACTAAAGTGCCTAACACAAAGGACAGGGCAATCGGCACGCCAATTCCGGTCACCGCCACTCCAATCGAGAGGAATATGTTGGCTTTCAAGGAGCGAAAGTGTGTCGCAAGCCCGCCTAAATTCGCGGTGTCAGTTTGATTGCGTCATATTGCGTCGCAGAGAGTGTGGGTTGTCTACCTTCGAAGACCAGCAAGATGAGGCCCAGGTACCCCAGCTGCACAATGGTGGTCTCCACGTCGCGGGAAAGTATGTTCCCTCCAGGGGTGCCATAGGCGACGCCGATGAGGATTTGTCCGATGAGCCCGCAGTATAGGAGTGAGTTGACAGCCTGGTTGAGGATGTTGGACGCCAAGACAAACGAAGACTGTATCAGAATCGTGGTGATGGGTGGCTCATGGTAAGCCAGCGCCGGCCAGTCGCTGCCCGAGTGTTGTGACATGGCTACATGGCTGACGGCTGCACTGATGATGACAGGAATGAGAGATTATTGTTGCCTCTTGGCGAAGTCGGTTGGAGTGCTGTGACGCAGAGATCCATGAAGTCAGAGTCACGTGGCCACCCTCTTGCGCTACTTTTACATCCGTCACTTCAACCTCGAGATGCGGCGCCCAAAAAAACAAAACTATAGAATTATCTTACGCTGTTGGCTCCTGGTCCTACTGTAGCATCATTTTGCGCTGTATGCGAGTTATGCTCAAGCAGTTGCGAAGAAGCAATTTGGCGTTGATGTCTTGGAGAGCCCACGACATCTTGATCTCAATTGGTGTCCGCGCCAGGCACTGATCAGAGCTTGGAATATGGACTGGCGCCGTCTTGTACGCGATGATTCAGTGTTTGTCGGCCTGAAAGCGACGCTGTGCACATGGGAAGACGGGCGAGCATGTCGCATGTCCTCATGAATCACATGGATCACTGCCGTTGGCCACCAAACGACATGGAAGAGGCGCCGCGATGCTGAATCACTTCTTCGAGTGCCCTTTTGTCTGATTGAGGACAGGGCCAGTGTCGCACGTTCCCATCCGTACTTAAAGCATCTTTCTCCAGCTCCGCGAAGTCGAATCTCTTGCAGCTGAAAACCTCCAAGGACAAAGGCCCCTCTTTCAGCATCACACTTTCGACCGTTGACCTTTGCGCCTCCACGCAAGACGAATCCCACAACCAGTCTTTCTTCCACCATGTGCAAGACCGATGTTTACAAGGCGAAATGCCCCAAGTGTAAAGGTGCGTGGCAAGTCAAGGAAACCGTCCACCCGATGTGCAAAGAGGCCGCCAAGGCAAAGCCACCACAACGAGGTCAGTGCAAGATTGGCGATGTCGTCTACAAGCGCTATCACCCGGACAAGATGTGCTCTCCTTGCCAAGCTAAGGGGTAGTGGACTTGGAGGCTGAAGAGCCTCGTTAACAGCAACTCCGGGGCGAGAAGCAGGTTGAGTTGCCCGAGTTATGTCCATAGTCACCAAGGTTAGATACACCAACGGTCAAACAATGGAACCCCTGTTCATGAGCAAACATTTGCAACCTTGCAAGCATCATTGACGAACTTTTCTCGGCACTGAAACGCTCTTGGCGTTCTGCAATGATGTAATGTGCATGCGTCCTTTTTCCTAGTCGGTACTGTGGACAAACGCCTGCAGTCTCCTTCCTAGGATTGACGAAGCCCCGTGCAGTGAGCATAAGTGGGAATACATGAGCATGGTACCTGCATGAGGCCGGAGCGACGACAAATTCGGAAGACGCCCGTCGTCATCAACCGTCGCTCCTTTACCAAAGCAGCCTGGTCCCCTGGCCATACCACGGCTTCGTATCTGCCGGCATTCCGTCCTGAGCCCAGTGCTCAGTTCTCACCGTTCTTCGAGAACCGTTCTGCCGGCCGCCGCTTGCCGGGCGACGTCTTTGACCGGGGGCCCTCGTGACTAATTACTCCGTAGTTACTGTGCTGTACCGTTTCGCAGGCGGGAGTGCGAACGAGGACGTGCACTCTTCGCCCGTCGTGTCGCATGACGTGCATGCCGCATCCCGCGTGGCTGATAGGGCGCTGATAAGTTGGCCCGTGTGTAAGACGAGCAGCCCTCTTTACGTTTATCCATTGTCAACTGGTGGCGTGCCAGCCAAGTGGGGGCGCGCCTCGACAGGGGCATCTCATGCACGACAGTTTCGGGTCTGGGCAACGACGATGAGAGAGAGAAGTACCTACCCTTGCCCACTGCGCGTGCTGGCACTCTGAATGGCCAGCGGGCGACGGACGAGTCGAAAGAGGCAGCAAAGCGTGAACAGGTACAAAGTGCCTCGAACATGCCCCCTCCCTGTAACGGCTTGTCAAAGTCCCGTCTTGCGCAGCTCCCTGTCATGCCGGGCACCGGACGGAGCACAGTCGGCCGAGGGCGCTGGGCTGCGGCTGGGTTGGATCTCACCGCCCGTCAACCTGGTTCGTGCACTGCAGGTTGACGGTTAGTTATTCCGTGCAGTTGTTGGTTGGGCGCACATATCCAACGCTCACTCGAAGATCCGGGGCAGCACTCTCAAAGTGTTATGCAACTGACTCCTGTCCGTCCGTGACCGTGGTCACGCCCGTTGCCGCCGCCGCCGCCGCCGCCGCCCGTCGCGGCACCGATGGGCCGCTCGTGGAGCCCGCTGGACCCTGAGATGCTCGCCCACTTGCCGGGACTCTGCGCATCGCCTGTTGGTGGTTCGCTGATGCGGTGGCTACCTCGCCATCGCCGCCGCGTGTCCAAACGACGGACCAATGCCGATCAGCGCATTCTCGCTCCGTTGTCCATTCATCCAGCCATTGACCCATCCGTCAATGACAGGCTTCATTTCAACCGGCCACGGCGCGGGCGGGGACACAAGCGAGCGCCGGAAGGCAGTTGCTATTCAGCGGCCAGGCCTGAGTTGCTTGGCTGGCTGCCTGGCTGAAGCCTGGGAAGACCCGCCGCCGGTCCTCTCACACATTGTCCTCCATAATCTTCTGCGCAGAGGAGGTGCCGGCGCTGTGGCCAGGGGCGTAACCCATCCGCCGCCAAAATGGGCAATGACGGCCACGTTCTCCACTGCCGCCGGGCCGACATCGCGGATTCCCAGCGAACATCGTGTCCCGCTCGCGTGGCAGCCATGATGCGCGCTGGCAAAGGAAGAAGCAGCCCCAGTAATCGGAGCCAGGTTAATAAAGCAGAGAACAGGCTGGGAACGGGCCGACCAAGGCAAGATAAGATGCCGGGAGACCATCGAAGTTGCCGGAGGCCCACGCCTCCATCGCCATCGATGCTAGCCCACGAGTCCGTCGCCTCTGGTGCCTTTCCTGCGAACGACTCAGGCAGCCAACCCCTGGGCAGCTGCCGAGCGATGGAGTGGGCTGGTGTGGCCGGGTGGGTAGATGGGCATGGCTTAATGGCCAGGCGGTCGTAGGCGCGGCTGCCGATGGTGTGTGGACGGCTGTTCTCCTCCATCTCAAGAACAGAGTCCTAACACACGCCTTTTTGCCCAGCGGGTCCTGAGTGTGCTACGTGCTACTATTCGATCAACTAGTGCAACGAGCCGGGCACGAGAACGAACCGGCTCCGGCTCCGGTTCCGCGCAGGCCACCGGTGACGCCCCGACGTTCCTGAGCCTCGTTGTCGAGGTCCGCTGGCGGTCCCGCGACGCACGCACGCACGGCACGGCAACGCCATCGTTGCTTCGTCGCACAGCGTGCGGAGGGGAGCGGCACAAACGCGCGCGCGCGCTTGGACAGCGTGATGGTGCGGTCGCTCGGCTGCACGATGGCCAAGGGGGGTGGGCGTGCCGTGCGTCGGAGGCTTGCCGCGCAGCCTCACCGAGGCAGCATCGGCAAGGTTTGGTGCTGCCGACTATGCGTGCGAATGGCATGCGTGGCTGGCCCGGTGCGTGGGCGACCGTGTTCTCGCCCAAGCCAGACTGAGCACAAGGAAAGCGGAACAAACACGTCCCTCGGGACTTGGTTCCCGGCGCAGCGGTGCTTCCAGGCTGCGACCCACCGCGACACACGCGCGAGTCGCATTTTCGCGCATCGTCGCCGAGCCAAGTGGCTGGATGGCGGAGGGGGCGGGAGCCGAAGGGTCCCTCCCATCCGTCCATTTATTTAGAGTCCCTGTCCGTGTCGTTGGCCGCCCAAAACTCGGGCGCCGAGCACCAGCACCCAGCACCCAGCAGCAGCACCAGCCGCCGACGCCGTGTGAGTACGAGTAGAGTTTGGCCGGTGTCGGGCTGGGGCCATGCGCCGGACCGGGGCCACCAGCCCACTCGCCCGTCAGCCAACGCCCAGCATCGCAGCGACGCCAGTCGCCCATTTCGTCACAGGTAAAAGGGTTGAAGGGTTCAAGGCGCAGATGATGGTGGGACGCCACGGCAGCTAAGCTTGTGGCCCCGACAAGGATGACCAGGGTGCGCCCAGGTCCTCATCTTGTTTCCGTGAGCCTCGCCCCAAGCCAGTGAGATCCGTCCCCGCCGAAGCACATGTCAATCCCTCGTCGCCCGTTGACGCTGGCTGTGCGGCTTGTAGGTTCGAGCCTGCGCTGCCTTCTCGGGCTGCAAAATCCACATCGGGCGTGACGCCTCTGCGACTGTGCGTTCGCAGGAGATCGACGCCTGCGTGGGCGGCTTCGTAGATGTTCGTGCAGCGAACAGTACGGCGGGAAGAGTAATGGCCCTCGGATGAACGTGGTGTTCGCCCGGGGGAGGAGAGTGCGTTGCAAAGGGTGTTCAGCTCGCGCGTCGTCTTCCATCAGCTGCTAGGCAGGCTGTCCTGCTGGTGACCACGGAACGGAGTGATGACCCTCCTCACGCAAACAGCTGCTCTGCCTGGATGTATTATTGGTATCGGAGGATACTCGAGCACGCTCCTGGCGGTTTGGCAGCATTCTGGGGTATCGCGGCCTTTTTCGAGACTGATGACGGGGAGCTCTGCTGTCGTCCATGACTTGCCCCGGCCGCCTCGCCTGTACTGTGGCATGAACCCCCGGCAGGACTGACCGGGACCGCACCCATGCCGTTCCCAAAGAGGTCATCCGGGGCCGCATAGTATTAGTGGCGACGCAGGCGCATGCGCGGACGCAGAGGACGAGCAAAAAGGCAGGTTCTCGCGGCGTGCGAAAGCGCCCGCGGTCGCAGCAGGGTTGCGAGCCTCCAAGTTCCAGCTCCTCTGCGCAGCGCCGCCTGCAGCAGGTCCGTCGGCGCTGGCAAGGCTGGGGATGGAGGATGGGGAATCATCCTCCTGCTGTTGCCAGGGTGCTGGCCCCGCCGACCGGCCGGACTTTCGGCGAGTCGCCTGTGCCACGCCTCCCCATAGCCCGCTATAGCCCGGGCACCAGCACGGGGCGCCGCGCTGGTCTCCCCCCGTGGACGCTCGCGGACGGGACGTCAGGGCCACTGAGCGAGCGGTGGCGGCGCAACTCACGCACATCAGCGCATGTGTGGGGTCGCCCCGGCTGCCCTCCAGGCGCTCCCGGCGAGCACAGCGACGCTGAGGTGAGTGCTTAGCGATCTCCCGACTCTCTCCGTCATCAGTCATTCATTTGGCTCCAACTCGACAGGACCCTCCCCTCCTCCATTCCTGACCAGACATTTCCCGCGAGCAAACAGCCCACGCAGCGCTTCTTGCGTCTGACAATGCACGCCAGCACCGCGACGCCCACGGCCACCTCACGGCCCGTCGTCGCCATGGATCCCACCACGACAGAGCACGACTACCGCTTCCCCCGCCGGCCGGATCGCGGCGGCGGCGGCGGCGGCGCTCACGACCAGAGCCCCCGTCCCGGCGCAGTCGACCAGACCAAGCGCGACCTCATCGACCGCGCCTACGCCTCCGCCAACGACAACCTACTCGGGACAGCCTTGTTTCCGTCGCTCCAGAGCGACTCGCCCCAGAGCGTCGACGAGATGCAGGACGACGACCCGCTGGCCACCCAGGTCTGGAAGTTCTTCAAGGCGACCAAGCAGCAGCTCCCTAACCAGCAGCGTATGGAGAATCTGACCTGGCGCATGATGGCGCTCAGCATGCGCAAGAAAAAGCAGCTCGAGGAGGAGGAGGAGCAAAGGAGGAGGCAGCAGCAGCAGCAGCAGCAGAACAGGTATGCCCGCAACGCTCCCCGGCGGCGGTGCGGTGGGCGATGATGAGCCCGCGCCTTGGAATTCCCCCGCCCTGCCTGTGACGATCGCATCGCTGACCCGAGTATTTTGCCTCGTCTCCAACAGCTTCGTCAGACAGGCGACACAGAATGCCCCGAGCGGCATTGCTCAGCAGCTGCGAAAGACGTCGGAGAACAATGTCAACGGCGCGGAACCCATGAATCTCGACGACTTCATCTTTTCGGACCGGGCCGCAGCGTCCACCGGCTTCATGTCGCCGCCGCCGCCGCCCGGCTTCAAGTTGGCTGCCGACGAGGCATCCGGCGCCTCGGCCATTCCCATCAAGTCCCGCAGGGACTCGACGGGCCAGTTCGTTCCACAGTCGGTGCCCCATCATCAGCGGTCGCAGAACGATGAGTTCCACTATGTGACTCGCCATCATCGTAAAACGAGCATTGACGAGCGTCGGGTGAGTCCGAATCCCTGTCGGCCAGCGGCTGCTAGCTGGCATCCCTCTCGCGTGCATGCCTGGGTCTTTTACCTGCGCTGCTCAATACCACCCCTCCACTCGGTTGCTGGCATCCCCCTCTATATATACACGAGTCTCCGCAACGGCTTCTGTCACAGCATCCCAAATGACACCATCGGCCCCTGCCACTCTGTGACGTATCACATGCTGACCTCGCGTTGCAGAACCGGAAGCGCCCCGCCAATTTCTCTCCTCACGTCTCTGCCGTCAACAGCAGCGCAGCTGGCGGCACTCCAAACCTCGACGCCGATGCAGACCTTCACGGCTACTCGTTGGACAATAGCGGCGCTACCACGATGCATCAGCAAATGCCCGGGGCCAACGGCGCCGTGCCCTTCAACCTCGACACTTTCATGGACGACCCCGTCATGACCTCGGCCGCCCATTTTCAGCAGAATTTCTCTTCCTTTTCTCCTTCGTCTTCTCCGATGATACCCAATGGCCCATTCTCGGCCATGTACAACAACAACTCCTCTGTTCAATCCTCATCGCTCAATACCACCGAGCTTTACTCCCCCCCGGGCTCCGCCTACCAGTCGACTGTTTCGACCCCGATACCCATGTCCGACAACGATGGCTTCTACTTCGGCTCTGCAGACATGCGACAGCAGCGATCGCAGGGCTTCCGTCAGGGACCCCCTCAGACCATGAATCAAGCCCAGCAGCAATTCATGTATGGCGGCGCGAATGGCGGCCACAACATGTTCGCCGCCACCGGAGCCGGATCCGAACCCGTGTCGGCCTTCAGCACGGCCCCAAGCTCCTTCGGCCACATTGACCCGACGCAGGTCTTTCAGCCGGACAGCCAGGGTGCGTCCCCCAACGTGCCGATGCGGCAGGACAACATGTTTTCTTTTGGCGGGGAGTCGGACGACGAGGATTCCAACAATTTCGGCGACCGCAGCACGGCCATGCAGAGCGACTTTTCCCCAGCCGTTGACGAGGGCGGCTCGCTTGGTTGGGACGCTTCCCTCCCCGGGCAATTCAGCACGCAGGCCGCTCGCTTCCCGGGTGGCCCTCCCCGCAAGCAAGTCGTGATCGGTGGCACCACCACTGACTACGTTGAGAGTAGCGGGGATTGGGACAGCAGTGGCCTGTCGCGCTCCCATTCGCAGTCATTCAGGCACGGAAGCGACATGCGCCAGCAGAGGATCCCTCGCAACGCGTCCACTCCCTCGCATCTGGCGACAAAGCACAGTGGCTTCGAGCAGATAGCACAGTCATTGCCAACGTCTCCGGGCGGAGACGTGCCCGGCACCATGTCGGGCTTTTCCTCTGCCGCACCAAGTCGGCCATCCTCACCACCGGGCTCTAAGCGTGGGTCATCGACCAACCTCCAGGCTGCCGGGAACCAAAATGATGGAAACGGGCCTACCACGTGTACCAACTGCTTTACCCAGACTACTCCGCTGTGGCGCCGCAATCCCGAAGGTCAGCCCCTTTGCAACGCCTGCGGTTTGTTCTTGAAGCTTCATGGCGTGGTGCGCCCACTCAGCTTGAAGACGGACGTCATCAAGAAAAGAAACCGGGGGTCCGGAGGCAACAGTTCCATCGGGTCGGGCTCGCGGTCCAGGAAGAGTGCGAATGCCAGTAGCTCCGCGGCCGCCTCTCGCAAGAGCTCGACCCTTTCCATGTCAACCACGGCTGCTGCTGCGAAAAACACCAGCCAGCATAGCACCGCATCGCCGCCAGCTAACCGAACAGTGAGCGCGAAGGATGTCGACAGCCCCGGCAGCGGCGGCGTGGCGTCTGGACACAACACCGCGGGCAGCACCCCCACGAGCCACTTCGGGAACATCGGCTCCTCTGTGGGCACCACCGGTGTGAAGGGTGCTGTCCCCATCGCGGCCGCTCCTCCGAAGGCGACTCCTGGGCCCGGCGCGTCATCAGCATCTCGGTCCGCTGCGGCGTCATCGAAACGCCAGCGTCGGCACAGCAAGAGCGTGGGCTCCGAGACTTCTAGCGGCATGGACCTTGATGCTCCTGGTGAAATGGCGAGCCCGAACGACGCAGCCCGGTCCCTCAGCCATGCGTCTGCCATGGGCTCCATCTCGAGTACGATGATGTCCGGGTCATATGGCATGAGCCCTCGCGCGCCGATAGCCCCCGGCGGCATGATGCCTATGGGGTCGCAACCGCCCGCCGCCGGGAACCCTGCTGGGGCCCAAGAATGGGAATGGCTCACGATGAGTCTTTAGAGCTCTTGACGTCACGGCGAAATATCCTGGTCGCCTTCTAATGTTTTGGGGGAGGGAGATGCAGATTTCTGCTACTTTTTGTTTTTTGCGAAGCGAAATGGAAACAAGGAGTTGGGGTCACTTTTTTGTTCATTTTGGTGTTTTTCCCTGTTTGGCTTGGAGATCTGCCTTTGTCGCTACCGGTCACGTACAGGTGTTTCATTCTGCGGCTGCTGGTGTCCGGGTCTTTCTTTTCCGTTTGGCCAGCTCATGGGAAGCGCCTGTGCTGTGTCAGCAGCGAAGGTCTCACGACGATGATGGTTCTTGATCTGGGGAACGGATCGATGAAGGGCGACGAACGGGATGAGCGGGTAAGGGGGGAGGCGCACGTACATACCACATATAGAGAGCGACGGACGACGGCGATGGGACTGGAAGAAGGGGATCTTTTACTGATCGTTGTTGGCTTGTCCTGGTTCCTTTGATTCCCCTCCGCCACGACGGATGGAGGTGTTTGAGACGTGGCGCTTTCCTGACTGTTGTGCGTTTTGCTGCTTCGGTTTGGCTTGGCTTGGCTTGGCTTAGGTTCTTGGGTTTCTGATTCGGATTCGGAGCGGCTCCCTGAGCCCGAACCCGCCTTGTCTGCCGGGAGGTATTGCCTCTGGCAACATAAAGGGGTTGGCCAAGCCGTGACCTGTTCTGGTCCTCGGGTAACGATCGGAGGCGAGGGGGAGATGCACACATCTACAGATACACACAGCAAGACACACGCGATCCATGAACATCATACATGTATTTCTTTCACCCGGACTCCAACTTCGTAAGGAACATAGATACCGAGGACAATCAATGATGCCCGCTTGACCAAGCCCGTCCATCCAGTCTAGAACTCCCCGCCTGCCTGCCCATCCTCGGCGTGTGCCCCTGACGCACCCACGGCCGCGACTCTCCCATGGTACCGCCTTGCGCGCTGACATGCCTGGCCTTGTGTACGGCGAAGAAGAAGGAGGAGAATAGAAGAAGAAAGAGAAGACAAGACAAGGAAAAGAAGAGGAACGTGCCATGCACATTAAATCAAGCAATGACTGCCAGCATGCATCGCGAAACCAACTTCTGAGACAAAGAATAGGGGACAACCGAACGAACTTCCTGCGTGCTGACGACCGACTCAAGCTCACAGAAACGCGTGGCCGCCAACACTCTCGAACAAAGGCTCGCGGAAACTAGCTCTGTGCGTCTAGAGCATCGTTCCAAACGACTCCGAATCCGTGGTCTGGATCCTCTTGCGCGGGCTGCCACCATCTTCGCCAGCCGGTTTGCGGTGTCTGAACGTGAACCCGACAAAGAGGCTCTTGCTCATCTCATCGTCACGATCAGCCATCGACTCAAGAGCTGCTTGCTTGTCGTGGACCTCCTTGTACTTGGCCATGTCGGCTTCGTTGCTGAAGTCGTCAAAGTACCCGGCATCCGTCTCCGAGTCCAGCTCAGGGACGAAGGGCGCCCGGGTCTGGCGCAGGGTAGTCCAGTCGACTTCTGCGAAGTACTGGTGGTTGTAGATGTCCTGAATATTGGAAAAGCGCCGGGTGCGAGAGTTGATGCATCTGTTGAGGTCACCATGTCAGCGCGTGTGTTCATCAGAGCGAAATGCTAGAGACTTACGTGGTGATGAAGTTCCAGGTGCGGTTGCTCAAAAAGTAGTTAGGGTCCTCCCAGACGGGTCTCTTCAGCACTTCCCTCCAGTGCTTCAGGTTTCGCCATGTCTCGTCTGGAGTGGCACCAGCGAATGGCGGAAAACCCGTGAGTGCCTCGAAGAGCATGCAACCCAGACTCCAGTAGTCGACAGTAAAGTCGTACTCCTCCCCCCTAAGGACTTCGGGTGCCATGTAATCTGGCGACCCAACGATCGACTTGGCGTAGTTGACGTCGTTTTCGCGCATGTTACGGTAACTCTCTCGACGCTCAGCGACAGTCCGTTGCTCGATGGGCTTGCCAAAGGGTACTGAAGTCTCCGACGCCTGCTCAAGTTTGATGCGCATCGATTCGATTCTCGACGGTGCCAAGACTCCTGCAGCGAGACCAAAGTCTGTGAGCTTGACGTGGCCTGTTGAGTCCACAAGAAAGTTCTCGGGTTTCAGATCTCGATGGATGTAGCCGAGCTGGTGCAGCGCATCGACGGAACAAAACATCTCGGCGATGTAGAATCGGGCGTGTCGGTTGGACAGGACACCCGTGTTGTTAAGCAGGGTGCGGAAATCGCCGCCTGGCACGTATTCCATGGCAAGATAAATACTCTTGTCGTCCTGGAATGAGTACAGAAGGCGGACCAGCCACTCGCTCTGCGCCGTCGTGAGGATGTCGCGCTCGGTGAGAACATGGCGGACCTCATCAAGTTTGAAGAGCAGCTTCTTGCTCATGACTTTCAGGGCACACACCTCCCGAGTGTCTTTCTTCTGGGCAAGGAACACCTGGCCGTAACCGCCTTGACCAACCTGAGTCAAAATCTGGAAATCGCCATGTCGGAGTCGAACGCGCCGCTTGCGGAGGTTGGCTCGCTCCCGTCCTGCGTACTTCGTCCACATCTGGTTATGTGTGTGTTCGTCCGTCTGGGGCGGGGCCGGGTACTCGGACTTGAACGCAGCAAGTCGATTCTGTCGCGCGCCGACGTATGTAAGGAGATCGAAATAGTAATCTAAGAAGTCTAGAAATCACTGTCAGCAATGAACCGAGCCCGAAACTCGTTTGTGGTACATACACAGCTGCGTCACGTTGACAAGCCGTTTGACCTGTGGCTTGTTGAGAATCTCCCTCTCCTCGGCGGTCAAGCCCCGCGACGTATTGAATTTTTTCGCTGCTGGAGTCACCGGGCGCTCTCGGGGCTCATAGAGTTGCTGGCGAGATATAGCAGCATGGTTGTGCTGGTGCGGAGAGTCGGTTCCCGCCAGTCGCGACGTAGGAGGTGTGTTTTCCTGCCCCTGCTTCTTCAACGGACTGACCGATACGGGGGTCTTGTGAATGACGCTCTCGTCAACATTGATGCTGGACTCGTCCAGAGGCTGTGCGTTGGTCTTGCCGGGCGACAGAGGCGTCACCGCAGTCTGGGGGCGAGTCAATCGCAGAGGAGCTTCGATACCAGATGGGTTGAGCGTCATCGCGCTTTCGAACGCGCTTGGAAGATCGTGGGCGCCGGGCGGGATAGTTTTTTTGCTAGGGCTGCCATGGGGAGTGCTGGGCGGGTTCAGAAACGCGTTGTTGTTGTTGCCCTTCTTGACGGGAGTGCTGGGGCGAGCAGAAGCTTCGCTGGACGATTTGTCCTTGCCCCCCGGGAAGAAGTTGGCCATGAAGCTCGCCATAGCTGCGGATGCTTTGGCTAAGGCGTTGGCGACACTGGGTTAGCACCAACGGCCGTGGCGAGGACGAGGGCGTTGCGTCGCGCCTCAGAGACCCTGGCGGGAGGGGTTGCGCGAGACGCGGACGCCCGGCGAATGAGCTGTCGACCACGCTGTTGGTCGTCGACGGCAGGCTCCCAAAAAGTGATTGATGTAGCGCACGATGGGTTTAAACTGTTGCTGACGATGGAAACCTGGTGGTTTTGCGAGGTGTCGAGTTGATGCAGGTTGGGCTTTGAACGGGCAGCTGCGCAGGTCGGCAGGAGCGACTGCGATTCTGGCCCAGAGGCTGCATTCATGAATGTCATTGGGTGGGGTGAACCTGGGTCAACACCGTTGCAGGGGCAACAATCGGGCAGACATGGCCGCTACGGAAACCCCCTGTCGCACTTGTAACGCCCTTGCATCGCGCCCCGTGGACGGACCTCAAGAGGGGTGCTGGCCCCTGGGCCTGGGCTCTCGTGGCGAATACCAACCAGAGCTCGACAATTGACCAAGCTGGAACGCTGCGCTCGGTTGCAAAGCTGACGATTCCACAGCCACTGCCTCGGATTGGAATGGCCGTGGTCAGGCGACCCTGCGCGACGCTGCTCCGATTGTTTGGCCGTGTTGTTTCCCAACCCTCGTGCACTTTGGCCGGGTTTCTCAATGCTCCCATGGACGCCGAACGTAATTCGTGACTGGCTTTGCACATCATTCGTAGCCTCCGACGTCGACGTACTGAGCAGACCACTGTGCTGCCAAGTGCAGACCCTCGTACATAATAGATTTACTTCGTGCAGCAGCGTCCATCCTCCACGCCAAGGAGAGCCAATGCGAGGAGTCGACGGCCGACTCTTGTGTTAGAGCAAGCGCCGGCGGGCATTGCAGCTAATAAAACACCAGGGTGATTCCTCGTGAGTTGTCGCAAAGGCGCATTATGTCTACAAGGATGACGCAACGCTGCGACAATGACTTTGTCCGGTTTCTGAATCGCGGCCGCGCAACTACCCTACCCTACACCTTTGTCCTACCTCATCAAGCGTGTTGGATCGCATCAACAGCCGCGCGATTTGTGTTCTACCCCTCTGCAGAAATTTCTGCTCTGTGGTACGTGAGCATCTTCACGTTCCACTTAAGACGCCGAAGATTGCCAGAAGCAAGCAGCCAAGGCCACACTATTGGCGCGGTTTCTCCAAGCTCGTGTAACCGAGGCGCTGTGGATCTAATCTTATCAATCTCCCCCACCCACCACTGCCTCCATCACTTGACCAAGGTCTCGTGCTACGCCCAGGGTCCGCCATCAGTTCCTATTCAATACTCAGACCACTTCTCGGAGCCGGCTTCCTCCGAAAACCCCTCATTTACCTATTGGCCTAGCATAAATATTGTCGCCTTCCTTCCTGCCCACGCACAGGCCTGCGGTCTGTGACCTGCATTCTCGACACACAGCCGTTCGCTATCGGACGCTACTCGAGACGACGTCATTATGAAGCCTACCTCCGTTATTGCGTGGTTCTCCGGGACCGCCTGCGCCGCCCAGAGTCCGCTTGCGCTCTTCGAAAACTCGGCCGCGGTATCTCGAATTCCCACGAGCTATGAATCCGCTGTGATGGGCCGTCGCATCCTCGGTCTGTCCAAGCTCGCCACGTTCTCGACCGTCTTCCCCGACTCGCACTCGCGCGGCTCCGACAATGCACAGGGCTCGCACCCCCTCGAGGCGCGACCCACGGGATTGGAAGGGGTTCCCATCGGTCTCATGGATTATATTGCGGACTGCGAGGATGATGGCAATCCGACAATCCTGGCCATTAAGATCGGGACCAGCTTCAAGAATGCTCGCGCTGGGTCCAACGTCACAGTGTCCATGAGGTGGACGCCGCCATACCCCCCGGCGAAGCGCATCTCCATAATGTCTCGCCTGTCGGCTTTCATCCCCTTCCTTGCCCGCGACTGCCCGTACAACACGGCTCCGGAGCACCCGGAGATCCCAGACACGGTTCCATATTCAGCTGCGAACCTACCCCGCTTCTCCTTGATCGGCTACCTAGAGAACATCGATGCAGACTACTCCAAAGCGACCGACCTGGCCGTCTGCTATACCAAGAAGCATCGTGATGCCAGATATTGGCTGCCGGGTAACCACATTCACACGAGCGAGTGGATGCGGCTCGTCGTGACGAGCGTATACTGGATCGGTGGGTTCGGTGACAGAGCGTACATTGGCTGGATCCCTCTTCAGGAGTGGCAGAACGTGACTCGCAAGGAGTGGGAATCGATCCAGCTTCCAGGTGAGAAGAAGGGTTGGAGCGAGTGGAGCGTCGACCAGATTGCCGAGCTTTGAGCAAGAAGGCAATGGGCCAACGGGGACGAATCCTATGTATCGCGACGCGATACTTTGGTAGCATCATGATAGCATCAGTGAATAGCATTTTGTTTTGGACCGCTCCTAAATGTTGCGAACTTGCCATTTATTCGTGATAGAGCTGCCCGCCAACTCGCCCGCGTCTGTCTCGATGCTGTCGTCCTCGGCCGGCGGCCCCTCGCCAATCGATACTTCCTTGCTGGGTCAAGAAGAGGATCCCTGGTCGGCTGAATCGGAGTCTGCTCAGCAGAACAGCCCGGCTGCTCAAGACCAAGCAGGTTCAAGCCGTCTGGACGATTCTGTCCTGAGCGCTGCTGCAGCTTTGCCATGGATTGCTTGCTCCTGAAATGGAGGCCATGGACATACTTTCCCCGCCCGACATAACGACCGGCTGCTAAGGGAGAGCCCGCGCGGGAGCGCCATGCTGGTGCTGACGGGAAGCGTATGCTTGACTTTATATGCAACGCGTCGTCGTGTGGACCTTCGGAGCGGTGGGGACGATGCAACCCATCCCGGCCGCTGGGCGGTCTCGTATCTGACAGCCCCAATACGGGGGCGCATGTTCACGATAGCACTCCTAACATGACATAACAGAGTCTCAATGAAGTGCGCTCCTGGTGCCAGCCGAGGTGGCTGACACCGCCAGTAGCCTACGGCGTTCGGCGTCGTTGAGGAGCGGGCCCATCTCCGACGGTATGCGGATCGCATACAAGATGGAAACATGCATGCTTTAGGTGCTGTCGTTGCTGTCGTTGCTGCCATTGCTGCCGTTGCTGTTGTTGCTGCTTTGGCTCCTACGGGCTCTACAACTAGCAACAGTTGGCTCTACAAATAGCGCTACTCTTAGGGAACGTTGTACTAGGTGCATTCGAAGCAACCTGCAAGTCAGCAACACATGTCGTGCCTTGGCTGAGACCAGGCACCTTCGTGAAAGCCCAGACACCTTGGCTAATGTTGCAGCAGGACGGTCAAATTTCCCGGGGCGAAGAGTAATGCAACCATGCGATGGGACTACAGTGCGTCCAGAATCTGCAAGCAACGGGTCGCAGGCTCACAAAAATGCAAAAGTAAAACGCGCACATTGGACTGGGTGGCATCTGGCGGACCGCGACGGCCGCGAGGATTCAGGAAGATCAAACGATGAATGGCGAAGTGGGAGCGCACCCGCAGGCCCGACAGCCGGGACCGGGGACACCGGCAGCAGTGGGAAAGTAGTCTCAGATTGTCGCTCCCTTTTCGGCCCCTTGGAAGAAGAAGCAAAGCTACTGTACTCAGGTGGCACGAGCTGCGGGTCCAGGATACTTCTGCAGCATTCGGGACAGATGTTCAAAGGCGTTGGTATGAGTGCCTGCGCAGCCACGGCCAGGGCTCGAGTCGGAGACAGAGGGGCGTGAGGGGGAACATTGAAGCTTTAGAGAACGCCACTACGAAGTGCGCATGTTACTGACGATAAGAGACAGGCTTCGCACAGTAAGCGTGGGGACGGCATAAACTTGGAATCTTACCAGCGACTGACTTGGCGCATGGTTTCCAGTCGTTGTCTGCCAAGGTTGTTTGGTCAGATAGTTGCCCCGGTGGTGAGATGCTCGATGCTGGGGCACGGCGTTGGCACTGTATGTACGAAGTATGGCGGGCAACGCTGCAAGCTCTCTCTGCAAGTCTTCAAGGATGGGAAAATGGCATCGTGTCGAGGGCTGGGCTGGGCTGGGCTGACGAGGGGCGTGGCCGCAGTTGGGCGGTGATTGTAGGGGGTGGCGGGCGAGTCGAAAATGATAGCCGACAAGTCTCGACACCAACGCCTCCAGCGCCCGGGCCGCCGGGATAGGAACCCAACGACTATCGTGCACTACCGGCCCGCCATCAGCGTACCACCGAGGTGGGACATGACCGGCTGCGACTTGTCCCGAGTCTGCGCGGCGCACGCCTGCAGGCCCGCAGACGCACGCCCCATGGCGCTGAACCCAGGCCCTCTCGGGGCCTCCGTTGGCTTGACGCGCCAATAGGCCAGGGCCGTTGCTGCCCTGTACCCGTCCATCCGTCCACTCGGCGAGCCACTGGGCGTGGGTGGGAGCGACCTGGATGGAACCGGTCCAGCGACTGGCGGAGCTGGCCTAATTGATCCTGGGAAGCCCCCGTTTCCGCGGCGCTGCCCGCAGATCGATCCATCCATGGATCGCACAATCCGCCTGGCCAGTGCAGCGCTTACCGCTGTGCGAAGAAGACATTCACACCATCCGGGCCGCCCACCCCCCCATCCCCAGCTTCCCAACCCGTCTGGTGCCTTGGATGAGGTAAAGTAAAGTAGGGTCCCGCTGTCACTCCCACCACCCCCGACCCGGCACCCCAATTCAGGAATCCGCGCCAGTGCCTTTTGCCCACCTGCTCCGACACGACGAACCTCCTCCCATCGCGTTTCTGACTCTGCTCAGCTCCTTCGACCTCCCCGACGACATCAACATACCGCCACCATCGCCCATTTGCAACCTTGTATTGAGTTCTGTCGCCTACGCATTCGCACGCGACCGGTCGCTGCTGTTCCGGAGACCCGACTCGCGCCCATCCCTGCGACTGGACCCGAACGCCCGCCCACCCGAGAACGTCCGCCTGACGAGACGAGCCGCCAGCGTACTCGGACTGCGGCTTCCGACGACGAATCGAGCGTGCCTGGCCGCAGCGCAACACTTGAAAGCAACTCGAGACGTTCGCACATAACGGGATGGCTAACCGTCGCCCATTCAAACTATGACCTCGAGGCCCCAAATGGGCGCACCGCCGCGACAATCCCAACGGGCGCTAGGCTCGACTCTGCCCGTTCAACGCCCCTCGCACCACCAGCGCTCCCTGTCGCAGCAGTATCTCTCCTCCACGTCTACGTCCCCGACCCGCAAGGACACGCAGCCCGGAGCCGATACGGCCAGCGAAGCCTCCGACCCCGGCCAGGCTCGCCATCATGCCTCCACTCCGAGACGCGGAGGCTCCAAGCTGCGGCTTGAGCTGTCCAACGAGCTGGGCACAGGTCCAACGTCGGCCACGGGGTCGCCGCAGGCCTTCACGCCGTCGCGCATGATGCCGATATCCGACACGATGGAGATCGACACCATCAGCCCGGCCATGTCCCGGGCTTCCCAGCAAGACACCGACAATCTGCCTGTCCCCATGCCGAAGCGCCGTCCACAGGCCTCACAGCTTCCAGTAACGACACCGCGCATTCAAACCCCTGCGCCCGTACAGGCGAAGAAAGACGTCCGGCCGAAACCGTACACAGTCGAAGTCCCTAGTGACGCGCCCCGACTCGCGTCGACAAATAGGCAAGACGCTCTCAACAGCGACCTCTTCAGCAAGGGCCTCTTCTCAGGCCATGCCGATTTCTTCCCCTGGACCGGGAATCACCACGAAGACAAGTGGAGCCCCGAGGCGATCCAGAAAGGCACATGGGACAAGGGAAGCCAAAATGAGACATCGTCAGCTCGACTTGCCGTCCTGCCAGCGCTGAAGCAGAAGAGCGGCTTGAATGCCCTATCCTCCATCTTCATGGGTGTTCTCAATCAGCGAAGACATCGTGGCCAAATTACTGCCCCGTCAACATTCAAACCGCCGCCCCGCGTCACGCTGACCGACACGAAGCGAGAAGTGTGGCTCAAGGACCTTGCCAATTCGACCATTTCTTTGCGACGGCTGAGTCGGACAATCCCGCACGGCATTCGTGGACGAACACTCTTGGATCAATGCTTGAACAAAGCGGTTCCCACCGAGCGCGCGGTCTGGCTTGCCAAATGTGTCGGCGCCAACGAGATTAGGGCCTTCAAACGAAAGGGCGCTGGCGGTGGATTGGTCTTGGGCGGCGAGTGGAAATGGGTGCGAGACTGGACAGTGTTCGTTGAGCAGTTCGTCGAGGCAACCATCTCAGCATTCGGCGATCCGGATTGGAAAGCCAGGGTCACCTACGCGTGAGTGTTGCTGCTTTACAACCCGCACCGACCAGCCTGTGGTGCTAACATCTCCCAGAATTCGTCTTGCCACGAATCTGTACTCGGAACAGCTGTTGGATCGAGACCACTACCTGGACTGGGTCATGTCCGGCCTAGAAAATAGTCCTCAGTCGAGGCTACCCATGTGGATTTTGGTCGCGAAATTGACCTGGACAGATTTGCTCCGATCCCGCAAATATGGCCGCAGGCTGGTCTATGCCTTGCTCGGCCACCTACACAATGTATGTGTGCTCACCTCCCACAGCAGGCCTCCTCCACAAACTAACCTGCTTGCGTAGATACAAAACGACATCGATGGCGACATACTTATACAACTATCAAGCCAATTATCGAACTTGCTAAGAACACTCCTCACGGCCTATCCCGAGAACTTCGTCGCACCACACTTCTGGATGAAACATCGGGATGCCTTGAAAGCAGCCTTCGCCATCGATGATCTTGCCTGTCAAAGGGCTTACAACAGCGTGAACGCGCGGAATGCGCAGCTCACAGTTGCAAATACTTCGTCCCCGGCTGGACGCCAGTATCTTGTTCAACTTCTTGACGCGACTCTGCAGGGCCACAACGACCCGGAACTGGCCAACAAGTGCTGGGCTACGAGTGAAAACAAACCGGACACAGTGAAGACGGTCGTTGAATGGGGCACGTCTCTGCACCGGCCTGGCCCGGCCAAGACTTACGTGGCTGCGAAGCTCATCAGGTCGTGGAGTTCTTTCCACATCAACCCTACAACGGCGGTGTTAGATCTCTTGTGCGACGTAGCCCAGGGAGACAAGCTACGCAGCAAAGCCATCTTCAATCTTGTCGCCGAGCTCGTCCGATCAGAGCTCTTTTCTGTTCAGCAGTACATTCAATGGCTGATTGGGCGTGGCGGGCTGCAAGAAGCTGCGGACATTGATCCGGACGACGGCCCCTGTGCTTCCAGACTACTCATCGAGCTCCCGCTTCACTGCATGTCTGAGGCGCAAAAGGCTCAGAGGAGCAACCTTCTTCGACGGGCCGGCCAATACTCCACAGTGGAGGAAGCGAGAGACATCGCAAACGCCTTGCAATGTGTCGACGACAGCCTGGGCTTATCCCCTCATCTTCGTTGCCCAGGCGCGCAGCTAAGGCAGGTTCCGCTGCGCAAATTGCTGCGCATGGTCGCCAGTAGCAGCAAAGCGGTGCAGACATCTATCGGCGCACACCTCCGGGACGTGTTCAACGAGGACTTCCTCAGCAAACTCGACTCCGTCATCGCCTTATCCATGTTCGGCTCAGTACGGATGATGCTGGAAACAATCGAGGATTATTCCATGCTTTCGCATGTCTTGAAGGCCTGCTCGACAACCCAAGATGCCGATCTCCTCGCTGCTTCCGCCGATACCCTCCAGTCGCACCTAGAGGTTTTCACCTGCCTGGACTCGGCCGACCTGATATTCAACAATCTTCTCGATCGACACAGAGCTATTACGCGCGATCAAGGAACGGTTACGCGGTCATTATTGGCTGCACTGGCAGGTTTAGCCCAAAGACTCCCTCAGCGCGATGAACTTGCGAAGCAATTACTACGGGAGCTCGCACAGAGCGACAGAAGCAACGCGCTCGATGCTTGTTCCCCCGTCTCGGACAACATGGCCATGCAAACAACGACTACTGATGGCGAGGTATCGGATCAGATCGACAAGTTATTAGCAAGCGGCAATACCATAGACCATCCCACCATGAACCGGCTGTTTCGAAACATCATACCCAAACTCGAATCTGGATGGTCGAAAGACGACGAGAGTCGCAGGGTGTTTGGCTCACTGCTCACTAGACTGCGCATCTTCGATGCACAGCACTTCGACAAACTCATGGCAGATTGGGTAAGCCACAGCCGCACCCTCAGAGACAGGCCAAAACTCTTGTGGCTGTTCCCGCTCTTGGCAAGCCTCGGCTGTCTGTCGATGACTTTGATGCTTCATACAGCAAATGCTGGGCCCCCATCAATGGACGACTCAAACTTGGGGCCTGACACATTACCGCCGTCCTCAGCGGTATACCAAGGGGAGCTTCTGCAACTTCTCATAATGCCGCTACCTAAGGGTGCGTCAATCGACAACGACGAGAAGTATCGTTACCACATACAGCAAAAGGTGACGAGGTCGGAACATCCAAAGGCGCTCGTGACTCTCATCCGAAACGCTCTAGTTGAGTACTCGATGTTGCGCGACAAAAGCGTCCAAGGCATGCTGCTGGATGACACAGCCTTTCAAAGCTGCGTTCTTGAGACCCTCCGCTATCTTGTCGTGGCCGACACAACAGCGGTGGCGAACGCGCTCAATATCGGCACCTTACCGGCTGGAGCGAGCGCCATTGTCAACAAGATCGTCACCAAGCTGCTTTTGCCTGGCAGCGATGGTACCGAGCAAACGCCGTTCGATAAGATTCTCGGTCTCGCAAACGAATTGACGATGCCGTTTTGCCAGCTCAAACTCAACTTGGATCTTGCGGCATCACAGTCCGGGTCAGGTGAACAGGAAGAGCAAAGCGTGTCCCAGTTCGACTCCTTTGCCAAGGCAATGGATCGTGCCATCGAAGCCAGGAACATCATGTGGACCAGCATGCTGCCTTGCTTGAGCCAAGACATTACCCGAAATCTGAGCAGCCAGGCACACTCGCGGTTTTTGGATCTCATCCCGTCATTGAAAACGGTGACCTCTGAGGATGATGCGGCCAGTGAGCACCGCATACACCTTGCCGAGAACCTCCTGGGCGTGATTCAGGCGATAATCGCTGGCCAGCCACCCCCGAAGGCTGGGCAGCTCTCGCCAGGACTCGTTGAAAAGCTCACCGACCTGTGGGAAATTGTGGCGACCAGAGACGAGGCGCACGAGCGGGCCCGTAAACAAGTCCTGGATCACTGGCTGCCTGCACTTCTAAGATTCATCACCGTGCATAGCATCTCGGCCGAATCCATTGCGATCCCAACTCCGAGCCAGGCCACCCCGGCCAATAGGGCCGTCATTTCTCCAAGTCAGGAGGCTAGGGCGCGGATTTGCGTTGCCCTCTGTGGTGTACTACTCGAACTGGACTCCCGACCAGAGACAGCACGAAGCGCACTACTGCTGGAGATATCGGATATTGCAGCCATCTTGGTGGACGGCCTTCCGGACGATTTACGAAGTCAGTGCGCGAAGGCGATCCTTTTTCTCCCTGGCACTGCTCCAAGTACAAATACAACGTCCGACCCACGCATGTACTATTTATTCAGCATGCCTCAACCAACGTGGGCGGAGAACCTCCGGCTTGCACATAGAGATAAGGCGTCTCTTCCTCACAGCGCGGCCGCCAGGGGCATGGGAGCCATGTACGGCGTGGTGCAGGAGCGATTGACTCCATTTATGCTTCGGCGGTGGGAGATTCTCAGCGAGCCAACACCCAACGTCGGGGAGAACGACACAAGCTTGAGTCTGGGCTTATTCGAGGCCATCAAGACGCAATGATCGCCAGCACGAAACTGAAACACATTTATCATGCGGGCTGTATCAACGTCCACGGTGTCCGGTACATTATCATCCATGTCGAAGGCGTTCTCCGGTGACGCATCGCACTTTCAGCTACTTTTTACATGGTTACTCGGGGGGATTTTATTCCTGTTTCTGTTCCTAATGTTTACTTCCTTTTGTTTCGCATTGTTCCGACGGGGGAATGAGGAGGGATCGCCCGCACGACGTTATGATCAATCTTCAGCAAATGGGACAGAAGGCAGAAACAGAGAAAGCGGTCGCATCGCAGCAGGGTCAACGGGCCGAGGCAGGCTGGACTGTGTTATCTTCCAGGCCCCGGCCCAGGTCCCAAGGGAGACTCCTGTAGCTATTTTGCATGGCGATGGTGTGGGATTGTTTCATGGTGTTTTCCCTTCCCCATTCTTGGGGGCGCCTTTGTTGGAGTGGGCTTTGTGTTTATTTGCCGGATGGCACAAGGGGGGGATGGGTTGTCTTTGCATGGGCGGGTTGTTACATTTTAAGCTGAAGTGGACGGAGAAGGGGCGTTTGAAGACGTGGTTCCTTCCACCTTGTGTATAGCCACGGGGTTGGATTGGATTGACAGGAGAAAATGAAGCATCAATGCCATAAAGATACCACCAAGTCATGATATGACGACCCTGTTGGACCACGCGATGACGTGTGCACCCGTGAGGTGGACCACTACTGGCTCCCTGATGCCGACTACAGCCGACATCACCTTTCCACATCGCGCCCCAGAGCGGCGTTGCGAGGCTTGCACTGTGACAGATGACGTTTTATTACTCCCGTAGGCTAGTTTACTCGTTATCCTACCGCAGTCCATTCGTCCACTCTTCGCCCAAATGAGCAATTCCATCTCCCCCTTTCCATGGGGCACATAGGTAAACTGCCGCCGCCGCCCCCTTTCGTCAAATCGGCCGCACCAAACGACGCAAAGGAAATGCTTGAGACGCAATGAGAACGCAAAACCAGCCTCCCACCACCCCACCCGACGACAGACTACTCTTACAGTACGGACGGAGACCGAAAAGGGACCCGCACGCAACGGCAGGCCATCCACGGCAGGCCGGCATTCGCGGCTCGCGGGTCATGACTTGACGCTAAGATCGTTGCGATGTGCCGGCTACAGATCTGGTCGCCATCGAAGATCTGATACGTGTTCTACAGATCTAGTCGTCGTCGAAGATCTGATACGTGTTCTGCAGTATCGTGTCGATGACCTTGATCTGCCAGCCGGCGTCGGCGATGGCCGTACTGGGATCGGAGCCCATGAGTGTGGGTCCGAATATCACGGCCAGATTGTGCGAGTTCATGCGGTTGACGTGTGAGTTATCCATGACCCGGTAGAGGTGCAGCGTCATGGCTCGAAGTGTGGCGTAGTTGGGGTCGGGGAGGGCGTTGATGATGGCATGCAGGGAGTCGCGACGGACAATGTCGTCTTCTTTCTCTGTTGCAGGAATAGTTAGTCTGGAGTGTTTGGCATGCAATCACGGGAGGAGCCCTTACTGGCTGCAGCGATAAAGGCATCATGATGCTCAAGAGTCAGAAGTGGGTCAGGAAGATCGCGAAGGAATTGCTTCAGCAGCCCTGTGACGCTGTTGACATCATGGTAGAAGTTCTCGGGGTTGCGGAAGTCAAGAGCCGGGTTGGATGAATCTATGCCATTTCTTGTTAGTGCCTGCATACTCCGAAAGCCCCACGTTGGTGAAACAGTCATACCTGCGTCGAACATGCCCTTGAGCTTGTTGATGTGGTTCAAGGATCCGGACTGACGGTAGATGCCTTCAACTCCGAGCCCGAACAGGTCGACAGCCTGGATGCACTGATAAACAACCATCGGTACGGCCAGTCCGTCCCGCTCGTACAACCGGTTTAGAGGAACACCGAACACAGGCTTCGTCGCGGTGACATTTTGAGTGGGAGGAGCTTGAGAGGCCGCAGCGTAAGCTGGAGGCGCCTGTCCGCCGAAACCACCCGTACTGCCCCGTCTGTTCTGCGGGGTCTGAAACGGAGATCCGGACTGGTCAGGGGAAGGCTGCTGAGGCGGCGGCTGCGAGCCCTGGAAAGGCAACGCGCCAAGCTGTGGCGGCCCCTGAGACCCCCCGATCGTACCGTTACCGTATCGTGGCGCCGGCTGCACAGAGTTCCTGGACGAAAACTGTTGCTGCGAGACGCTGGGCTGCGTCAACATATTGCCGTGGCTGTAGCTCCTTGAATGTGGCTGCTGGAACCCTCTTTGCGCGTCCTGAGGGCCGTCTACGGGGGCGCCAGGATTCATCAAGCCGCCTGGAGGCCCGAAGTTGCCAGTGCTGCTCCTCTGGCCTGCGGCGGAACCCACCGGTGAGAACCCTCCTTGCGAGGTTGCAGTCTGGCCGACAGTTTGCGGTGGATGCATCATCTGAGGCTGAATTGGAGGCTGAACGGGCATGGAGGAAGTCGGCGGCTTCAGAAGCTGCACCGCAGTTAGCTTAACCGTTTCCTAAAAGGTTGGCTCATGTGCTCGACGAACAGGATTGCGCTCGTATTTGACTTCAGTGTTCGGGAGCACCTTGGAATGCTGAGCCGCCACGAAGTCATTGAAATCCTTGACGTTGTCAATGGCACCGACGGCGTGGCGCAAGCTTCGAGGCTGGCCCGCGTTCTCGGCGGTCGGGGTCTTGAAGGGGCTGACAATCAACCCATTGCCCAGGAGCAACTTCTCGTTGAAAGCAGCTACAAGGTGTTAGCCATGACTGTACAACCACATTTCAGGTGAGCCTAACGCACCGAACTTCTGCATTTGCAGCGCCACCGCCGCGTCCGTCTCGGTTATGAGCTCCTGCAAGGCCTTGACGGCTTCAGGGCGAACCGTTGACTGGAGATGCGACTTCTCGGTCTGAAGGTTGTTGACATGACCTTGGTAGGTCTGATCTGCTGCCTGAACCTTTTTGAGAAGATCCTCTTCTTGCTGCGCGGCCGACTTGTGCGCCTTGAAAGCGCCAAGTACCTTGCCGCCACCCGGTCGCGACTCGCCCGTCCTGGCGCGGTCGTACTCCTCCGCAAGGGAATCGTATTTGGCCTTGCTCTTGCGCATGGTCTGTTCGAGATCGGCAACCTTCTGCTCTGCTGCCATGCCGTTGGCCTTCCAGCTCTTGCGACCCCGCTCAGCGTTGGCAGCCAGCTCGACAAGATCCTCATGCATTTGGTGCAGGGAAGCCGCAAAATTGGAACCGTTCTCGGCCATTCGATCGTGAATGAAGACCATCTCGTCATAAGATTTCGCAAATGAACCCTGCCTGTGCTCCGGTCGACGCGCGCTCTCCTGCGTCTGACGGCATAGCTTCTTGAGGCCTTGGGCGTGGTCGTCTTCGAGAACAGATCGTTTCTTGAGGAAAAGGCCGAATTCCTGCAGCGAATCACATCAGCAAGCTGCGCAACGACGCGGGGGCCATTGCCACACCTACCTTTGCTGAGGTGATGCTTTGCTTGAGGCGGTTCAGAAGGGTCGGAATACCGAGCTGTGTTATGTGAGCACGCGCACCTTGACATTGAATGGAATACCAAACAAGGGGAGTCCTACCTCAGAAGCCATCACATCATTGACCTGCTTGGCGGTTGCCGGATTGACAGCTGGTCGAGGCTGCTCCTGGGAAGCGGTGCTTCGCGTCGCGGCCTCACCTCCGTCGCCGCTCTGGTTCGCGCTCGGGCCCTCTTCGATAGACGCACCGTCGCGCTCGCCATGCTGCTGGTGCGGGAGCGCATCCTCCAGCGACTGATGTTCGGAAGGGTCCCGTGGCTGCTGCTGCTGAGGCGGCAGAGGCAGGGCGTCGTCGTCGCCCGAGGCGCGGAAGTCGGCCATGTCAGGCGAGGCGTCGTGGGACGATGGGATCGTGGGGTTCGGCAGGCTGCCAGGTGCGGGGGCAAGCAGTCGCGTAGGCTCCGACGACCGGTACTTAGCTCAGCGAGATTGCCGTCGCCGTCGCCAAGTAGAACGTCTCCTCGATAGAGAGGTTGTTATCTGTTGCACAGCGGTGCGCGCAGGTGGGAAATGGCCGCACAAGGGGAGAGCCTAATCGCCAACGCCTGGAGTGGGATGCGGCCCCCGGTCTTGGGGCGGCCCAGGAACGAGCCGACGGCGAACGGTCGCCGCTAAGGCACACGGCGTCGAACCTCAGACACTTGGTGCCTGGCGCGGATTTCGGTTTGGGAGGAGAGGGCGATGGACGTTGGACGAAGGTAACAATGCTGGGCAGGAAGAAAGAATCGTCGCGACCGCGCCGCAGTGGGAACAAGCCGAGGTGCGCAGAGGGTTGACGACGAAACGATGCGTGGTGTGGCTTTCGTGTGCTATTATTACCACCTGGCGTCGACGAACAGCTCAAGCACCACCAGGTCAAGGTACCTTCGTACCTGCCGCCCGCCAGGTCGCCGCGAGGTGCAGGTGCTGTGCCCGCCCACCAGCAACGTGCGTAGCGCCAGCTGGCTGCTGCTGCGGCCGCCAGATGACGAGGTCCCGGCCCACCCACCAACGGGTCCCAATCGCCTCAGTGGCTGCACTGGAACGAAGTGCGGCCTGGCGTGTGCGGGCAGCTTGGGGGCCGCAAGGCCGGTCCGCCGTCCGCACCACCGCCACCGCCGAACCGCTCGTTGAGTTACCTAAGCAGAGAGCGTCGCGCTAAACTCGCCCTGACAGTCACACAGCATGCTTGGCGACATGGTGCAGCTCGTGTGTGTCTTTCTGCCACCTTTATCTGAGTTCTTGACGTCTTCCCGGCGGCGGCCAAATGCCCGGCCATTGCCAAATTAACACAGCACTCGAAAAGTAACGGCACAATAGCCGGCGCATGTTGGTCCGGTCCGGCGGCGCACGCACGGGCATGCACGGTCGCCGGATTGAAGCCTTTCGCGCCGACTGAGACAATTGCCCAGACGCGCATCACATCCATCATTCGGGCAGCCCATGCAAGCTGTCAGGCGAAACCTTTCGGCTGAAGCAGTTGGACCGTATGATTGGGATGTCCGCTGAGGTTATATCACGAGTACCGCGGTTTCAAGTCACTCCCGCATCGGTTGCCTGTCGTTCCTCTCCTACCGGTAGGGGAGAGGTCCTTGTCCCGTGCGCCAAGTACGCGAAGTAGCGGAGAGCAAGGCGACCAAGACAATCCATAGGCAGACCAGAATGTCGACGGACAAGAGTCCGTACGGCACAAGTGTCAAACCCAGTGCTGGTTTCCACCGACTTTTCTGCCTCGCGATCAGGCGCGCGGCCACTCAGTCATCCAGACGTCACATCCCACCATTCAATCCAAGCCCGTGAACGTGGAATATAAGTTTCTTTTTTCCCGGATTCCAGAACCATGCGTGATGAGAATGAGCCTAGATATTTGCCGAACAGGTAGCAGCCTGCCGGTCGTTCTGCTTGACGCCACGTTTGTCAAGAGACTGTAGCCCAGCGCCTCAACCCCGAACAATCGATGACCCGTAAGCCTCATGCACCCCAAACCGCACCTCTTGCTTTCATACACCTGCTGCGACCACCACCTTCCCCATGTTCGCTTATCGCAGGCGGCGGGCCTCACGTTCGGACTCGAGCAGGCACAGGATGTCGTCCTCGCGAACTGGAGAAATACTGTTAGTCGATCGGCCTCGGGATATCGCGGGCAAGGGCAGTCCGGAAGCATACCAGGGCCCTTGACGTTTCGGATGATGGATCGGGTCTGGTCGTCCATGAACTCGACGCGGACCTGGGTGACACCACCACGGGAGCCTGCAAAGCGCCAATCAGCCAATTTTGTCCGTCGTAGCAATAACGCAACACCGCAGCGCTTGTCGTCCTCTCCGCAGACGTGCTTGGCGAAGCGAGCGAGGCGCTCCGCCAGCATCCCACGATCGACGTCGACGAACGAAAGTGTCTCGGGGTATCGTACCGGTTCGGCCGAGAACGCGGGTCACCTTGACCAGCTTGACGGGGGCTTTGGACGAATCCATTGTGTGATGTGAAGTTTCGACTGGTGCTCGTGATCGGGCGTCGAGTGTGGTTGTTGGAGAGGCGGCGAGACGGGGGTTTTGACAAAAGATTCGCTTCAGGTGTTGAAAAGTGGACGCTATTATTTTGTGCCGTCCAGCAGGGTTTTTCCCACACCAGGCTGCGTGGTGGCACCCAGCGCCCCGCCAGCCGATGCAAAGTCACGTGCCTGCACAAAAAGCCCCAACACCACACCACCACGACGAGGGGCAATGCCGGCCTCGGAAGAAACAAACGCCGACCCCGTCTCTCCCCGCTGGACGTTGGGCTGCCGGCTGACCGTAATTTACGGGGCTGCAAGGGAGTGAGACCCGTACCGTCACAGGACCAAGAGACGCAGCAATGCAGCACGGCGTCGGTGACCAGATTCCCGGAGTGTGACGACTCGCCCAACTTGCAGGTCAAAGACAAGCATGTGAACAGACATGCATGATATTAGCTAGCAAACAATCAGACACGCCAAGAGCCGCAAGCGAGCCAAGCAATTCTGTCGCGACAAGTCACCCTGGGATCCAAGTACGTGCGCATACTTCTTGATTCCTCGTGGAGCACAGCGCCTGGAGTACCAGAATCCAGGGACTTATTGGTGAGCTCCGCTCCAGGGTTTAACGGTCAAAAGGCGTTCTGTCTCTCGGCCTCTTCTACTTTCGTAGGCGTCTCACGTCGGGTTGCAGGAAGCCGACTTTTCAGATACTACGGGCATCAGCTTGCTACTTCGCCGTTACTACATTTTGCATTGTTGCAGGATAAAACTGGCTCAAATGGCCATTCCAGACAATGTTCACCTCCTGCATGCAATGCCAACCCGATGAGCCATTCACTACGCCGTCCATCCCCGCAGAACCGATTGCTTTTCTTCCCTCTACTCGAGTATTTGAGTTTATTCCTTGTGCTGGCATGGTGATGGTCGACTGCATGACGTGTCGGGCATGGTCACATCACACCTGCGTGTTTCGATCGGGAGTCATAACCCCTGCTCGGCAAAGACCAGGGGTCATCCGGTCCCTTGCGCCCATACAACCTCTCCCTCGACAAGCTGTCCTGCACACCTCTAGTCTCACTTCTTCACCCGCAGCACCTCGTCTCGTACGAAGTGCCGAGCACGGCGATGCCCTGCCTCGGGTCGCGCATGACCTTGCTTGTAGGAAAGTGGGTAGCGTACCCTACAGCCTCACAAGTTGTCAACTGCTACGTCCAACCGGGTGAACATCACTTCGAGATCGCTAACACCTGCTCATTATTTCCACGGCTTGGGGTGCAATCATGTAGGGGTGGCCTTGTAATGGCTCGTGCTGTCTGTCGTGCGCGTTGTCATCAATATTGACTACCATCAAGCAGTGCCTGACCGTGCTTGACGGTCACATGCAGTCACCCCGTTACAACCAGCATTGCCTGGAAGACTACAATGCGCGATGATGTTTCCCTCTTATCACGCACACTAATGAATGTTACCCAAGAGAGCCTCATTGATGGTCTCGCTCTCTTCATGCTCTAGAAGGATATGCTGTGACAAGACAACACTAAAGAGAGGGGTCTATTGGACGTCATTATCTCGCGTTGCGTATGCTCATCCAGAGAAAGGGAAATATTTAAGCTTGGTATCGTAATGCGTTCTGACAGGTGAAGGAAATAAGCGATCTTGTAAGTGGTGTGGTTGCTCCGATGCTTGTTGGGTATAAAATCGCGTCAAGGCCGCATATGCTGTAATATCCTACTCCCTTGTTGACATGGAGGCATCCTCCATGCCCGCCATGTTCACGCTGGGCCAGCTCGGAGGCGATACTGCCGCGTATCGTACACCGTCCGAGACCTGAAGTTCTTTGCACATCACTCTGATGGCAAGAGCCCATCGTGCCGTCAGTCTTGCCTGACGTGACTCGAAAACGCTTCCAACAGCCTCATCCTCTCGGGTAAAATCTTTGCGTAGTGTGTCCCGCTCATCCATCTGCGCGTCCGCGAGCTTCTCAAGCTCGTCCTCCTGACGCTCGATAAGATCTTCCATCCTTTTGGACTGGCGGTCTCGCATCATGTTGATCTTCGAGGTATGTTGACGCTCCATGTCTTCGCGGAGGTTGTATTGGCGTCCCAGGTCCCTTAGATTCTGTTCTGTCACCACGCGAGGCGGCAAGTTGGACTCGGTCGGGGTTTGCCCCATGCCATCGCAATAGGCTTCCATGTGCTTGATCCGCATGTTGACGGTCCGTTGACTCAGATCCAAGGCTGCCCTCAGCTCCATTTCGTCGGCGATCTGTTGGTCTTCCAGCTCGGCTGTTGCCCTGGCCTGCCTTTCCTTCAATTGTGTTTCCTGTGTGATGAGCTGATCGCTCAGAATGGCCTCGCGTTCTGCACGCCGCGTGCTCATGACGTCTTTTGTCCTCGCTTGGAAGTCGAGAAACCGCTGCAATTCTTGCTCTTGTGCACGCAGCAACGACTGGATAGAGGGATGCCTTGCGGCGCGCATCTCTGCCTCTTCCGCTGCCTCGTCGGTGGAGAGACCATTGCATGTAGCTGCCTCGCCATCAGCGTAACCATGCATGCCTCTGCTGCCGCAAATATTTGGGCAGCCGATAGTCGAATCCCACACCCCGCCACAATCAGCACAGAACTGCGCACCGCAAGGACACGTCAAGTCGCTTGAGTCGGCAGTTCGCTCTACCAAATCGCGGCACCTGTAACACCGCCGCACGCCAGAGCTGGAGCCGATCTTGGGCGCACTCTCAACTTCCAGGTCCTCCGGACAGTCTGTGCCAACGGGATGGGCATCGGCCTTGCAGATCGTGCAAACTCGCGTCAAACACTTTCTGCATGTGGCGACAAAAGGGGTGTTAGGGTCAGCGTGCTTTCGATATGGAATAAATTCTCCGCAAGTGGCCTTCGAACAGAAAACCCTCCTCTGCCATGGCGTGCTGAATTGAACGACAGCTTTGAGAAAAGCCTCCTGTGCTGCAGGATCCAAAACAGCCTGTATTGTTGATGGCTGTAGGGGTAGGCAGCATCGTGGAGGCATCTTGGACTCGTCAGAAGACGCCTGGTCGACCATGCATCTGACGCAACCAGAACAAAAGCTGTGGCCGCAAGCTAGATGCTGCAAGGCCGTTGCACTCTTGAAGTCGCTTCGACAATTGAAGCATGAACTGGAAAGGTGTTAGTTCTTGTGTCAAGTTAGATCTTTGGATTGACGCCATCAATGATGGCAGAGACGCACAGCGCGGGTTCCAACGATCGTGACGGCCTCTTTCTCAACTTCATTCGATTTCTGAGCCCGGACAAGCTTTTCTTGGTGCTGACGCTGAATATGCTTTGGCCCGAGCTGTCGCCTACGCTCGATTTTCTCCGACACTCGTCGAACGTTGCCGAGTTCTGTGCCAGATACTTTTCGTAGGGGCCAAAGTTGTAGGTTCGGGGCGGCTTAGCAGCAGATTCAGGTGCTGCAGGATCTGGGCTTGGAGGGCCAAAAATAGAGGAATGAGGCGTCAAGTACGCGCTATTAGTCCCATCTGACGGCGTCGAGAAGACTTGGTCTTGCGAGGTTGATTCGGTTGATTGCGATGCAGCACTCGAGGTGTTGTGATTGTAGCTGGAAAGGGAGGGCAATGTTGCCTTAATGCCGAGAGCTTTGGCCTTTGAAACAAGCTCGCGGTCGATGCCTGCTTCCGACTGGTCAACGGAGAGTTGTAAGACGTCAGTGCAGTACTGAACGTCACTGAGCTCCGGCAGCAACTGTTGAGTCTCCATGGTGATGAATCCTGGCGCGTGTTCTCGTGAACCCAATGGCGATGTTCCGAATTCCGCGCACCGCGGGTGCGTGAAGGGGTGAAGGGGAATGGCGTGAGTGACAGGGGCAGATGTAACAGAGGTGCGGATGGCAACGATAAAATATGTTTCTTGGGTTTCCCTCTTGCCGAGGAGGGTCAAGTGAGCGGCAAAGCCAACAGAGGCGATGGCGTTAGCTCTGCGATTCGGAGGTGTGGGGGGTGAAGATGAGTTGGGCGGGCTTGAGACAAGCAAGCCAGATCCGACTCTCGATATGGCGCTTCGTACCTTGATCCAACAGGCCAGCGCGATATGGCGTTGAATGTCTGAGAGCCAGCGGGACTGCTAAGCAGGGTCTCAGAAATAAGGAATTACCAGGGTCGGAAGGGCGGAGGCAGCCTAGCGAGGCGCGGGACGCGGATCAAGGGGCGGTTGGCGAGCGCGGGAGGGAACGGGACGAAGGATGGGGGTGTCGCCGGCCGCGGACAATTTGGGAAGAAGTAAAATGAAAAGCATCGCCCAATCTCGATGATGGTGGGATGAGATGGGAGCCGCCGCAGTGGGCGACGTACTAGACGGTGTAAGTAATGCAGGGCCACTATATCTGCCGCTGCAGTGACAGACCAAAGCTGCACCGTTCTTCTGAACTCTGGCTCTTTCTGCAAAGCAAACACTTAACGCTCTCCCCCATGCTATTGCCGGTCTGTTGCCAAAAAGTAAAGTAGCGCACGGTGGGCGCCTCGGCCCGGCCAGAGAGTCGCAGCTCCCCATGACGCAGGGGACTTGGGGCAACAACACTTGCATTTTCGAAGTCAAGAATCATGGAGAGAGAGGCGGCTGAGGTCTCTCACTTCGTACCAAGCGCCTTCCGTACGAGGTTTGTACGGGCTACGAATCACTCCCTGCGGCGTTTGCCGGCGACAAGCCAGGGACGAGTCGGGCCCGTGAGGAAAAGTCCAATGTGACTGCCGCGGTCGGCGATCATGTCACATCGCACATGGCAGCAGCCCAGCAAGTTAGGGATTTGGCAAACGGGCTCGACCCGGTGCAGAAGGCGTGAAGGGCAGGCGATGGGCAATCTCCGCCCACCGCGCTCTCGGACACCTCATCGCCTGCGCCGCGGTGCCGACGATCCATGTCACAACCAGGCCTCGCCAGCAGTTGAGAGCCACACCCGTCACCTGGTCCGACATGGCAAAAGGAACAACTCAAAAGGATGACAAAAACTCCCGAAGCGGCAACCAAGAACCGCTCGAGCTGGCGCGGCACTGGGTCCGATCGGCGACTAGGGTGAGCCGGCTAAGGCGTCAAGCCCCAAGCCATCTCGGCAGCGGGGCGGCCTCTCAGCCCAGTTTAGCAGCACTGGCAAGACTGGGTTGTCCCCCCTTGGGGCCCTGACCGATCCATCCCGTCTCTCCTTGGGGGTCACTCTGGCATCTCTGTGCCTCTCCCCCGCCTTCCGTCGAGCCTGGCAGGCTGAATTTGCGTCACACCGCATAAGCAGCACAGCGCATCAGCTCGTCTACGAGCTGTAATCTCACAAGTCACGATTCCAAGTCACCATGTCCCCTGAAGATTGACCGGTCGGGGTGCGTGGTCACCTCCCAGCTCCCTGCCCGGCCCTCGACAGAAGCGCCGACAACGTTCACCCTGGTCTGTGTGGAACCAGTTCTCACTGTTGGAGAAGTCGGAAGCAAGGGCCCTGCTCCCTCTCCGCACAATGGGAAGCAATGACCAGCCGTTCAAGCCGCACATTTGCCCAGACACCAGCAGCAGGGCTCTTGGGCGCCCCTCTGTCAGGGGGGAGGGGAACCGATGGTGGCATTGATGAACGATAACATCTGGCAGCCCTGGCCAAGCGCGGAGGCATGACGGGATGTGGTGGCTGCTTGACGACAATCCTTATCCCTGCCTCTGGATTTGGCCATGTCAACCGACGTCTCGGCCAACGCATGCTCTCTGGCCTCTTTGTGAACCAATACGGCTCAATTCTTGGCTCACTCATAGCTGGCGGGTTGAGGTTCACTCAATGCCATCGGCCGAGATGGATGAGCCAACCAATCTCTGGCAAAAGGGTTTCCAAAAGAAGCAAAGACCACAGCATGGGGCTTCGGGCTACAAACAGATGTTGGCAGCGGGCAGGGTTCGGCATCGAGACCTCCCGGTGTCACCCTCGGATCCGCGCCTGGACTGGAGTGCGTCCCAAGTCGACTCCCTGGGTAAGGGTGTCTGGGGCTCAATGTCTCGGCTCGTCACAACCCTCCGTTTGGCAAGGTGAACGGAAAGGCAGCCTGCACCGGCCCCTCCATTCCTCTAGCGACGGCAGACTTGTCCACCTGCTGACCCTTGTCTTGCTTGCTGACGCACCTCGTCATCCTCCCCCGTTTTGGCGCAACATGCATCTTAGTCCAAGGGTAAGAAACAGCAAACGGGCTTGCAGCGCGCCCGTGAGCTATGAGAAGGCATCTGTGGCGCTCTGCAAGCTGAATCCACTATTATCGACTCTACCTCAACGTTCTTGAGGGGCAAGGGCGGTGTACTCCCCGTTCCGTTTTGCTTGTAGACGGCCTGTGGTCTCTTGGCTGTTGAGGGCTAAGCAAACATGGCTTGCTGACCTAGGTGATGTCTCAAGGGGATAGACGCCGTGCCGAGTCGAGCCGTACTTGGGCGCAGGGACAGGGCGAGGCGGCCAGGTTGACCTGACGGCAACATTTGCCCAAAAGCTAGTCTGTGCCTTTGGAGTAACAATTTTCGCTATGGACCTGGATATCCAGATGCTTGGGAGTCTTAGTAGATATGCCAAGAGAGCGGCTCATGTGACAAACGTATAGCATCGGCTCCGAGCGCGCGTCTGTCTCAAGCGCGAGAGCCGGCGACTGCGGGAGAGGCAGGCTAGGCGTCAGTGGCGCTCGGTATGCCGCTCCGTAAACGTTGTTTATAACTCATCGAAGCCCTGATTCTGGGGGCTCCGGTCCAGGCTAATATCGGGGCTGGGAGCTTCCGAAGGTCACAGCTCGATGGCGCAGCGACGGCGTCTTGATCGGCGCCGAAGAAGAAAATTGCATTGACCCGCAAGGCTGGACCAGTCGAAGAGCTTGGACTCGTCCGTCCCTTTGAGGGACGCGTATCGATAGTCAGGACTCAAGCTTGAAAGATGAAAGGGTCCAGGTCGATCGTCAGATAAACGCCTAGCAACTAGCCTGCACGTCCCGCCACCCGCCGCAGGGTCTGTTCGCGACCGTGAGGCCAACGATTTGCTAAACGATGACGAGCGTGGCTAACAAGGAGTTCGATCGAAGGAAACAGACCTGATGCTGGGTCAGTAATTGTGGCTGCTCTGTAGTTTCTTTTGGCACCCTACGTCCCTGCCCGTGCTCGCTCATCACTGTCGATGACTTGCCTGCGCCCATGCCAGCAACCCTGTCTGAGCTTGATTGGAAATGGCATCATGATGTGACGCGGGGCAGCGTAGACAGGATTCACGGGGCGCGCTCGCGGAATCAAAGCTCTGAAGTAAAGGAGTTCTCAACCACCATGCTGTCGGCCTGCGTGGCGCTGACTGGGACGCGTCGGCCAAGACATGATAGCCAGGACATAATTGAAATTGTGCCGAAAATTTAGTATATACGACCATAGGCAGTGGAAAACACGGGGTCTCGTCCGCTCCCCCATAGTGAAGTCACTGACCGGCAGATTAGTAGTTGGGTTCGGTGACGACCAGCGAACACCGGCTGTTGTATATGCCGTAATTTTTTTTGGAAGTCTCTGGTCAGAAATCAGCCCCCGAGTCTGGTTGAAGGACCCCTGCATATTGATAGATCCCTTCCTTTGTTCATCATACAAACGAAGGGCGCAGTCTCCCAGCAGGCAAGGGACCTTTTGTTCCTTATGGAGTTGCGCCTATCTAAAAACAACTCCAGCGGAGTGGAAAGAAAGACATTCGCGATGCCCCTTGCCTCTTGTCGGGTGACAGACAAACGACAAAGCTTCAAAGGGAGCCGGCGCTTGAATGCACGGTTTCTACAGTGGCACTCGGCTGGGGCCCTGTTGGTCGCTTTGGCTTCCTGTTCGCTTCGGTTGTTTGTCTTACGAGCCTAGTACTGACTGGCTGTTCTTTCCCCCTCGCAGTTGCGCAATCATGTGTTTTTTTTTTTAAGGACTGTGTCATCACTCGTGCAAGTTGCTTCATGCAGAGGGTGGCCGTCCTGTCATCGTCTTTGCATCGTCGCTGGCATCTCGCGGTGAGGCGACTGGAAGCGGCTACCCGGCCTGTGAAACGTCGCGTGGACGCCTCCAGCTGGACAGCGACGCGTTTCCGGGGGTGGTCTGCGGGCGAGGTGCCTTAGGTGGTAGGTACCTCCAGTGGGTCGGGTGGTGAGGCAGTTTGGATGGAAGGTACCTCCCGTCTTTTAGAGAGCCCGCCAGCTGTCATGCCCGCAGCAGACGGGAGGCACGCAAGGCACGTTCAGCGCAAGCCACCTGGGCGCAGCCCGTGGTGCAAGCCCGGCTGCCCGGGCCAGGGGCTCCACACAGCGCCGGCACCTCCCGCCACTTCCACAGTGTCGGCCAGCTGGAGACACTGACCGTCTTCATCCACCTCATCCACCCCGCCACGTCTCCGCCATCTCCCGCAGATCGCATCATCTCGCAACTCCGTCCACGACGACATAGGCGGCATCCACGCCGCTTATCGACATCTTCGAGCGCAAAGCGCTCCGTCAGCCCGAGAGAGAGACTAGGCAGCCGACATCTGCATGCGACACACGCGCCGCCATGGCTGGATTGATCGATCCGACTGTGGCCGGCAAGTACCCGGTCATCCTCGGCGACGGTCTGCTAGGGAAGACATCCAATGAGATCTTTACCGGCATTCGCTGTGCGTGTTGCTTGACCTTTATAGCGCCTCTGTTATACTGACCGATGTTTTCTGGCAGACAATCACAAGCCGGCGCTGTCGTCGGGCGATGGACCGGCACTAGCCCGCCTGCGGCCGTCGTTCCCTGGCAAAACGACCTCGTACGACCTCTCCTTCACCGACGGCGACGACAAATATGCGTACACCGGCACTCGAAGTGTTGACGACAATCAATATGTCCTGCACTTCGACCCGGAGCGCAAAGCATTCATCCTCGACAAGATCGACTCGACGTTCAACATGAACGTTACCCGCATCCCCGGCAACTCCGATCCAGCCAAGCTCGCCAAACAGTTCCCTCACCTCGACAGCGAAACACCAGAATTCGCAAAGACTAGCGAGAGCAAGGATGCCAAAGCGAAATCAGCTACAAAAACGGCCACTGCCAAGAACCCTGCCCAGACGAAGCTGAAGCGCAAAGTCGACAAGAAGCAGCAGCAAAAAGACATGGAGCTTTCGTTCCCGAAGCCCGAGCCGGCAAAGGAGAAGAAGAGCACAAAGCAAGTCGAGGAAGACGAGGAGGAAGAGGATGACGACGACGACGGCGGCCTACTCATTGAATACCCCGGCGGAGAGGCGGCTGCTAAGCACAACGACTTCTCGCCCGCCTTCCCACCGCCCCGCCGCTTTGACGACTTCATGGACCAGCGCGACTCGGAGGGCGACGCAGACGGCGAGAGCGATGATGAGCCGGACATGGACTTTAAGCTACCCAGCCCGGTCAACAACCACGCTTCGCGGCCGGAGCCAATGGACGTGGACGAAGCGGAGGAGCCACAGGCCGAGGAGCCGGCGAGCCTGGATATGGAGAACGACCTGGAAAAGGAAATGGAAATGGCATTCGGAGATCTCGAGAATGACCAGGAAGGCAGCCCAGACGGCGATGAGAGCGAGATTTCCGAGGAGGATTAGATGACGAGAACGACTGTCCATGTTTCCTTTGTCATGCACTTTGGCACGGAGTTTGGGATGATTGGTACTCTTGATCACGGCTACGGGCCTTTGTGGGATAATTTGCCCAACGATTGCTGGATCCTGTTGTATGGACACTGAGCGCGAATAGAGAAATCTGTTGGGCCTGTTACGTCCCTCGTCTCATTGTCTCATCTCATCGTCTCGTCATCTACTACTACACACCGATTCCATTGACCTCACGGCGATCCAACCTTTATTTCTTCGAGAGGAGCACGACCTCGCCATCCTCATCGTCAAACTTGTACTTGTCTCCCGGGAGATGGTCCGTCACGCCCTCGATCTCGGCGTTACACCACAAATGCCTCTCCGCATACGTCAACACCTTGCCGTACCTGCGCAGGTCCTCCTTGTCGAAGCACCCGACCGTCATGCTGATGCGGCCGGAGCTCTCGTTCTGCCAGAAGAGAAAGCTCCCGCACGCGGAGCAGAAGCCGCGGGCGCAGCCCTCGCTCGCGCGGTACCGGCCCAGGGTGGACTGCGCGTCCCACGTCAGCGCCGAGACGGGGATCTTTTGCACGCGGAAGATGAGCGAGCCCGTCTGCTTGCGGCACTGGGAGCACTGGCACGTTGAGCACTGTAGGTGTGGTTGAGAATGTCCCACGCCGTTAGTCTTGTCCTTGTTCGAGAGGCCGAGAGGGCATGGGAGGATGGACAGGCAGGCAGGCAGGCATATTGAACGTACGGCTTTGATGAAGTCATGGTCGGGAGGGAAGTTGATGGTGTAGCGGACGGCTTCGCATAGGCATCCGCCGTGGACAGTCTGGGGCTTATCGTTTGTTGCCATCGTTTGAACGTTTCAATGTTCTTGTCAAGATGCTAGAGTGATGAGCGTTCCTGTGGACACGAATTGAGGCAGAACGAGTAATGATACGTTAGGAAAACGTAGAAGCAGGATTCTGTAGGAACACGGAGAGGCAATTTCCCAGTTTTATACCCCTTCAGAAGGCGAAATGTCAACGGCGCCTTTGTCGCGTCGTCGTCGCATCGTCAATCACCATTTCGTCACTAAACTCAACGCGACCCAGGGACCTGCCCCACGAGTGGCACAACCGCGCATTAGCGCCACGCTGACGAGGGGGAGATCTGGCAGGGCGCGAGATAGGGCCCTGTAGAAATGCGGGGGAGGGATCTGCCATTGGTTTCTGCACTGCTTCTACGCACGCTTGTTACCGCCAAACGCGTGCGAATGTACAGTGCCATTCTAAATGAAGGATGACTTATAGCACATCCCACCGGGCGAGCCAGCCTACGTTCTCGCCGGCATTTCTGACAATACAGAGTCTCCCTTCCTTTTTGTTGTCTCTCACATCCGCCAGTACCTTGCTGGCGGCTATGCTGCCCATGGCTGCGCCTCGGCCGTCTGTGAGGCAGTACGATCCCGCCGTCACGAACCCTATCAGGTCATCTGCATCCGGAACCAGCGGGTGGCCGCCGACATGGCGCAGGTTCGGTGGCTCGAGGGGGTAGGGGATGTGTTGCTTGATGAGTTCTCCGGCGAGACGTCGCTTTCGGGCTTCCATGTCCGTGGGCCAGGGGCGTTTCGATCCCTGTAGTCGTTTAGAAGACTGTATGTCGGCGAGAGCAAGCCACTGATTTCGGAGGTCGTGTGGAAGGGCGACCGCGTGCGGATTGTTCGGCGGAAGCGTCGATGGTACTTCTGCCGTGGCGGAACTGGCAACGCGTGATGGCATTGACGGAAGTCGATATATCCTGGCGCAGGTTGAGACGACTCCACGGGCGACGAGAGATATTTTGACATTCATCGTGGCGTTTGGCGTATCCATGGAAGTCATTGGTGATGCGATCAGGCCGTCGAACGTTGCCTTGCTGATGTGTCGCAAGAGCTTGAGAGGGTGCGTCCCAATGTCGCTTCGCGACGCCAGTGGCTCGTCTCGATCAATATCCATGGCATCACCTTCCGCAACGACTGCATCTGATGGTGTCGGCTCTTCGTGTTGTGCCTTCGAGAGGCCGAAGAGCAGCTCAAAGTCGCAAGCCAAGCCGTCTCCCACCTCGCCTTTCCTTCCTGCGCCCAAGTTCAGCGATGACCATTCTGTCCTCTTGCTCTTCGGCCGTCTCTCCCATTCCTTCTTTCTCTTTTGACGCTGCGCAAGTTCCCACTCCACGCCAGCATCCGTTGTGATATACTCGGCAGGGAACCAAGGAAGCCCACGCTCGAACGCTACCTGCATGGCCTCATCCAAACCTCCAAATCGAGGATTCAAACCCGATATGAGGGGAACATGTACCAAGCCATACCATAATGGAAGTATGCACTTCCAAGGTGCAAGGAGGGTCCAAGTACCCTGACTGTGAGTGACCGATGGAGGTCGAGACGCCATGAGAATGACGGGAATTGGGGGGTCGCCCTTCGTGGGTTTCAGAAAGGAACCGGGGGTCGCATTGCCCTTCCTTCTGTTAATCGACTTTTGTGTTGGTAGATTTGATGCGGCGTGTCTAGTATCGCGATCAAAGAGGGCGGACGGCTCGAGCCCTGTATCTGCTGGCCAGTTTGCCGCCGTCTCGAGAAGAGTTGTTTGCGCCTGGCTGTCGGCCGGTACCTGAAGTTTCCTGGGCGGGTATCGTAGACGCGGATCTTGTACAGAAAAATTCAAGAGAGTATTTGCAGGGAGAGTGGCAGGGTTTGTCAGTCCCTTCAAGGATTCAAAAAGTGTTCCATGAGCCGATTTGGGACTGTCTTTGGTTGAGTAGGGAGTCAAGACCGCCAGAAGCGCTTCGGTTGACGCCGGACCGGTCAGCTCGATACTGCCAATCTCGAAGCGGAGGTCTTCGATATATAGTCGTGGATTCTCCATCTTTGTGAGCCGCAAGAGTTCATTGAAGAGCTCTAGGAATGCTGACGGGTGAACTCTGAGGAATATCTGCCTTTGCTTCCTCTTCGAGTCCTCGCCATCGCTGGACTCCGGGGTTTGAGGGTTCCAGAGTACGGTGGCTGGGCACATCTGGCGTCGACTGTCGCCCACCGACTTGCTCAGCATGCCGCACCATGTTCTGGTTCCCAGCCTCCACCGTCTACCTCTTTCATTCCAACATGACTCTTCCAGTATGCCGACCCTTTTCAACACTCTTTCGATGCCTGCGGCGTTTCCATACAGCCCGATGGTGGTCATGTAGCTCATGTCCCAGATCATCGTGCCCCGCTCGCCTTGCGATCGGTGGGTAGGTCGGTATATCTTCTCGTTGGGGGTAAGCGGTACCGCAAACCGCCATAACGGGTCTTTTGGCTCCGTCATTCGTGCTCTCTTGGCATGCCATAGATGCGTCGGCAGCCAGGTCTTGTTGATCTGGCGTCTCCGAAATTTGGCATGAGGCTTTGGCGGTTCGTTGAGTTGGTTCCGCCGTATCTTCGGTCTCGGCTTGCGTCCCACGACGCCTGTAATTTCAGCCGCTTTGCCGTCTCGTGAAAGATCCGCCGCCTGCTTCAACTTCTCCCGCCGTTTCCTCGCCGCCAACAGGCCAATTCGCTTTGCCGTTTCGGCTCGTATCCGTGCCTTGGTGGTTCTCGGTTTCCTCCTCCTAGGCTCCACGACTGGTGTATTATCTTCGGCCATCTCCTTCTTCGCTCGAGCTCGCAGTCGACGGGGAACCCTCTTCGGGTTGTGGCTCGCAGTGCGCCGGCGCAGGCCGCGGGGTACCTTTTGGAAGGCGCGGCTTGTGCTGACGGCTTTGGATGTGGCCATGCTCTGCTCCAGAGACTTGATTTCGAACTCGCGCGCGGCGATGAAGGCTTGCAGGTCCAGTTCGCCATCCTTGAGCGCTGCGTCGGCGGGCTGCGCGGGGACATTGCGTGCGGCATGCAGCTTCGTGCGCTTCTGGTGTATGGCATCGCTCCGGCCATTGGCGGCGGGAGAGGCGCCCTTGCGCCGGGCAGAGGCGACGTCAAACGACGTCGAGCCGCCACGGCCTCCGCCGGAGGTCTTGGGGCCCATCGTCGACGGCGGACTCGAAGGATGTTGCGCGATGCCGCGGGTGTTCGAGTCGGCAAGTCGCCAAAAAATGTTGGCGCGATCAAGGTTGTTTGGGCGGGCGCAGCTTTATCGATAAGACCACCCACCCACAGTGGTGACAGACTTGACAGGGTCCCTGTGAACCTAACCAGACCAATGCTAAGCCTGCCCAGTGGGACACCGTGGACATCGGCAGGCAGGTACCGTACCTACAGAATGCCCCGAAGGTCGCTGTCATCAGACCTGGACAGTCGCCTGGGCGCCGGCGGGCCTGGAACGTCGAAAACGGTCCAGCCTCCAACGCCACGTAGAATGACGGGAATGTGGCCTGCAGCGTGCTTCGTATCACTATCGTTAGCTCGTGTCACCCACTAGGCGCAGCTCAGCATCCCCATATGACGCGGTATCCTGATGAAGTCACTTTATTACTTCGCACACCTTCCTCCGTCGTCGTGCGAACCAGCATCAACCACCAACAAACCTCGCCGCAGCACCACCCGCAACCATCAACCTATCACCATTCGCTCCCGCAATTGCTCCTCCGTGCCGTCGGACAGACGTCCGGTGCCCCGATCTTGCTCCCGGCTACTGGTCCACCGGTCCGTTCCGGCCCCGCCTGGGCGCGTTGTCCCCGAGATCCCTCCCAGTCTTCCTGCGGCCGCGCAGTGTCGCAACTGGAGCGCCTGACGGTGGCCCTGTCGCCGACTAGAGGAACCGCAGTCTGCGGCCAACGCGGCGCGGTGTTCTGGACGGATTCGCTCACCCGGACGGCGCCGTGCCCCTTTTCGCCTTATCGCCGACTCGCCGTACGAGATCCCCTCAACGAAACAGAGTAGCCCCCCCCCTCCGGGACGTTCGGCACGTGTCAGAAACGGCATTCCTGCTGGCGACAACAATCATCACCCCCAGTGCCCTGCCCTCCAGCCTAGTGGCTGAGAGATGGTCTAGACAATGGCCTCGTTGAGTAAGCTTGTCCGACTCTTGTTTTGTTCTTTTTAATGCGCCCCCCGCCTGGAGCTCAATCGCATAATATCGTGACCTTCCCTTGGCATCTGGGTCTTTCACGTGCTTCGCCCGAGACCGGTCCTTGTTCTGACGGCTCGCGCGGTGCTATGCTCCGTCGTGACGCCTGAGTGCTGGCAGACGTGGTCGCGTGCCCTCTTCGCTCACATAGACCGTCACTTGACCGACCCTCTTGGGAGCGACTCGTTGAACCAACCTTGCCCTTCTTTCCCTCTTCATACCGGCTTGCTAATATGCATTTTTTGCCCACAGTTGGCAAGGCTCGAAAGGTAAGCGGCGTTGATTCTAGGATATCCTGCAAGCTGTCCAGATAACTAACCGTGCGACGCAGCCCAAATTTGAATTACATCTCAAGGTAAGACGCTGTCGACACGATCTGAAGCTCGTTACTCGGCGCAGCTCATCTTTGCGGCAGATATACGACCTCAACAACGTTCCGTTGGTGTCCGGCAGCTCCTACGTCAAATGGCACCTCGCCCATTCCATGCACGCGGAGCACCGCGGCCGCACCTCCAAGTGTCCTATCGCGAACCACAAGGTCGACTACAGCTTCAGCAAAGTCATCCCCTCTGTGCGAATCTCTATCGACAAGAGCAACAACCTCACAGAATGCCCCATCGAACTGGAGGTTGTGCAGGAGTTTGTCAGCTCCGAGAAAATGGTTCTCGGGAACATCAAACTTAACCTGAGCGAATATGTCGAGGAGAGCGAGGCTTTTGCGCGGGACATTGCGTCTCCTCCTCGGAAGAGAAGTAGTCTGGCCATCAGCCCGACCTCAGCGGCACCAAATGAACCATTGCAGGCGCAAACCGCAGACGATGGGATCGTGAGGCGGTACCTCATGCAGGACAGCAAGGTCAACAGCACACTCAAAGTCGGCATACTCATGATTCAGATGGACGGCGAGAGGAACTACATTGCCCCTCCGCTGCGGACCGCGCCCGTATTTGGCGGCATCGCAGGGTTCATGGGCCCAGAGCAAGCTGAGGACGAGACCGGCCGTGAGTGCTCTTTTTGCCGAAACCTGGCCCCAGCGCTGACATTCCATTCTCCTAGCGCTGCCAAGCATCTCCAAAGGCAGGGATTTGTCAGAGGTTCAGGACTTGTATCGTCGAACCCTTGCCGCATCTTGGTCACGTCAGCCTAGTGAGCTTCCCGCGGACGAGTGCATCGAAGACATCTTCTCGGGCGGAAACGGCTGGAAGACAAAGCGGGACCACAGCGCAGCCCCGGATAGCGACGTAGAGGACGATCTAGACGGCAATCACGGCACCCTCCGACCCAGTGACTTCCGGCGGCTCGCCCTTCAAGACCATGGCCGCCACAACCGAACCAACAGCCACCACCGCCGCACCCAAAGCGCGTCGAGCGACAAGAGCGCCTCAACCGTTACTGGGCGTGGATCGGGGTCTGGCTCTGGCGGCGGTGGCGGTGGTGGGCGCAAGCGTGGTGTTCGTCTCGCGCGTGAAGATAGCCGAGAGGCGCGAGACGACGACGCCGGAAGTATGAGGAGTGGGAGTATGGGGAGTCTGGCGCCAACCCTGGGAAGCAGTAGCGATGGAGATCGAAGAGGCGATACTGGGATGAGGCGGGCAAGGGAGGTGGGAGAGTTCGACCTGAGGGACGACCTGGTGGCGTGGAAGCTGCCGAGTGTTGCAACCTAGGTGAAAAGAGAAGGATGTCGAGGCCATTTCCTCGGCTCGAAGCCTGTGGGAACGGCCCCAACCTCGACATGTTCAGTAGAATAGCGACTTTCGGCAGAGCTGAACTCAAAAGAACATTGATGCATTTCTTCGTCTGGGGGCGTAGCTCAGGGCCTCGCTCCAGTCTACTGTCTGTCTAGCAATATTAATCCACATTGCCACAATCCCATCGTTTTGAATATCCATGTCTATATACCCTGCAGCTTTTCCCGCCTATGCTGGAAGCGACAAATTGAGAAACACTCGCGAATGTCCAACAGGGACGAGAGCCTCAAAGAGCCTCGAGGGCTTACTTAAGGAGCAGTCAGGTTGCCGCGGACGCCGCCCTTGCCACCCACCTCCCGGGCCGTGACGGTGACGGCAAGGTCGCCAGCCACGTTGATCATGACCTCAACCTTGCCGTCCTTCTTGACGCCCTTGACAGCAGCCTCGGCGAGCTGCTTGCCAATCTTCCAAACCTTCTCACGCTTCTCCTCCTCTTCCTCGTCCGAATCAAAGTCGGAGTCGTCCTCGTCGTCCTTGTCGCCGTTCTCGACGGGCTGCTTGGCCTTGGGCTCGGGCTTCGTGACCTTGATGTGCGTGCCACCCTCAACAACCTTGATCAAGACGTCGCCGCCAGCCTTGGGGGCAGCGATCTGAACGATACGGCGCGCGGGGACAGCAGTCTCAGCCTGCATGATGGGAGTGAAGACGTCCTCGCCATCAGCGCCGACAGCGACGACGCCGATAGCATTGGAGATGTGCTTGACGGTCGTGACGCAGGGGTGCGTCGACTGCTCAATGTCGCCAGCCTCGTATTCTTGAATCAGCGAAGCCTGCAGACCAGCACCACGGGCCAACAGCTCCGAGGGGTTGATGGCGATCGGGCTGGTGGCAGGGGCGAGGATCGTGGTCGTCTCCGGGAAGATGCCGCGGAGGTTGTTGGCGATGCGAGGGGTGTGGGAGGTGCCGCCGCACATGATGACTTCGTCAACGTCCAAGACGTCCAGGCCAGCCTTCTTGACCACGCCCTCAACCAGGCGGTTGAAGCCTTCAAAGACCTTGCGACCGACCATCTCATATCGTATTCTGTTGATCGTAGTGGAGAAGTCGATTCCATCCGCCAGGCTCTCCACGCTGAACTGGGCGTTGTTGCCCAGACTCAGGGACTTCTTGGTCGCCTCAGACTCCTGGCGGAGCTTGGCCAGGCTCTTGGCGTTCTCTCGGGGATCGGTGGTGTGCTTCTTCATGAACTCCTTGGCAAAGTGGTCCATCAGAACCTGGTCGAGATGGACACCGGCGAACTCGTAGTCGTGGGCAGTAGCCAGGATGGTGTACATGCCGCCTCTTGAGGCGACGACGGCAACATCCGAACGAGTGCCGCCAAGGTCGGCAACCACGACAATCTTGTCCTGGATGTTGGCCTCGGGGCGAGCATCATAAGCCAGGACCGCGGAGACGGGGTCAGAGATGAGCTGCAGGACCTCGACGTCGGCATCGTTGGCAGCCTTGATCAGAGCCTCGCGCTGCTTGTCGTTGAAGTTGGTGGGCACACTGATGACGGCAGAAGTGACCTTCTTGCCTAGGTAGTCCGAGGCAGAGCCGACGAGTCGTCGCAGGTAGCGAGTGGAGGCCTCGCTGATGGAGACTGAAGAGGCATCCTCCTCGCCAGCCTTGTCCTTGACGGAAAAGGACACCGTGCCGTCGGTATCCTGGGGGTGCGCCGCGGCGTGGCAGTGGGTGGGATCAATCGACTTGAACCTGTTAACATTAGCAAAACAATACCCAATTAGGCCAATCCTTTCGCGCGCAAAACATACTCCTTGCCCAGGAAGTCACGGAAGTAGGCGATTGTGTTGGTAGGGTTGCGGACGAGGAACGACTTGGCTTGCGTGCCGTAGTACTCGTCGCCGTCGACGTAGGACAAGACGGTCGGGATTTGTCGGTCTGTTCATAATCCCTCGTTAGCTCAAAATGACACCTCCTTAAGCGCATTCACATGCTCACGCACCTCCGTCCTCGTTCGCAATCACCTCAGCCTTGTCGTCGACTGTGTAGGCAATGGAGCTGTTGGAATTGCCAAAGGTGATGCCGATGACGACCCGGTCCGCCGGCTCAGGACCGGGCTTGGCGCCCCTGCTCTCAGACATGCGGTGCGAAGTTTGAACAAAGACGTCGTCGGGGGAATGATTGTGGCAGTTTGTGAGAAATTCGACCTGCACTGTAGACCGCGAGTCGGAGGAATCTTTTGAAGAAAGCCGATGATGGGCCTCGTCCAGTAGTGGGGGGTTTTGCGTTCTCCCAAAAAAATTCGAGCAGCGCGGACTGGAGCCCTGCACGCACCCCCGGCGTCTCTCTAATTCCCTGCCAATCGGTGCCCCGCCATCAGCCTTTTCGAGACGCCTCCGTTGCGCGCAGCGATCCTGCACGACGAGGCTGCAAGACTGTCTGGCACAGACTTGGCCCAACGCACCACCCGCCAGCATGGACTCGGAACCAGTGTTTGTTCTCCCAGGGGACGAGATAGATGCATCGCTGGTGCCGTCACATCCGAAGAAGCCTCTACGATTAGGGCCCGGCCTCCGCCATGTGCCGCCCAACGACATCCTCCCGACGCTGGCTGGCCAGCTCGTCACCGACAGGCAAAAGAATGCGATTCGCGTCGAGACAGCGGGTGGACGAGTACGTGTTCAAGCTGGCGAAATATTCATGCCTATTTGCGACTAACGACTGATGTAACTGAGCAGTATGTCCCACGCGTTGGAGAGCTAGTAATCGGCACGGTAAACAAGAGCGCTGCGGAAGTCTACTACGTCTTCCTGTCCGACTACACAGCCCCGGTCCTCCTCCCACAACTATCTTTCGAATCTGCGACGAGGAAAACGCGCCCGATACTCGCACCAGGGGCTCTTGTCTACGCTCGCGTTAGTCTCGCCAACAAGCACATGGATGCCGAGATCGAGTGCGTCTCTGCCACGACGGGCAAGTCGGAGGGCTTGGGACCTCTGAACGGCGGCATGCTCTTCGACATTTCTCTCGGCATGTCGCGGAGACTCATGATGCCGCAAACAGCCCGGGATGGCAAGGTGGTCGTGCTGGACGAATTCGCAAACCTGGGTCTTCAGTTCGAGACTGCCACTGGCAGAAATGGCAAGTTTTGGGTCGACAGCGAGAACACAAAGACCGTAATCGCGGTGGGCAGAGCCATTTGCGAGACGGACGAGAAGAGGCTCGACGTGGAGGACCAGAAGAAATTAGTCAAGAGGTTAATAAAGGAACTCAGCTGAGAGTTCTCGCTGGCTGCTTATTGTCCCAGGGATATGTAATGCGGCTGCACATCGTGCCAATATGATACGCGGAGCGGGCTTCGTATGAACCCCCGCAAGTTAGTTATGTAGACAAACAGACCAAACGCCAACCTGCTTTCCCTGAGCCGTCCATTCCCGCTTGCGATTCCCGTATGTTCCTAATTCTTGTGCATGCCTGACGATGCCATGGTGCCAGTTGCAAACAATATCAACTCCGTCGCATGTCAGTGATGACACCGAGCTAACGCACCCAATCCAGATTCCTCATCAGGAGAAAATATGATACAGTGAGCCCTCAGCGGATCACATTTTTCGCGTATTTCCACTTCGCGGTGGTAGCACTTTTCACATCGCGCCTTTCCCGCAAAGATGTAAGCATCAATAAGATCTTTCAGATCGATGTAGTTGAAACACATGTTTCCGCCGAGCAAGTAGACTTGATCTGACGCTAGGACGCGTCTTGATCAACTTCGATGGGCTCAGGGAGCTGTGCTTGATCCATGTTGTGAATCTTAGTCATATGCCTTTTCCAGTTGTCCTTTCTGGGGAAGGCTCTGCCCCCTGCCCTTGAAAATTCGCAACCCGGGACGGAGCAGTGGAACTTCTTCTTCTTCTCGTGGCGATCATTGATATGCCGTTGGAGATGCGTCTTTGTGCCGAAGCCCTTCCCACAATTTGGATATTGGCACTTGTGATCCTTGCTGTGGTACCGCTGATGATGCCTATCGAAACGTTAGCAGCAGACCTCCGAAGCTGGGAGCAGACTCATACTTGAGCTTGTGCGGCTGGTCAAAAACTTGATTGCAACCCGGCTCAGCGCACCGGAACACTCCCGGCTTCAGCGACGGGAGCACTGGCTGCGGGGAAACACTATGTCTGTAGTCTGAGCTGTTCATTGACGCTGAGCTGGGGCTATCAACCTGCGTCGAAGGCGTGTTATGGGAGGACGGGTTGGTGGAGCTATGCTCGGGGTACGGAGTGGATTGATCAGAAGGGTAGCTTGGATGACGATTAGAGTCAGGCATCGCCGACGGGCTGAGATGATCATGTGCGTCCCTATCGGGCATGAGTATGTCATGGTCGTTGATCCCCAAGTGTGCTTCGTCTGCTGCCACGGCGAGGTCTGTGGCTTGCTCGTCTTCAGGTCTCGTGGGATTTGTGGGTGAAGGAGATGTGACTGTTTGAGTGTAGCCTGCGTCCAATTCTTGTCCGAGAGGCGAGATCGCCACGGACGACTGATAGCTCGACGCTAAAAGCTGCTGCTCGGTCCGGTGCCAGACTTCGGATTCTGTACTGGCTGGCATAATGTCCATGGGATTGACTGTTCCAGGGGCAGGGTGTGCAGGCGGCCCAGAGTGCTTGATCGGTATCTCCGCACCTCGTGCAAGGAGCGGAGACTGCGAGGCCGGGACATTGGTTGGGGAAGGGGGCTTCCCTGGCTCAGGGAATACCATTTCGGGCGTGACCTCGGTTGGGGATTCCGTCGGGTCCTCGTTGGTGACGATCTGCTGAAGCGCAGTCACTGCACCGGTGGTGCTCGTCGTGTTGTAGGAGTCGATGGTATTCTCCCGCCCACTCTTGCGGCGAAACATATGCCGTACGTTGTACCGCAAGGAACTGCTTCGCGAGCCAGACGGCCTTGCCTGGGACGTATCGATATCGAGGTCTGTCGGGGTGGTAACCATGCCAAATGCTTCGGAGGGTATGGATGGGCTGTAATAATCGGCGCTGGTACCCTTGAGAACGCCAGTCTTGTCGTCTTGTACTTCTGATTCGGGCATGTATTCTATGCCATAGGGATAGGCGAACGGTGGCATCTGCAAATCGTACTCGCCGGCGCCGACCCCTAGTGATCGATCCGAGGTCGTCGCGTCCGGACCGGTCGTTACTTCTCCCGACGTCGCATCACCTCCCAGGTGCGCAGGAGGCCCATCGCGAGATGGCCAACCCGAGTCTTTGCCCCGTGTTGCACTGGCATCGCCACGCGGTACATCGCCGTCTCGCTTGAGTGATTCGCTGGATGAAAGTCGTCGGTGAGAACCCAGGTCGGCTCCCGGGGGGCTGCCGGGTCGGGGCGGCCGCCCGGCTTCAGTGTCGAGATGGACCCGACCATTGTGGCGGCGGCGCTTCAGTCGATTGATGATGAAGGGGTAGAGGCAAAGCAGGAGAATGGCGACAGCGACGACGACGCCCACCACAGTCCCTGCGATTGCTCCATCGCTCATGCCCCTCTTAAACAGATGCTCCGTAACCGCGCGGTCGTCCATCGCCTCGCCCTCGTGGTTCAGTCGGCGGTGCGGGCCGCTCGCCGGGCGCGCGATGGCACCCGTAGTCGGAGTTGCTATGCTGTCGGCGGTGGTGGTGTTGGTGTTGGATGCTGTTGCGACGTCAAGCTCTAAGCTCCCCCAGGATGGCGGCTAGACAGTGGGGAAGTGGGAGGCCGCCCACGGGTCGTTGGAGCGTGGGCTCTTCGCAGGGCCGAGGGCGCGGCTGCGAGAGGCGTCACGAGAGAGGCAACTTCAATGACCACTGCGAAGCCTCATAAATATACCATGATCGATGCTTCGGAGGATGAGGAGAGGCAGATCAACGCCGCGACGGGGAACACTGCCAGTCGACTGCGAGCCACTGGTTTGCTCGGCGAGGAGGCGCAGTCAGCCAACGGCGGCGCCTGGTGACGGATGTGGACGCGGCTGGAGCCGGACTCCTCGCGGGCGAGTGCTGCACCCCATCCTGTCAGCGTAAGTACGGGTACATGCAGTAGCGAGTAGTCGCACGGTGCGAGAGAGACACTTTTTGGTGTCGTAGGTATCCGTACTTGGCGCATACCTCGTTCCAACCAACCTGCATTGCCTGGCTTAGTACGCTCGAGAATCGAGACGCGAATGAAAGAGTCACCCGATCAGCGCTGTCAACCCAGATTCTGGTACATTTTACAGTCCCGGGGCTCGGGCTCCCGGCTGGCTCTCACCGGAGCGGTCTGCACGGCGGCACCTGCCACCGCTTCGCTTGAAGTAGTATTATCATGTACCCGTCTGCTAATGACAGGGCCCTCAAATTTGTCGACATCACCAGAGTAGCATCACTAAATGAGCCCCCCCGGGTTATTTAGGAGCAAGCCCCCCTTTGTTGTCAAACCCAAGAGTGCCCACGGTGGCCGGGTCCCTAACAAATGCATACCGCCGCAGCAATGCGCTCTTTTGCACCCCACAATACAGCTGGGCCACCAAGTCTCTTGTTGCGTTCTCTCCACGTGGGCAGTGGTCCAACAAGGCGGAGTATGGCAGTACGTACGAACCTGTCGGCAGCTAAAGTGGGCCATTCTGCACTGGCAGCCAGCCGTGGTGGCTATCCTTCCGCGTCCCGGCAAACAACCCGTAATGAGCAACGCCGCGAAGTTGAGGTGGGCACTTCCGCTGGACCCTGGTCTGGCTCTCCCGCACTGCATGTCTCACGGGATCTGCGTAGGAGTTTGGAGCGCCCTGGCTCAGACTGTTCATTGACCACAATCACGAACAGCAATTGCCGAAATGTCGCCCCCACGGGAATGGTTCAAGGAGAGAGACGCTCAAGATACGCAGTAGGTGCCCAGCAGATACGGACTCCCGACCTGGCAGCCAAAACCGAGCGTTGCGTGTTGCGGTCGTTTGCGCCACCCCATTCGTAAACATCTCCCTCCCTTGGACATAATGTGCTTTGGGTTCCGTACGAGCCACTTTCTCGACCTTTTCGTATGACATGTGGACTTCGAGCGCCTACGTATTACCAACGATCATACTGGCTTGAATACGGAGGCACTGTGACGGCATTCTGGGATATCACATCGCATTTCCTCTTCCGCAAACGACATCCTGCGCCAGCGACCTTGGCCCGCGATCACCAACTATCGGCATCGTGCAACTTGAATTCTGAACCTTGATTATGAGAACAATGACAGTCAAAAGCTTCACTGCTCCCTTCGCCACAAGAGACATCACGATCCAGAATCCTGACTAGCTCACAGCCCCTCCAACGGCCACGTCGTACTGGTCGTATAACACATGGCCCGCTCCAGCTCCCCCAAGACAAATTGCTCTCCACCAGTCCTTGTTCAATCTGCTCTTCACAGCGAGAAGATTCGTCTGCTTTGCACGGCATCGTCCCAAATTTGGGACAAGTACCGCGTTTTGATAGTCGCCCCACGAATGCATCTCATGGCCATGCGATGGTGCATGACGATGATTTCGGCCTGTCGGGCTCTGGTGATGGCTACATTGAGCCTCTGGGGGTCGTCCATGAATCCCGCGGTTGTAGTTCGCACCAGGTCGAGGAGGACAACGTCCGCCTGATTTCCCTGCGCCTTGTCTACCGTCAGGAATTCGACCCTGTCCTGCCATTCACTGGGCCATTTCTTGGTCGATGCCTTGTATTGACGGACGGCAGCACTGTAAGGTGCGGCGATCATGAGTGTGCCTGGGGCTCCTGCCATGTCTTTGAAGGCCTCATCCCGGAGAAGTTTCTCGGCCTCACCCAGGACCCAATGGTGGTGGCTGGGGTTCCAGAAGCTATTCCGAATTCGTTGTTCCTGGCTGTCATTGAGGCGAATGACGACACGGTTTTCCTCGAGGCTATCGACGCCCCCAAGCTTCTCCAGGTGCTCCCGAAGATGGGTTGCACTGGCCGGATATCGCTCGACGTGGCCAGAGATCATTTGTCCGTCGTAGAACATCTTGGACGGCAGGAGATGCAAATTAGCGTAGCCGCGCTTGTTGATGAGAAGTCGGGCGTTGATGGCGTTTGCTGCCTCTGCCCGGGCCATCGTACTGATGGATAGCTGTTCCGCAAATGGGTTGAACTTGTGGCCAGGAATTTCGGCATCGCGCCTTCCCGGGCTCTTCACGAAAGGACGGGTTTGCTTTACGTCACCCGTAAAAATCCAAGCTAGTGGACTAAAAAAGGCAATTGGGATGAGTGTTGTCAGTTCCCGGGCATGCGGAGCCTCGTCCATAAAGATCAGATCTGGCTTGAAGAGGCGTGAGAAGCTTCCGTATGCTGCGACAGGCGTTGTCGCGATGAAGTCAGCCCGCTCCAGCACGGCTCGGTACAGGGTCGACACTTGGTTGCGCAAAGACCGCTAGTCTTTGGTGTCCAGTGCCACACCGCTCTCCATGGTGACAAGAATTTTGTTCAGGGACTTGAAGCGAGAGTCCTTGTTGCGTTCGAAGAACTGCCATGCTGCTTCATCAAGGGTTGGCGCTATTCCGGAGTCCTTGGGCGATGAGGCACGTTGCGAAAGGCCGGCAATAGTCAGAAACTTCTTGGTGAAGTCAAGGTCTGCGGTGCTTTTGTCGCCTGATTTCGTGTGCTCCTGGTTGAGTTTGGCGCTGTTCCGCATTTCGTACGGGAAGCCATGCATCCGAATGACCAGGAGAGGCAGACCTGCAGCATTGCAGAGGGACTGGTAGCGGTTGGCGGCATCATCCACGGTCTTGTTGATGTCCACCAGAAAGAGAATCGGACTGTAATCACGCCTGGACCCAGGACGTCGCTTTGACTGCACCAGCGCCGAGATGACCATGTTCCACTCCGTCTTGCCCGCTCCCGGGCAGCCGGTGAGAAAGTATAGGCCATTCTTGATCTCTGCCAAGCCGTGGAAAGCCTTCTTGTGATCGGCGTTAAAAGACTCAAACTTTTCGATGAGGAGCTTCGGCGTGCCGTGGACGATGTAGGACGGGCTCTTCAAGTGAGGATACTTGCGGAACAGGTCGACCCAGTGTGGCCAATCGCTGTTGCCAAAGTTTCTTATCATCTCAAAGGCTCGCAGAGACGAGTCGCTTGGCTTGAGCTCGTCCAGGCGATGCTCCTTCGTGAGATGTTTGAGCGCCGCAAGCTCAGCCTCGAACGTCAATGGGCAGGTGTCCCATTGGATGGTCATGATTTGGACATGTTTGTCCGAGGACATTATTCCTGACACGTCGCTGATGGATGCCGCGGCCTGGAAGTTGGCCATGAGGTCCAATTCAATGTTGACGCCGTCGCTGTTCTGCCACGATCGAGGCACTTGAACGCTGAAGGCGGCCAAGGCGTTGATCTTGGAGTCGGTAGAGTTTTCGGGGTTGCTATACGGATTCGTGATCCTGGTGGCGGGCAGGTGCACCAAGCTAAAGTTTCCCTCAGGTAGCTGAACAGTGCTCTCCAAGCTTACGGAGAATCGGTCGGCTATGGCAGGAAACGCCAAGTCGGCACTCATGGGCGGTAACTCGACGAGGCAGAGCCAGGTCTTCGTGAAAGAGTTTGTTGAGCCGGGTATCGGGGCCACAATCCAACTTTTGAAAGGATCCCTCTTCTCATTGAGTCGCTTGAGAGCTTGTTCTTCATTGTGCATCTCGATGAGAGTGCCTTGCTCAAGCCGGAAAACGAACTCGGCTGCGTCCGCGAATGCGTACAACGGTGTGACAGCCTGTATCCATGGGAGTTAGCACATGCAGACACTCGCGAGATAGCTCACAAACCTTGGTCGGAATCACCCGCGTCGGGGGCGCCGCGATTGCCGTACTGCTGGCTTTCCCCGAGTCCGGCACGGTAGCCATCGCGAATCGAAGGCGAAGGTGATATGCCTGATGATCTTGGCGGCAGAACGGGGTCGAATGAAGAGATTTTGAGTGTCAGGGAGAAAACAATAAGAGGAGGCAAACTATAACGCGCAGAACTTCCAACGCAATCGAGATAGACTTGGGAATGTTCTCAGGATCAGAGACGCTTGACAGGATGCGGGTAGGTGCAACTGTCGTGCACACTTCAAAGAGCTCAAGAGATGAAGGATTTGACGTTGAGCGACTTCTGGGCGTTTGGCGCAGCTGATTACGGAGCGGTTGAGAATGGGATGGAGAGAGGAGGCGGAGGAGAAGGAGGAGGAGGGAGAGGAGGAAGGAGGTTCTGCTGAGCAAACGGGCAGGCGCTCCTGCCTCATGAGCGAAGCGAGAAAATCAGGCATCCAGTCACCTGACAATAATAACCCATTCACATCCGGGCGACCAGCCGTTTGCATTGTCATTGACATCCGGAAACAATTGGCCCCATTCCTTCCCATTCACTCGCCCACGCGTCGAGCAGCAGCTTGACTCCTAAGTCACACGTGAAATCACATAATCCGTTGTTCATAGAGTCTGCTCTTCCACTTCAGCTGGAAATACATATTTCATGCTATTCTCCGTATCTTAAGGCACCTGGAACATCTGCGGGCCTCCCTTCGAGGGCCCTGCCAGCACCTTCAGCGAAAACATTGTCAGATCTCCTTCGCAATCTACTCCACGCCACACAAGTTCCATCCATCTGCACAAAATGAGTCCTGCGACTGTCGGCAGGCAACAAAAGTACAGAAGCCCCTGAAAAAGGTGGCAGAGGGTCCTGTGGAATGCCACACGACCCTCTTGTTCTCCCTGTGCTCCATACGTCGTAGGCATCCATGGCTTGTTGCAATCGCCTTTGGCAAACGTATGCTGAGAAACCGCCAGCTAAATCGTCAAGTCTATGACGTCGTGATGTGCCTCGAACTCGTCTCTCGTGAGCTCAACAAGATCGTCGTCAACGTCCACGGAGTTGCTCACGCCGGGCCGCACAGAACTACTCACAGACACGGCTGCCGAAGCAGCGCTACAGTTGTTTCCATCCTCGATCGTGATAGCGTTTTCTCTTGGGTTTTGATGTGACGCAAACCCATCCTCCTTCAAAAGCCAATTTTGTATATGTCGGTACAATACGCCAACAGTGTTGGGTGGAAACGCGTTTCCAATCTGCCTCCGGATGCTGGTCTTGTTACCAATAAACTGGTGGTGCCTTGGAAAGCCTTGGAGGCAAGCGTATTCTCGAAGAGAAAGCTCCCGATGGCCGTCCGGGTGGTAGAAATCTCTGGATCCTGTGGTAATCGTGCCAGCGAGGCGGTCGTCAGAGAGCGGAGGTCGTGGCGGATTATAATATTTGACCCTGCGAAGATCCTGCAAGCTGTCGGTGTGTCTGATGCCACTGATTGCCTGCCGAACCGTCGTGAAAGGTTCAAGGCCATCTCTACCCCCATCAGAGTGCGTCTCCTGCGGAAAAGGGGGGAGGCTCTCTCCAGGAGCAGCAGCAATGACCACCAGTCGCTTCCGGTCTTGGGCCGAACCCCAAGTGCACAAACGAACGACTTTCCATCGAACGGAGTACCCAAACTGTGTAAAGTCTCCAATGAGACATCGAAGGTAGTGATGGTGTCGGTCCTGGGTAATTCCGAAGGTTTGCTCAACCGTAATGATGCGAGGCCGTGTTTTGTTGATCAACTCGTTGCACCCAAAGAGCGCAAATATGTTATCATCATCGTGCACGGACTGGTGTGTATGTGCAGGAGAGAAATATTGGCATGGGGGTGACAAGTGCAGCACATCCACTCGGATCGGCTCATTTTGCGTCGACTGGATGAATTGGTCCACCGACATCCCGTACAAGACAGTTTCAGGGAAATTTTGTTGATATGTCTCCCACACGTCCGGAGATTTGTCAACAGCGTACAAGATCTTGAACCCGACTGTCTGTGCGCCGCGAGATACGCCGCCGGCCCCAGAGAAGGCGTCGAACAAGGTATAACGTCGTGAACCTCTGCATGCGTTAGAGAAATGTCCGCTGGCTTCGTCTTCAAGGTCAACAAGGGTGCCAGCGCCAGTGTACGGTTGTTTCTCGTCCCAAGCACCACCTCTGACTCGCCCGCCACGCCATCTGTTGCATAGAGTTTCCTCCGAATGCTTGTACGGATCAGATACCTCCTCAGAGGATAGTCTTTCGAGTGCCTCCTCCTCCGGCTTGCTGCGGCGACCCTGGGGAACGAAAATGACCTTCAACGCCCAACGACATACGAGCAGCCCCAGGTTGTCGTGTCGTCTTCGAGATCGCCCTGAATGTGATCGATCGGGTGGCGTTGTTATCGAAGCAGAGCAGTTGTCGGGATATATCGCATTTGTGTAGATGAGATGGCGTTTCCGGATGGCATCGTGGTAGTAGACGTCAAAGAGCATAGGAGCATCTTCCAACAGTCGCTCGCTGCCTCGCTTGATATGGAGGAGCTTGCATACTTCATTCAACTTCTTTGGAAGTTTGCCTAAGAGGTTCCGCGCACGCGAAAATGGCATCCCACGGAGGACCACGTCTCCGTTCTGTTGCCCAACAATGATCGTGATCTGTAGAAACTCGACGGGATAGACACCAAGCGAACAATTGGCAATTTCCACAACGTCGCCGGCCCTGAAAACTTGACCCCTGACTGCGATCTGGTTCAGGCGATGCTCCCCGCTCCTCAGAACGTCCAGTGACTGAGAATCATCGCCTGTGAGGTCGATAACTTCGTCGCAAAATATGTCTTCGGGGTCGACTTCGAATGCGCCGTCGAACTGATCGCCGGCCAGCGTGGCACTTGACGTAGTGCTCAGGGATCTCTGGCGCACAGTGCGACTGGACCTTCTGTGCCCATTCTGACGCGACGGCATGATGAAGAACTTTGGAAACAAATGTCATCTAAGCCCCAGCGTCTGAATGACTTGGAGTGTTCAAGTTTCATCAACTCTCCATTGGCAATGATAGTTGGAGACGTGACGACAGTCCGTTCCAACTTCGTGGTCGGTGAAGGTGCGCAGTGCAAGCACCTCAGATCGGAACAAAGCTGACGAAGACTTCTGTACCGGAAAGGGTCGGCAGGTATCTCGAGGAAATGGGATGTTCTGATCATTCACTTCTGTGTCTTTTGGCCACGAGGGAAGGAAGTAGGTTGCAGGAACGACGCACGCAGGAGTTGCAGTGAATAGATGCGGGAGCAGTATGAATGGTATCGTTGTGCAGCTTCGTCTTCGCAGGTTGACTGGCAGCTGGCGGTGTTTTCGATGGGCCTGCCGTTGACGAGAGAACACGAGGATGAGAAGTCGAGGGTCTCTGCCAGTGGCGAGTGAATGGGCGACATTGGCTGCAGTTGTATTCCCCGATTTATGAACAGGCACAGCAGAAAACGCAAGGCGGTGGGCAATACTTCGGATCGCGCGATTACGCGACCTGGGAGAACCATGTAGGGACGCCGAACGCAACCCTCCATTCTTTTTCACACATAGTTATCCCGCCAGCTCTGATTCACTGTACACACTAGACGGGCCAGAGCCCCAGGAACTGGCAGCAGTCGCGGGCCCCTGGGGAAAAACCTCGAGCTCCCATAATCAGTACAGCTATCGAGGATTGGAGGACAAACGGACGACACTGAGGGAACCATCTTGCGGCGGAAGGCTGACAGCGCATCTCGCTGCTTGCCGGAAATGCGAACTGCTTCATTCATTGGGCAACCACAACGTCCAGCGGTAAGTCACCTGTGAAAAGCTTGTCCCAAAGCCAAAGCTTGGTTGCCTAGGTGTCTGGCACTCGGCTGCAACAACGGACTGCCATGTGATCTCATTGCACGGGTAACCTGACTGACCAACTGGCTACTGTCAGTGCTGTGTAGTCGGAGTGTTCAAGGAACGTCAAGCACGGCCGAAACATCTCCCGGCACCGGGCGGCACTGTGCGTGCACGGACCACCAAATCGACCCGCCAGCACCAATTTTAGTGCAAACGAGCTCTGGTGCAGCACGCGCCTCGACCCTCTACTTTACGCGTTACGATCTTCGACTTCATCAGCCTTCGCGGGACTTCCTTTGTTCCCATAGTGCGTGCGACCCTGTCGCGAACTGCGGCAGAAACATCTCCAGCCTCCCGCTTGTCTTCGGTAAGAAGCCTGCCGTCGACTTGCCTCTGGCCCATCCTAGCATGTTGATGGAGCGTCCATTCATGCCCTGCACCCCTCGACAGTCAGGATGGATGCTCGCCTTCATTCGACTATTTTCCCTTTTTGCTGACTCGTCCCTTGCAGTCTCCGCGCACCGCTGCCTTGAACTCCCGTACTTCGACTTCGTCACCCACCGGACCCGATATTTTGCCCCGATTGTACTTCACAACAAGAGCCCAACGCGAATCATCAGCTGCACTGGCTTTCTTCACGTCCTCCGGCCATCGGTCGCTGTCAGAGCTCGCGACGGGGGTTATGCTCCGCGAGACTGAAGCGGAACGATGGCGGACTACAACGAGGATTTAGCAAAGTGGTTCGAAGAGCTTCAGAAGCTCCCGCGCGAACACCACCTGCTCTGTCCCAAAATCGGCCCTGACGATGACGAGAATTACAAAAACCTCGAGGATCCCGAGTCCCGAATCACGGTCGACGAGAAGAAACGCAGAATTGAGGATGGAGACCGACGAGTGGAAATCACGTACTGGAACAGCCTCATCTTTGGCTTTGAAAAGAGAGACGCTGGCCAGTGGCTCAACGAGTTTACCACTCGACTAGAGTCTTGCCTGAGGGAATGCCCTGCCTGCGTCCTGAACTGGCATATGAAACGCAAGGCCCATCTTCAGAAGTTTGCCGAGTAAGTATTCGCACGAGGGTTGGCGTCCAGCGCTAACGATCCTAAGGCGATGGAACGAAGAATCCATGGCCCACATTGAGTACCTGCTGGACAAGCTCGACGTTGCGCGAATCGAGCACAATATCCAATGGGCCAAAACATTCATCGAAAAGATCGAAGACAGTGGCGCCGTTTTCAAGAAGGCTCAGTTCGGCCCTCATCTGTCGGAGGTCTTCATCACCGTCTATGAAGCGCTGTGCTGTGTCACCTACATTGGGCTGCCTGAGCAGCGCTCGTCTTTCCAGTACGTCTTTATGCGATTGCAAGGCAAGACCCCTCTGAAGCTGGGCTCTAAAGACCCTCTTCCGGGTATGACATACTTTCTTTTCGACATGAAAGTCGAGGACCGCCGCAAGTGGGCGTACGAAAACTGGAAGGCGGTTGACAGCGCGTCGTTGACCGAGGAGCAATTTGACTGGGCCGTCAGTGGCGGTCTGATCAAAGCAATAGATGACATCAGTCGCAAGGATCTTTCTCAGGCTACCGCAGAAGACTACCTGGATATCGAGCGATTTTGGTGCGGCTTCGAGTGCATTCTTCGAACGCTCACCGACGACTTGATTCTCAGCCGGCTCCGGAGCTTGGAAGTGCGGCCTGGCAATCCAGACATCTACGACTTGCTGTTTCGACATATCCAATCTTGTCGCTCGGAAGGTGTTCTTGTGGCCACTATCCGGATACTCACGTCACTGTTGAGACAGGCCCCCAAAGCATTCTGGGATGCGGTCGGGGACGCAAAGCCGAATGTCATTGCGGACTTGGTTTTCAGTAGCCCTGTCTACAAAGCGCTACTACGTCAATCGTTGGAGAGCTGTTGGGGCGGCATCGACCCGGACAACCCTGTTCCATTTCCCATTTCGTGGATCTCTCCATGGCTTCAGTCATTGCGTCGAGACCACAGGTTTGACGCTTGCGAGGTTCTGACCCATACACTGTTCAAAAATCTCGCAAAGGATGAGAGTATCGGCGAACCGGGCCAAGCAGCATGCGTCCGTGCCGGCTTCGATGCCCTGAGCTTGACGCTCAAGTCCTTTCTTGACTCGAAGGCGAGGATCACGGGCACCACCCATCTATACGCCAGTTCGGCTTTCAATCTGGTCCTTCAGAATAGGGACCTTGTCCTCCGCAATCTCAAGGCTCCCAGAGGACAGCACGAAGGGTGGACAACTTTGAACGTAGCAGACGCTGCCAAGACTGTCCTCCACACAGCACGAAAGCTGGACATGAAAATGCTGTTCGACGAATTTCACGCCATTCATGAGGGCCAAGCGGTCCAGACAACTGTTCCGCGAGATTCGGGGGCCTTTTGGGAATGCCACGTGGAAATCTTCGACATGTCGTCGGATCAAGCTGCTCTTTCAAAAGAAATTCTCTCCTGTTTAGAGCCATTGGTCTCGATCGAGGACATTCGTCCTGAGAAGACTAAGAAATTGAGCGAACCTGGCTTGCATTTCAACAAGACTTTGAAGAGCGTCACAGGCGTCATTGTTCGTGTTCTGGGTCGGATCTCGGAGATGGACACAATACCACTCCAGACGCTTTTCGAGGATCGGCTTCCTGTCCAAATCATCATCGGTTTGTCAGTTCATGACCATTCGGACTTGGGTGAAGCGTCTATGGAGGTTTTGAAAAGCTGGACCGGCGAGGATTCTCGAGACTCGGCGCTGCAGCACATAACTCGAGAGCATGCGGAGCAGACCTTTTCATCCATTATATGGACCATGGAACGGGTCATACGACAGCCTTTCCCTTGGGACCCTATCCGCCCGCTCTTGAACGCCAGTCGCAACGTTCTACAAGGGCTCGCGAATTCATCTTCCGGCCTCCTTCGTCAGACAATTCTTGACTCGAGGAGGGGTGCCATGTTGCTCCGCTGGTGGACCGAGCAGTGGCGATTCGTTTCCAAGTGTTGTCTCAACATTGAAGGCTGGTCGATGGCCATTGACAACAAGACAATGACAGAGTTCTGCCGAGATATCATGGAGCTCGCTGAGGCTCTCATCAAGGAAGACGGACTCATTACCTCAGCCACCGCGGGCAGCAGGGGCCAGGCGGAAGCGATGGCGAGTATCCTGCGGCCCGCAAAGGACAACTTCCGAGGCATGGAGAACATGATCCGCCTCAAGGATCTGTATCTCGTGGATACCACTGTGCGCGTCTTGCGCCAGATCCTCACCCGGCTCCGTGAGAACAATTTAGAGATCAATGCAGCCTCTCGGAAGCTGATTATGGACGCCTGCGTTCCAACAAGCATTCCGGGCCGTTACGTGAGATCAACCAATTTGAACGATCGCCAACGCGCGGAACTTCTCCGCGCACTCGGCCACGATGAGGAGGATGTCCAGATCGTTCAAATCGGCGTTGCAACTCGCGAACCAAATCGCACCCTGGAAACTGCTCAGGGGGGGTCGAAGAAACAGAGCAAGCTGGATGCCTGGTCAAAGTCAGCCGCTGGAGCGTCTTCCTCAGCTGTGCAAACAGGCAGAACCAACCGGTCGGACGTTCTTGAACTGAGCAAATCAGCCGATAGTCCTGTCTTGAAACAGATTGCTGCACGCCAACTCAAGACCGCGGAAAGGTCGAACAAATTAGATGCCAAAGCGATCTCAGCACTCAAAGAGAGCAGACAGAGAGAGAAGGCCGAGAAGGCTCGGCGGGATGCTGAGGCTATCGCGAAGGCGAGACGTCTTCGGGGAGAAACTGTGCCAGGTGAGGGATCTGGCATTCACGGCTTGAGCGTCACCGGAAAGGACCACTCACGAAGTGAGATAATGGTCAACAGCTCTGATGAGGAGTCCGGCGCTGAGAGCGACGATTCGGATGCCGATACCCAGCTCGCTGCTCTTAGCACTGGTGGCGAGAAAAACCTCGACGAATATGAGAAGAGAAAGCTGCAGGCTTTGCGCGACAAGGTTCGACGGCCTGTCAAGAAGATTCGACAGCAGCGCTCCGTCAAGGAGATGAGAGCACGCCTAATCCCGCCCATGGACAGATTGCACAACACAATCCTGGCATGGGACATCTTCCACGAGGGTGGGGAGCCCCCAACAGGTCCCAAGGCATCCGAGGTCGCTACGAAGTACCTGAACCCCAAGGCCTACCAGGAGACTTTCTTCCCACTGCTAGCATCTGAGGCGTGGCGGTCATTCGTTACTGCAAAGGACGAGATAACCTCTCCGCCATTCGAAATGAAGACCGCCGGTCGTGCTAGCGTGGACAGCTTCTTGGAGGTGACGTTTACGATGCTCATCGCGCAGAATCGAGAACGTAGCGTGTCGGAAGGCGACATCCTCTTGGTCTCGGAAGACCGGAGTCCAATCAAGAACCCGTCAGCCAAGCATTGTCTTGCGCGAGTGCATCGTTTGACATACAAGAAGGACGTCGTGGAGATTCTTTACCGGGTTGCTTCTCACGCCAACCCACTCTCGAAGGATCTCGTCAAAGAGAACGTCGTTTATGGAATCAAGATCACAAACATGACGACCATTGAAAGAGAGTACGCGGCATTGGAGAGCCTGCAGTACTACGATTTGATGGACGAGATCCTCAAAGCCGAACCATCACCCATTCTTCGTTACGGCGACGAAAGAGTCTCCAATGCCATGCGGAACTGGGCCCTTAACCGCGGACAGGCTTTGGCTGTCATGGGCGCGCACGAAAATGACGGCTTCACTCTCATCCAAGGGTATGTTGCTCGTGCGACACCAAGGCACTATCGTCGACGTATTTGCTAACCCATTTCAAGACCTCCAGGTACCGGCAAAACAAAGACAATCGTCGCGATGGTTGGCTCCCTTCTCTCAGAGCAACTGTCTCAACCAAATGCGGGCGTTCCCGTCGTCAACCCACTGCGGCCTGCAAATGGGGCCAATACTGCCCGGTCAAAGAAACTGCTCGTATGCGCTCCCAGTAACGCCGCTGTGGACGAGCTTGTGTTGCGGTTGAAAGCTGGTGTGACGACGACGAACGGCAAAACTCGGCAAATCAATGTCTTGCGTCTGGGAAAGAGCGAGAGGATAAACGCGGCCGTCAAGGATGTTACTCTTGACGAACTCGTGCGGGTTCGGCTTGAAGGAGACACCACCAAGGAGAAAGCAAAGGCCGACCGAGACAAGCTGCATGCCGATGCGGCGAGAATCAAGGAAGAGTTGAGCGAGCTCCGGCCCCGGTTGGCCGAAGCTCGAGAACAGGAAGATCGAGCCGTCGCCAACAGCTTGTCACGAAAATTTGACGAACTCAAGAGCCAGCAAATCCACATTGGGAAGCTAATAGACGCTGACAAGGACAGCGGCAACTCGATTGCACGAGAGATGGATGTTCGCCGCCGGCAAGTGCAGCAGGAGATCCTCAATTCGGCGCACGTACTCTGCGCGACGCTCAGCGGCAGTGGGCATGAGATGTTCCGCAATTTGGAAGTGGAGTTTGAGACCGTCATCATCGACGAAGCGGCGCAATGCGTGGAGTTGAGCGCCTTGATCCCTTTGAAATATGGATGCTGCAAGTGCATTCTCGTCGGCGATCCGAAGCAGCTCCCCCCAACCGTCTTGTCCCAGTCTGCTGCTCGCTTTGGCTACGACCAAAGTTTGTTCGTACGGATGCAACAGAACCATCCAAACTCGGTCCACCTGCTGGACATGCAGTATCGCATGCACCCGGAAATCAGCATGTTTCCCAGTCGGGAATTTTACGAAGGCCAGCTACGCGACGGGCAGGATATGCTTCAACTCCGTCAGAAACCTTGGCACAACAGTGAGCTGCTAGGCCCGTACCGCTTCTTCGACGTCGAGGGTGTACAGGAAAAGGGACGTAGAGGTCAATCCCTCGTCAACATCAAAGAACTGGAGGTCGCAATGCAGCTTTACGATGCATTCAGCAAGACGTATGCGGAATGCGACCTTCACCGCAAGATAGGCATCATCACGCCATACAAGGCACAGCTGTTCGAGCTCCAGAACCGCTTCAAAAGTCGCTTTGGCGACAAAATCCTGGAGGCCATCGAGTTCAACACTACGGACGCGTTCCAAGGTCGAGAGTGCGAGATCATCATCTTTTCTTGTGTGCGGGCAAGCTCTACTGGTGGCATCGGTTTCATGACAGACATCCGCCGCATGAATGTTGGTCTCACGCGAGCCAAATCGTCGCTATGGATCCTAGGAGACTCCCGGGCTCTCGTGCAGGGCGAGTTTTGGCGCAAGCTCATCGAGGACGCTCGAAGCCGGAACCGGTATACTCGCGGCGATATCTTGTCCACGCTTCGCCGGCCACTGGAGAAGGCCAAGCCTGGCAGCCTCGTCCCGGCTGCCCCGGTTGCCGTGTCCAGAGAAGTCGAGATGACGGACGTGGTCACGCGTGACCAAGAAATGGCTACAGGTGCCAGCTCAAGCGAGAGACAGGTGGCAGGCAGCGGTGCGGCGAACACGACGCATGCCCCAGATGGAGCAGACGCTCGGCCGGGCTCCGGTCTTCCCGTTATACACAGCTCACACCCGGCAAAGAAGCGGCCAATCGACAGTGCAGGCCCTGGTCAGCCAGGTCCCAAGCGGGTAAGCCAACTGACGATGATTCAGCAACAGAATCACCACTCAGCTAACTCTCGACCTAGGCTGCCAACGATAGGCCGCGCAGCGGGTTGATGGCAAAGTTTGGCCAGAAGCCAAGCAGGCCGCCACCTGTCCCGAAAGACCCGTCGGCCATGTCAGTGCTGGGGATGACGCCGCCGGAACGACCTCCAGCGCCGCTGCCGACGAGCTCCACGGAGAATGTCAAGAAGGAGTCGAACTCATCTCTGCCGACCGTTCCAGCAGCGAGCAACAAGGTACGTCTGGCGATTCCGCGAAGACTGTATCAGGCTGACCAAGGCACCAGCCACCTCCCAAACCCATCGCCGCACCGGTGCGGAAGAAACCCAAGCCGAGCCTTTTCATGCCAAAGAAGCGTTAAATTTTTCAGTACATTTCCAGGGGCAATAGACAGATTTCGGGGGCCTTCAGTATTCATGGCGCATTGTGGAGGAGGGGCCATACGGACGCATAGACGGGGGGAGCATTGCAAGGCGTTACCAAGGTTCAGATCAAATATTTGGGCATGGCATCTTCGCGGGGGTGCATAGCGACGGGGGGGTCAAATTGTTTTGGTAGCACTGTATGAATGAAGCTAGAGATGCAGCAAGATTTCCCTGACTGCGTCTTCTCTCGTGGCCTCTCACCTCTCTACCAAATAGCCAAGCAGGCGTCTGTTAACTGGCGGGGACGGTGAGCCTGCGCGTCGTCACATGCTGGCCTGTGATCTCTTGGGCATTTGTCACTGCGGGCAGCCTAAACAAGGGATTTTGTTTCACGCTGATTGATTCTCTCAGCAATCCTTGCATTGTCTTGATTCTGGCGTACATACTACAAGAGCGAGATTCTTGGGCCACCGCAACCCCTTATAAAGTGTAGTGTTGCTGGGCAAACCCAAGACCGGATGCTCGCTGGTCTCATTCACCGCGCCGGCCTTGACACAATCAATGGGGCACGTTGTTGCTCCATGATCTGCAAGCCGTTCAGCACGACTCCCCATTGTCGGTAATTATGGCGCGAGAGTGTGTCGGCTCCCAGGCTGGCCAGGGGCATCGCGCTGCTCGAGTTTTGGTGGCCATGACCCCTCGGTCGGCAAGTAGGAAAACGAGACGAAGGTCGTCACAGCGTGTGATGCGATGCGGATATGCAGGTGACCACTGCCAGATTTCAGCCGGGTGTGCCCCCTTGCCGACAAGCCGTGCCAAAAACAAGTCACCAGTGGCGTCGGCAGCACACAGTGATGGGGAACTCGCGCGACCATCCAGCAGGCATAGTATTGCCACGCGGGACGGCAACGTCGGCAGGGAGGAATACGTGATGTCTTTTCGACACTCCATCCTCGCAGCCGCCTTTTTGGGGCAATAATAACAGCAAGTCGGGCTGGCTTCGGCCCTGTCCTACCAAGCGACAGCCAGCACGATGACATTTAGACAGGCAACGAGCAAGCGAAATGCCGAACCAGTTGGCTGAGCGGAGCAGATCGTCGCTGACACGGCCGGGATTGGGTAATCGAAAATATACTCGTCAGCGCTTCATTTCCCAGGCGCGCATTTCGCTACGGCGAAGCCACACGTTACCCCGTACAAACGCCAGGTACCTCGCCTCAGCTCAGGTACGAGGTAGCATCATGGGCCTTAGATTATCCCCTGGGGCGCAGTGGCGAGCCTGTCGGGGAGCGTTGGTGGACAAGCAAGGGAAGGAGGCGCCGCCCTGGATGATGGTGCCACTTCGTGGCACCTGCTCTGGTTTTGGCTGGGCGGCAAGGTGGTGATTATCATTACCTGGTCCCTGGGCAAGCCGGACAACCGGGGACTCTTTCGTGCCATGTCACCCGGCCAGCGAACGGTACGAAGCACAGGTTCAAAGGTCAGGCAGGCAGGCAAGTTACTCCGAGCGAAGTACTCCGTGGCCGTCTCCGGACTGCGCACGGCAGTCACGAGCAGTACGCATATCAGTGCTTGCAAACCCAGCCGGAAGGACATCCTACTGGGCAAGGCCCTTTTTTTTATTCCTGCCCGCCTCAGCATCACACTCCAACAATTCATGCTCGGGCTGCAGAACAGGCGCTTCACACGACCATCACACGCACCCGGCCGGCAGTGCAAAAGAAACGACCGCTACCGAATCGAAAGACGACGATGCATGTGAGTCGAGCAGCTGCAGGGTGCTAAAGGATGTGCCACTGGCACCGCACCCCTGTAGCACCGTCCAGGCTCTGTCCAGGAGGACGGCAATGGGATGGCGCCGCTCGCCGGATCCCTGCAGCAAGTCCAGGATGCGCACCCCAACCTCCACGCTGATGCAAGGGGGTTTTCCTTTTTCCCTCGAGAGCGAAAAAGCAATTGGGGGCTTCGGGTAACTTGACCTGTCTCTGCTTTGGTGCCGGGTCGGATCGTGGTTCGGGGCCGACCATGACGAGATGGCGCCGCCCGGTTTTACGGTTGCCAGCGCATCTCGCGATGATTCCCTCACGGTCCAGGGGCCCATGGCCCAGGCGCCTGCCGGGTGCGTGCCCGGTGCCACGAGCTAGACACCAGGAGCCAGGAGCCAGGTTCTGAGCCAGGTCGCAGGCAGGGGACGACGAAAGCACCGCCGACGTCGACGCTAGCCGGGACTGGCGGACCGGCTCATGGATCCCGGGCACTTTGTTGTCAATCAAGAACAAGTGGGAGGAAAATGACGACCGAACTGTCCCGGTCCCGGCTCCATCCCCTCAAATCCGCCCTGGTGGCGCACGCGGGGATTTGCTCAACAAGCCAAGTCAACCCACTGTTGGTGGTGCTAGCCTCTTGAGAACATCTTCGTGCTTCCCAACCCGGTTGCCTTGGCTGCCGATCACTTGCTCTCTCATTCTCTCACTCTCCTTTTTTCTCGGAGCCATTTTCCCAGTCATTATTTTTCTGCGCCTGTCAAAATACAGCCTCTTCATGGTTGTCCTCCTCGTCAATTAGAGAGATCTCTTGAGCTTTGGCCGTTTTTGTTGCCAACCGCACTGGTGGCGTCGGACGTTTGCTTTGGCCCCCGATTTGCTCACTGCCAGTCAGTGTGAGTGAGCTGCTTGCTTACTTGCTTATTATCGTACCCGCGTTCGCCACTCGGTAAAAGAGCCTTGATTGCTGGCCTGGGCTGAACGCATTGGTCAACGTTTTGCGAAGCGTGTTGCTTAAAGCATCCGGGCCCTAAGAGAAGAAAAGGGGCTTTCTTGGGCCACGCAACTCTTGTTTGCGCCGCCGAACTGGCGAGGCCCCAACTTCCCGAGGTGAGACAGGCTCGTCGCTCAGAGAGTATCCACCACGCTGTATGATATCAGTTCTCACGCCCTCCCCCGGCCAGGACGTCTAATCATGCAAGGGCAGTCTTGAATACATCGTGGCTGGAACAGTTCAAGAGATCGGCCAGGGCGGGATTAAACATGGCTCAACCAGCCATTGTCCGGGGTCGCGCCTTTTCAGCGTCGTCAAGACCAGAAGATGCGCCCCGTCTCCAGGCCGCCAGCTCGAATCCGAGTCCCTTCATTCTTCACCGTCGCAGTCACACCGGCTGGGAGACGACGCCTTTTGCCTCGGATACGCTGGCACGCCCCAAGTCCTCGTCCAACTTGCTAAGCACGGACAGTAGCTTTTACGCTGGCGACCTCCACGACACGCTGCTGCTGGGCGAGGCCGCCAGGAGTCGCCGGGCCAGAGATGACATCCAGGCTCTGGTTGACTTCCTGAAGAACCACCCACCCCCACCGGACAACTTCATGTCGATTCCTTATGGCGACTATGGTGAGGATGAACGGGGACGGTGGGCCAAGATCAGGAGGATTGGCAGGAGGAGCAAGTCGATGCCCCGGGAACCGCAGCACATTCAACTGCCCGACTCGGCGGTCTCAGGCGTCACCATCGGCGGCCACCGACACATCGCCATTTCTATTCCTCTAGAAGCCTCTCCCTTCGGAGATGCCGCGCGCTCGCAGTATCCCGTCTACCCGCAGCAAGACCTCTCCATGGGCACGCCCAGCAAGGAAGCTATTCGGACTTACACAAACGAGAAGGGCGTGGTGACAGTCCTGCGGCCTGTTACAGAAGTCTCCGAGCCTTCCAGCGACACTACCTCGAGCTCCAAGCCTTCTCACTATCCCGTTCAACGAAGCGCAAGTCACCGCGTCGGCGGATACCTGTCGCCAGGTCGACGTCTTGGGGCCGACAAGCCTCATGACTACATCGGGGTCCTTCCGACCCAGCTTGACAGCCCCCTCCTAGACGACGGCTCCGCACCCTGGAACCGTGCGCCATCGCGAGGGGAGCCTTCGGAGACGGCACGTGGGCGGCAATCCTGTCAGTCATTTCAGCGGTCTGCCTACCCGGCTCGCGGGTCTAGCATGATTGCCAGTCGCACGATGCAACAACCACTCTCGATTGACGGACTGATATCTCAGCAAGAGCGCGAGCGAAGTGCCAAATACGGCCCTCGTGAAGGCAATTTCTTGGGCTCGAGCACAATCGTCACGAACCACAAAGGAGCTCCAGAAGCCACAGCGAGGCCACCGAAACATAGACCCGCGCCGATACTCACGGGTGGTCGTACAGACGCGATTAATGGACAGGACAACAAGAACCATCTCACTGTGATATCAGACAGCCCAATCATCTGCCGCCGGGACGACTCGCCGCCACCTACACCTGGGTCAACGAAGAGCCGAAAGGACGTCGTACGAGACAGGAAGCGACGTGACATGGAAGCAGTGCGCAGCGCAAACCAGAAGAAACAGGGCGAAGAAAAGGAAACAGGAGGTCTGCCCGAGTCACGCGACGGTGAAGTGCGGAAGCAGACGTCGACAAAGGCAAAACGGGAGCCAGCTCATCAACTCGCGATAAGCAGCGTGATGGTGGTGCTCGACGTCGAGCCAAGCCCGTCCTTCGATGAGGGCCGGAGGAGTCTGCCGCCAAACGCAGCAACAAGTTGCAAAGACAAACGGCGGATCTCAGAAGGTCTCGCAGCGGCATCAGACGATGTCAATGTCCTGACCCCGCCTGTCTCAACAAGCAGCTCGCCACCGCAACAGCACGGCGGGATGGACCGCACTTCGCTGACACGTCGGCGGGAATGGAAGGCAATTCGCGACAAGGAGCGGAACGCGCGCGACGCCGTGCTCCTGGCTCGTGCAAAGGCGAAGCGCCTTGCCTCTGCATCTTCATTCGACGAGAGCCAAGCTTCGCAGACGGACAAAGAGATCATGCGGCTATACGAGGCATACCGGGAGCATCGACTTCGGGACATGGAACGCCGCCTGCGGCGCCTGGAGCGCAACGGCGACGTCTGGCTACGGGCGCTCGTCCCCGTCCTGGACAACATGAACCGCACCATGGCCGCTGCGAACGAGGAGCCGCTGGACGACGGTCGGGACTGGGCGTCGGACGACGACGCCATCAGTGCCCTGGAACGGATCGGGCGCGACGCAGAACGATACGAGATGAAGCGGCGGGCGAGCCTTTCACGTGGCAGGCTTTTGGAGAAGCTAGCCCACCAGAAGGAAGACGACGATACATGGAGCGACAGTGTGACCCGGAGCGACGATATGAGTGGCTTTGGGACGATCGAGCCGTTGATGAGGGAGCTCGCGGGGGAGGCCCGGCGACGGCAACGAGTGGCGCGGCCCCTGGGCATCACTAACGAGGATGCCTACCATGCGATATGAGTGAGCAGACCATCAGGGTAACAGCCGCGACGGCGTACGTTTCATTGGGTATTTCGAAGAGCGTTCTGTTTATTTTGTATTTTTGTGTGTGAATGTCGGATTTTGTCCACGACTACAAAGATCTTGTATCGCATACTAGATATATCATCGTCAAATCTAGCTGTGGTGGCCCATCATCATTGTGTGGCGCAATCATGCTTCAATTGCGACAATCGTCTAATACACGCTCGCTCTGCCTGCTTCAATGCATGGGCGAGTGGGGGTGGTGTACTTCGTAGCCGCCCAGGAATCGATACTTGTAAGTCTTGAGGAACCCGTGAACGGGCATTCCAAATGAGGAAAACGACGTCAAAAATCCGTGTGGTTGGCGCTTCTAAGACGGGACAGGCGTCCCGATGGGCGACTACATGACGTCGACTACCGGGGCCCTGCCATCGAAAGGCGGGCGCTACCGCGAGCACGGACTGCCGCGGCCGAGATCCGGGGGAGCGATAATAAGAATAAACCCAGGCGATACTGAAATGCCTTGTTCTCGCTGAGCATATTCCAAGCTCGTCTTTGTCTCGAGGCAGGTCGCTGTCGCCATTTGGAGTCGCTCGAGGCGTTCGTTACTATACCGGCTTGTCGCATGCATACAGCATTGAGTCTGAACTCTGAAGTAGACCACATCCACCATCTCCAAGATCACAAACCCTTGCACGAGACGGCCAGCGATCGTCGCGCACCATGCCCACCTCGCTGCCCTGGATCTTCGTCTGCCCGGCCAGCCGTGGCATAGGCCACGCACTGACCCGCCGACTACTCCTCACAACGACGCTGCCGGTCCTCGCCACAACTCGGCTCGCAGACACGGGCGTCACCAAGGCTTCTATCCTCGATGACCTAGAAGCCAGCAGAGCGGACAACAGCGAGGATAGTCACCTGTCTCGGCGACTGCACGTCGTGCGCTGCGACGTCACGGACGAGTCGTCCATCCGGCAGGCGGCCCGCGCGGCGGGAGAGCTGTTCCCGCCCAAGACGCACCACCTGCATCTCGCGTGCGCCATACCGGGCGTCCTGCACCCGGAAAAGTCCCCGGCTCAGGTCGAGCCCGCGTCGGCCCTCGAGTCGTTCCAGGTCAACGCCCTGGGGCCGCTGCTCCTGGCCAAGCACTTTTGCGACTTTCTGCCCCGGCGCGCGACGTCAGTGCCAGGATGCCAGGAGCAGCAGGAGCAGCAAGACGGCGCAGCGGCACTGCTAGGCGGACTGCCGAGACACGCGACGTGGTTGAGCATGGCGGCGCGCGTGGGCTCCACGACGGACAACCTGTCGGGCGGCTGGTACTCCTACCGCGCGAGCAAGGCCGCGGTCATTAGCCTGACGCGCAGCCTGGACCTCTACTTCCAGGCGCGGTGCGGTGGCAAGGCGCTGGCCATGGCGTATCATCCCGGGACGGTGAAGACGGAGTTTAGTCGCGAGTTTTGGGGCAACGTGCCCGAGGGCAAGCTGTTCAGTCCGGAGTTCGCGGCAGAAAAGATGGTGGACGTAATTCGGGGCTTGAAGCCGGAGCAGAGGGGCAAGTGTTGGGACTGGAAGGGCGATGAGGTACCGCCGTGAGGGGGGGAAGACATGGAGATGTCTTGCCGACACCAAGATCCACGGCTTGATATCTCGTGGGACGTCAATCGTCCTGTATATATTATTCTTCAAGAGCTGAAACTAGAGGCTCCTACAACTCGACCTCCTGAAACGAGGCTCCATCCGGCGTTCCTGATGGCTTGCCGTTCGTCTCACCGTCTTCGTCCTTGTCATCCTCATCCTCACCCTCCTCGCCATTGGTCTCGTCGTCCTTTGAAGGTTCTTCCTCTTTCGGGCGGAGAGCCACCTTCTGCTCCTCCATATCTTCAAGGCGCATCTTCTGCTCATCAGGCAGGGGGCTCTTGGCTTTCTGTTCGGGCTCCGTTGGCTCCTCGTCGCTCGGCTGCGCCTCGTCGCCCTTTTCATCTTTGTCCTCTTCCTCCGGCTTCGAGCCCTGCGCCGCGGGGGTCTCGCGCGGAGCCTCCTCTTTAGGCGGCACCGGCGGTGCCACCTGCTCATCGCTTGGCGGACCGGGTCTCATGGCGTCAAGGTAGAACTTGGTCACGCCCAGGATACGGCCATTCTTTTCGCATGCGTCGACCCACTCGGGGCGAACGACGGGGATGTTGTTCTCGACGGCCTTTTCCCATGCCGTTCCCCGGCCTTCTGTGGTGACAAAATGGGTGGTGTCGATGCGCACGCCGTCGACGATCTTGGCGCCGATGCGCTCGACAGCCTCGGTCAGGTTCTCCTTGATGGCGCCAGGCAGGATTCCTGTCGTGATCGTAATGCCGCTCAGGTCCGTCATCTTGTGCGTCCTCACCGTCACCTTCTCGCTGAGGCGCGTGCCAGCGCTCGTCCGCAGCACGAGGTGGAACGTGTATTCTGTGTCGACGGCAAGACCACTGATCTTGGTGCTGTGCATCTGCAACGGGCGGGGGATATTCCCAGCCTTCTGCCCATTGCGGTACAGGCTCAGAGATATTAAGTCGGCCGTAGCAAGCTCGATGGGGTCCCACTCGAGGACGACGGAGGTTTGCGTGGCATTGCGGCAACGCAGGACAGGGGTCGCCGGCTCAGAGGCGCCGAAGGAGTTGAAGATGCGGTCTTGCAGGGCGCGGAACTTTTGCTCCTCGGCGGTCTCTTTGCTGCTGTTCTGGGAGACGTTGATGTCGACGATGCTGCCGGAAGAGATGTTGGGCGGGAGGAGGATGGACGGGAATTCGATCTGGGCAGGTTCTGCTCGTCAGTCACGGCGGGCCAATGCGGTTTGCTTCAGTCGCGACTCGGCGGGGGTTGTACCAGGCGCTTGTCCGGCGTCAAGAGCACCGTGACGCCGGCGTCGACCTTGCCGACGGTGAGGGAAACGAGCATGCTGGGCTTTGTCGCAAGCTGGGGCTGGGCGACGATAGCTCACAACGGTCGCGGCGATAAGGGGTCGGGCAATGGCCCAGACAATGGCTCCGTTTTCGTTGTACGGAAAGGAGTAGCAGAGACGTGTCGGATACAATCGCAGGCGCTTGGTGGCTGGCGGTTATTTGCGCTGGAACCGTGATAGGGATCGTTCGGTGGGTTTGGGGGAGCAAGCATGTGTGCGCGGTCGACACGTTGATCGTTTGCTCGGTGGTGGTGGTGGTGGTGGTGGCCGCACAGCCTGGTTCGTTGACTGGCCTGGGTCGCAGCTCCCACCCCCCTGACAGCTTCTCAGCCACACTTCGAAGCTGTGGTGCAAAGTAGGCTACCCTGTAGCGAATCTTCCCACCAAATTTCGAGCTTGAGGTCTTCCACCACGAATAGCGCTTTTCACATCAGAAGAGATAGGTCATATCCGAAACGTTGTTCTTTAGTGCTGTATCAGCATGCGGCGCTGTTGGATTTTCTCTACATATGTTGGTTACTGCGTCGCGTACCATCTGGCATCCCAGCGTGATCGTCATTGCGCCGTTGCTAAAGTTGAACTTTAGGTGTTTCGGCTATCGCAGCATTGCAAAGTAGAACAAATGAAATGACCTTCACGAACGCGTGACTAGTTTACTACCCGCTGTGTCGTTCCGCCTGCAACTTCTTGTCTTCTTCCTCGGTCTTCGGAACCTTTACCAGGCTCGATGCCACGCTCGCGTTCAACTTGCGCAAGGCCTGGTACGTCAAGTCAGCCCTTCAGTTCGCTGAGCTCTAGTAAGAATTGGCTTCGTGAAAGTATACTCACCCCACTGATTCCGCCCTCTTCGGGGAGCTTGTCGTTCCAACGATCCTCGACCTTTTCGATCTTGCCATCCGACCCAACGTGGATCTTGAGCACACTATCCATGACCTGCTCCTTGTTGATGCCTTTGAGGACATACTTGTTTGTGAGCGAAACCTCGATCGGATTCCCACCCGAGGTGACCAGGTGAGACTGAATGGCGATGGGGTTGAACAGCGATGCCAATCCGTACCACTGGGCGGCGAATTTGTCGTAGCCTTGTGCGTAGGCGATGGGATCCTGGAAAAGCGCAGTGGGCTGCCAAAGCGACAGATGCTTGAGGGACGGGCGCCCTTCGAATAGCTGTGAATTGCAGGTCAATCGAGGCCTGCACATCCCTAGAGCTTCATGGACCTACATCGAGAACAGAGCCAACAATGACCTTCTGCTCGTCGCTGAGGCTTTGTTCATCAGCGACGCTGATGTTCCTGTTCTTGATCCCGATCGAATCAAATGTCGGCTTGGTGCCCTGGGCAGCCGTCGCGTACGTCGCCATTTTATTTCGGAAAAGGCACTGGCCGTGCGGCTTAATTGAAGTATACAAAACTGGAGAGCGGCGTGCAATATGTATCGCCGACGGTATCATTTGAAGCGGTGAAACCTCAGATTATCTTGCATACCCTCTAAAAGTATAGAAGGAGCAATGTTCGAGCTGACAACATGGTCGCTATGTATATCCGTTGAGTAGCGTGTTGACCGTCGCGTCATGTGTGGTAGTGCCGACCGTTGATGATGTCGTTGACTCTGCCGACTCTCCTGACGTCATGATGCTGCGGGCAGGCGCTCTACGACTGTCGGCGGCGAGTCGCATTCCCTAAATGCGACACACAAAAAGAACAGGATCCATTAATTGAGACTCTGAATGATGTGGAGGGGCAGGCATATACTATTCGGTGACGACAAAGCACTGCACTTGCATTACATGGACTGCCAGGCCACGAGCTGAGAGGAATTGACAAGAGGCCATAAATGACAGCAAAGCGCATCCAAAAGACACGTATTTTTGCTATCGTATTGGAAAGCTTGTATTCTGTCTACTCGAAGATGTCGTTTTGCGCACCATCCATGAAGCCCATGCGCTGATTGTACGTTGGTGATTGACCGTTGGGCGGGTCGACGTTGTTTCCCTCGGCCTCTGCCATGTCATATTAGCGACCAGTCAATCTCAAGATTATTCCCAAGGACAGTTCCTAGGGGCATATGACTCCACTCACGGTGCCAGGCCATCATCTGCTTCGCGCCAGTGACACATTTAGACGGTTCGTCCTTGCACCAGACCGGTGCCTTGGGCTTCGCAAGCTTCTTGCTCGAGTTACTGCCGGTAACCTTGCACCGGTGGTTTTGCATGTACATATTTGGCTCGCCGCCTGCAGGTGGTTAGCTTGCCAGTATTGAAAGTCGGATGGCCTGAGCACGTACAACCATCGGGGATCCAGAGCCACGCGCAGTAGCATCCCTCCTCCGGGCAGGCAGGGAGGTCCGCAGGAACGTCGTACCAGGTCTCGCGAAAGAACGGAGTGCTAGGGAATGTCAGCAACGGCAGCGGCCACCAGGCGTGACGAAGCAAGCTTACTGGTAGCGGACGGAGAAGACGACGAGGTTGTCCATGCTGACTTTGGACAGGTCACTCTCATATGAGATTGCCCATGCGGTCCCGCCCGTCGTCTCAATGCTATGAGTGTGAAGTTCTCCGCCCTTTTTGTCAGGGTTGTCACCCAGGCAGCCAGGAGGATCTCCCGGTCCACGCCAAGGCATCTCGCGGTTGTCGCCATCTTGCCACTTGGTCGTCTTGCTGCCCCCATAGGACAGGGTTGTGAAGGCGCGGTTGTTGGCCAGCTCTGTCATGAAAGACTTGCCTGCCGGCAGTTCGAGGAACTCGCCGTTAGGGGGTGGGACTTTATCACAGCCGCGGTCTGCTTGCATCCACCACTTGGACTTGGGCAGGTCATATAAGGGTCGCACTGCGAGGTTGGTGTTTTGGTCGTCCACGTTTGGATCATTGCCTCCCTAGATTCTGGCATGAGAAACGCGACGCTCCCTGAAGACGGCGTGGAGAGCTTGGACAAACCTTGCAAAACATGCCCTTGTTCCAAGATGCAATATGGGCATGCGCCGAAGTGGCGAGGGCCAAGAGTGCAATGGTAGGAAGCATTGTGGTGTGGTAAATGGGCGGCACGAGCTCTAGAAGCGCAACCTTGAAAACAGCCTACGCGGGATCTGCCTCCTGATACCTTGAAGACAATTCTTGTGACTCTCCGAGAACTTATACTCGTGTGTCTGATCTAGCCCTACCTCATCCAGTTCTTCCGCGTGGACACACAGGGGACACATGAGCCCAACATTGACGCCCACCGTCGTCAGACCAAAACGACCCCGCGAATCCCACTCCTTCCATGGCACGTTGCGAAAGAAGCCAAGCTTCAAGATCACCCTTCATATCCTCACTTGCCCCGGCTTTTGCGCAGCGGACCGTCGATCAGTTAGCACTAGACTGTTTGCCGGCCGCGGGCCGGCGCCTAAATCTACGCTGGAACGCCCGGTGTCCTTAGCGCTGGCTGTCAAACGATGAAACAGTAAGCCCTGCAATGGCACCCTGGGCAGTTCATTCCACGAATGGGTATCGCAATCGGCTTGAGCTGTTGGTGGAAATAGGAAACTTCTGATCCTTTCGTTAGTGCGACCGAGGCTAGACCGAAAAGATTGAGGATAATTGTCTTGTGCCCCGACAACATCTCACCAGTAAGAGATTACTGACCGTAAACTTGCTTTCTAGTTGCTTTAATGACTTGGATCATGGGCGTGGTATCGCTGACTGCAGTGGACATCGATAAGGCGGAAGGTGATGATGTTCCGGAATAGTCCATTCACTTCAATGTTCCCCATTCAGAACAGGGCTCGTCTTGGCCATAGACAGCCGCGTGCGCTACCAAGACATGGCGCACTGCCCTTGCTCATAACACCACTTGCCGTACTTGTCAAAAGCCTTGAGATCCCAAGGCATCGGTCGAGTTTTTTTCATCCAATCCTGCCAGGCAATGACCGCAGGATCAGCTGAAGCCCTCATCATTTGGGAATATTCCCAATAGTCAGGGAACCAGCCGGCGGATTCCCAGTCGAGAATAGCAACAATGCAATATCGCTCATCCACTATTATATTCCCGGGCCAAAGATCACCGTGTGTGAAAACCGAGACACTCGACTTTGGAAGATCTTCTAAGAGCTGGAGGGTATCTTGGTAAGAAAAACGCTGATAAAAGGGACGAACCTCCTCAAAACGAGAGGCGTTCCACTCTCGTAGGGTCTGATCATCTAATGTCGGCGGCGGATAGTCGGTCCCAGTGCCAAGGAGATAGTCGCGTGAAGGAGAACCATCTGCAGTACGGTAATGGCCCTCCGCTAGGTCCTCAGGGCGTGAGATAGTCCGGATCTGGTCAATAATGTTTCAGAGGTTTTGACAGATACGATACTTATCGTCGTCATGGCCCAATTCGCCTCATACTGAACGCAATGTCTTCCCCGGAATAAAGTCCATAGTGATTTCGCCAAAGACTGACTTGCCCTTGTTGAATCGGAAATGCGAGCCGTGAAGCATTGGAACTGGGATGGACGGCGCGTGCGTATAGACAAGTCGGATCGCCGTTTCCTCTACGGGTCGGGCCTTTATTCCTTGCTTCAGAACAATTGTGGGCTCAAGCAAGGAGACTATGCACGCCGGCTGAGTTCTGAGCTCGGGTTTGCGACACTTAGGTTATCTGTAAAGGTTAGAGAAGATTATGGGTTGGACCATTCGTTCTCACCCATGGTAGCGAGGCTTGCACAAATATTAGGCAAGGGAGAATGTTCGTGGAGAATGCTCGTGGTAGATACTTGCGGTGGATTTATCTAGTAGATCCCTCAGGTGAAAAATTCGCAGGTGATGATTCATGTTCCAGGCAACACCAGGGACAAGTGATTCGTGTTAGAGGTTTAACTTTGAAGTAACACTGGCGGCTGCCAGCCACAAGCCCAGGTGCAGTGGGGCTCTCCTACTCCCCAACTGTCGTTGCCGCTTTTGCTTCCACTGCCGCTGTTGAACAGTTCGCAAGGAATGCAGTTTTTGCAAATAGGTCGATTTGAGAGAATAGAGGCGCCGAGACGCCCCTGATCCACGGCGTCCACCAGCATACCGCCGAGTTGCTGAGCACATGGATTCGACGTCTGAATTTTTTGTAGTTGCGCTTCTGGTAAACTCAATATTTCTGTCCTGAAGTTCAAATACGGCCCATACTTGCTATAAGTATCCTTTTACGAACGCAACGCTCTAATCAGGGGCGCGGGGTTCTCCAGTAAGGTCTGACTCCACGCAACCACCTCTTCGCTACCCAGCGCTTTCCCCAAGAGTCCCATCGTGAGGAAGCAAACCAGCATAGACCAAGCCCGCAGCTGGAAGACGCCGAAGTATGACACGTCTGGTAATTCCTGCCCCCGCCACTCGCTGTCCACGGGTAGGACTTGGATCAGCTGCGCTGCTATTCCGGACGTACACGCCCTGGATGCTCCGAGATGGCACGCTGTGCAAACGACTCCGGGATTCTCGTTCACCTTGCACAGGTAGTGGTGTACCAAATCGTTCTTGCAATAGTCGTATGCGCTGCCAGCGATCGGGACAGTCTCCAGGCGTTTCCTCGTCCACACAAAGCTGACATCGAGACATTGCTCAAGATACATCAGCCAGTACACAAGGCGCCTGTGCCACATCTCGACGGGAAAGTCCATGGCGCAGCTGCATGGCATGTCCTCAATGCAGCTCTCCAGGTACGCCCTGGCCTCGGCCGTGCCCCAGGCGCACTGGCCCTTCCTCACTTGTGCCAAAACTTCGCATGGCACAATGGGGCAGAAGTCTTGTTGAATCAAGTCCCCAAATGCAGCAATGCCTGCTTCCTGTGACTGCATTCGTGGATGCATAGAGACAGCTTGAGATGCAGAGATCTACGCACCTCTAAGGTGTAAAAGTTTCTTGCGTTGTGCACTGTGGCACCCCCAAAGCTGCATGTAGCGCAGCACTCAGCTATCGAACCGACCGATGTGTCTGGTTAGATTCCAGTCAAACAATACTTTGGAGACGAGGGAAATTAATTAGCAATAGCAGTTTCCTAACAAAACAATAGCTGACAGAAAAGCCGAGTAGCGCACCATTTATACTAGATTGTCATGCATCAACATACCGGGCGCTGACCGTAACGACAACGGCAGTGGCGGGAGGTGAAGCAAGTACTGATACTGTGGTGAAGTCATGAGTGGGTTGGTGTACACTCCCAATGGTGAGTCACAATCAAAATCGTAGTCTATGATGTTGTGGTGTAGGATTTGGCGACAGAAACGTCCCCGTACCATCGTGGTGGGAAGACGATATTGCTGAACAGGTGTCAGGACCCGTGGCCAATCCCCTCAGAACAAGATACCCCGTCATGACACTACATTGCCCTCACCTCACCTACATCCATAAGCCTTACTAAGACAGGGAATGCGATGAGAGAAGTGGCATTTCTCGGCTTCTAAATGCCAGAGATGTTTCCTCGGCCAGGCTGTCAGGATTAATGAGGCCAGCCACGTGTATTGGGTAGACGACGAGATGACCCATCTGAGTGGAAAAGGCGTAGAGGGAAAGAGACTGGGTAGTGCTATTTGTAGAGCCAACTTTTGCTAGCTATGGAGCCCATAGGAGCAATAGCAGCAATAACGACAGCAAGAGAGCAAGGACAGCAATAGGTAGCGCGCCGCTGCCGTCCCATGCCTCCGCCAATGCGCATGAAAATAGCTAGGGCAGCATAAAGGTAGGTAGGGCGCTGCTAAGAAAAATCTAGGACGGCTCTACAACTAGCAAAAGTTGACTCTACGAATAGCACTACTCAACACAATTACGGCATGCGGCGATGGCGTTAGAGGCTCGTGACGACGAGTTTGAGCTTCGTTCAATGGCGAGGAACAGAACCTATGTTCGATTATGTGACAAAAACACTCCAGTACACACACGTGCCTCCGGGAAGCACGTTGTTTCATTAGGTTGATGCATAGGAAAGCCACTGTACGTGTCCGCAAACCAGCGAGCCATTGTTTGCGCGCCCTGCACCTTTCGTGAGGCCATCCATCCCAAACCAACAAACCTGTCATAGGGTGTAAGCTGGATAGCAAAGCAGGTACCGGCATGCTGCGAGCCGCATGTTAGTCGTCTGCGAGGCAACAAAGAATTTTCGCGACCGAGGGAGCGCCTGGCGGCTCCACGGAATGAGGCCAACCTGGTGGACGCTGATCATCAACACAGCCAGCTGGCGCAAGTTGATATCCAAAATGCGAGGATTCGCTGTCTCGCAGTCGCAGTCTTAATTTGCTGACTCGTATCGGTGCGCTGGCGAGAGAGGGCGCTTCCATTGTAGCGGCGGGTCGAAACGCCCTCCCAAGACACGAACGCGCAAACCGCGCCTGTAATTCATGCCACGACGCCCTCCAGCAAACGATGCCCATCTGAATGTTGAAATTGAATTCTGCCATCCGACTTGGCGCCGCAGAATGTAATGCACCCTGAATCGGTTGAACGCACGCTCGGCGTGACCGTATCACCCGTCGATGGATCTCACTACTACCACGGAAGAGATCTGGCCCTCCTTCACAAGTGCCGTCCCCTCCCATCTTGGCATGATACAACTGTCGAATCTTCGATTTTGGTTCTGCGGAGCTCTGCAGACTGAGCCTTAAGCCCGGTGTTGTAGTAAGTTTAGATCCGGCTTCCATCCCTCCCACTTGCGACATCCATGGAATTTGAACAAATGCTGCCACATATGATCCTTTCTCGAAAAGCTCCGATCCTGGACCGCGCGCTTCGAACAGGCTTCGAACTCATGCGATTGAATGTGCTCCTCGCTGGGGGAGTCTTGGCCACAAAAAATGCACTCCGGTTGGTCATGGCCAAGGCGCCACAGGACGAAAGGCTGACCTTGAGGTAGGGGCACAGCGCAGATCCAGGAGACGTCTCCCGGAGCGTGGACAGATCTCTCGTGTCGCAGCCAGTCGTATTTTTTAGAGAAGGCACGTGAGCAATACCCGCAGACAAACGTTCGCGGCTTCGACTTCCTCGCTCTGGAGGACGCCGGGTTCGTCCATGGAAGTTGGGATTGATCGTCGAAGCTCCGTGCCGAGTGCGCGGCATCACTGTTGGCAGAGCGATGAGAGTAAGTCGACGAGACAGATGCTTCGGACGAGTACTGGTGCGCCGAGGGAGCGAAGAACATGGAGTCGTCGCTGGCGGACGAGCCGAGGATAGTCGTGGTGAAGTTGTCGGTTCCCTCTCCGAGCTCTCCCTGGTTGACGCCAGAGTCCAGAGCATTCTGAATCACGGACTCTGAAACAGGCTCGCTCTCTGGGGGAGAGTGGCGCCATCTCTCAAAAGGCGTCATGCTCGATAGCAAGGATCGCGGCATTGGCGAACCGGCTCGGAAGGTGGCATTGTTCACCATCGGCTGAGTCGAGAGCCGGTGCCGGCGACGGGCGTTGGTGAACCAGTTGATGACTTGGGTTCTACTCAGACCAGACTGGTCGGCCAGGGCCGACTTCTCGTCATCTGTTGGGTAGGGGTGCCCCAGGTTGGCAGAGAACCAGTCTCGAAGGACCTGCGTCTTTCGGACGGATCGAGAGCTGGATCTCTTGTTCGAGACTGTGGCCATGGGCGCTGCAGGTGCCTCAGCGATGGTGCCCGCGATGGGCTGGGTCCAAGACGACGGGTCGTCCTCCTCGTTGACTCCGTGCAGCTGGCCAATAACGGGCGAGGTGGTTTCAAAGTGCGACGGGTGTCTCTTCGAGCGCTCGGCGAGACTGCACTGCCGAAACAAGGCCACACAGCTGGAGCACGAGTGGACGGGGTTGGGATTGGCCGAGGTTGTCTGCAGCATGAAGCACTGGAGTCGCAGTCGTCGGCAGTGCGTACATGGCTCCGGAGGCCGCCATGCACCGTTCTTGAGGAAGAACTCTGCCATGCCCAAGTGCTCCGGCCGGCCGCCAAGCCCCGGCCCGGGAGGCAGGACGGTCGTGAAGTCGGATGCCTGAAAGCCGAGACTCGGGTCGATGGGGTCGAAAGCCGACAACGCTGGCTGGAACGGAGGCATTGTCCCGGAGCCGGCATCGTCGTCGGTACCAAAAAGAAACGTGTCAGACCAGTCGAGATCGGCTACACCGGCGCCATGCAGGCCAACATCGTCCATGCCGGGCGTTGTCGTCGCGCCCTCCGGGCCCGAAGCGGGCACAGCGCGGGGCTCGTCGCCGGTCGCATGCCCGAGCGGCGGCCCAGCGGAGGAGCCGATGTCTCCCAGGAAAAAAGCATCGTGCAATGACATCTGCACCGAGTGGCGGCGGCAATGCGGACGGGCCGAGCTTTACATGATACTCCGCAAGGATACCAACATGAAGTTGTTGTCGAAGGCGAGATGTCCGGTGCCGCAGCTGCTCCGGCTCTGCGGCTGGTGACTGATCTTCTGGAAGCTGGGCCATGTCGGTTGCGCCTTACCCAGCGCCCGGGCAGTTGAAAGCGGTTTAGCGGCTTTCCTGACGGCTTTTGCTGTCGTCGCGCGAGGGGTGAGCGTATTAGAAAGCACCCAATGCCAGGCTAGCCCTTTTGCGCCATGGCGGGCGCTCAACTCGACGACATGGAGCACGTCTCCAGTTGTACTTCGTACCTGCTGCTCTCACTGTGTCGAGAAGGCGCCTATGCTCCAATAATGTTGGCGGAAGGCGCGTGGTGTGCTGTAGCGTCTCCGGCACATGTTGCGCAGTCGCAAAACGAAATAAAATAGCACCGCTTGTGCGTGTGAGCTGGCTTGAAGAGCGTATGATCCCCCGGCGATTGAACGTGAACGATAGGGGGGCAGAAGTCGCCAATGCGTATTTAAAAGGTTCATGGCCTCGAGCGAATTGCGGGCAGCGACCTCGTTTCAAGTTCCAACCATGGGCTCCATCGCCCAACACCACGCTGCGCCTACGTCACTCGCCATGTCTGCGCTTCGCCGGCCCCTGCTCCTCAACGATGCCGCTCAAACTTGGACGGCCCCGACAGCCCTCACTGCCGAGGAGAAGGATGCCATTGACAAGTTTCATGGCCAGTTCCCTGGAGGGCCGACCAGGCTAGTCCGCTTGGACGATGTCGCCCGCGAGATCGGCGTGGCGGCAGTCTATCTCAAAGACGAGAGCCACAGGTTTGGCCTGCCGGCGTTTAAGATTCTCGGCGCCTCCTGGGGTACATACCGCGCACTCGTCAAGCGACTCAACCTTCCCATCGTTACGCCTCTCTCTGCCCTCAAGGAGGCTCTCGCAGCCGATACAATCACCCTGTATGCCGCGAGCGAGGGCAACCATGGACGAGCTGTTGCTCGAATGGGCGCGCTGCTCTCCATCCCTGCAGAGATCCACGTGCCTCATGATATGCACAGGACGACCAAGGAGGCGCTAGAAAGTGAGGGGGCCAAGGTCGTCGTCGGCCGCGGAACGTATGATGACGCGCTCGAGACGGCCAAGAGGGCTGCCGAGGGTGAGGGAGGTTTGTTGGTCCAGGACTTTTCGTTTGAGGGCTACGAAGACATCCCCAAGGTATGTTCAATGCAAGCCACTCGGACATTTTAATGCTAATCATTCATAGTGGATCGTCGACGGTTACATGACAATGCTGCGAGAAATCGACGTGCAGCTCAAGGACAGCCCTCCAAGCCTTGTAGTGTCTCCGGCGGGAGTCGGCTCCTTTGCCCAATCCGTTGTCTCCCACTTCAAGCAGGAAGGAAGCCACACAAAGGTCATGACGGTCGAACCCGACACGGCAGCTTGTGTTTACAAGAGCATCCGCAAAAACGAGCTTGTCACGGTGCAGACATACGCGACGGTCATGGCTGGTCTAGACTGCGGGACACCCTCGCCTATTGCTTGGCCTATTCTCAAAGCTGGCGTCGACGCGTGCTCGACAGTCTCAGACTGGGAAGCCCACCAAGCCACGGAATACCTCAAAACTAGAGGCGTGTTCCCTGGGACGTGCGCTGCTGCACCCCTTGCCGCTGTTCGGCGCTTAACAAAGGGCGACAGGGCCAGCCTCGGGCTTGACAGCAGCTCCGTGGTGGTGCTGCTGTGCACTGAAGGTACTAAGGAGTATCAGATCCCGATGGATGTGTCGATGGATGATGCCGTGGAGCTGACCCAGGCTCTTGTCCGCATCAACTCCGCGAACCCATCACTCGGGTCAGTTCCCGGCCCTGGCGAATCTGAAATCGCTCGGTACATCGGGGCGTGGCTGGAACACCGCGATATCGAGACGCACTGGATCGAACCCACCAAGGGCAGGCCTTCGGTTGTAGGCGTTGTGCGTGGCTCGGGGGGCGGTAAGAGCTTGATGTTCAACGGCCACATCGATACGGTGACGACCCTTGGGTACGACGATGACCCCCTAAGCGGCGAGATCAGAGACGGGAAGCTTTACGGCAGGGGCGCGGACGACATGAAATCTGGGGTCGCCGCCGCCCTGGTGGCACTCGCTGGAGCGAAGACGCAGAACCTAAGTGGCGATGTCATTTTCACCGGCGTCGCAGACGAGGAGGCCTTGAGCATCGGCACTGAGCAAGTCCTCGAGGCTGGTTGGCGTGCTGATGGCGCCATTGTCAACGAGCCGACGGCTGAGGTAATTGTCCACGCCCACAAGGGTTTCGTTTGGGCCGAGGTGGACATTCACGGCGTCGCTGCCCATGGCTCCCTCCCTAGCGCCGGCGTCGATGCCATCACGAGAGCCGGCTACTTCCTGGTGGAGCTGGACAAGTACTCAGACAGACTCCGCCAGGGATGGGACGACCCTGTCATGGCGCCAACCGTCCATGCGTCAACCATCAAAGGCGGCGAGGAGCCGTCCTCGTACCCTGCCCTTTGCACCGTGGTGCTCGAACGACGGACCGTGGGCGGCGAGACCCGGGGGACGGTAGAGGCTGAGCTCCGGGACATTCTGGACAAGCTCTCGAAGACTGTCAGGGATTTCCGGTACGACTTGCGGATCACCTTTGACCGTCCGCCTTTCTCCATCGACACGGACCATCCTTTTGCTGCTCTGGTCAGCGGCATCGTCACTGAATCACTAGGGAAGCAGGCCAAGTTCATCAGAGAGCCGTTTTGGACGGACTGCGCTCTCCTGGCGTCCAAAGATATCCCCGTCCTCCTTTGGGGTCCCAAGGGGGACGGCCTGCACGCCAAAGAGGAGTGGGCAGATGTTGAGTCCATACAGCGCGTTGCCACAGTGCTGGGTAGAGTTGCGGGCAAGTTTTGTGCATAGTACATAGAGCTGAGAGCCGCATAATAAAGGCATCTCATGGTCCCCCGGTCAGGGAGTTGCCTCAAAACGTAGTCTATCCCGAAAGACGTGATTCAACGCCAATCACACAATGCTCGCTCGATGATCCCAAGGTATTCAATGATCCGCACTCCTTCCCCAAAACGCCGTGGTGAAGTGAAGGCGCCGCCGATTTCCTCATCTCCTCCGTCGGCTGCATTCCTTGTCCAGAGCGGCGGCGACAATCTTGCCAAATCGCTCAGCAGACTGCGTCGCCGCCTTGATAGGGTTGTGTACTGTAGCCCAGAAGGTCCCCCGGATCTCCTTCGTGGGGCTCAACCCAGGGGCTGATTGATACCCCATTGCCTCCAACGCCGTATGCACTGCCCTAGCCAGTCGTCGCTGGGTCAGAGTGCGTACCACCGCCGATGCGCCGCCCGCGCTCGTGACCATTACCCACAGCGGCTGCTCTCTGGTCTTGCGAGCGTACTCAGCCCTCTTCATCGCGGCGAGGGGGTGGCCGCGGGGCTCAAAGTATCGCAGGTCGTGCGGATGGACAACGTGGTTCGGGCTGAACGCGAACGTGACATTGAAGTCCGACGCGATCCTGTGCAGATCCGGCCCGGCCGAAAATCGAGTCATCCTTCCATTGTCGGGTTCGATGTCGTAGTTTAGGAGAAACTCCTTGTTCTCGCGCGTCGTGAGGAGCTTGCCGTCGGCCTTGACGAACCTCTTGACGTCCTCGGGCACGAATCGGCGAATGGTCTGTCGAGGCTTCGATTTCGGCTTGCCGAGCGTCTTTCCGGCGGCAGTCGAGGCGAGACGCAGCGGTACAAGTGACGGGGGGCCAAGTTTCCATCGCAAACCCCGAACAGCTCGCGCTACCTCCATGTCGCGTGCGAAAATGTCGGCCGCGTCGCAGTCATCTTTGCCACGCCGAGGCGGCGAGCTTGATGAGTCGTCGGTACGCTTCTAGGCAGAGGCGCGGACACTCCAGGCGCGGCGTATTGCCAGAGACGTAGAGGATTCTGACGCAGCGCTTGCTGTCAAACGGTCGCAGCTTGCACGAGATGCTGAAGCTATCTGGAAGAAGCTTGGCTTGCAGTCATCAGGGCGCCAATGACTGGCTGGCGTCGCCGTCGCCTTGGCGCAATGATTACATAACTGGGCCTGTGGCGTGCGCAGCCGAAGAATCTGCTAGCAGGATACATTTTAACCCCGGCAAAGATCTAGCGAGCATCAAGTACCCATTAAGCTTCAGATGATGAGTTTTCGCACACACCCAAGCATGTCATTCTGCGCCGCCTCCATTGTTTGAGTCATCAGTGCACACAACTCTCAGGCGCCACACAGCACAGCAAAGCCCCGTCCGTGAGAGCCCAACCAGCCCCTCAAGCCGAGTAAAACAGCGCCCAGCGGGTCGACCGCGAAACCACCCACCCCCACCACAGCGCCTGCCGTGAGTAACAAAGCCAACCAGGTCAAAGGCCACACCACCTCGCCTCCGCTGCCTCATACCGCCAGTGTCCCTCCACAACTTTTTCCTCCTTCAAACGTCTCTGCGGTACCATCGAGCCGCCCGATCCTTTCGCGAGGACACCGAAAAAAAACCCACCCGAACAGGACACCGCGACCGTCGCAGACGCAAACATGCCTAAGAACAAGGGAAAGGTGCGGTCGACGTCTCTCCCGTCGCGCGGTTTGGGCTCGTTGTGCGTGGGCGGCGGAGGTGGGCGACGACGTCGTCGTTGTTTTGCCCCGCCCCCACCACCGCGCGCCCGACCGCCGCGCAACCGCTGTGGTCGCGATGCTAACCAACTCGACGCTATAGGGCGGCAAGAACCGCAGAAGAGGAACAAAGGAGAACGACGATCAGCGTCGTGAGCTGACCTTCAAGGAGGACGGCCAGGAGTACGCCCAGGTTATCAAGATGCTGGGCAACGGTCGTCTCGAAGCCCTGTGCTTTGACGGCAGCAAGCGTCTCGCAAACGTACGTCGTGGCCCCGCGCAACCCCCTCATTTTTCCGGCCTGTGCACCGCCGCGCCGCGAGGAGGCGGGCGAGCAACGACACCTTGGCCTACAGGACGCGAGGCTAACCTGACGATTGCAGATCCGTGGCAAGATGCGAAAGAAGGTCTGGATTAACCAGGGCGACATCATCCTCCTCTCCCTGCGCGACTTCCAAGACAACAAGGGCGATGTTATCCTCAAGTACACCGCCGATGAGGCCAGAACTCTCAAGTCCTATGGCGAGCTGCCTGAGCACGCCAAGATCAACGAGACCGACACCTTCGGCCAGGGCGAGGACGGCGAGGCCTACTTCGAGTTCGGCGATGCCGACTCCGACGAGGAGTCCGACGTCGAGGGCGGCAAGAAGGAGGTCGACATCGACGACATCTAAAGCCTGCCACCTGGACGACCCTCGGCCTGCGCGTTGTCCCGCGCAGCCTCTACCCTGTCCGGCACCAAGGGGCTCTACTACGGCCGCTGCTTCGATGAAGCAGCTCCCCTCGGGCTGCGGGGGACTACACACTGTCTTCTCTCTCAAACCCTTCGGGCACTTGTGCTCCGACGGGTCCCACGACAGTATTTGGAGCGGAGGTTGGACGGCCGTGGTGGGAGAGACGTCACGGCTCGTCATGTTGTTCATGTCTTTCGTTTCGCTTTATACTTATGAATATGAGAATTGCATCGTCATGGGGCATGCACAGTTTCGGTTCACATTGCTTGCGCATTCCGTTCTAATCCGCATTCGACGGCTTTTAATGTGCCCTGTGGCCTATCATACTGGGAACACGGCCTACAAGACAGAAATTCTGGGCAAGATGCCCAGTTGTGGCTGATGGCGCTGTGCAGCTATTCCAAGCCCATGATCATGTCATGCCATGCTTAGGGACTTGAGAACGGCCAGTACCAGAGGCACTAGATGACTCAGTCCAAAGATGCCCGCGCTTTTGCCAACGAATCATGAGAATGTAAGGGTGAAGGCGTCGTGAGATGCTCATGTGTGATCGTGACGAGCAATGATCGGTGAACGGACATGTGCCATGATCCATTCTCCGTCAACGAATGTTTCCCTACCACTCGTCGTCATCGTCTTCATCGTCTGCAATGCATTAGCCGCTGTAGTGACAACTCCCACGATTAGCGGTCGACTTACCACTCTTGCTAACTTTCTCCTTTCTCTTCTGCAAAGCTGCAGCCAAGGCGTCGGCCATGCCACCTCCGCCAGCACCAGGAGTAGCACCAGCGGGAGGTAAGCCACTGCCATGAGGCCCAGTATCGCTGCCGCCGCCGGTCTGGGCCCCGCTTCGGTCTCGTATCTGGGTCCTATCAACCTTCTTAAGCGAGGCAATGCCGCCTGCTTTTTGAATATCGCCCAACATAGCCGACCGTCCCTGATCTGCGGACGGCAAAGCTGGAGCAGGCACGCCAGAAGAGTACCCGGAATCCCGGTTGGGCGGAAGAGGGGGCGGTGGAGGCGGGCCGCCGCCAGACGACGATGGCATCGGCGGTGGTGGAGGGGGAGGGGGAGGAGGG